GGGTTGGTTGTGGTAGTAAGGCTGTGCTAGGATGGGAGTGTGTCGGTGTTGTTGGAGGGCTGAGACGGGTGTGGTCGGTGTTGTCGGATGGAATATGTGGTCTGTCTGGCCTTGTGTTGTGATGATCGGAGTGGGATGGTCCGACGATGTTTGTGGGATCGTGAGAGGGGGAAGTGGGAGGAGGGCATTTGAAGCTTAGGCCGCACATGTATATCTGCTAGGTCCAAATATTCAACCGTGAAGCCATACAATACATGCATGCATGCCACTCCGTTCGCTATGTACACATACACACACACGCACACACACGCACACATACACATACACACACTTCTTCCCTCCCCAAAGCCCCCCAAGTCCCCCAAGTCCCCCAAGTCCCCCAAGCTACCCAAGCCCCCCAAGCCACCCAAGCCCCCCAGCCCGACCCTACTCCTCCCCAAACACAAACACGCCCTTCCCACTCCTGAACCCCTCCAACGTCCCCTCCACCCTCCGCACCAGCTCCTCCCCCTTCGTCTCCCACCCCCACTCCACCCGCTCAACCGGCGCATCGCGGAACCCGCCCTCGCGCATCAAATTCAACACATGCTCGACCGTCTTCTTCTTCTCCCCGGGATGCCGCGCCGCCCACTCACTAACCCAGAACCCAGCGAAGCGGATATCCCTGAAGATCAGCAGCGAGGCGGGCACTTCAAGCGGCTTCCTGCCCATGGCGCCGTACGTGACCATGCAGCCGTGCGGGGCGAGCTGCTTGGCCAGCGCGAGAGCGGGCTTGCCGCCTACGCAGTTGAGTGCTAGCTTGAGCGGCTCGCGGCCGGCGTGCGTCCATTCGGCGACGCGGTCGCGGAAGTCGCGGGCCTGGAGCTCTGCGTCTGTGACGACGATGTCGGCGCCTAGACTTGTGAGGTCGGCGCGCAGGGCATCTGTGGCGGCGGGGTCGTCGGGGCGGGCGCGCACGACGTTGATGCTCCTGTAGCCCCAGGCGCGGGCAAGCTGGATGGCGGCGCGGCCGACGCCCGAGTTTGCGCCGTTTTGGATGAACCAGTCGCCTGGGGTGAGGGGGACAAAGTCGCGGAGGAGGCGGTATGCGGTGCAGGGGTTTACGCTGACGGTGCCGACTTGGATGGGGGAGAGGTGTTCGTGATTGTCGATTTTGAGGACGGCGGACTCGGGGAGTTGGGCGTGGGTGCGCCAGGTGCCGAGGCTGGGGCGGTTCATGATGACCCAGTCGCCCTTTGAGAGGGCGGAGACGGCGGAGCCGGTGGAGAGGACTTGGGCGACGGCTTCGTTGCCGGCGACGGCGAGGGGGTAGGGGGTGCCGAGGGAGGTGGTGAAGGTGGGTTTGCTGGGGTAGAGGCCTTGGATCTGGTTGATGTCGGCCGGGTTGATGGGCGAGGCGAGGAAGCGGAGGGTGAGGAGGTTGGAGTGGGCGGGTGAGATTGAGTGGGAGTGGAGGGAGAGGACGTCGCTGGGCTCGCCGTAGTCGCGGAAGGTGAGGGCTTTGGCTTGTTCGTAGCCGTATGCGGAGACGCGGCGACGCTGCTGCTGGGAGATGTGAGAGGGTATGTGCGCTACCCGGGTTCTTGAGGGTAGGGAGAGTTGCCGCCGTAGAGCGTAGCGAGGAAGTGTGGTCGTGGCCATGGTAGTAGGAGAGAGAGGGCGTGACTGACAGGATCAATGAAGACCTGACGATGTTTGAACAGAAGTGAGGATGTTTAAGTTTTGAGATGGAGCTCGGCTTGGAGCTATGACGCAACTCTAGACGCCGGATATAAGCCGTTTTCCGAATGCGACAACTCTACGCTGTCACAACCTGAAACATGTACAAACTTGATACGTGGAATAGCTCAAGAATCTGCACGAAGAGTGCAAGTCATGAAGAGTGGAAGTTCTTTTTGATTGAAATGGTATCTTCAGCCCCGTCTTCGCCGCGCACCCTCTTAACACACCGAGAATCTATGCATCAGACGATGAGATCGAACTCGAAATCGAAAATCGCAAGGTCCCGCCCGATACAAATTCAAAGCCCTCCTGGGCGTGTGTCAACGCCGATAGCGCCATGCCCAGTCATCTGAATCTGCACAGTACAGTACAGTATACAGTACAGTACAACGCCCGTCCAAGTCTAATATACAGCGGAATCTACTCTCCCCTGGCGCGAGCCTGTAACTTGTAGAACAAAACAATATCCGATAATACAAAAACATACGTAGCTGCAAAATTAAAGACTTAAAACAAGCGCATTAGGTGCATACCGATTGGTAATCATTTTTCGTTTCCTCGCAGATTCCACAGACTTTTGTTTTCCTTTAGTAATCTCCAAACATTTCGTCGAGCTCGTCGAGTTCGACGTTGGTTTCATAGAGATCCCACCTCGCCTCGTCGAGCATCTTCACCTCGGCCTCGAATGGCCGTTTCTGGCTCAAGACCGAGGGCAGGCTTTGTGGTTTGACAAGCGGACTGCTCATGACCGTTGCCGCTGTAGCTAGGGCGAGGCTCTCGACGGATGATCCGAACAAGACTGCGGCGGTTTCGCTATTCTTCCGCGCGGCACTTTCCTCGGTCTCATCGATTTCGATCGATGGTGCAGGATCTTCAACGACAGGCTCAATAGTCACATCTTCCATGCTCTCGCTCTGGCATCTACTTCGTTGCTGCAGCGTGCTGGCCAGACCGGAGAATTCGCGCTCAACGCGCTCGAGCGGCGGACTCGCAGCTCGACGGTTGTGCGCCATGTTATTTGAGATGGGCGGATGTGATCCATGCTCCGAAAATGGAGTGTTCATGCCATCATTACCCAAGTCAAGATCCGGCAGGTCGACCTCGGGCGAGGGCGACATTTGCGCACGAGCTCTTGAAGCGCGGTCCTCAATCTCCTCATCAGTGGCACCTGACAGTGAAGGTGAGATGATGCGCGAGGTAACAGCAGGACCAGAGTCGGGATGCTGAGGAATTTCCTGATGAGGCGTAGTGGTAAGGAAGTAGTAGACTCTCTTTGGATGCGTTCCAACGAGAACTTTGTCGAGAGGACAGGGCGACAGCGCCGTCCAGGTCCGTCGAAGGTAGTTTGCGAGACGCGAAGAGATTATGGCAGCAGGATTTGCAGAGCTGGGATAGGTTGTTAGCAGGATGCGGATACAGGAGGACTAGTACGACAGCTTACCTCTCGACAGACTGCAGCCTTGTAGACAGCACTGCCGCGAGCTCTTTCAGCAGATGAGGGCGATTGCCCGTCTCTTCCAGCTGTTCTATGACGCCGACGACGATGTCATCATTGATACCCTCCGTGTCGATTTTATTCTGCCGGCCCAAACCACCCGGAGACGGTGGCGGAGTGTTCTCAGCGGCGCGGCTCGTGAGCGCAGCATCGGCAAACTTTATGGTAGACTTGCGTGGAGGACTCGGCGACGAGACGGAGCCCGACGAGCTCATGGTATGCGAACGTTTGACCTTCTTTGGCGGTGGTTGTGATTTTTCGTCGCTGACGCTGACCGGGGTCGGCAAGGAGGAGGGCGGTGAGCGGTTCGAGGCGCGGGAGCTGTTTGGAACGTGGATGCCTAGCGACTCCAGGGACAGCGACTTGCGCCTTGTATTATAGGGCATTATGGCGAATTATGAGGATAGACGGAGGATGGTATTGTCGTAGTTGTAGAAAGCGACGAGGCAGAAATCGAGAAAAAGTATCAAATCTTGTCGCGCGACGACGGCTACGAAAGGACGGACGGTGGCAGGGTGTAAGGCGAAAGTGCAAAAAGTGTATGGGCGAGCTGGTTACGCGGAAGGTCCTATTGGTCGGAAGGCTGCATGGAATGCAGACGGTGAGACTGAACCCGGTCTGGTAGTCTGGTAGGATGCAGGCGACGCAAGGTATGAAATAAACAGCGTGTTGGAACGTAGGAGCCGTGAGTGATGTGTTGTTGCTGTTGTTGTTCTTGTTGTAGACTTTCTGCTGATTGTGTTGTTGTGGTGGGCGTGAGAAGATGTTGCTTAGAATAAGGTAGAGAGAGAGAGAGAGAGGGTCGGCGCCCCTTTCAGCCAGATGAAGGACGGATCCGGATAGGCAGTAGAGTAGGTAATAAGCGTCGCAAGGTGGCACGCAGCAGGGATGAAGGTCTGTCTGCGAGAATGAAGTGTGAGACGGTAGAGACAATCAGCTCAGAGTATGTTGATGATGTTGATGTTGTTGTTGTATAGAGCAATCGAAGGAAGTTGGGAAAGCAACGGTGGGAAGAATTAGGAGGGAGAGTGAGTGGAAGCGGAAGTGCAAAGTGGAGCGCAAAGTGGAGTAGTGCTGGTACTTGGGTATTAATTACTGGTATTACTGGTATTACTGCTGGTATTAATTACTGCATCCCTCCCTTTCCGCCGTCGCAGAAGCAGAAGCAGAAGCAGACGCAGACGCAGAACGGAGAGTCAAACTCAAACTCACACAGTCCTACACCTGCGCAGTGCACACTCTCACTCTTACTCACTTTTTTTGTTTTGCCAGGGGGGGGAGGGGGATTAGTGGTAGTGGTAGTGGACTAATCATGCAAAAGAAGACGGGGACCCGGCCTAGTGGAGAGCAAATCGTGCCAGACTTGCAAGCCACCGCGCACACGCACTTTTCCCATCTTGGTTTGGACAAAGACGCATTGCTGCTGTCACCGCTGCCTTTTCGCTCGTCCGACGAAACGTTAATTCTTTTTTTTTCTTATTCTTTTTCTTGTGTGTGTTTATTAGCTTTGGCCTAGGACGGAGAAGGTTGCGGGTTGCGGATGCGGGCCTCTCTCTCGTCCAGGCCGTGTGTGTGTGCACGCGATAGATAGATAGAGAGAGAGAGAGAGAGAGAGATAAGGGACAAGCATAGATAGAGCCAATGCTCACAACACACAAAACGCCATAGTTACACACTGCCCATATCCATCTCCTGTATGTGTATGTGTGTATGTGTGTATGTGTGTATGCGTGTGTATGATGCAAATGTGATGATGGATGCCAGGCGATGGTGGAGATGCTATAATTGGTCCCTCGCTGCCCGTTGCAGTTGTGTTTGCATGCAGCACGCAGCACGCAGCCACGATATGCTGCGTGCGAACGATTTCGGTCGTAAGGCTAACAATCGCGATCCCGGGGGGGGGGGGTCTGTCTCCCTATTCTTCAACGCATCCTTCATACAGTAATTAATTAATTAGCACATGAAAAGATGCCTCATCTCTCTCTCTCTCTCGGGACCCCCCCTGCCTTCACAGACTCACAGACTCACAAACTCACAAACTCCCTCACAGCCTGCGCCTACGCCTACCTATAACAGTACATACAGTAAAGTAGTAATAGTACATCAACTCACCGTCAGCCCTGCTGCTCGTGCCTCTAACCTGCATCAATAACAGCCATTTCTCGCCCTCAGCACACAAAGTCCATGCACCAGCAGCACACCACAGCTACACTAATTAATCCTCCTCCTCCTCTCTCCTCCCAGGAGGTTTTACCAGTCCGACGCCCGACATGAGAGAGAGAGAGAGAGAGAGAGATGGGATGGATGGATTCATGCATGCTTGCTCGCTCCCCAGGACTCCCAGGGCCGGAAGAAGGGCCGGGCGGTTGTGGTCCTGGGGAGCGAGACCGGTCCACTACAACCAACGAATGGAGAGTCCGTAGATGACGTCCAAAGCGGGCAGAATGGGCAGAATGGGTACGTAGTATATATGTACATATGTAGTATGTATGTACTTGGCTCTTTGCTTCTTAGTCGAGTCCGTCCGCGTCACCACAGGCCAACAGTAGCCGTCTACAGTAATTGTTGTCGTAAGGTAAGCAAGTCCTGCTTCTCACTCTGTCTGTCTGTCTGTCTGTCAGTCTGTCAGTCGCATGCGCAAAAGCAGAGACTTTCTTCTTCTTAGTGCGTCGCGCCAGAAGAAAGAAACGAAACCAAAAAAAAGAGAAACGAAGAAAAGTAACGGCTTACGGCAAAACGGTATTTTTGGGGGGCGAGAGACCCGCCCCTCCTCCCTCCCTATGCATGCATTTCTTCCTTAGTACACCACTCATTCACTCCAAGCACCAAGCACCAACCTAGCTGCCCTCCGCGCGCATTTTGGCCTTCAAAGGTACACAAAGCACACTTTCATCATCTCATCGGCACACACGCCGGGTGGGTCAGTCATCCTGTCCTGATCCTGTCCTGACGCATGCCCCACCCCACTTCCTTTGGCCCCTCCCCCCCTGTACGAATATGGAAAAAGAATCTTTTTTTTTGCACTTCTGCACTTTTGCCTCGTCCGATCCATCCCATCATCCCTCATCTCATCTCATCCATCATCAGTCTCCGTGATAGATCTGCTGGCATGGCATGGCATGGGGGCATGTCACTCACCATCCATCGTGACGGGTTCTTCGTTGCTGGACTTTGGCGCATGACCTGCCTGTGCTGTACCCCTCTAAAGTATGAATTCAGGTCCGATTGCCAAATCACACTCATATATAGTATCCGTTGATTGAATTGCCATGTTTCAAGTCGTCCCCCCCAGCAAGCGCGTCCATCTCCAGACCTACACTACGCAGTCTGTACCACCCACCACAAAAATGCGAAAATGTTTTCTTTTTGCTTCCTTGACGGATTGACGACAACGTCCAGGACCCCAGCCAGGCCAGGTACAACAACGGTTTTCCTGGCTCCGTATGCGCTACCAACCATCTATATCCTTGTATTTACCCAGGCAGGGGGTGGTGGGGGTTGTACAATCTACCAGCTCTACCAGGGCCGGTGACCGCTCGGCTTGCCCCCTAGTAATTACTAATTACTTATCTACTTCCTTTTTGTACAGGACAGGACAGGACCACACTCCCGTACTTTCATCGTCGTGCTTGCAGGCGCGCAACGGTCAATGGCTTTTCGTGTGAAGCGGGGGGGAGTGTGAGCGATAAGATACGGCGGCATACGCGAGTCGTGCGCGCGCGCGCGCGTCGTGACATCACATCCACGAGACGAATAGCTTCGGAGCGATCGTCCTTCAGCTCCTGAGCTTGTAAGCCGCTCCCATCCCAACGCCATGGATGGTCACACACTAATAGAGCACGGAGCCACGCCCCCGGCACTCTCACCAGACCCTGGAGAGCTTCAATGCCATTTCCTTCCCCCTTGTTTGTTGCTCCTTCGCGCTGACGTGGCCTGAGCTTAAGCTTCTTCATCTGCTTGATATCTTATCAGGAATTCCATCGCGGCCACCAGGTGTTTGACTTGGATTTGTGAGTAGCTGCTTGTGTCCTGGCTTCGGTGCGCATCTCCTCCTCCTGCTGTAGTGTCCTCTGGAACTTCTCGCCAGGCTTGAGCTCTATCCAATACGTCGTGCCAAGGTGATATCTGCTGATGGCCACCACATCAACTCCGCTGTCTTCGACAATCTTGATAATGTCTTTGTTCCACCAGCATCCGTGTTTATCGGCGTGTGGTGCTGCCGTCTTGTCCAGCACACGGTTAAGCCAGTCGTACTTCGATCTCCCGTGCTCCAGCAGCAGTATCCTCCCCCCATCCTTCTTCGTCATTCTCGCCAGACTTCTGATGAGCGCCTCAGGCTCCGGCGTTGAGCATAGGCCCATCGTCTGGATCACAAAATCAAAGCCCTCTGGATCCGGCAGCTTCACGTCGTCAATGACAGACTGATGCCGAAAGGTGACCTTGGCCAGATCTTCCGCACGCGGGAAATACTCCTTCCACTTGCCATACGCCACGTCAACCATTTTCCTGCTCTGGTCCACCATCGTTATCGACTCGCAGAGCACCGGTTTGTAGTACTTGATATTTCTCCCAGTCCCTACCGCGGCCTCGAGGACATGGCCGTGCGCCTGTCGCGTCATCGACTTGCGGAGCCAATTCATGCCCATGTAGAACTCCATCGGGCCCATGTCCCGGTCGAACGTTGCAGCCTCCTTGTCCCATCGATCCGTCACGTCTGCGGGTACCGGCTTGTAGGGCGTGCTGGACACGCGGCGGTAGTTCATGTAGACTGACGAGCAGTAAAACGAAACGTAAAGTGTCGTGGCGCCCATCAGCACGAACGGAATGTAGCGCACAGTCCCGATGGCTTCGCGGATCGTCTGCGGTCGCTTTGGTGTTTCGCGCGGCGGTGCTGCGTGGTGGTCTTTCAAGGCGACGCGGCTGATGGATCTGGCACGCGGCATGGCTCGAAAACCAGCCCGTACGGGACGCATCGCAGTCGTGACAGTCATGGCTGGTGCGGTCTTCTGCTCACGGCTCAATGAGTCGGAGTTGAGAAGTCTGGAAATTTATCATGTATGAGGCCGAGAATCAAGCGGAGACGCGTCGACTTGGAGCTCGAGCTCCTGTCATGACTCGCGCGCCTTATGTAAGGACACGTACTTGGTGAGTCATCACGTGCTGGTGTCTGCCAATTCCATGTCCGCACGCTCACATGACCCCAAAACAAACTCCCCACATCACAACATACCCACTCGCCCATGTCCGCAAAGCTTATCTTTACTCAGATCATTATGCCTCCATTAATGGAAGCCTGTCAATAGATACTCAGATCGACCAAACATACAAACCCGCCCAAACACCTCGTCCCATAAACACTACAAATCATTTCCTTCCCTTGATGACCCAATACCTCACCAGTATTGTTAAGACACACAACAACAATCATATCTGCACGCCTCTCTGCGTCGTTCCGTCCGTGATATCAGCCTTCCCCTGTGCGTGCCACGCCATAAATAATAGATCTGTGATATTTAGGCATGCGAGCGTTGCATACTGCCTTGGCATCGTGCCATCGCTTGACTATTCGCGTATCTGTGGTACAGAACATACACATACATACATACTAACCTCACCTCCCGCACACCCCAAAGACCACCACGCCAACCCACACTGAGGCGTGTTCGGCGGTGGGGTTTAGTGTTGAAGGGGGGTTTGGGGGTGGTGGTGGTGTTCTATCTGGTGTGTGGTACAGTGTGGCGGTGGTGCTGGTGCTGGTACAAGGAAGTGTTGAAAGTGTGTTTTATGTCTATGTTGGCGGGTCGATCGTCTAGTCTAGCGTGTCTATCTATGTTTTATGGTTTATGTATATCTATGCGTGTGTGATATGTGGTGTGTGATGTGTCAATAGCAAGCAAGCAGTAGCAGCAGCAGCAGTCGAGTCAAACTCCCATGCCCATCCCATCCCTCCCCTTGCCTCTCGAAGCGTCAAGAACCTCAAAACCTCAGAACTTCACAACCTCAAAGCCTCAAGAACCTCAAAACCTCAATCCCTCAACCCCTCAAAACCTCAAAACCTCAAACCCTCAATCCCTCAATCCCTCAATCACTCAACCCCTCGATCCCTCGATCCCTCCCCCTAAAGCCTCCACCCCCTCCCCTCCCTCCCCATCTCCACCCCAAGCACCATCCCCCTCTCCCCACCCCTACTCCCATCCCCCTCAAACCCCTCCTCCTCCACCCTCTCCCCCCTCCACCTCCACTTCCCATCAAACACCCCACCCACCCCAGCCGCCGCAACATCCCCCCTCCGCCCCTTAACACACAACACAATCTTCTCCCCAATAACAGGCAAGAACTTGAACGCGTGGCCGCTGCCGCCCGTAGCGACGAAGAGCGACGAGGCGTACGCCGGGTGGTAGTCGATTATGAAGTCGCCCGTCGGCGTGTCGGTGTACCAGCACAGACGGGTCTGGCTGAATGCGCGGGCGGCGATGGGTGGGGGCGCAGGGGTGGAAGAGGGGGAGGAGGGGAAGGATGGGGAGAAGGGGTCTTGTGGGGTTGGACTCGAGGGTGAGGTCGACGGCACGGATAATAGAGCGAGGGAGGATTGCAGGAATGATCTCAGAGCGTGGTTCGCTTCGCGCGGGAGCCCGAGTTGAGGCGGGGAGGTGAGATGTGTGCGCGGCAGACTGGTTGTGATAGTCTCCTGCCGATGACCGGGCCGAGCAGCGGCTTCGGGGTGCGGGATACGGGACGGATTCACGTAGCCGTGGCCGTGGCGGGCGACTTTGAGCGTGGAATGGGCGCTGCTGGGCGGGATGATGAACATGCCGTTGTCGAGATTGAGCAGGGTAGGACAGGAGTGCAGAGTGCTCGTTTCGTGCTGTGACAGGGGCACGTACGCGACGATCTGGCCCGTGGCGCGGGCGATGCCGCGGGTGTCGAGGAGGGCGGATGTCCAGGCGCCGCAGGCGAGGATGGTCAGGTCGGCGGTCAGGGTGGTGGTGGATGTGCTGAGGCGGACGCCGGCGACGGAGCTGGGTGCGGATGCGGAGGGTGATGGTGAGGGAGTGAAGAGGAGGTTGTCGACGGTGCCCTGGACGAAGGTGACTCTTTGCGTTGCGCGCACCAGGGCGCCCAGATAGCGCATGCTGGCCTCCGCGTCGGCCCAGCCGCTCATGCGGTTCAAGTACCCCGTGCTTCCGCTCACTGGGCCTTTGCCCATGACCTTCCTGATGGCATCCTGGGAGTTGAGCTCCTCGACCGGGGGAAGCGATTTGTCGGTTCGAGGGTCGCCGTATTGGGCCAGGAGGGAGCGGACGTTGGAGAGGCTGCTGCGCACATAGGCATCGGAGCCGGGCTCAGCTACGACGCAAAGGCCTGTCTCGGTGTACCGGCCGTCAAGGCCCCAGGTGCCGCGCCAGTGGGATTGCGCTTCGAAGGCGAGAGCAGCGTAGGCGGGGTCGGCGTAGTCGGCGCGGATGATGCGAGAGGTGTCGATCTGGGAGAAGGTTAGCGGTGTGTTGGGTGGAGCAGTGTGAGCTATAGATAGAGAGGTGAGGTGGTGAGTGATTTAGAGAAGAGACGATAATTTTTGCGAAAACGACAACCAATAGGAAGAAAGCAAGAAGTCACTGGAAATCCAAGACGGAAAAGGATTCAAGCAACGCGAGAAGAAGAAAAGAAAAAAAGCCAAGGTGAGAATTACACTTGAAGCATCTGCAGCAGGAAATTCCTGGCGATCAACGACCGTGATTTCTGTATCCTTGAAGTCCGGATCCGTCGCAAGGGCATATGCAGTGGAAAGTCCAAAAACGCCGGATCCGACGATAAGGATCGAGGCCGGAATCGGAGGAGAGCTTGTGCTGGTCGCCATTATGCGCCCGACGTGTATGTAGCCAAGCAGTGGAAGAGAAAACGAGACAGACAGACTATGCAGCAACGAAGAAAAAGGAAAAGACGGATGAAAAAGGTCACCTGAGGTCAAAAGTAAGAACAACCTCCAAAAGATTGATTTGGTGCGACGGCTCAGTTGGCGCGCCGAATAGGTCAGACCTTGAGAAAAAGTTTAGCGGTCTAGGTACCGACTCGGTATTACTGGAGAGTAGTCACCCGCTGTCTCCACTCTTCACGGATTACGCCCTGTGAGATACAAGTCTTTTCCGGGAATGGAAATAATGGTTTCACAGCGTATTGAGGGAAATTGAGAGGCTTGGGCGGAAATTATAACATTTCGAGGCGATATTAAGTTCAGTTATTGAGTTCAGTTCAGTCCCGGAGATATCTGTACGTGCTTTCACACCATGGCATTGAGCGAGGCGTGAGCCCTGCATGAAGAAAGTGTGAATTTGACAAGTGCAGGGTCTGACCTCGTCTCTATGCTGACGGCTGTTATCGCACACATCAAAAGATCAAGAGAGGCATCACCCCAACAGAGAAAGCCGGTAAGCAGACATTCCGACGTCATCAGACACAAGCATTGAGTATGAATTTCGGAAGCGAGGTAGTATTAACTAACTATCCTATCGTAGGAACTATCGAGACGAAGCTCCTTCAACTGAGCGACGTCACGCTTCCGTTACGTATTGATTTCAAATACTAATAAAAGACCAGATGTCGCAGCATCAAGCGGCCGCTGCATATCAACATCTGTACGCGCAAGCAACAACAACGCTGCCAAGTGCAGCAACAACAAAGCAACCCCCGACCACACCTGCCCACACAGACGTCCACCAAGGCAGCCCGCCACTGCGAGTCTCCAAGCAGGATGAGCTGACAATCAGAGTAAGCCGTTGCACGGTAGATGGGTTGAAGATGAATGAGAAAGCGGTTGGAGAAGTCGTGTCTCAACCAGCGCACCGTTCACCAATCCCACAGGATGGGTGCGTGCAGCAATCTAGCATGTGTGAAAGTCGTAAAACCAGGAATTTTGTATCCGAACAGAAGGCTTCCGATGAAGAAGCTCCTTCAACGCCGTGCAATGCCGCAAATTGAGAAGAGGTAAGAGAGATGACAAGCTATCGCGCGATCGACATGGACAGACGTGGCAAGTGTCCAACGTGAAAGCGAGAGTAGGATCGAACGAGAAACCGACACCGGATTTCATCGCCCTTGAGAAATATTAATACAAGAGTTCAAGAGATGGTGCTACAGGGTGTCTTGATCACCTGCGCTGTGAGACCAGCTTGACAAAATCAAGATTTACGGAAGTCTGGTGGTAGCCATTAGCAACAAAGCTCAAGTGGGGTGACATTGATGGACAACTGACCTGATAGCACAGGGTAGATCAGCTCAAAGGCGTGGTAGATTTCCTCGCGAACTTTGGCACCAGTGAGGACGATCTTGCCAGAGACAAAGATGAGGAGCACAATCTTCGGCTTCATCATGCGATAGATGAGACCAGGGAACAACTCGGGCTCGTAAGAGCTGAAGTTGTGATGGCGACTGGCCAAACCTTCAAGACGAATGGGGAACTTGATGTCCGTTGAACCTACAATGTTCTGGATCTTGAAATCGGTGAACTTTGCATTGAAGCCCAGCTTCTGAATAATGCGCGCGTACTTGCGTGACGCCAGCTTCGAATCGTCTTCGGACTTTGCACCAGTGACGACCATCTTGCCAGAGGCGAAGATCAGTGCGGTGGTTTTGGGGTCGCGAATACGCATAATGACAGCGGCGAAACGCTAGAAAGCATGTTCAGCAAACAGAAACCAAGCGTGAGCTGGTTGGTGTCAGTACCTTTGGATTGTACTCTGCATTGCGAGCATGCAATGCAATCGTCTTCAAGTCCAGGCGACAATCGAGATTGACGGTGGCAACGATGTTTCTTGACAGGGCGTTAAACCTCTTGGTCAAGGAGAGTGCAGGGTCAGATAAGTACTCACTGTAAGGTCGGTACGATGCCGCTCACGCCCTGGCCAGCGGCAGGAGTGGCGGCCGGAGTTGCAGGCGTCACGCCGTTCACACCGTTGCTCTGTTGCTGCGATGCATCCTTCTCCGACGATGGCGGAGTCAAATCACCAGCGCCACCTGGGAAAGAGAGCGAGGCAGGCGACGTAAAGGCCTTTGCTTGCTGCGCGGTTGCGGGATGGGTGGTGAGAGTGTCCATTTTGGGCACTTTTTGAAGGTTCGGTGAGGGCCGAGTGTGGAGTTTAGAGGAGATGGAGGGTTGGTAGTGAGAGAGATCTCTTATGTAAAATGGAGAGGCTGGTAAAGTGGCAGGTATGCTGCTGAATGGTCCAAGCTTGACGTCTGGTGAAGGATTAGAGTCTGCGGGGTGAATAGAAACTCTGGGCTATTGTTGCGACGGCTATCGAAGGCTCGAGCTCGCAGTGAGAATAGGGACTGTGCGAGGACGAGATGAGCCTTTGGACGACTTGCAGTCGTACCACAGGAGATGATTTGACGGAGTCGTAGGAAAAAACCGTACCGTTAGTGGGAGATGAACAAGCGAATGTCTCCCTCACAGAGCGCCGTCAAGAGTCTTCGACGATAGGATGAAGATGAGAGCGATGTACAAAGGACAGGACCAGCTCGACCTTTGAGAGCAGAGCGAGATGGAAAGATTACGAAGATGAATTTGATTTGAGGTTGAGTTTTGAAGGTTGAGGTTGAGGATGCGAGTGAGCGAAGACGAGCGGAAAGGACTTGGCAAGGCTGCAGTGCGCGAAACGGCACTAGTCTAACCGAATGTGGATAGCTAGATCCTGATACTCTGAAGAGAGGTGTCTGAGTGAGACTTTTTCTTGATCACACTCGAAAGTTACCGTAGCAAGGTTGCGCACGAAGCTTTGGACGACTTTTTTGAAAAAGTGCGCGCAAAGAAGTCGTTGGATGAGAGTGGGAGAGTTCTGGTTTTGGGATTTGAGAAGGGATGTTACGCAGCTTAGAGGGGAAGATAGGCGAGGGCGTCAACAAACCGGTAGGAGGGCGCAAAAAATGTGCGAAAGAGAAGGGGCGGGCCAGCGCTATTTATGCTGACGGGCTGCCCACAGAGACATTGCGCCAAGAGGGAAGGAAAGGAGAAGTGGCCCAAGCGCAGACAGGGATCCGGCAGGGATGCGGCAGGGATGTGCCATGGATCACTGCTCCGGTCAGTCGCTAGTGCGCCACTTGATAGGTCCGCCACACATCCATCCCCCCTGCTCCTTCTGGAACGCTTGCAGATAGTCGCGATGCGCCTTCCTTTGCTTTCCCAATGATCACAACACTTTGCACTTGCCATCACAGCCAGCATGTCTCCCTTTCTGCGCCGCAAACATCCACCTTCACGTCCACCGGCAGTGTTTTCCTATTCACAGTATGCATGTGGTGTATATGGACCCTTTGGAATGCCTCCCATTCACGACTCCATCATCCATTTCCCTATTGTCCTCGTCCTCGTCCGGCGCATCGTACATACCAGCGCATTCACCAGCAAACCAGCGCACAATAGGTCCGGACTGACCGCGAGATGACGCGCGTTGGGTGGTTTTGGGCCGCGCGAATCGAGGCCCAGCGGCCGGGAAATTATCGGTTATCCCTTTGCTGTCCTCCCATTCGCCCATTTGTCTCACCACAGTTCGTGGACCCAGCCGCCTAGCATCCGCTTAAGCAGGCCCGCCCATGGTTAAACCTGCGATTCGAATTTTCCTTCTTCTTATCGCACGCACACCCACCCCCCCCCCCCCAAAATGGTTTCCGTGCTCTGTCTCACGACACGATCAACTCTGTTTTTGGCTTGGGAACTCTATTTTACACTCTCTGCACTTGCGACATTATAGTAGTGTGCGTGCAGTACATACAGGACACGTTTACAGAAATGCTGCTTACTGGTGGTGGTGGTACCAGTGAAGGCGACATGCAGAGTATTGACTTGGAATGCTGCTGCCTACAGGAATGACTCACTACTATAATTCTCGTAGAGCCAACAACACTAACCACCCACTAAGATCATCCCCACCACCCCGCGTCTTTCACGTGTCATTCTCAGAATCGTTCGCGTTTCAGACGTTTTCGCGACAAGTGCCTGATTGGCTGTCGATGCGGCTATTTCATTCCATCCGGCTCCAGCCTCAATGCGTTTGTTGGCTGTGCTGGATGCTGGATGCTGTATGCTGGATGCTGTAGGAGTCCGGATTGTCCAACTGTTACTGTTTTTCCGGGGTCTGGCCTGGTCTGTCTTACCTTTTCTTTTTTGTTTGTGCCTTTCCGTGCACTTCCCTCCGCTGCACTGCACTGCACTGTACTGCACTGCACTGTACTGTACTGCACTGCACTGCCACCCTTGGGGAATGCCGCGTAGCTCCCTTACGGGTGTACGACGTCTTGACCACCTGTTCTTTTCGTTCTCGTTTGCGCTTGTTCGGTGTCGGTGACGTACTAAGCTACCTACCGGACTGTTCCCGTCTATCCATCCCATCTCATCCCTTCCCTTGTTGGGCCTGACAGCTGGAGACAAGGGCAGGGCATGTAGGTACGCGCCCGTTGTTCTATATATGGCCTTGTTTTCTGCTCTGCAAACATGCAGCATGCAAACATGACATGCAATGCCAAACTGACTGTCTGGCATCCCTGATCCTGTGCTGTTGCACCGTTATATGTTGTATATATCCATCCATCCATCCAAGGCGCACGCTATAATCATATCCACACATCCAGCTCAACTCATCATCTCCCTCATAACCCCCATCTTCCGTCCTGCCATCTCTTATCTACCTACCCACCAATCCATCTAAACAACCATCCAAACATCCAGGTATATGACATGTCCATACCATCTCCCTATCTATATTAACCACGCAGTCATCAATCACATACCACCCATACCCATAAATCGCCATCCTCGCCTCGCCTCGCTACCCAATTAATTAATCAACCCAGCCCTCGCCTCGCCTCGCCTCCTGTCCTCCCCCCTCCCCCAAAAAAAAAGCTTATTTCGACTAGACCTAGCTAGCTAGCTGCATAGATGGCGGAGTGGAAGTGGACGTGACGGAGTGGGATAAGAGTGGGATAGAGTGGGATGATAGAGTGGGATGCACGCTACGGAGTTGGGTAGGGTAGGTAGGCTAATTAACCTCGGGCTAGGCTATGCTAATTAGCTAGAGGTAGGTAGGTAGGTTCGGTACAGCCAGAGTAATTACTCAGTGTATATGTAGCGGGGCATTTTGCTCTGATGTACGTGTGGCATGTGCCTACCTATAGGTATCTATACCTATAATTACCTCAGTATCTGTGTCCATCACGTACGTCTGTCTCTGTATAAACATGCGCGTGTATATATGTGCGTAGTGTATATATGTGCGTAGTGTATATATGTGCGTAGTGTATATATGTGCGTAGTGTATATATGTGCGTAGTGTATATATTTAGAAACAGCTAAAAAAAAATGCGCACTGCAGCAGTCTTGCGTCATACACACCCGACAAGTACTCGGTACTACCTAGGCTAGACTAGGTGGTGCCACATCGTGCCGATTGATATACTGTACTAAGGATGTATGCATGGCATAGCATAGCATGGCATAGCTTGGATTGGATAAACAGTACAGGATAGGATAACATGCACGTATGCATGCACACGCGATGAAGGTTCAAAGGATATAGTACACACGTATATGTGTTGTATTAATTACAGACTAACAACTAGTTACTACTTGTACTACTACTACTACTACTACTACTACTACTACTCCATTTTTATACACCGCTGCCCGTTCAAAGTCACAAACTTCAATAGACGTTTTTCAGTTTTCCTTCCGTCGTGTGCATGCGTGCCACCCGTCCGCCCCAGCCAGCCAGCCAGGCATATTCAACAGGTATCTCTGGGCCCCGGCTCCAGCTCCCCGCCCAAACCCAACGCGCCCCCAAGAACACCATTCGCACCGCCCCGGTGTAATGTAAGAAGATAGAAAGCCATGGATTGCGTTTGTTGTTTAGACATGTATACTTCGAAAGAAGAAGAAAGGTTTCTTTTTGGTTGAATCGTTGTAGCGAACAGTGGGAGTGTACTGTACAGAACAGATAGACCGTCGTATGCGCGTAGCTTTCGTGTCAATGGCGATTAGCGTCATCACCTGACAATGTCGGAGAAGCTGTCAAACACCTGGTAGACCGTCAGTAAAATTGCGCATCGTCACACGCGAAGCAGAACTCACAGAGGCATCCAATTCCACCCAGTCGTTCGTCTGCCAGCCACTAAAGAGATTCGACCCTGCTGGCTGAGCCGCGTCCCGGGGCTGTCTGGCTTCCATCCTAAGCTCCTCCAATATGATCTTGTATCGCTGTATCGGCGTTGCGGCACCGGGAGCGCTGGAGAGACGGGTAAACCCAGTCTCCGCGAGGTCAAACAGATCACGCTGTCCCTTGAGTTTGACGCATGTAACACCTCGGTCCGGGTGCGTTCTCAGCGAAATCTCCCACACGTAGACCACACATAGAGCGGAGAAGACGACGTAGCTGGTCCACCAGTAGGCATGGATCAGAGTCTGGTCCTTGGTCATGAGTTCGAAGAGATCGAGCACTTGACGTGCGCCGGCCAAACAGTCATCAACACACCTCTGGATGTCGCCGTGGTCGGCGTATGCTGGCTTCGACAGGAGGAATGGTCTGTTTGCATACACGAGCGCGTGGCCAAATGCAAGCTTTAGAGCGATGGACTGGCGCTTGAAACTTGGAATCAGAAATGACGGCCTGACGCTGCCAAGATGAGGCGGGAGGTTATCCTGCCAAGCATGCATCGCGGTCGAGTAGCGTCGAGCGTGTTTACAGCGATCGCTTGTGGCGACCGTCTTAGCTGCGTAAACATCCTTTGTAATCAGTCCAACAAAGTGTGCCATTCTAGACGCATCAGTCAGTATGAATAAGAGTTATAATCAGATCGGGATCACATACTCAGCGTGGGCTCTCAACGACTCAATGTGTGAGTCTTCCTGGTTGTCCTGGCCTGTGTTGCCGGCCGCAGTCATTTCCTCGTCGTTGGCGGCATCGGGTCTCACAGCACTGAGTTCTTCGTCAGGAAAGTGACGAGGACGGCCATACACGACTGCAAGATATCGGTCCATGGTATATGCCACCCAGAATGTACGCTTCATGACTTCTGTGTTGATGTAGTCTTCTGGTAGGCCAAACGCCAAGCGCCGGTATTCTCTCTCCTTCCGATGATAACCCAAAGCTGACTGCATCTGCACTACCATTCCAAACAGATAACGTGCTTCATTCATGCGCAACGACTGCAGGAGATAAAGAACTTGAAGCAACCGAGCTTGTACAGATTCCAGCGTTGGGAAGCCCATTTCCGAGTCGGTCATCCATGCAGCTGCGTTGAAAAAATAGTCACTGCGCGGCGACGGTTTGCCTTCCTCGCGCGGTGACAGGCTTGCAATCTTCTGCTTTCGGAGAGAGGCAATGGCAAACATGGCGAAGATGACTGCAGACTTGACAGGGCCGATCGACTCTACCCAGCCATTACGGTGACGGTCGTACTCTGCAAAGGCAGTCTCGAGCCAATCCTCTACGGTGGGACGGTGAAAGATTCGGTAGGTAACGACACAGAAGTCGAAATAGTACTCGAGTAGTTCTGCGTGGAAGGTTCTGTCTGGAGCGGGCAGACTAGATCTGTCTGGTCTTGGGCCGTCAAAGGGTCTGTCACCGGCAGTCATGACGACTTGGGACTGGACGCTGTGACCAGACTCATGGGCATCCTCAGTAACTCGGTCAGCAAGGCGCTTCCAGATTCTGTAGATGAAGAGCGTCTTGTAAGAGGGGGACTGTGATGCATCTTTCTCGACCACCTCTTGTTCTGGCGAGAGGTGAGAGACGCTGCGTTCTGGAAGTGCTGGAGAGAAGCCATTACTTTCATATCTAAGACGAGTGTCAGTAGGGAGGTAATGATGTTTTACGCGGTAATATGGTGGTAGTGCACGCCAGGACGAATTCTCTAGATGAAATGTGCCGAGACAAGCCAAGCGATGAGGATGTGGACCAAACAAGCATCGCGAATAAATACACTAATACAGTGCGCGAACGGCACCTGCATGGACCGGATGCGATGGCGCACTCTTCTTGAACGGGCCTAGCGCGTTCCGAGGTAGCCCACGGCCCTCGGAGCAGCGTGGAAACGCGTGACAGAAAAGAATGATGAAAAAAATAAAATAAACACTAATCGAGAGCGCGTTGATAGACGAGATAGTGATGAATTAGAGATGGAAAAGATAACAAAAGTCACTGACCTGGAGGCTGAAGTGTGAGCAGCTTCAAGCAGACGCGGCGGGTTGGAGCCGTTGTCGTCGGCAGCGGCGGGAGGAGTCCTCGGCTTGCCTCGCGCATATCTCGCATTGTAGACACACGAGAGGTTTTTTCGCTCGCAGATGTCGCAGGGAAGAGTACCGGAGCAGCGCACTTTCTTTGCCTTGCAGAGATCGCAAGCCCGACTGACCTTGGGCGTCTTGCGCCTGTTCTCGGCATCGAGCGCGGACTCGTCAGGCAGACTCCGCTTGAGGTAGGAATTGGACACGGGCGATGCCTGATGAGAAGAGTGTGTCTGAATCGAAGACTCGGTGGTGCTTGTCATTGCCGTCGACGGTGGTTGCGGCAAGGGAGATTCGCCAGTCATGTTGACTGGTCTCCAAGCAGAGTCGGACATGGCTGGTGCTCGCAACGTGACGAGACTCTAGAAGGTGATGACAACGATGATTATGATGGGGGAATGGAGAACGATTAATTGAGTGGAAAAGAGAGGGGAGAGAGAGAGTGTGTGTGTGTATGTGTATATGTGTGTATATGTGTGTATATGTGTTAGAGAGAGTGAGTGGTTGAGTGAGTGAGAGTGAGAATGGAAGAAAGAAAGAGAGAGAGAGAGAGAGAGAGAGAGGGTAGCAGACGCAGGACGAAGGGGAGAAGCAGCAGCAGCAGCAGCAGCAGCAGCAGAATGGCGGGCGGGTGGGCGGCGGAGACGAAGGGGAATCCGACTGCGGATTCTCTCTCTCCCTCCCACACCACACACGGCGGCGGATCAGCCAACGATTCATTCGCCATTCGCCAACCAGGGCAGTTTGGCAGCGTCTGGCAGTTTTTCTTGTCCCTCGTCGCCATGTCCCCTCGACGGTATGTGCCAATCGCGCTGTGCCCCAAGCTTCCCGCGACAATTCGATCTAGACGGCAGACACCGGGGGCCAGGCTTCGGTTCGGTCGGCGGCGGTGGTGCTGGTGACGAGAACGAATTTGATCACGAATTACCTACCGACCTACTCTTACCCGACAGACCACACTGACTAACTATTAACCTAACTAATAACTGTCCACTCGGTGGCAGAGCGAGAGAGAGTGGGCAGAGTGAGTATGAACGGGGGCAGAGATGCGGGCTTGGGGCATCTCCATAGCGCAGCCCGGCGCTAGTCTTTTCTGCCCTCCCCAATCTCGCCCTTTCTGGTGCCGGAACACGGCTTCTACCGCGGTTGACACTCTGGGTGTAAGTGTGAGTGTGAGGATAGGAAAAGCTGGAGTGAACAGCAGCAGAAAACAAACATTCATGACTGTAGATACCATACATACAGTAGATACATCCACCCATCCGTCCGTCCATACACACATACACGTACATACACGTCAAGGCTATGCCGCCCATGCCGCCGCTCCAGCCTTTCTTTACCCGGCGCACTCCAGCACCAGCACCAACACCAGCATCAGCAGCAGCATCAGCATCATTCTGCCCTGCGCCGCATGTGAACTCTCTCCAGGTCCTCCCCTGTGCCACTCACGCAAGGTCTTCAACCGCTCGCATCTTCTTTCTCCTTCTTCTCCTTGTCTCTCGCTCACTCCTCTCTTTGTCTATATAAATCACTTTCCCGTCTCCCTCCCATCATCATCGCCTCTACCTGCTGCTTACCGTTTAAAATACGCGCGAATCATGGCCTTCGTAATATGTAATTAGTAGTAGTAGTCGCCGTTATCGCATCGCATCCGCACACAACCCACAGACGCTGCAGCACCACCACCATCCTTCGTTCTCCGAAAGGATCAAACTCCGATGCGCTGAAACAAGGATTATTATGGGAGGACGAGGGGGTGCTGCATGACTCGCTAGCCTGTCGTTCTCGCTCGCCGGGACTAGCTTACCCGACTCCTTCCTTCCTCTGCCTCCCACTCGTTCGTTTTTCCCGGCTCCGGTGTCTTACCACCGTCACGGTTCGCGGTCACGGTTACGGTCACGCTTGCGGTCTACGCTCTGCCGATGGTCATTGTGTGTTATCACTGTTCCCTTCATCATGATATTACTTAACCTCATAGAAGACAGTGACGAGTAGTGTTGGTCTGGACACTTCCATCGTGAACATGGAGTGTTGTTCCAAAAGACCTGCGTAGTAGTAAAACACACACACAGTATAGACCAGCCTCTGTGAAACATGCAAAACTGCCATTTCCCACGATACACAGCTGATTATCGACCTGGCAATCTTAGCATATCCATGAATTTCCCCAATGTCCAGTGCTATATACATGTGTGCATTGCGTATCAACCAGCCAGTATGCTACCAGGACGTGATATTCTGAGTCCTCACAGCAGACAGAACTGAGGTTCTTTGACCTCGATAGACGTGGAATGAAGGTCATAGCTTGACTCATTTATTATACTCCAAGTTTTATCATAGTATACCTACGTCCAATGTGCGCTACAGTTCTACAACTCTAGGGTAGAGCGTTGGGGCTCATAACCTATTGGAAGAAGAGAGTTGATGTATTTGATGAGGCATTCAATTGTATTGTAAGTGTGTAGAGAACTAAGTTTAAGAGACTCAGAAGAAAGCTATTTATCTGTGAAGACACTAATCCCTTTTAGAAAGTTGTGTTCACTAGCCATAGGACTTTCCTATAATACTCCCCAATGCTAAGTGTATATATACATTTAGTAATATTCAATAAAGGAGAGTTTAAATGAGTAGTAATAAAAGATAGAAGATAATAAAGATAAAAGTAAGAGTGTGAGCGAGTACTAGCATAAATCGATCGCCTTTTTTAACTTATCTAATAGCGGTAAAGGTAATCCTTTAGTTCCTATGTCTGCAATGTTGTCGCAACTTACGACATGTTAAATGGCTATGACTCTATTCGTAAACAGTTCACGGACGGCGTAGTAATGTATAGCTATATGCTTGGACCGAACTGTGATCTACTAATTTCGAATAAGTGCTAGGGCTGCTTGATTGTCCATAAGAAGGAAGGGAATCGGAATGTCGCAACTTGCAAGTGTAAAGATTTCCTTGATGCCTAACAGAGCCCATTGTAAATGACTTGTTGCTTTTGAGCAAGCCATATACTCGGCTTCACATGTCGATTTGGCTACACTTAACTATCTTGTTACTGGTACCCGTCCAGATCTTGCTTTTACAGTCGGAATGTGCGCCACTTTCAATGCCAACCCGTCAGAGCAACATGCACAGATCGCATTCGGGACATTGCGATATCTTAAGAATACCATCGACCAATGCCTTGTTCTGAAGAAGTCCAAAGGTGCGAATTTCTAATGCGTAAGACTATGCAGATCCGGCATAAGTCATTATGGGTAGTGCTGTATCCACTACCATATCTTACTTAATCGTTCGTGTGTCCCTGAATGCTCTACAAAGAGTATGCATCCATTCTGACCTGGCTTCTATTTGCCTACAATCGTACTCTTCCATAGGCTATCATGTTAGTAGTGGAACCTAGGCTTATGATATTACTACAACTTTCACGACGGTGTATTCTACGTAGAACATCAGTTTGCTCTACTGGGTATACATAGAAACAGTGTCCTGATCAAGTACATCCTCCACCATCACGCACTCACACCACAGCACAACCACAGCGATACAAGCGAAACCATGTTATTCTATCTACTTAATACAAACACCCACCCACCAAACACCCAGTAAACCCCCCAATCTCCCCCTACATCAGCCTCAAATCCGACTCACTCCGACTCATAATCCGCCTATGCCCCAACCCCCTGATCTCCCCTCCTCCTCCCTCCTCCTCCTCCTCCTCCTCCACAAGCAACACCTCACTCTGCGTCACACTCGCCGGCCGCCTCTCCACCTCCGGCACCGGCACCCCAGCCGGCCACGCCACCTCCAACGGCAGCGTGCGCGCCGCATCCACCGGCATCTCCCGCTGCCACTGGTCTCGCATCCCCAGTGGGAGCAAGTACACCTTGCCGTCCGGTCCATTACATACCCAGTAGCGCAGTCCGGCGGGGAAATCACCTGTGTCGGGGGCCATGTGCTCGAAGGGGCCTGTGCCGCGCCATGCTTCTACTGCTGGGGCGACGAGTGTGTGCGGCGTTGGGGAGCGCGCGAGGAGGGCGGCCGGGTGGGAGCTGGTGAAGGAGGAGCTGGGGTCAGAGGGTATGGTAGGGGTGGGGTTGGTGTGGATGTGGTGGGTGTAGCGGGAGAGGTCCGCGTTTGCGCTGGAGATGACGGATGGAGGGCCGGAGGAGGCGCGGGCAGCGGGTGCAGCGGCAGCGGAGCCAGGCACGGCAAGATCGGGGCCGCGGGGGGTGGGAGCAGCGGGCACGCAGAAGGGGTTGCGCGGGTCGGAGGCCCAGTTGTCGGGCAGAGGCTTTACTTCCAGGACGCGGCGGCCGTCGGGGGTCTTGACGAGGAGGACGTCCTCGTAGCGGCATCCGCGGAAGTTTTTGCTGACCATCATGCGGGCGGCGACGTAGATTGGGGCCATGATTGGGCCCTGCTGTTGCTGGTGCTGCTGGGGAGTCTGTCCGGAGGGGCCCGCTGGCGTCGAGGGCCGGGTTGGGAGGAGGGCGTGGTGGCCGACGCGTGGCTGGCTTTGGTTGCGGTGGTGCTTGAATGGCGTGGGGAAGCTGGGACGGGAGGTGTCGACTGGAGGGGTGGGCTTGATGGTATTCGTCACGGGGATATGCGCTGGACGAGTCGATCTGGAGAGGTTGCGGAGGACGTCCGCGCTCATGGCTCTTTCTTCCAGGAGCAAGTTGACCCATTCTGTTCCCGCAGTCAGTACAGCTCGACCTTTTGCATGGGCGTAGATATATCGGGGGCAACCTACTAGGGATCCAAAAACGGCCGCCGAACTTGTCCCTATATTCGACTCTGGGGAAATTGCCTCTGCCATGCTGCATGTAAAGGGCCCTGAACGTGATCGGATCTCCCTCTTGCAAGCCATGATGCTCCAGGGGTCCCATGGGCGATTTCATCGCGTTTGCTTGTGTGGGCATGTCGATGGCATCTTGACGCAGACAGTTGCGGCCCACGATGTCTACGACACGCATCTGCGCACTAAATGTACCTGGGATTGACGGCGCGTTCCTGACGATCCATGGTGGGATGGATTTTGTTCGGTCAGCCTGGATGTATCTCAGTGATACGACTCCACCACCGGCAGGAAACGCCTCCATGGGCTTGCCCGTGCCATCATAAAGGTACCGGCCCACGAAGTAGTAGTCAGGGGCTCGGAGTCGATCCATGTTCACCAATGGTGCTTGTGATCCGCTGACGAAGATCCTCTCTGCGTTGGTGTACTGAAGCAGGACAGCCAGTGCATCGGTTGGGGTGGTCATGTTGAGGAGATGCGATGTTTGTGCTTGTGGATAGGCTAAACGCGAGGTACAGTTAGTTGAGACACTTTGATTGTGGCAGATGGCTATCCAGAGCTCCTCTTCTTTGCTACAGCAAGATCTGCTTTTGCAAAGGATCGTAGTGTGGTAGTGGGCTCTGTAGCCTGTCTGAACTGTGTGAAGGACAAAGCCAGCTGCCAGATCTGATATGATGAGTGTACGTACCTTTGTGTTTGATGTCTTGGGCAGTCTATCTCTGCTCTGTCTCGGTGGAGGAAATGGTGGATTTGCTTCTAGCGTTGGGAATATCTATGGAGCTTGGTGTTCAGAAGTAAGAGGGTCAACGGTGTTTATATATTGACGAAATACGGTGCGTCCCTGGAACCGAGGGCACGGGCTTCGGCTACGTAACTCTCTCAAGTGAATGTTTACCAACACTAGCTCAGAGTGAGCCCAATGTAAAACTTCATACTCGCTCTTGAACTTAGGAGATCCCCAACTCGCAACTGACAGGTTCTCTGAGGCCCAATATAGATGACATTCATCCGCCTCAGCATCAAACGAGAGGCCTTGGCATGGCATTAGGACTAGGTCTTGATAATGTAAGATAGATTCCGTCAGTCAAAGCCTGTAAATGATTTTCATATGGACCCCAGTCAAACTCATAACGTCGAACTGATGGCAAAGCAATATAGGAAGTCCATAGAGTGATCACGGGTTATAACAAGTCCCAATATCAGTCCAGTATCATCACTGAGGCTGATTGAGCCTCGTGGGTTTCACCTTTATCATGAGCATAGGCTTCACATCAGACTCATAATACTCGGCTAGAGGATGCTCGCTTGCAGCGTGTACGACTGAATAACAGTGAGTCTACAGACAAGCTGTGAAGAGCCTGTTTTCCAGTCTCTGCAATTCGGGGACACCGAACTTGTACTTACTACTGCCCGGGTGCTACGAAAAGAGTCTTGATGCTCGAACCCTATTGGAATGTGCCTATAGCTCTGCAAAGTAAGTCCCTAGAGAATGACGTTCGGAGTTGAACCTCCCTTTTTAGTAGTTTGATACGTAGTCTGATATGGAGATAGATAGCTTCCTAGCTTCACTCCCCTTTGAGAGACGAGACTCTACGCCTGATACCCCCTTTAAGCACACCATCAAAGGCCTTTTACGAGATGACAACCTGTACATAGTCGACGAAAAAGAACACAAGAAGCAGAAAAAGATATGAAGCAAAATCTGGGCTACATTCTTCATGACAAGACATTGATAGAGGGAAAGAGACCAAGATGACTTTGTGCAAGATCGCTGTTATATCAAAGAGACGTCTAAATAGGGGCAGTCTATGTTGGGTATGTTGGGCCCGGGCTTTGACTATTGGCACAAATATAACTGAGATATGAAGTAAAAGTACTGGCCTAAGGCAACATGATAAGAGACCTGGTGGTTGTTCCAGGACATCTCGAATAACACTCGTGGGACGATATGCCATATACATAAGCAGTGAGAATAAGTGGCACATGGCCTGTCGCACCAGAGTCGACATCAGAAAGAAACGGGAGACAAACGAAGCAATTTAGTACTACGAGAGGGTCCTTCTATAAAAACAGGAATGAGAATCTCAGAAGAGGATAAGCTAGGCCGGGCGTGTCAGATCACTCTGTTAGCCAGCCTTATGGGCCCTAGTGGGAAAATGACTTGAACAAATAAGTGGACATGGCGAGAGTAAAGATGAAAAAGAATAGAGTCCCTGGCCACAAGTATCCCATACTTTCCAGGCAAAACCCTGTATGGTAATCTGAATATTTTGGACCCTATATTCGGAAGTGAGAACTCAGTCTTGACTGATTCATGCGCGAACCTCAGTCATGCTAGACATAAAGCAGGCACCGATATGGACGGATCATCGAAGCGTTCCGACGAAGTTAGGGAAGATTCAAGGTAGAATAAATACACTAAAATGGCTCTGCTGAGTCTACAGGATATCAGCTTTTAAAAGGGGCAGCATAAGACAACTGCCAAAATCAAGAAATGTTACTAAGGCAGCAACTCGAGAGCTAGCCTTTGTCAGAGCTGACTGTGCTACTTAGCGTGCTCCGACGCAGCGTTAGTGGCCGAGACCTCGGCATCGTGACGCTGGGGGATAGAGTCGCGGCCGATAATGTGATCGCCAGCCACCCCCAAAAGAACGCTTTCTTCAACTCTTGAGCCCATTTCACATCGCTTCCAAGTCGGTGTTCCATCGTCGTCTCGGACTAAGTTCAGGTTCGCAGGCGCCTATAGCCGTGCATTCACTGCTCATCATGATTCGAGAAGACCTGGTCAACTCTGCTGTAAGTCGATAGTCGTTTCGCATAGCTACGTGCGGCGCCACTAACATGATCACAGGTCTCCTGTGCGTTAGATATGCCATATCGCTCGTATGAGCGCATGCTAATGCTCTCTTTATAGTCCTCCAAGATCCATCCGTCGCAAATTCCCCGCTCGACAAACGGATAGCTTTTCTCCAGTCCAAGAACCTCACCCAAGAAGAGGTCGACATCTCCCTAGCTCGCGCCGGCGATGGCTCCTATGCAGCCCCGGTAACGCAAGCACAAGGTGCAAACTATGCATATCGGCCGCCTCCTCCACCCGGATATGGACCAGCGGGCTACTGGCCACAACCACCACAAGAGTATGTACGATCGCATGACATATCCTCCTGTCGAAATACTGACGATGATGTGTTATAGAGCTCCAAGAAGAGATTGGCGAGATTGGTTCATAATGGCTACCGTTCTCAGTGGTGTGAGTTACGGGCTATACTTCACCGCCAAGGTACCTGATACTCAAACTCGAACAACATGTTTACAAGACTGACCATTGAAAGCGCTACATCTATCCACTCATCGCGCCTCCTACACCTCCGCAATTGGAACAGGATAAGGCATCAGTAGATGAAGCATTCAACCGCGCATTCGCCCTCCTCGACCAGCTGAACACCGACACCACCGCTCTCAAAGCTTCGGAAGAAGCTAGAACGCAGCGACTGGATACTGCTTTGGCAGATATGGAGGGCGTAATTACATCGCTCAAAGATTCGTCGAGAAAACGAGACGAAGACAGTCGGCGCATAGAGGATGATGTTCGCGGATTGCGCAACCTTATACCAAAGGCTCTAGAATCTCACAAAGAGACTACAAGCGCACAGCTGAAAGATCTCGGGAATGAGTTGAAGAGTCTCAAGACACTTGTCGCAAACCGAATGAGTGCGGGAACTGCTCCGGCCACCACTCCACGACCCGTTGCAACGACTACACACAATCAACCAGGGATCCCAGGCATTAGTGGATCATCTACAGGTATTCCACCAAGTCCAGCTCCAGTGGCACCGGCCACCGCAGCGACAACATCAAACGGAGTGAATAATGCGTCCTCTGAGGGGGCTCCAGCAGCAGCAGCCGCATCGGATAAACCACAAAGCCCTTATGGAAGGTTTACGAATGGACGTGCAGCAATTCCTGCCTGGCAAATGGCTGCTGCAAAGAAGAACGATGAAAAGAAAGACACTGCAGAGAGTGGAACCGTGACTGAGACAACGCCAGGTTCATGAACATTAACGATGCAGACTGTACAGCGTGGTTCGTGGACGTGATGCCAATGAGAATTGAGTTTTCGACGATGTAGTTAATACAAGCTTCCAAATTTGGACTCACGAACTCTCTGATCGAATATGGTGAAGACTGACGTACATGTGAAGAAGTAACAAGAAGCGTCTTGTTCAATGTGTCAAGCTCGGGCGCTGATTGGTGTTGCTGTGCGGTATCCGGGCAACATATCTTTGGCCGGTATTTTCCCGAGCTTGTTATGATACTCAACTCTGAGCACTGCAGCATGATCTGTGCGTTATTTACACCTAGATATTCTTTGCGCCGACACGTCTTAGCCAGCAGATCTTACGTCTAATTGTTGAAGTACCACGTATTACTCTTCCCATCGAAATGGCCCTCGACGGCCTTTTTTCTGCACGTCGCCCGCGAGAGGTACGAACAACGCGTTGTTGCGATGCGCAGCTTCCCAGCGGGTCTCACGACTATCGAATCCTGACTGACAGTGGATCTAGACCCTTGGTGCAGTCTCTCAAAACGCAAATTCGTCGATACCAATGCCTGCATCCGCAATGAAACGGTCCAATTCCAATTCTAATCTCCAACAGCCGCCATTTACTGGAGCCCACGGGCGCTCGACCTCTGGGTCGCGCATGTCGCTTGCTCCAGGAATGCGCCCGAGCCAACCTGTCTTTCATCGCTCGTCTTCGGGGAATAATCTGGCAGATATGGGTATGCATTCGGTGCAGCGCACTTCGACTGCGAACATGTTTAGCAGCGCGCCCGGGAGAAAGAGCTTCGCGCCCGGTGGGAATATGGTTGCGCAAACACCGGCATCCGCACATTCGATGGATCAAAGTGCGCAAAGGAGAAGTAGTGTTTTCAAAGCCCGGTCTTCATCTGGAATGGGCGCACAAGCCAGCACAGGAACGAGCTTCTTCCAACAGACGGCGGCAAGCTCGGCCGTCACTATCCAAGATCCACGAAGATTGAGAGACGCGAGCGTAAGGCACGAGATGGCCCACCAATTGACTGAGTACCTTACGCAAAATAACTTTGAAATGGATATGAAGTACCAACTGTCACCAAAAGCCATGACCAGTCCGACACAAAAGGATTTTATCATGATGTTCCAATGGCTGTACCGACAAATAGACCCCAGTTACAGGTTTCAAAAGAATATTGATGCGGAAGTTCCGCCACTATTGACGCAGATGAGGTACCCTTTCGCACGGAACATCTCGAAATCCTCACTCACAGCGGTGGGCGGCAATAACTGGTTCACCTTTCTTGGAATGCTGCACTGGATGATGCAACTTGCGCAAATGATGCAGCAATACGCGACCGGTGCGTTCGATCACGCTTGCGCCGAAGCTGGCTTCGACGTTAGTGGTGACCGAATTATCTTTGACTTCCTGAGCGACGCATACCGGACCTGGTTACAAATGGACGACGATGACGAAGATGACGCGGACAAACTTGTCCAGCCTCATGTGGAACAGATGGCTGCGAAATTCGAACAGGCCAACGAGTATCACCTGGAGCAGATGAAGATGCTTGAAGCCGAGCATAAAGCGTTACAAGACCAGATTGACGAGCTCACAAAGGACGGCCCACGTATGGCCAAGCTCGAGGAACAGATAAAAGTCCTGGAAGAGGACCGCGTCAAGTTCGAGAAATACAACAACACGATGGAGGACAAGGTTGCGCGACACGAGCAGCGCGTGCAGCTCCTCAGCGACGAGATCGAGAAGACGGATCGAGAGCTCGAGGAGGTGGAGCGGGAGAGATCGACGCTGCAGGACATGGTCGACAAGCAAGGGTTGACCATTGCTGATATCGACAAGATGAACGCGGAGCGTGAACGACTACAAAAGGGTGTTGAGACGTTCAGCGTCCGGCTTGAAGAGTCTAAGAAACGCCTTGCAGAGAAGGAAATGGAAGCCAGCACCAAGCTGGATGAGCTCGAGCTTGTAGTTGAAAAGTACAACGCTCTCGGCTATCAAATTGCCGTCATCCCATCAACAGCGGCAAACGCCAAAGGACAGGACTATGAGCTCATCCTCACCGTCAACGAAGGGCCAGACTTCCGCGGCTCCCAAATGGGCAGCTCAAATCCAGGCGCTCCCGAGTCTGATCGTCTCCTGGCAGATTCAGGAAACGGGTACCAGGCACACCACCTCCTGAACCTCGACATCAAGGGAACTGTGCGCAACAACATCACCCAGCTCCGGAAAGAGATCCGCGAGCGACGCAACCAAGCCCTGGAAGCCGACATCGAGAACCACGACATTCTCGACAAGGTGAAGGAGGCCATGGACGAACGACAAGCCGAGGTCGAAACGCTGGGCCACAAAGTGCGCGCCGCAGAGGAGGAATTCGAAAAGACCAAGGAGGTATGCCTGATCCCCTTTCCCCCCCCCCCAACCTCCCCCTAATCCTTCCATCCCCCTCTAACCCCCAAACTAACAAACAACCCAACCAGATAACCCAAGTCCAAAAAATGAACTCGGACGCCCAAATCGAACGCATGGAAAAGGAACTCGCCAAGATGCGCGCCGGCCTCGGCGAATCCCTCCAGCTCATGGAGCAGCGCGAGATGAACACCAACATTGCCTACGAGCAGCTTACCCTGCGCGCTGCTGCGCTGCGCGAGGAACTCCACACCGAGATCGAGCGCATGCTTAATGATGTTATTCGGTTTAAAGTCCATGTGCAGAAGAGTCTGGAGGATCATGAGTCGTTTATTGCGGAGCAGGTTAGTGCGGAGTTGGAGGAGCAGGATTTGCTGGAGGGGGTGGGGGGGGATGGTTTGGAGGGTGGTGGGGAGGGGGAGGGGGATGAGTAGGGGGGGATGAGTAGGGTGTTGGGGGTTGGTGATTGGTATGATGTGATGACTTTTTTTGACTTGATGCTTGGTGTTGGGATTGGTTGGTTGGTTGTTTTGCATGCATGCTGCATGCTGCGGTCCATTATTGTCAGGATAGAGGGAGAGACACAGCCACTGTCTTCGCCTTTGTCCGTTTTTAGTTTTGTTTTCATTTCACCGAAGATACCTACCTCATTGGGGAAGAAAGAGAGCGGGCGTTTTTCTTGGCTTCTTTTCTTTTCTTCTTTGGATTCCCGTTAATAACAGACGTCGTGCGCTGGATGCTTTATGTATATAATTGCTATCTTTGCATGCTTTGCTTGGAAGTGTGGTAATTGATACCTTTTGAAATTGTGAGACTTTTATTCTTTACTTTGCCCTCCCCGTGTCTTCCGTGCATGGCCGTGTGTGTCTTGCATGGGTCTATGGGTAATATGTATGTCTGTATGGATATATGGATATGTCATCACTCGTTCTGCGTCTGCCCTTTCATTCAAAGCAAAATAGAAAAGCTTTTCGATTTGACCAATATGCTCAGCCTTCACCTCCCTAGCCCACCACCACTCCTCCGCCGCCTAACCCCACCACCACCACCACCCGAACTCTCCAGACTCGTCCCCAGCCCCGAATCCGCCGCTATCCGCCTCAGATTCTCATCCTCGTCCAGCACGAAATCATCCGCCTCGTCGTCGTCATCCTCATCATCGGCTGCTTCGCCGGCAGCAAGGGGCAGAGCGCTGAGATCTCCGGATGAATCTTCGGGGTCTTCTTCTTTCTTGATGGGCGGCGGGGAGGAGTAGTGTAGTGGTGGTTGGCGTGTGTAGGTGGGGAAGGAGCGGGATGTAGTTGAGAGGGTGGTGGATTCGGCGGAGTCTGAGTCGTGGTCGTGGTCGTGGTCGTGTTCGAGTTTGATGGCTGGGTCGTCGTCGTCGGGTTTGATTTCGCGCTTTGGGGATTTTGGGGGTGGTTTTGGCTTGGATGAGGAGGGGAAGAGGAGGGAGAGGAGGGCCCATGAGATGAGGAGGGAGGTGAGTTCGATGGCGTAGAAGAGGGAGGTGAAGGTGATGAAGGAGATGATGCGGTGGTTGTACATGATGTACCTAGTCCGCGTAAGCAGTTAAAACCAAAATCAGTCAGCGCAGGAGTAAAGCACCACATACCTCAACCCAGACAGCCGCGCCCGAAACACAATCTCACACTCATAAACCTGCAGCACCTCCCTCCCCCGAACATCCACCCGCACCCATCTCGGCAAGCCCCTCACGCCCTTCTCAAACACCACATCCTCCAGCATCCGCACACTCACCTCCTCCTCCTCCCTCCTCCACCCAGCCACATACCACAAGCCCCACACCACCCTCTCCCGCACCTCCATCGCCCAACTACGATACTCCAGAATCGCCGCCCGACTACTCCGCACAACCACATCATCCGGGCCCTCGTCGCCCGCCACCGCCGCCGCCGCAGCCCGCACAACCGTATCCAACGGCCCGGCCAGTCCCGGCGCAAGCAACCGCACATCGAGCATGAAGTTGCCCGCGCGCAGATTGGCAGGCGTGCGCGGCATGCGCAGATTGAGCCTGACGTCGTACTTCTGGTGCGCGACGAGGACGTCGCCGAGCGGGGCGGTGGCATGCGGGTGGGTCTGGGCCAGCGGGTCGAATTGGAGGTGGATCGGGGTGGAGAAGCCGCGCAGGGGCACGTAGGCGTAGTAGAAGGTGATGTAGGCGACGACGGCGGTGCCGAGCAGGAGGAGCGAGGTCAGGAAGATGAGGAGTGTGGTGAGGTAGGCTCGGCGGGCGGTTTTGGAGGTTAGGGTTGTGAGTGTGCTGCGGGCGGGCTGGAGGACGGTGTCCTGGGGTTGGAGTTAGTTGGGGAACGGCGGAGGGAGTGGGGGAAGGAGTGGACGAACCATTGCGAGGTGCAGGACGCTACGCGTGTCTTCGTAGTCGTCCTCCATGGTTGTGAGGTGGTGATGGTAAGTGAGTGGTGAGAGTGGTCTGGTGTTGCGACGGAGCTCTCTCACATGGCGATGATGCAAAGTCAAGGAGAGCCGAAGAAGCTTGGACTCCCGCGGCTTAGCTTACCTAGGCAAGCTTCTTAGTACGATCTACTAGGCTAACCCAAAACAGAATCGTGTTTATGATCGTCAGGGATTCTACAGATCTGCGTCATCTTGTTCTGAAACTCGATGAGCAGATCCACAGGTACCCTGCATGCATCTGACAAACGTGCTATACAGTTTTGTGTTCTTCATACAGCTCCTCAAAGTCTACTGTGACAAGCACGAGATCAGAAACCGTAACTCAGAATCCAAAACCCTCAGTATCAATCGATCTACGAGCGCTGAAGCCAGACGTCAAATGCCATTTAATTGATGTGCAAGATACACCGCCTCAGCACTCTTTCCTATAGCACTTGATCATCAACCCTAGCCACACATCCAAACCATCCTGCATCCGAACCGCAGAAACAAAGTGCATACATCCCCACATCATCCCACAGGTCAAACCCCAAAAATCCCATCAAGCCTTCTATGAAACAAACATCAGCCATCAAACAAACGCACGACCAAATCCAACATAACCCCCCCCCCCAACCATTCCCATAACTTACGACGTCCCTTTTCATCTCGAAGTCGAACACCACACACAAGTCCGAACGTAATGCTCGCACCCAGAGCAGAAATCCGTGCTCAGGCTGAATCGCACCCCGCATTCACAGCAGAAGAATCCGTCCCGGGAACTGACCGCTCTGCCTGCTAGGTTGCGCGCTGGGACGATGTCGGGGCGGGCGTTGCGGATGTTGTTTGCAGCGTCAGACCGGTGAAGTTGAGGAATGGTAGTCATTTTGGAGTGAAAAGTGTAGTGACTGAGGTAAGTATATTTGGATATAGATGATTGTGCGCAGAGGATGTTGGCGAGGCTTCGGTAGCCCGAAGACAAGAGGAAGGCCAAAAAAAGATTGACCTGAATTATTGCGTGGAAGACGAGTAGAGAAGATGAGGGGTCCACCCGTCAACTGGAGGCGTATAGAGATCAATCAGCTCAGTCCTAGGAAAGTGCGAACCACCGAATCACTATTCTGCAAAGATGCTATTGTTGTAATATTATGTTGTTCTTTCTGCTGATAGACAAGAGACTTTGGGGGGGGGGTATCTAGAATAAACAAAAAACCTCCCTTAAAATGTACAAAAAGATCATTACAGTTCCTCCCAATGTCCGCTTGCATTGTTGTGGTTTCCGTACCAGTCGCACCACGTGCTGGAACCTGCTCCGGGTGCCCATTCTTACGACGAGACCAGCCTTCACCGTACCCGCGCGCTGCCCGGGACTGGTTCCAGGAGAACATCAGTAGGAGAAGCAGCCAACACAATTCACAGTGTAGTGTTGACAAGTCTTGCCCCGACCATGACACCACAGTGTAGAACAGGGGTTGTCTGCTCCACACCGACAACAAACCCATCCCGTGGAACCTACGGGCATCGCGTCCGGGTTCAGTCTTCGCAATGCTAGTGTCGAGTGCGAAGTAAGAGTAGCGTAGTCGTGTGGTATAGAAGTTGTGTGTCTTTGGGGCGTGTCTTTCGCTGATTCGTACACCGAAAGTCTCGTTCGGATGGTATCGCGCTTTGAAGGTGTATGTATATAAATCTCAGTATGGATTGAGAAAGGAAGAAGTAGAACGTATGGTCGAGGCCTCCTTTAATACTCTATACTCCGCCTTTGTGAAAAGACGTTTTCCACGCGGTCAAGAGCTCCATAGCCTCGTAAAGAGCCGACATCCAGCGTCGCTCAGTACGAGAAGCAGTCTATGCAGTTCACAGTATAGTGCCAGCACTTGCCGCACCAGATTGACGAGGTGCAGTTCTCCGTGTTACAAAAGCAGCAGAGCCATTTCGTACATGTGCTGTACACCCTAGAGGTCTTGCGGTTTGTCCGTTGGGGACTATAATGATATCTTGTTTGAGAACACATGGTGCGTTGTCGTTGATTGGTCAAGAGTGTTTGTGTCAAGACAGCGCCGGTGAATAAATAAAAGGCCTCGGATCTCTGCGAGGTGCGTCCTGAATGTCTGAGCGGACACAGAGATCGAGGATGGAGAAAGTGTTCTCTCTCTCTCTCTCTCTCTCGGATAGCAATAATGGTTAATGTTGGTATATGGTAAGATAGTTTGGTGGTTGGTTGATAGGTGGTGGGCAGGATAGAGGCGTATTCGGCAAACAAAGAAGCGACAGCTGACCAATAGGAGCAGTGATATAGCCAGAATAGTACAGACGGTAGGCTCCGAAGCAGTGGCGTTGAGTAGTCCGAGTCGAGACGAGACGAGTTTCCAGGAAAGTGAAGAGAGTATTCGAGTGGTAGCGATCGGAGGAGAGCAACAGAAAAAGGAAGGTCAGAAAGAGAAGAGAGCGATTAGAAGAGAAGAGAATGAGTGAAAAGGAAAAGGAAAAGGAAAAAAAAGGATCAAGGGCAGCACTTCTCAGACGAGTGGGAGGAGAGGGCATGTGAGAGGAGCAGCTGGGACAAAGTGTGGAGGGAGGCAGGCTTGTCTTGTCTTTGCTTTGGTATGTCGTGGCGGGTGCAAGACAGCCCAAACCCGGCAGGACAAGACAGGATGCGATGTGATGCGATGCGATGCGACCAGCCAGACAGACAGACAGACCAGGCAAAGGCAGCGAAACGAGAGAGAGTGTGTGTGCGTGCGTGTGCGTGTGCGTGTGTCCGGGTCAGGTCAGAGAGGCACGAGAAGGATCAAGGAAAAGAAGAATAAGAATAATATGAATATGTAGTAGTAATAATTAATCACACGTCCAGTGCAGGACGACGCAAAGACGCAAAGACGCAAGACGCAAAACACGCCTGTTCTTATTTGAACACACCCACTACTACAACCACCACCACCACCACCCCCCTCTCCCAACCCTCCACCAGCATCGACTTCTCAGCATCAGCATCAGCATCAGCACCACTGACCACCGACCACTGACTACTGGCCACTGACCGCCGTAATATACTGCACTGTCGCATTAGTCTGCCAGTGGTCAGGATCCTTTCTTTCGCATCTGCAGCCTCTGAATGGTGCCTTTTCATTTCAGGGTTAATACTACTAGGATGCAGCCAGCCCCGGTCTCTGTGGCGGGTACCTATTGCTTGCTCCCCCATCCCTATCTATCCCACTCCTGTCGCCATGTCAAGTCCACCACCCACACAAACTTTAAGAGAAAAAAAAAAAAAAAGAGAAACCGACCCTTACTTAAAGACTCACTCGTACTACTACTATGCATGCCCCCAATGACCATCCTGTGGCCCCATCAGCATCCTTCTGACATGCCGTTTCCACTGCTTCAAAACATTACAGCAGGTTCCGCCAGGGGCCCAGCCTCTGCGACGACCGTTTGGTCGGGGCGGGCGTGGTGGCCATGACGCTTTCTTTCGATGCGGGAATGGGAATGAATGGGCCGAGTCATCGCCATGCATGCATTGCATGCATGCCAGCCAGGTCGCCATCAGTTAATTATTTTATCTCTTAACGAGAAGGGAAGGGGGGAAAAAGCTGCTGCTGGCCGGCCACCACCGCGCATCTTGTCAAACTCATCTCATCTCATCTCCTTTCGCCTGCCTGCCTGCCTGCCTGCTTCCAGCGCGTTGGATGGCTGGTGCATTTAAAAGGAACCTACTTACTACATACTGTACTGTACAGTACAGTACCTGGCAACCCGACCTGCATGCCCAAACGATCGCGATCGTGGCTGCTTCTAGAATGCAGCTAGACACACAGACACTGACACACACACACGCACGCATGCGCGACTCCTCAAGAAGGAAGACGACTCGTCGTGCCAGATGGCAGAATCAGCCCATTACGACTGTCGCCCTGAAACAGCACTGCCGGATGGGGTCCGAATGTGTGCGTGTGTGCGTGTGCGTGTGTGCGTGTGCGTGTGTGTGTGTTCCACGTCCTGTTGGGCAGTCAAGTCAGTCAGTCAGTCAGTCAGTCAGTCAGTCAGTCAGTCAGTCAGTCACCATGGGCCGACATTCTAGCCAATTAGTGCGCCATAAGTCATGCGGTGCTGAATCCTGTTCACGAGCACGTAAGCCAGACACCCCTCGCGTCCTCCATTAGTCGTTGCGTTGTCAGTCAGGGCTGCTTGTCGTCGTCGTAGTACGGACGGACATGCGCGGGATGCCCTGATGGGATCAGATGCAGAACAACAGAATGCAGTGTGCACTTGATTATTAATGGAAGCACTTGATGAGCAGCAAGCAGCACGAGGCTCACTAGAAAGTACGAATGGCCTGTCCTGCTTACTACCTACCTTAGCGGAGATTGATGACGAGGTTTGGGAGGAGGGTAGAATAAGATGGAGACGATGGACGAGAGTTCATGTTCACATCACAATATTCATAATCACTTCTGGCTAAAAAGAGCCGCGCCTTGTAGGAAACCAGGCTGAGGCTCAAAGTGGACGCTTATTAGTACGTGAGTGAGTGGGGCCGATGTCGACTGCCATGCCGATCTCTGCGCTCAAAATAGCTTCATCTCCCAAAAAGTCATTTTGAGCCTCAAATGTCCGTTGCTATTTTCTGATTGGCCAAATATCCTGTATTTGTTCCCAGATCGTTTTTTTTGGTTCTACCTCTACGTCTGTGTGCATCACTCAATCATGATGTCTTTTTTTTCCATGAAGGCTTCTGATCTGTCCATCATCAGACCTATGATTTCGCCCTGACGCACCACCCTACCTGGGTACTGTACTGCCTGCCTGCCTGCTCACCTATGCCGGTGTGGCACGGGACACAGCATTAGCTACCTTCTGCGCTAGGTCATCTGCCTCCCCCCTCGTAGCTGCTTCCGCATACACTCGCACAGCGTCTTCCGTTCCACTGGCACGAGCAAACGACCTTCCAGCCTTGTACTTTCCACACAGCGAGTCAATAGTGGCCTGTAGACCTGCCGGCTCTAGTAGACGGCGCTCTGAATCCGTGGTCACGAACATAGAGCGAAGCAAGACGTGCACCTTCACGAGTCGGTTCGGTAAGTCAACATACGTATCCTCCCAGTCCTTAACACTCCAGCCCTTGTGCGCGAGAATCACTTCCACGAGAAGGAGATCAGAGAGTGCATCGCCAACTGCCTGGTTGATGAGGTCAGAAAGCGCCTTGAGCGTCTCGAGTGCGTTGGCTTGCGCCGGAGACTGCGGTTCATGGTTGTTGATGGCTTTGTATGCGTCATGGGAGAACACAACGGTACCGTGGCCATTCGCTTCAAAGTACACACCAACGTCAAATTGGAGCGCAGCATGATGCAGGTGCTTGACACCCGTTGCCGTGCAAACCACAGGGAGCCCCAAGTTCGACGTGACATACTGGGTCGCCGCGCCGTTCGCATAAGCTGTCTGTACAACGCCGATCTTGAGCGATTCAGCAAGACCCGACTGACGGGCAAGCTCGCCGAGGAAGGACGCTGCGAGAGTGGCAATACGGTCTCCATCCAATAGAACGAACTTGTCGTTCTCACCATTGAAGTAATATACGATACGATCAGCATCGCCATCGAGTGAAGCGCAACGCTCAAGAGGCCCTGCCTTCGAGGACGGGGGCGCACGTTGGTTTGTCTTGACATAATCTGCACCGCACTACACTGGGTTTAGCATCTTTTGGTTCTTAAGGAGGTAAGATCCTACCGAAACATTAAGGTTCTCTGGCTTCAACACATCGTCGTTGACGACCCGGATATCGATTGTGCCGTCCAAGTACTTGATCAGCTCTCGGAGCTTTGGTCCACCAACACCATTCGCGCAGTCCACCGTGACAGGACCCTGAGGCTTTTTGTGCTTGACAGCAAGCTTGAATGCATTTGCTAGCTTCTCGTAGTAACCCTTCTCGCTAATATCACCATATTCGTATTCGGTACCCTTGGTGTTCGAGCAGCGGACCAGATAGTGCAGCTGAGGGGTAGTGAGGAGCTTGTAGTCTGTATATTCGGTTCCGGTTGCTTCAAGAGCATCGACCAGGCATCCTACAAGACGAGAGCCAGATGCACGCGTATCCCTAGCATAAATGACTTTCGGAGTCTTGTTTGTTCCAAGGTCAAGATCCTGCTCAAGCTTGTTGTAGACTGCAAGAAGCTCTTTGTCGGTCTTAGCGTTCGCGAGACGCGTAGCATAAGCTTCCCAGGATGACTGCAGTCTGTGAGTGGAATTCCATCGGAGAGAGACAGCTCACGTACCTCTAGCATCTCGCCCTGTACACTTGGTCAGCTAAGGCATCCAACGATGCTCTGAATTCGCGCAGACTTACAAAAGGATCGACCAACTTCACGCCATTATCCTCTGGTGGGTTGTGACTGGCAGTGATCATAACACCAATCACCTGGCCACCGAATTTCCTCGAGCGGAGCGACGCAAGAAGGCCGACACGAAACACCACAGAGTCGAGGAGATCCCTAATTGCGGGGTTCAGCATTGGATTGCGGGGCAGAGCAGGACAACGAAAGAGTGGAATTGGGGGTAGAAGCTGTAGCCATAGGGACTCTTACGCTTTCATGCGGAACTGTCAACCAAATCGTCAGTGAAGTTGACCTCAGTCGGTGGACTTCAAACTTACACCAGCAGTACCGTACTGAAAGACGTTGCCAGGCTGCGGATGCTTCGCAGAGGCTGCAAGGATCTTGTCATTGATAGTAGCCATATTGATAAACACAATATGGAGTCAAGGTATAATTCTGCGGAGGTTCGGTGGGAGAGACAGAAAGAGAGAGAGAGAAAGTGCCGTGAACAGATAAACAAAATGAGCTTGGTGGGCAGCTGAGATGCTACGGTATGATGCGTGGGCGCGAGTTCACCTAGCAGCAAATCACTGGGTCCACGAGGGTCTATAGGGCTGAGCTAGTTAAAGCTAGCGCGTTTCCGTTTTCAATTGAAATATATTTCCGGGGTAATTTTTCACGGGGCCGCCCCCAAGCTGTCTTGTCCACGCATCACCACGTCGTCTATCCTCAACCACGCTCTCGTCATGGCAGGCGGTAGATTAGCCACGGTGCACCATCAGGTGTCTTCCGTGCTTCTAAGACCACACATACAACCATCGCTGTCTGTGCCAACACCATCTCCTCTACGAAACACGACCACAGCGATCCAATCCTCGCGACAGACACAGTCATGCTTCTCCACCAGCGCACCACGTCCAGCAAGGAAAGGGGCCGTACAACAGGTTGACCCACGTGTCAGTACGTCAATGTTCCCCCCCGGGGGAAGAACACTGTCGGGACACGGAGACAGTGACAGCTAACAACGGACAGCGAACATACGCTATCACCTCTTCCATCCACGGGTCCCCCGACCGCTCCGATTTTCACGCCTGCGCGCCCTCCGTCACTGGACCATTCATCGCGCCTGGCAGATGTTCAAAGCGAAGACGAACACACAGAGGGAGAAGGAGCTTGAGCGGCAATATCAATCGATGGCGAGGGCCTGTGAGGAGTTGCGGTTGACGGACGAGAATGGCATGCGAGTTTCTGAAGCGGATGCTAACGGGAACAAGAAAGTAGGGCGGCTCTTCAGGATAGCAATGGAGAAGAAGAGAGTCTGGGGTCCCGGGAAAGGGTTCCCGATTGAGTATGCTCGGGCGCAGACCGATTATCCGCCCCGAAATGGATGGAATCATGAGTGGACTAGGTAGAACACTAGGTCACAAGCACGATTGTAAAATACATTGTAAATATCGCTGATGGTTGCATTCAATAATTATATATAAGCGTCCGATGTTGTTTGTGTGTGCGAGGTGGGATCAACCCAATCACTCGTAATCAATACCTACTCAAAGACTTTCGAATTTTTCTTGGAGGAGCAATTCGGACAATGGTAATTACCGAAAATCCGGGATCGCTCGCTTACCGCTTCGATTATCTTGTGCAATTCTTTCCCTAGCCCCGTGATAAATGAAAGCTTTTGGGAACCCATTGCAGCCATGCAAGTGCGCCGCAAAGCAGAGCGCCGTTGGAAGCCAACCAAACCACCCCTAACACCAAGTCATGCAAGACGAAAACCACAACACAATACTCATAAGACCGTACAGCAGCCGTTACTTTCGCTCTTGTCGACAGACAGAAGTGCAGCACGAGTGGCGGCTTCAAATACGTCGTCTACCCCGTCCCCGGTAAGCGAAGAGCATTCGAGATACTTGCGTGCCCCGATAAGGTCCTTCGTATCATTTCCCGCTTTCGTGGTAGTAAAGCGAAGACTTTTCTTACGCATCTCTTCCTGTGCAAGAGGATCATCGCGTAAATCCTTCTTCAGTCCAACTAGAATTATGGGGACCCCGGGACATCTTTCACGTGCTTCTTCCGCCCACTTGGCTTTGACGTTTTCCAGAGAGTCTGGCGAGTCAACAGAAAAGCCAATGAGAATTACGTGGGCTTTGGAGTAGGCCAGCGGCCGCAGTCGCTCATAGTCTTCCTGTCCAGCAGTATCCCACAAAGCCAGCTGGACAGACTTCCCGTCCACTCTACAATCCGTGACATAGTTTTCGAACACGGTTGGTACCTAGTGCAAGTTAGAATTCCGTACAAAGCCATTGCTCAGATTCGCCCTCGACGTACATAGCGCTGGAATATTGGTCAGCTGAGTTATTGAAGGTGGCATGTCATGGCAACGAGCTTACAGTAGGAAAATAGCCCAAGGTGAATACGCTGAGCAAACTGGTTTTGCCACAAGCCCCATCGCCGATTATCACCAATTTCCTATTCCCAAGGTGTCAGCCAATAGTCCATGATTGACAATGGATATGTCGATTCGAAAGATTGAGTAAGGCGCAAGATTGAAGCTAAACATTGTATGACTAAGAAGGGGCTGCAGCTGACGTTCATTTCATACCACATCTGAACACAGGGCTACCTCATACAAGTGTCTTCGCCGCCTCGTAATATGCAGACTATCCAGTGACACCACCACGAAACATGAAGGGGCATTTGTCATGCAGTAAAGACAGTGTTGTAAGAAGAGCTCACCTTCGCATTACAGTTTCGCCTGCTTGTGCCATTTTGTAAGACGTGACTGTGAATACCCAAGAACTGCACGACGGTCAAACGGTCGCTTCTCTTGACTGACGTAAGAACCTGGTGGTTCACGTAGCCTGGCAAGTGTGGTATATCCTGCTGCTGTGCCAGTGGAAAGCTGTAGGATTGTAAGGCGTAAGGCGGAGATGCGATGCTTGGGTGCTGAATGACCGGGAGCCGTTTCGCTAGGTTTGTCTGACCAGGAATTCTTCTAATGGATTATTGGAGACGATGTTATACTGTGACCAATGTACACAGGCTAAAGTGCCTCGACGTGGTAGCTGCGAGGAGAAGAATGGCTCAGTGCTTGTCAGGTTCCTATCAGTGTTTTAGCACCCGGAACTGGGGCAGCCTTGGGTGAACGTTGCGCACTGTGCGGCTATAGTTTAGGCGATCAAAGTGAAGCGATTGTGGCAGTGGGTAGGAAGAGTTACAATAATATCGAGATGGAAACTGTGAAATCGGGTGGCAGCGATGTTGTTGGGATCCTGACGTGCAGCTAAGAGTCGCGGTGCATTCGCAATCGAGGGACTTGTAGCGTGAGCCAGCAGGTGCCGGGGACCCGCTTGCTGTAGCATCCATGGGTCAACGTAGTTTACGCCTCAGGCAGAAGGCAAAATATTACCGATGACTAAATATACATCCCCACCACGTGACGGTGCTCAAACCAATGTTCAAGCAAGCAGTGAATCTGCCAATCAACAATACTATCGCTGCTCAAGCCACTGCTTGGACTTCCTTTCGCTACTAACAGACCAAATCGAATACCCTTTGCCTCTCCCCTATCCCACTCTACCAGGACTACCGATCAGTTCAGGCATTACAGCGCCATTTCGCTTCCGTGTCAAGTACGTAAGGTATTCGGAGTTCCACCCCTCCGTTGAACATCTCTGCACCGACCGCTCGATTTCCATGCACGCGAGGGATTCAGGAATCGTTGAACAGAGCAAATACATTCCTGGATGAAACTGGGAACGATCTGCCAACTCTCATACGTATGCTGACGGGCCAAACCAAGGTTGTCTTGTCCAAAGTTCCCAGTCACGCTTACGGCAGGTCTGTACATATATATTCCAGGATCGCGACTACTGTCTCGAACAGTGACCCAAAAACATCGCGGGCTGTGAGGTGAGTACAATCGGAGAAACCTACACAGAATGGTTTCAGCCCTACGTCCAGTGCTAAACATGCGCAAACCAGGACACCAGGCCGATCCTCAATACCGGTCCTCCACCCACGCTTTGAGAAGTGATACCATCCGCAAAGATAACCCTCACAACATGGCCCAAGTCTTAAAAAGTCAATCAAACACTAGTAATGGCGTCGCTGCCGGCCCAGGTCCAGCAACGGTTGGCGGCAACAAGAAGAAGGCAAAACGCAGAGCCAAGCTGGCTGCAAAACAGCAGGCTACCGAGCAGGCGCATGCTGAGTCCATGCCATCAGACTACCCAGATCCTGATCTAGCGGAGCCTGAGCATTACGCCGAGATAGATAGCCAATACTATTCTGATGACGACGAAGCCTTGAACGGTCATGCATCAAACGCAACAGGTTCTAAAGTCAAACGTAAAACGAGGTCTAATTCTTTACATAACCATCACCACCACCATAATCACGCGCCTCCGCCTCCACCGCCGCCGTTTCCACAGACAGCGCTCAGGTCTGTCTCCCACAGCATTCACACCCGTGATAAAATATGGAACACTTCAACCCAAGAAGAACGTGAGAACATTAAGGCGTTCTGGCTGTCGCTGGGTGAGGATGAGCGCAAGTCCTTGGTTAAGATAGAGAAAGAGGCTGTCTTGAAAAAAATGAAGGAACAGCAGAAACACAGCTGTAGTTGCACGGTCTGTGGCAGAAAGCGTACAGCAATCGAAGAAGAGCTGGAAGTACTATACGATGCATACTACGAGGAATTGGAGCAGTACGCACATCTACCACATGGTTCTACCGACGGTGCACCCATGCTTCCACCAACTCGCCGGTTCGCAAACCCGCTGGCTCGACACCCTCCAGATCGTATGCCTCATCTTCAGCACGCCCATACACATTCTCATGACCGGACAGAGCTGGCAGATGATGGAAATGAGGATGAGGAAGGGGGGAAATCAGACGAGTACAGCGACGATGACGATTATGAAGGAGATGACATTAGTGAGGAGGATATTGAAGAGATTCCTCGGGGCCAGGCCGACTTCTTCAATTTTGGCAATAGTCTAACTGTGAAAGGTGGCATCCTGACTGTGGCAGACGATCTCCTCAAGAATGATGGCAAGAAGTTCATCGAAATGATGGAACAACTAGCCGAGCGCCGTATGCAGCGAGAAGAGCAGGCGCAATTCAGATCAGACCCACATTTGACCCATAGCCATAACCATGGTGATTTACCCGATGACGATGACTACGAAGACGACGAGGAAGAGTACGACGAAAGTGAAGGGGACGAATATGAGGAAGAAGAGATGGTTAGCAGTATTACCAATTGTAGTGAACGACTATTGACCCTTACTCAGGATGCGATGACCGAAGAGCAAAGAATGGAGGAAGGTCGCCGCATGTTCCAGATATTCGCTGCGCGAATGTTCGAGCAGCGAGTATTGACGGCATACCGCGAAAAAGTAGCTCGGGAGCGTCAGCAAAAGCTGCTTGAGGAACTCGAAGATGAAGAACGACAAGGTGTGCAGCGGGAAGCGAAGAAAGCCCGAGATGCGCAGAAAAAGAAAGACAAGAAGGCCCAGCAGAAACAAGCAAAGGCAGAAGAGCGAGCTCGCAAGGAGGCTGAAAAGGCTCAGGAGGAGGCTGAAGCTAGGGCATTAGAAGAGAAGAAAGCCGAGGAGCAGCGCAGGCGAAAGGAGGAGCAGCGTAAAAAGAAGGAGGCGGAGAAGAAAGCCCAGGAGGAAGAACGCGCCCGCAAGGAGCAAGAAAAACAAAGACGTGTTGTGGAGCAGAGAGAACGGCAACAAGAGGCTGAGCGGAAAGTTCAAGAGCAAAAGGCTCTAGAGAGGAGAGCCCGGGAAGATGCCAAGCGCCGCGAGAGAGAGGAACGGGAAGCAAAGGAGAAAGAAGCGAAAGAAAAGAAAGCACATGATGAAAAGTCTAGACGTGACCGCGATTCGAAATTAAAGACTGAAAAAGAGGCCAAGGATCGGGCGCGTAAGGAGGAATCAAGTATCCAACATGCACCAGCAGCACAAAGTGGCACGACGGCATCGAAGCGGAATGTACAAACAGTACCGGTGGCCTTACCTCCAGGTTTACTACCAAGACAGCCGCCTGCGATGGCATCTCCTCAAGTTCCGATTGCAACACCTGCCCTTCCTAAAGCTCCGACGCCTATCAAGCCAAGGCAGCCGTCACAACAAGGGTCTCATGGCTCTTCGCCAAAGACGCCGCATGTTTCAATCGTTCCAAGCAAGTCAACCTCACCAAGCACGATAGCAAGCACTGGTATACCCAAGCAGCTCCTCACTCGGCCTTCACAACATCACGGATCTAGTACACAGAGTACACAATCATCGTCACCTTCGCAATCACTTGGTCCACCTGGAATAAATCATCAGCATCTTAACCACGGATTCGGAGGAGCAATGCCACCGGGTTTGAATGGCTTCATCACTCCGTCTCCCCTACTACCCAACATGGGTCAACGAGGTCCTGGCCCGGGCATGCCTCCGATGTTTCCAATGCATCATCAGAATCCTATCCCATCCCAGTTTCGAGGCCTTGGGCCCCCGGGACCGGGAATGCCACCTCCACCGGGTATGGGAGGGCCAGGAATGATGCCACCGCATGGTCAAGGCTACGGACTAAACGCTCCACCTGGATTTCCTGCTCCTATCCCTGGAATCGGAATGCCGATGCCCGGTCCAGGATTTCGAGAAGGTCTACCATCCCATTCACGACAGGCTTCTGGAACAATGGACAGCTTCAATGGCGTGCCCCATGTTGATGATATCCCTCACGGTGGATACCCTCCGAATCCGATCGCGAGACCAACTCCAATTCAGCGTCCTTCGAGTGTAAAGCCCCGAGAAGATCGGCCTAACAACAGTACAGAAGTTGACGACCTAAGTAATCATCTTGGTAGCAAAGCCTTGTTGGATGATACCGATGACCCAAACGAAACCCTTGCACCGAATGATGTCGATTCACGGCGCAGTAGCATACCACAGGGAGTTTCAAGAATGCCCTTCGGAAGTGCACCAAATGGATCGATGTTTCCAGTTCCGAATAGGCCTAGAGTAGAATCTTTTGGACTTGGCGGCCCCAGCGGAGCCAGCAACATGTGGAGTACACCCACAGGTTTTGGTCCAATGTCTGCTCCTGGTCTACCTTCTGCAGGTGGATGGGGAAGTTCTCCGACAGGACGAGGGCTCCCGTTTGGCTTTGGTGCTTCGAGACCTAGTCTTCCATATGCCGTGTCGCTTCGATTGAGAGCGATACAAGCTTATAGGGATCTGAACGCGTCAAAGTCCCAATACGAGCACTGTGAGCTTAACGAAATCCTTCAACGAATCAACTCAAACCCCAATGAAGCACCGACTACTCCAAATGATCTAAAGGCTGTTCTTGAGACAGAAGGCGATAACACTAATGGAGGAGGTCTCTTCCATTTTCACCCGTCTGGCTCACGTCTATTCGTCACGTTCGAAGAGGGGCTTGATCTCGCAAGGAAGTCTGGAGTAGGGGAGATTGGTAGCCCTATCCAAGGCCACAGCATCCCCCACAACCCATTCAACGTGCCTATTGGTAACCGGCCGTTCCCCAACCTAGGCCCCTCATGAAGGCTATCATCACAATCCGTTTAGACTTCGTAACTCTTTCGCTGTATCTGATATTACTGTAAGGTGTTCTGCTTCGGCTTCACATGCGCCGATGAAGGCGCATCCCGGATCATGCTACCTTAGACACTTTGCCACGATCACTTGAGGCTCTGGGCTTGACGGGCAGGAGCGCCATATCGCTTCACGTCAAAGCTAGCTACTACTCTTTTGGGCTGCTCCTCTCGAAAGCGAGAGGAACTAGTATAATTGCCTAGGGCATGAATGAGAATAAATTCTCCATATGTACTTGTGTGTGTTCGTGATGTCAAAGTGCCAGCAGTCCTGTCGTTTGTTTCACTTCTTCTCCTCACTATATTCAAAAGGCCATCGCTGCGACTTTTTACATGATGGCGGACCGCTCGTGCCAGATCCAGGAGGTCCAATCTTGTTGGATCGGCCTATCTGGTATTGGCTACAAAGGCAGACGCTTTGTGATATAAAGAAAACTCAGCTGAATCCACATGCCTATCGTAAGACTGACCTTCATCCCTCGACTCCTCCCTGCTACCGACTAATCAATGTCTCACGTCGGATCTTCAAAAGAGAAGAGTAAATAGAAAGTAGACAGGTATTTCTAACGCTCACTGTAACTACTTATAGATCAAACGTGTAGCACCACATGAATCAATGCACCGAGTCAATACGCGACTGGGACAAAACCTCAACCAATCCCCTGAGCCGCCTGCTACCGTTCTCCCAATCAACTCTACAGTCCTCTTCATCCGACTCCACTTCCGCGTATACCCCTCCTGGAGTATCAGCACCGCCTCTGACTCTGAGTTCTTCTTACTCGTCTCCACAGTCCATCTCATGGAACAGCCGATGGAGCCAGCGTCATCGAAGCGGAAGGTTTGGCAATTTCGCGCAGATTTTCGGAGTTCATGTCGATGATGTACATCAGTGTGGTTTGGCCTGGGAGGGCGTGTACACACCGTTGTGGTGAGTCCTTAGGAACGACTCGACACGCAGTACCCGGTGCGTGTATCTGAATCACAGAGGTTTCTTACGGGCAGCGGCTCGAGGCAATTGAACACGCTATGTAGCAAGAATACGATTAATTGAAATCACCGTGGAATATAATGTTTCACCCCTTCCGTGCCGGTGCGCGCTTTCTAAGAGTGTTTACATGTTCAAACTTGGTACACCGGCTGGAGTCCCCTCAACAACTGCTGTCCATAAACCGAAAGAGCAGGATGCGAACACCTGTACAGCCATTACCCACTCGAGAAGACACCGGCAGCGACAGAAGCCACGCAGCCGCACTGCTTTGGAGAGCTGATACAACGTCGTCGGTGCGGCGAAGTGCCTCATTGTAGCTCTCGACAAAGGGGACACGTGTTGAATGAGCCCAAAATCCCGCAATGTACCGTGAAGCCGCGGCACTGAAACTGATGTTGGCGATCGAAAGCAGTAGCTGTGGTGAAGACAACGACAGGCTATTCGCAGTTGTGCCTGAGTATATCAAGTACACTGAGGAGATCAGGGATATAAGGCCCTTCGTAAATGAGTCAATCTGAGAGCTTGGATTCTTGGAATGGGGTTAACTGAGCTCACCGTGACGACACCACTTGCCTGTGTTGTCCGAATCTTGCGTAGTTGGTCGGCGACAGTTTCGGAGTACTTGGCAGCTTTCTCTGTCTCTTTCTCGTGTACCCTCAGGTTCATGATAGCGACATAGGAGCTGCGCAGAATCCGCGAGCTGATGTAAGCTTGGTAGCCATGAGCGCCTTTGAGGTATGCCCAGAGCAGGTATGAAATCGCTGTCGTCGCGGAAGGGGTCATATTTGCTGCTGATGAACTTATTTTCGGCGTTGGCAAAAAATGCTGTCGATGCTTGAGAGTTATCGCTTTCATGGTATAAGCAGGGCAGTCATTAGCTTGTATATGACGTCATAGTGTGAGCTGAAGCCACCAGCAGCCAACCTGGAGTACAAAGCCAATTCATTGAAAGTGCTTGTAGTATTAGCAACTACAGCTCGGTGTTCCGGCTGGAATATGAAGTCTCCAACGTGCATCTGGGTGGTGTCAGACTCTTTTCGTTAGGTTTAATCTCAAATACAGGCTGCGCGTGGGGCTTGTTGGCTGTTATAACGAGATATAGCACTAAAGCTGGTAGCAGTATCAGCAGTAGTATCTATATTTCAAATCCCATCGCACTTTAACGATAAAAATGGCATTTGCGCATACTTTTATGGCACTGAATGTGTCACGTGCACCTCCTGGTATGCTGCCGAAGACTTCACTACTGGGCCCGAGCTTATGGTTCGGGATTGCTAGCGGCCGCCTTAAGCGAGCGCCACACTAAGTGGGGCCCCAGCCTCCCGTATCCTGGCCAGCCCCTCAAACGACATGGATGGCAACAGGGCAACATCGTGATACCAGCCTCCCCGCCACATATCAACACCAGCTTCATTTCGCAATTCCAGCCACGCACCATGGCGGGGAAGTCATCTAATTTCTCATGCATAGATTGATCTCTCCCCGCTTTCTTCCTTCCATTGCCAACGCATTCAGCACCGTCCATACCGACACCGACTTCATCCTGCATCCCTGCAACCATCTTCGAGAAATCTCACGATAGCAGGCCCGGCGAGCTTCATAACATCTCGGCTCTGATCTGGTTTTCGGACTCAAGGGCCTCGTGCTCTGCTTCTTTCCAGTCACCACGACCTTCATCAAATCTTCGAGATGCGCCCCTCTGCTATCCTCCTCTCCTTCCTCTCTCCAACCGTCACTCTCGCCCTCCCACTTGACGCACCAATATTACAACATATCCGCAACGTAAAGACCTTCGCAATTGTGAACGTTGACGGCGGCTATGCTCCCACCTTTGCCAATGCAGCACCTCCTGCTCCTCCTGTGACTGTTGTTCAGACAATCACATTCGATGTTCCAGTCGTACCTCCTGCAACGGACATCGTAGAACAAACAGTGGTGCACACAGATACCACGACAAGCGAGAAGATAGCTGTAGCCACACTTGTGCCATCGACACCTACACCTACACCTACACCAACACCAACACCAACCCCGACCCCTACGCCTACGCCTTTAAGCGCACCGTCCCCTTCAAGGAGCAGGAGCAGTAGTCCCGTCAAAGCGCCCTCAAGCTCAGTCGCTCCACCACCACCGCCACCACGCCCAACAACGCCGACCACGACTCCCACACCCTCACCAGTCCCTCCTCCGGCTAAAACCACGACGAAAGTCAAAACCAAAGTCCACACCGAAGACGTCTCCGCCTCTCCTGCAGCCGAAACGACCGTGTACTATGACGACGGAGTATGGAAGACCCTTTACCCGATATACTCCTCCTCTGCCGTGGATGCACCTAGTCCTGCCAAACAGACATCGCTCCACAGTGCTGCCACGCCCACGCCTGTGCCTAGTGCTGCCGAACCCGATGAAGAAACGAACGAGGGAAACCCGGAATCTGACCCGGTCGTTAATCAGCCGGAGCCTGAGACGGAGCCAGTGCCTGAGCCTGAGCCCGAGGAGCCTGAACCGGAGGAGCCCAAGCCAGAGCCTGAACACGAGAAGCCAGAGCCGGTCGAGCCGGAGACTGAGCAATCAGAGACTGAGCAGCCAGAATCCGAACAGCCGGAGCCTGAGCAGCCCGAATCCCAGGAGCCTGCACCTGAACCCCTGGACGAGCCATCAGAGACCCCAGTCCCCGCTGCCACCACCACCACCACCAAAAAGCCCACACCCAAACCAACCGAAGAAGCACAGGCCGACACTGTGGATGTAGATTCAGCAGCGAAAATTGCCGCGCGGTCGAGCTCGATACCTGCTATGCCTGTGCCGACCCCGTGCGAAACTGGTGGCAAATAAAGAGTACAGTTTTGCATTTAGCTGCAGCATCTCCTCTGGATGATTCGATTCGAGTATGTGTGTTTAGATACGAAGGTATTTCGATGCTGGTCTCATGCGACATGTATAGTATATAATGAGTCAATTTGCGATGGCGCTGGTTGGATGCTACTCTTGGTTCTGGGAGAGGCGATAGATGGACAAACAGGACTAGATATGGGAGCATTGGGTAAGGTTTTATAGCGCGGAGCTTCAGCAGGGTTATCTTGCTACGAAAGTTATGCTAGTAATGCAAGTCCATGAATGAGAATGAAAAACTGCTTACAAACAATGTCCTTCATCTCTCCTACTCCTAGTTAAATAACAGATGCGGATATCACTGAGCCTCACCAGCCTTGGCTGTCGCAGCCTCAAGTGCCTTTTCAAATGCGACATGAAAGTCCCACACATCGCGATGGTTGTTGTACAGCGGCGCCGGTGCCACACGCACAACATCCGGCTGACGCTCGTCCACCACCACACCCTCTGCCTCTAGCACCTCCATCACCGTGTCCAAGAAACCTGGCTTGACCTTGACACTGATCTGCGCACCTCTCTCTGCAGGGTTCATCGGTGTGATGATCTCATACGCATTAGCATCACTTCGATCCGTTCGACACGGTCGGTGCACGAGTAAGTCTTCGAGAAATTTGGTGACCTTCAGCGATTTGGAACGCAGTTCCGGCATACTTGTCTCGTTGAAGACGGATAGCGATGCCATGACAGAAGATATGTCGAGTGCAGATGGATTGGATAACTGATACCCAGCAGCTCCTGCACGGGGGTGGAACTGCGGCTCCATGCGAAACCGTGTTGATTTCTCGTTTCCCCACCAGCCACTCAGTCTCGGTCTGTATTCCAATTCTGGAATTTGCTCGCCGTCTTTAATGACAGCGGGAAGTTCCGCGCCACCATCGGTCTGCCTCTTAGGTGTCACGATCCCGTGTTTCTCGTGCACGAATAGCCCTCCAATAGCACCGGGTCCGGAGTTTAGGTACTTGTAGTTACACCACACAGCGAAGTCGACGTCCCAGTCATGTAACTGCAGGGGCACATTTCCCGCCGCATGTGCCAGGTCCCAGCCGATTACCAGGCCTAGCGAGTGTGCGTGGGCGGTAATCGTGGCAATATCGAAGAGTTGACCGCTGTAGTATTGGATACCAGGGAGGAGGACGAGTGCTGTGGAGGCGGCATGTTCAGATATGATTGCGCATATATGGTCTGTTGGAAGGTAGGGGGATTTGTCATCTGGAGGGGTGATGCATATAAGAGCGGAGGGGGGAAGACCGTGGTGCTCGAGTTGGGAGATTGCTGCGTACTGGAGGAGATGTCAGAAATGGATAGGGGCTACACAGGTGTACTGACGTGATCGCTAGGGAAAGCTTTTCCCTCGATGATGATCTTGTATCTTTCCTTAGTTGGCTTATAGAAGCTAGCCATAGCCAAATGCAGATTCGCTGTCAATGTTTCCATGATGGCAACCTCTGTAGGCAATGCACCAAATAAGGGTGTAGCCGCGTTTTTGACAGCATCATCCATGTGTACCCATGGTGGTAGAAAGCTGTTCTTGAGCTGTTTAAAGTGACCAAAAACACCTTGCTGGCTCCACGAGTCCAAGAATTGATGAATATATTTGCGCGCCCGTTTGGGCTGGACGCCGAGCGAGTTTCCGCATAGGTATGTACATTGCGTGTCACTATCGGTGCTTGCGACGCCGGTGTTTTCTAAGTTGTGTCGCGTTGGAATGATAAATTCATCGCGGAGGTGACGGAGCGGGTCGGCAGCGTCTTGCTCGTCAGCGTAGGTCTGGGTGAGATGATCTAAAGCCATGGTGGTTAGAATGAGCGACTGAACCTAATGAGAAGAAGCGAAAAATGAGAATAGAAGTGAATTGGACACATACCTGTAGAAAGAGCGGCGCAGTGAAGTAAGTGACTAATTCTTTCCAGAGCGGCATCTTGGACCCGGGAACCTTGGAAGTGGGTGAGTGCTTAGTCATTAACTGAGTCCCCCGCGCCTTAATCGGGCTACCGTATAATTGACTATTAACATATGACAATAGGAAGCGTCCGCTGTGTTACCGACGGTCGTCTGGTCTCAATAATGACTTGAACTTGATTGTTCCAAGGTTGTGCATTATGACCTTTCAATGCTTCCTTGTCCTAGCTATTGTTCGTTCCATGGTTGATTGACGAGTGTGGGTCCCATACAAGCCTAACAACCTTCAGAGCGCCGTTGGCCAATTCTTATAAAGAGAGCACCTTGCCGTGCTGATCAAGTCCTATCACCATATTACCTTAACATAACTACTGCTGCCACCACAACTACAACCTACAAAACGACAACCTACACAAACATCTTAACATCCAAGCTTCTCTCCTCTACCATAAATTCCTATATCCAGACATTGTGATGTCGAACTTCAACCTCGCCGTCCGGACGAGTCGCCGCCTCTCCCGCACCTTCTGCGTATCACCATTAGAGAAGTCTGTGGCATACAAAACCCGCGCATCTCAACGCATCGCATACAATCCCTACAACCCATACTTTGAAGCACATCCGCCCTCCGTCCTCACCGCCCCCGCCTCCGTGCAAAAGCGCACATACACCACCCCGTCTCGCCGCGCAAGCATCGCCAGCATTTCTAGCATCTCTAGCATCTCCGGCCAAAATGCGTCCTCGACTTCAAGCACACGCAGACCACACCTCCGCCACCTGAGCGCCGCAGCTCGCCGTCTCGAAGCCGTCAGCGAGCGGAAAGCCGACTCGACCATGTCTCCTCCATCAGCGATCCCGCGCCTGCATCCCGCGCGCCCCATCTCCGGCCCGGGCCTCAACACCTCTGCTTCCATCACCATCACGCCGCGCGCTGCAGACAGGCTCGCTGCCATTGCCGCAAAGGACGGCAATCCCAATAGCGCGCTGCGCATCACTATCGAGAGCGGAGGTTGCCATGGCTTCCAGTATCTGATGGACCTCACTACGATTGGAGCCAAGGGCAAGAGCTCTGTGGATGTTGGTGACGAGGAGTACGATACGGTTTTCGAGGGACCCAAGGGTGCCAAGGTTGTTATGGATGAGGCTAGCTTGGGACTGCTGAGTGGGAGCACGGTGGACTATACGATGGAGCTCATTGGAAGCCAATTCAAGGTCACCGGAATCCCGGGAGCGTCGAGTAGCTGTGGATGCGGAACGAGCTTTGATATCAAGGAATGAAGAAGCACACAGGCATAGAATATTCATTGGCATCGCATGTCGGAAATTGAATATTAGGTGTTTTGAGGGGTCCAGGGAGTCATACAAAAAATGTACCAGGAGGAAGGCGTGAGGCTTTTGTACACTCATAGCGCCTTGCATCACACACTATATCATCGGAGCACAGCTAGGTACACATGTACAACACCGAAATTTTACTCATCACTTATGCAATGTAATGTACCCCAATCAATTTTACATGTTGCGGGTATGAATATTAATCTATTGACCCTTTCCACCGTGTTCCATTTACTTTTGCTACTGTAGAACCGCGCAACGCTATCTGTACAGTACCATTGCCCAAAACCCTCCCTTCGTCCCGCCTTTCACTTCGCCTCCGTCACCACGCCCTCGTATTCGCGACTTCTAATATACTCAAGCGTCCGCAAGAAGTGTCTCCTTGGATTTTCCAGACTTGACGTTGCCTCGTTCATGTTTAGATTGGAATGGATCAACTCAATCAGGCCGTTGAGGTATTTCGTCGTGACCTAGCCAAGAATATTAGCCAAACCTCCTCTCTCAATAGTAGGGTGCTGACTTACCGCATCGTTCTCTTGATCAAAATAGTACACATAGCGATTCAAAATCTCCACAAACAGCTCCACACTAACCGCTGTATCCATGCACGCATCAGCTACTCTAAGCGCTCGCTGCAAACACTCCAGCACTCTCTTTCCATCGCGATATAAGCTCTTTAGGTCCTCCTCGCCCTTCGCGCGTATCTCAGTCGCCCACCACAGATGACTCGCAAGATAGACCGCGCGACACTGATCAGGCTTCTTGAGCAATTTACTACCATGCAATGCACACTTCGTAATCAGCGTATCGTAGTTTTCCTTGCTGAAGTTGCGTGTCGAGTGCAGCCCGCCAGCAACAACACATACCGCTTGAAACTGCGCGCGCGAGTCGCTGATGGCTTCCTCATAGATTGTGAACGCCTGGGCGAAGAACTCGTACGCAACTTCTTCGAAGCCTGTCTGGTCGGCAACTTGGCCGCAGCCGACGAACAGGCGTAGGGACAGCTCGGCAGCGCCACCAACGCGCGCATACAATGTAGAGAGCAGCGAATGCATAAATTTGTAAAGTGACGAAGATTGGCTGGACCAGTTGTCGTCGTAGTGCTCGCGGGCTTTGAAGCAGCGCGCGAGTTTTATCGAGGCGGTCAGGAGGGCGGGACTGGTGAAGCGCACGCGTTCGTTACCTTCAGCGAAGGCTTTGCGGGTGCTTTGAATTAACTGGGACTGCTGTGAGTATAGAATGAACTGGGAGAACGAGCTCTGACATACTTTGAATTGAGTGTCGTTGTCTTCACCTTGGATGAGATGCACTATCCGCGACAACCAGCCCTGTTCTTCTATTGTCTCTTCTGTCTCCATGGCTTTTCGTTGGACAGGTCCCCCAGGGTAGCCTTGCGGCTGTTGAATGCCCTCTTTGATCAGTACCTTTAATATGTCCATCACGCTGTCCAGATTCTCCACCGTGGTAATCTTCGTCTGATTCCGGAGAAGACTCCGTGCCACTTCTCCAGCAACTGCTCTTCTAGTAGGATAGGGCTGTAAATAAAGAAGAGGAGCAAAGCTGGGTAGTGCAAGTGCGGTAAATAAGGATATATAAGCTTTTATGGGCGACAGCAGTAAGCTCAAGATGTTCTGCTGCGAGCCTTGCGAGTGGAGGTCTGCGCTGTTCGCGAACTGTGTGACCTTCTCGATGGCAAAAGACAAGACTTGATCAACGTAATCTAGTCTTTCTGGGTATATGTTCCTGTCAAAGTCAGCCAGTGCTCATAGTCATGATGAGAACAACTTACAAAGCCAAACCGGCTAACGATACCAACATTGCGATTGTATCTTGAATGGGCAGTCTTTGCAGTCTGACCAAACTGGTAACCTGTTCATAGAATATCTCAAACAACTTGACGCTGCTGGGGATGCCACGAGTCTTCTCGTCCGGTTCGGTTTCTGATGTTCCGGGTTCCGTCGATTGACCTGGTTCCGCATCCTCATTTGTAGTGGCAGGATCTGCGTCTGCAGCTGGTTGCTCGCCTTCTGTAGTGTCTCCATTATGTTGCTTCGGTGACTCGATCGATTTCTTCTCTTTAGCAATCCGTAAATTCTCAAACAGCTTCGCCGTCGCCTCTTCCTCAGTCTTCTTTCGTTCTTCAGGCGACTCAGACTCAGCTTCTCGCGCCGCATAGGCAGACAAACGATCCATCAGCCCTATTACAATTGCCTTGATGTTGACATTCGGATTCAGGCGCGCTGTGGCAGACAGGAATTGATCCAGGGTGTGGAGGTGGAACTCGTCCGGGAAGACCTGTGTGATGACTACTCCGTATTAGCACTCTTTTCCGGGATACGGTGTGCTGTCTGACCTTCTAGTAGATACTCCTGGGCAAGTACGTCCCGGCACTGAACGACCTGTTCCAGTAAAGGATTCAAGATCTTTTTGTAGTTCTCTAGATCCACCAATTGGCTTAACCTGACTAGGTTGCTGCCGACCAGCAGTTGCAGCTCTTGCCTCTCTTTCGTCCGTTGTTCACGTTCTCTGGAGTGCCCTTGGTGCTGCAATCGGACCCACAGCTTGTTCATTTCCACGAAGTTGGTCAGAATAAAGCTAATGGAGTCCTGGAGGTTGCCCTCTGGCCCATCACCAGTTCCTTGTGGCAAACAGTCTCTTGCTTGCCCAGAGAGATAATATCGCAAAAACAGACCCCTGATGGGATGCTGCACACCCCTACTCATCTCCATCATGTCCTTCATGATCTCTTTCACTGGCGCATCTTCAATTGCCATGTAGACAGTGCCCACCGTAACCATGAGGTACAACCGAGGGATGATATTTCCAGCATACTGCACAAGCTCATATAGATCGGCGAGGTGATTGACAGGATGATTATCGCGTAGGTAGACAGAGAGGTGCCGCAGCGCATCGAATACCGACATATATAACTCGTAATACTGCTTTGGCCCCAAGCTGCTTGTCCGGAGCTCCGATACGAGGGTTGAGCTGCAGAGTCTTTAGCATACACTAGGTCCTCATATATGCTTATGCGTATGCTTATGCGTATGCTCATTGCGAACCTACCTGCACTTCAGGGCATCCATGAGCTTCCCCGGAGTCTCTAGGCACCTGCGCATGAGCATAGTCTGCTGTCGCACGACGCTCAGCGCATCTTCCAGTAGCCGAGCCTGATCTTCCTGAGCCGGCGGTGACGACATGGTGCAGGACTGGGGAGAATCGAGGGACGACTGCTTGAATTAGACCGTTCAAGCTGGCAAGGCGTTAGATATACTAAGGAAGCAGGAACAGGCGTTACGTTAGGCGCGGCCTCATAGCTGTGGCTGAAGCAAAACGTGGCTTTGCTGTCTGAGCTCGTTCTAGTGCAGACCCACTGAGATAATGTAAATTCTCTCCATGTGATTGTTACAGCTCGCATACATTCTAATTCGTATCAATCAGCATGGCGCCGAAACCTTCTAAGCGGGCCGCCAAATCTGGCGGTACTAATACTGCGAAAAAGGTCAAAGGACCCCCCGAGCCGTTCGAGTCTGCACCAGACGCCATGGTACCCTTCCTCTCGCTCCTGAATCCAGAGTACGTATATATCACGCACGTTGACGACCACCCGACATTCTTCAAGAAGCAAATCTTTGCCGTCCCGGTCATTATGAACTTGTCAATCGCTATAGGTCTCTTGTATAGGCTTTATGTACAGCTGCCCTGGTACTGGTCACTCCTCCTGACAGTATGGGGCTACGAGACGTCGACGACTGTTGACAAGAGCAAGCATACGACAAAAGAACTGGTATGGATCATGCTGGGCCGCTCAGCGCATTTCATGATTGATTTCCTCCTCATGCGATTCATCGTACCTTGGCCCGTAAGCTTCTTCACGGAAGATGGTGGAAACCCGACGGAATGGAGACTCGCAATTGGGTTCAAGGACAAGGAGATCTATGTTCGCAGAAGCAGAAGCTTCAAGGCGAAGGACATTCTGGAGGCTGAGACGCAGGGCCGCGAGAACCCGTTCTTCAAGGTTCGCATTATACCTGCGGTGGATACTAAGATTGTGCGAGATAAGACTGGCTATGCGACGATGGGCAGTGATTACGACCTGGACTTCGGTGTGATGGTGGCTGCCGAGAGACTCATAGAGAAAAAGACCTGCCCACGGGTCTTGTTCGAGAGGACTGTCTGGATTCACTGTGGAGAGACTCACGGCTGGTGTAGATGGGATGTGGACGGCGAAGAGGCGGAAATAGACGACGAAGAGTTTCTGATGTCTCTTGCGCGAGAAGCAGCTAAGGAAAGAGGAGAGTGATCAAAGCCACGATGGCCACACTACCATGATCGATATATCAGCACCTAAATCAATCTTGTCTATGGACGCCTCTACGCCAAAAGACCCCCTTCCCTGTTCCAATCCTATCTATCCTTCTCCCCAATCTCAAAATCTCCTAAGAACCTCCACCTCACCTTCTCACCCCATCCCCTTCCCCTCCACCCATTCATCGTCTTCGGCAAATACTCCAACACCTCCAGCAAACTCTCATCATGCGCCAAACACACGAATATGTCTCTACACGCATCAAACTCCTCCGTACCCTCCAAGCTCCACTCCGCAACCCCAATATCACTCGGAAAACTCTCCGTCATCCGATAAAATGGCTTGACACCACTCTTCTCCGGATGCCCATCCACATACTCGCTCCCCGGACACACACTCCGTAGGCGAGGCACCATCCCCGGCGTCACCTCCCTAGGCAACGGCACATACTCCGTCGGCCTCATCTCCCCACCATGATGACACACATCGCCGCCCAGAAACACAAACGTCCCCGGCGTCGTCCTCGCTAATCCACACATATGCCCCACCGCATGCCCCGGCGCATGCAGCAGATAAAAGCTCCCATCGCCATACCAATCCACCGCCTCAAAACGACCCACGCGCAGCTGCGCCCCCGAGCGAAAATCCACCTCCCGCAGCTCGCGCCCCTCCCAGCTACGAGCCAGCACCCGACTGCTCTCATCCGCCGGATATCCCGGCAGAAAGGCCTCGCGGAACCCCGGTCCCACGACTAGCGCTGTGCGCGCGGGAAATTGCCATGGCGCCCCGACGTGGTCCCAGTGTGCGTGCGACCAGATGACCTCGTGCACGCTGTCCAGGTCGATGCCTCTGTCTTCAGTGAGTATACGTGCTATGTCGCGGCCTGGCGTGACTTCCCAGCCGTTGTTCGCGATGCTGGTTTGGATGCCGGGCGGGTACTGTGTCAGTGTGCTGAGGATGCCGAGGTCGAAGACGCTGCGCCGACCGCTGGGGTGCGTGATGAGAAAGGAGAATGCAGGGCCGGAGAGGCGGGTTTTGTCGGCGATGTTTGGCGTCAGAAACGGGTCGATGGGGAGGGAGAAGCGGGCGCCGCTGGAGAGCTGTTAATGTACGACGTGTAGGTGAAGAGGATGTGAAGCACGTACGAGTCAATGGCGCATATCTCGACTGTGGCCTCTGATTTTGGTATCTTAAGGTCTGGGGCGGGGATAGGGGGCACAAGGGGTTCATAGTCCATTTTGATACGCGTCGGAAGGATCTCGTAAGGATGGATAACAGATCTTAAAACTCTGCATCAATATTGCAATCTTTAAAAGCAGAGATATCAGACTCTGGGCATAGCTCATCCGCGCCGAAAACGAGGATTATCTACACACGACGTCATCGCGAGCTTAAGCGCGGAGCCGGTAGCCCCACATGTGCGATTCCACATTCTGATTGTCGAGGTAGAGCAGATGGTGACTGTCTTCGACCGGTATATCGTTCTTCTGGTGATGGGTTTCTTGATCCTGGGAGTGGATCGCGTATTTTTATATGCACCAGATACACTGATGGATTGCAAACTGTACAATGTTGCGACTAAGATTGAACTCACATTGCCTAGTACTTGCTTTTTGTGTTCCACATAGGTGTCAATTCTACGTTTACGTCGTGTATTCATGACTATCTATCGATTCTGCTCATGTGCTCATTCAAATGAAATAATCCACTCCTATCCAAGTCTAACCATAATGATACACCGATCTCTACACCTATATCAGCCTCTATAGCTTCGCACCTCCCTTATTCTTCATCATCTCTTTCTTCTTTGTCTCCTCCTCAAACCGCTCAAACTGGTACTTCTGCCCACCCAACATCAACTCCCGCACTTTCTCGTCCGTCAGCTCCGCCGGCGCCAGCGCCTTCACATCCATCTCCGTCTCCGCCAACGTCTTCGGCGCAATCGAACGTGCCTTGCTCACCACCTCCGCCGGCCGCTCCACCACATTCTTGCAGAACGCCGCGTATTTGTCCAGACACACGTCGCTCGCAGGCAGACTGTCTAGAAGCATGCTGAACACATGCGGCATCTTCGCGAAGAAGTCGACGTCCACAACCGCACCCTGCCGTGCCGCACGCTGTGCCACAACCAGCGCTTCATCGAGCATCATCTCCTCGCCAAGGGAGAAATACATCGGCGGCGCATGTGCCCACGACTTCTGTGCGAGCGGCGATGTGAGTGGGTGCAGCAAGGCGTTGCCTTCACAGTACAGCGTCACGCGCGGCGGGTCAGCAGGCCACACGGAACACGGCGGCGTGGCCTCTGTCTGTGAACGCTCCTTGTCGGGCGGCGGGAGGTAGTCGATGGCAAGGTTGCCCATGATTGAGGGCATGCTGCGACTCATGTCGAGCCAGGGCGAGCGTACGGCACAGCCGGCGGGGAGGGGGACATCGACTGTCTGGCCGTTGAAGACGACGGTCGGGCACGTGGACGGGGAGTTCTGGTGAAGGTGCGTGACGACGATGAGGAGGACGACAGCGAGATTGCCACCGGCGGAGTCGCCGGCGAACACAATGTCTTGCGCGCGGACGGGCTTGTGGTGGGAGCCGGGAGGCGGGTATAGGAGAGCGAGATAGGCCATGAGTGCGTCGAGGACAGCAGCAGGAAAGGGGTTCTGAGGCGCAAGGCGATAGCGGACGTTGAAGACGCGGCCACCGGTAGACTTCCCCATTCTGCTGGCAAAGTCACGATAGAGACATGGGTCCATGAGGTAGTGTGCACCGCCGTGCAAATAGAGGAGAGTCGTTGGACTAGTCGTTTCTTCCATCATGCGATCGTACTTTTCCGCCTCGCTGATGGGGAGTTCGGGGGCGTTAGGCTTTGCGTTTGCTCTGTAGCCGGTCCATTCTGCTTCGAGAGGCTGTGGAGGCGGTTGTTTGTATGTGATTTCACCTTCCTTCAACTCCTCGATGATCTGAAAAAGAAGCTGGCGCGCATCGTCTTCGAGTGGCGCGGGCATTGTGACCTTGGACACCCACATATTTCCTTTGATTCCAGGGTCTTTCATTGCTCCCTTCTGCTGCTTCGTGATGGTGGTAGGAGGGCCATTGAGGAGGATGTCACGGAGGATCTTTATCGTAAGCTCACTTCGCAAGTTCCACAACGAGGACGTGTCCGACATCCATAGCGAGTGTGCAGCTATAGTCTTGAAGATGAATGGTATGCGAGGGACCAGAAGCTTCAGGATTGCAGCCGTCGGTCCGTCCATCTCGTCGAATGTCGTGCAATTAGTCTGACAAATGGATGAGTTTGAAAAAGGAGGGAAGAGGAGGGTGGTGGTAGTGAGGTACGAGGCAATATATTCGACGACATCAGCAGACACTCTGAATCGCGGACCTTCACTCAGACGCTACTTAGTGCTGTTACACTTCTACGCCTCGGCATTGCGGGTCGAATGTGGTCCGGGCGCCCGTTCGGACGCTTCGACCGAGTTGATCTAAATCGGATCCCCGTATTTAGCATCTCAAGCCTAACCAGAATTGGCTGATTAAAAGACAAAAATACCTGTGACAGGTCTAAAGGCCTTCGAGAAGATTTGGTATCAAGCATACGCGAATAGATATGCAACGTAAAATGCTACATTTGTTATGCTCATAGTACTGTGTTCGCTTGATTCATATCCTGACCTATCTCAGCACCCTTGCTCCTCAATAACCCTCAAAACAACGAATTGGTATCAACCTGAACACAAAGGAACCTGGCCTTATGAGACCATTCTTGCTTGACGCCTCCTCCACACACAGGCGCTTTGATCAATCCACCTTTTCCGTACCCTTCGAAGATATCGTCCACTTGTGCTAGTGCCGTGTCGCTGCCTTCAATGTCAGGTTCCAGCATGAAGTCGATGGCTGAGCCTATTTGTCCTATGAAACCGCCGATCTCGTGAATGCTTTGAACTCTGCCGTCTTCCTCGACAATGATTTTCGCTACTGGTCGAGAGCGAGCCTCATCGATACGATCTTGCGCTGTTCGGCGTACTGTCATTAAAGAGCGTAAACCTGCTATTGCAGATGTGCGCTTTGACGTGCGGTGGATCAGGTGGTCGTCAGAATTGAGTATCGCTTGGGCAGCGGGGCGGCAGACGCTTTGAAGAAGACCGTTGTGGTCATTTATACATCTGATTTGGTGGAGACTAGGAAAGTTCCCTGCTGCTATCGAGTCGAAAAGAAAGTCATGCGTTGGACTCAGGGTGAGAACATCCCAGTGCAGATATTCCAGAGTCGGAGAGCCGAGTAACAGGACTTCAATCGCAGGATCAAGAGGACAAGCCGGCGGAGGGTCCTGCTGTAACGAGAAGCGCTTCAAGTCCAGTCGCTCAAGCACGTCGCTCACGGTTCCTATATTCTTTATATCCAGATTGATAAGCGTCAGGTTCCTCACAGCTTTTGCAGCCGCCGAGCCCGCAAATCGGGCGACTCCCTTGTCCGAGACCCCGGGAAGCCTCTCTAGACGAAGCGAAGTGACTGCGGGTAAAGCGGCCATTGTACGGTCATGAAAGTCCTGAGCAGCAAAATTCGCGATCACGAGTCGCTTGAGCCTTGGCAGTTTACGGAAGGTGCCTACAAAGGCCCTGTAGTCGACACAACCTTCCGTTCCGGGCCCTTGTAACACTAGCGACGTCAAAGAGGCGCTCCATAGATCGCTGTGGTTGAGGAAATTGTCGTCGACTCGTCGGATAGAAGGTGCTGGAGCGGAGAGGCGCCAAATTCTTTCGGTGAGTTGGGATCTGCTCGCGAGAGCTTGAGAAAGGCGATCGAAGGTTTGGTCGTATTCGAGGTAGAAGCCTTCCAGTCTATTTAGATTCGGACAAGCCATTACTAACGATGCGAATGCGTCGATGATATGAGTCTTATCATTGAGTGAGGCGCGATGGTAGAATTCCATTACATCGGCATCAATTCGTAAAACCCGAACGTGTTTTGCGAGATCTGATCTTGATCGGAGCTTGCTTCGAAGTAGCTTTAGCCGACTGGTAGATTTGCTCTTGAGGATCTTGTTCTCTGAAGTAATGTGACTCTTGGATATATAAAGCACTTCGAACCTACGCACAGGTTAGTCACTACTAACAGAAGTACAGTCAAAAGGCTTGGGGAAAAAGGAGAAAAGACTAGGTAGAACGAACATGTGCTTCTCGGCTAGTCGCTGCCATGCTCGACTCGTTCGCGACAGACTCCTCAAGTCTCGAAGGTAGCATTCCACACAGCCTGCCTTGTTCTTACCAAAATGAACTATCCGCAACTGGTTAAGGATGTTGTCGTAGATCTGTTCAGGTAGAGTACGGAAGAACCGTGCGGGGAGGAAATGATCTCGGTACTCCAACAATCCTTCCAAGATGGTGGACCTGCGGGTCTGAGCTAGGTCGAGACGTGACTTGGATGAAGCGAAAGATTTTACCGAGCTACCTGAAAGAGAGAGTGACGAGAAAGTCGTTTCCAGAGAAGACAATGAAGTACGTTTAGATGCGATTCCGACCGATGATCGTAGAGAGTTGAAGGAAGAAATGGATGATCGAGTGGAGGGGGAGCCATTAGAGGGTTGGATTGATATCGGAAGAGGAGCTTGCCAGGTATTGACAGGAGGAGCAGAAGATCTTCGTGAAACTTTTTGCTCACTCAATGAGGCTATGAAGATATTATACTCGATTCGCTTCTGTCGTCGTTGGTACCTTTCTTCATTGCACCTGGGCAACTGTCAGAATGGTAGCAAGAAGGGCAGCTGAATATAGACATACCGACGAAGAGCATGTTCAACGGAAAGAAGTTGCGGATTTGAAACCTCGTCTGCATGAGACATTGACAACATAACGAACGGCTTGTTATGTTTCACAGGAAGTCCGGCTCAAGCTTTGGGGGAGGAGGGCCAGCTTCAAGTAATATGCAGAGATGCAAGGACTGGGGCGGTGGAAGCCACAGGACAAAAGCAAATCGAGGCCAAATACAGCTTCACAGTCCGGAGACTAGTATATATTCATGGTATGCACCTACCTTTTACTAACCCAGGTCGCCGGGAGCAGTCCGTACGCAGCACAAATAGCCAGCAGGGTCCATAACGATCATGTATATAGATTCCACCTGTGCGGACCATGCTGCACCACGCAGCGCCAACAGAATGAGCACGCCACGAACCAGCTCACCGTCACCCCAGCAGTACTCCCATCGTGCCATGGACAGGCCGCCAGAGCTTTGTTCGGTATAGAGCCCGCGATGGGCGATTCGTCATCAGACTTGTCACAAAGCTACATGCATGATCCTTCGCGATCACGATCTCCCAAGCCTTCCAAGTCATGCAGTCACCATTGATTAAAGTCCGCGGAGAGGTTGGCGTCAAGGAGAAGAGTTTGAGCACCACAAGGCTGAGAAAAGTCTTCCTATAATAGAGGCGGATTGAAATATCCGCAGTAGTAATTTGTGGGGGCCATATGCGTGGGCGTGGGCGTGTTGGCGCTCAGGACACGATCATGGACGGACGTCAGAAGTAGAGTAAGGGACAACTAAGGACGAAACAGCGTGAATTTTCTGCCTCCCTGCCTTTGGTCCGTCCGTGTCCGGACGTGGTGTGCAGGGGGGGATTGTGGTGCCCGTTCCCGTTGTTGCAGACCCTCTTTTTTCATCGCTTTTCTTGTTCCTATAGCGGTAGCTGTAGCTAGAGTTGTTAGCCATAAGTGGCATTGGTATTGGCATTGGCATTGGCGTGCATGTCGGTGCATGCAGTCAGGCAGGCAGAAGTCGCGCAGACGAGAATGCGATCAACTGGGGTGGAATCACGCAACAATGCGAGCCGTGGGTACGGCACGACGACAAATGCCGTGCGAGGGGACACGGCCGCGTGGGCGTAGGCGAGGGCGCTGAATATGATGAATATTGACTGAGGATGACGGTGATGGCGATGAATCGCCGTTGCTCAAGGTGATGAGCGAGATCAATAAGACGACACAACACATCTTCATCTCGCCGCCGCCGCCGCGCTCGCGTAAGATTTGAAGGGGCGATCAACAACCAGGATAGGACGGGTCGCTCCATAACTAATATTACAGCCTTTGTGGACGAAAGGTCAATGATGACTGGTGAAAGTGAGAACGTGGATGGGGATGCGGGCAGCGGGCACAGTCAGCTTTAGATCTTTCCCCGGGCCGTGAAGGTGGACGGTGGATGCTGGATGCAACAGTAGACAATGATCGCCAGTCCGCCTTCCGAGGGATTTAGTCTCTTCGTCTATAACGCTCGCTATACGAACGCTACATGAGATGATGAGTTCAGGCACAGCACGGGATACATAAGATACATAGGTCATGCAGCCACACACAATGATACTTCGAAATAATCGATGAGCTGGCATTCGTCTCCACGAGCCACGGCTTTCTGACCAGTGTTCAACCCATTCATTGTACGCCTTTCCAAGCAGGTCTCAGGACAACTGCTGCAAACGAAAACCGCAAAGCGTAAAAGGCTTCGAATAACGTTGTCCCCTGTCCACCAGATGCTAGCTCAGCCGCACGCAGAGCCAACACATTGGACGCCTCGCCACACGACTCCGTCCTGATGCCCCTGGCACCCAAGACCCATGGCGTCGCCTAATGGAAGACCTTTCTCGAACGCCTTCTAAAGCCTGCATGACCCCCGCCGCATCTGTTTTTATAGCAACTGTCCAGGCATCTTCGCCTCCATGCTATGCCCTTCCTACATGCAACGACCAGGGCACCAAGTTTCGAAGCACGAGATGCCTGGGCATTGGGCTCAAATCTCTATAAGCTCAAATCAAGCTGTATGAACACCCGAGCTTCAGACCATTCAAAAGAGGCCACTTGCAAGCACATGTGCGATGTGAGGCGTGGCAAACCGAAGCCAGGATGTGGGTCAGCTGAAGCCAAAGGTGGCTATCATCCACTCATTCAACGTCTGCTCGCCATCACAGGCAAGCAGACGTGCAATTGGTGTCATGTACTGTGAAGACCACAGGAATGATCATGCCGCTCTGCAAAGTGGTGCGTATGAATCGACATTCCGATATGTCAATAGTCAAGATCAACGTACATGTATTGGAAAACCCGGGTGTCGTATGTTGGGACACGTTACGCAAGGCTCCAGCCAGCCGGTATCTATACCCAGTAGTCTCACAGACACCAGGAAGCTCGAAGACCCGTGAGCCCGCCCTACTTGGCAGCTCGTGTTCGTCCCAGTGTTCTGGCTTGCTGATACCTGTAGTGTCTGCCTGGAAACGCCCAGCTACGTTCCGCGGCAGAGCTAGGAAACTCTCGACGAGGATAGACTGCCATGGCAGATGCTACACTAAAGGCTCTCATTTGATGAAGCTGACTCCCAGTGATAGTAGTTTTAAGTCGCCAGTCTTCAAATGACTTACTCACGCATCGTTCTGCTGTAGATATTTGAGGACAGCCACGGGTGGCTTCATGTCAGTCCTAGATCATTTAAATAACCCAAGCTCTCTGCCTCGCCCTTGCTGTCAACCGTCTTATATCTGCTTCGAATGCTGGTTGACGTAGGCGTTACTGCAGATGGAGTGGCGGATGCTTTCTTCTTGTACAACTGGGCCTTTCCAAGAACCTGAACAGCCTCTACTTCCCTCCCTTCCTCGAGTAATCGCTGCATGAGATCATAGTAGAATATTTCCAACCAGTCGATGGATTCGCCAACTTTTCCAGGTGGCCGTTGGTGTCCATGCACTTTGAGCGTCTCGTCATATTTACGAGATATGAGTTCCGTCGCAAAAGAAGTCTTTGGATTTGTGGGGTGGTGTAGCCACAAGAATGCTTCAAAGAACGGTGCTCTGCCCAGCAGGCCGGGCGTTTGTGTTATGATATCCTCGTATAATGTAGGTGAACACTTTAGAGGTTTTCCTTCGGGTTGACTGACGAGATATTTGATTAAGAATAAGGCGGCTTTCTTTCGTGTGTACCTATTGGTTGGATCGTGAAGTTTCAGGACATCCCATGAGCGCAGGAATGCTATTAATCCAGAATCGGCGTTTATGGCTAGGTTTAGTTTAAGATATGTGATCATGACTCGCAACTTCCACAAGTGGAATTCCGCAACATTGAACTCGCATTTCACAGCGACGGATGATGGTAAGCCCAGCCAGTCCATGATCACGTCCTCTCGGTCTTCGGCGTACACAAATCTGGTCAGAAGAGCGCTCAGCTCTTGACTCTTCATATATTCCCGAGACGTGTCCAGCCCACTGATATTAATCCAGTCTAAGACTAAGGAGCCCACAAGGTGCCTTTTCGCCTTGTTATCGCCTGATCCATCGGGTATCAAATATCCCTTCGCCTGCAGTGTGTCGAGACAGGCAACGGCCTTGGGCACAGTGGCGGCCCCTAAGGCGACCTGGCCGCGGAACCAACCCAAGGGATCGTTAACAAGTGACGGTATGGATTCCTGTGTCGGCTTGACAGCAAACAGAGGATTGTTTAGGATAGAGTGGAGATGTCCATCTGTCACCGAGCGCGAGTTCGTGGCAGACGATCGTTTCGACGCTGGAGCAGGCAATGCGGGATGGGAGAAGACCGGGTGTGTAGGCTCGGACGCAGACGGGGGATGCTCTCGATCAAGGTGGCTACGGAAGGAATTTTTAAGGGTATCGAGGAGTTGTTGAGATTGTCGCTGGCTGAGCGGAAGTTGGGCCCCAGAAGCGAAGAGCTTCCATAGTTTGAAAGCCTGTCTAGCGGAGGTGTGCAAAGCGGACGACGCTGGTTTTCTGCGCACAGTACGCGGCGCGAAGAGCATAGTGTAGGAGGGGCAACAATTATGAATTGAGCATCTTGGAGGCCAGAGAATTGATCATAGGAGTGTCAGATCAATGCGGAGTTATGACGACCGCAGAGCAAAGGTGGTCACTGATCTTCAGGTTCTTGATGCCTGAAGTGGATGCTTGAGTGAGTCGTGATCGTGATCGAGGTCATGCAGATGTGGCGCGCATTCCTAGTGCCGGAGTGGCTGGTGTAAAAGTCTTTGCGCGTCGCTGTCTGTCTGACCCTATTCTGTCATGTAATATATAATCATAGCTTAAAGGTCTTATGCGTTCCAGACAGAAATGCCAGAGCTTGTGTGTGTGTCATTCACTTTATGTCTTCCCAGCTGCTGGGCCTGGTACATAGTAGCATAGGACTGTATGTTGGCACGCACTGTCGACAGCCCTAGCTTGCGTGCCCTTTCGTCTCAACAATTTGTACAAGAAATATGAGACGCATTAATTGACAGACAAAGCCTCGTAAAAGCTGTCCGAGTTGAGTTACCATTATTGATAAGATAGACAGCGTGAAGGTTCAGTCTAAGACAACATGACTTTAAGGTGATGATGATACAGCGGTGAACGACTGTCATGATCAATTCGTTCACAGGGCTGAGCGCAGGGACTTTTCTCTCCACAGGTCTTGTTCCTTGTTCGCGTCTTTCTCTCACGCGCAAACTGACTTTCTCTCCTCTTCTCCTACATGTAAAACCCTCCCCTTCTCTCATCAACGTACGGCGCACTTTACAACGCATTTTCGCAAGGTTTTCTCATACACAAGAGAAGGCCCTCCAACAGGCTGCTGCCGCTCCATCTCGGCTGCCCAGAACCACCTTTGTTCACTTGGCTAGTGCTCTTCGCTAGCAGCTTTCGTCATCCCTCGATTCTCTACCTCGAACCTTCTTAACCTTTACACCCTCCCACGCGATCCTTTCGCACCCTCTGCATATCCCATACATAATGTCCGAAGTGCAATCTAGGCCTTCTGGTCGCGGCAGAAGCTCTGTCAGAGGGCGAGGTGGATTCCGAGGTGCTCCTCGTAGCAAACACCCGAATGGAGACTCGTCCGCTGTCGTAGACCACACTGCAGATGAGGGAGAATTGGCTGAGCTCAAGAAAACGTACCGTGCTCAGTTGTCAACCTTGAAGGAAATGTTTCCAGACTGGACAGACATGGATCTGCTTTTAGGCTTGCAAGACTCTGATGGCGACCTGGAGCGGACTATTGACAAGATCACAGAAGGTATTTTTTTCACTCAGATCTCACTACATCAGCCCACACATCAGTACGACGTGACATTAACATTTCTGTAGGTAACGTTGCTCAATTCGCAGACGTGAAAAAGAAGACCAAGGACCGTTCTCGCTCGAAGGTCAAGGATGCGTCCGCAAACAGCGCCGATACTCTCCCAACAACCCGCGGAAGTCGGGGTCGCGGAATTGATGGGCCTCGTGCTGGACGAGGTCGCGGCGAGAGAGGTCGGAGTGGCTTTCGCGGTGGTCGTGGTGCCACGAATACTATTGCAACTACTCCGCGCGTTACAGAAGGCGAAACATCCGTTCCAACAGCGGAATCCACGGCATGGGATAATACAAGCGGCCCTGCTGAAACGTCTGAATCCACAGGAGCATGGGACCAAGCAGAAACTCAAGCTGAGAAACTTCCAGCGTCCAAGGTTTCTGCGGCTGAGCCTGCAGCTGTTGCTGCCGAGCCTTCGAAGGCCTCGACCATGCCAGGTGTTGGAAAGACTTGGGCCAGTATGTTTGCAGCTCCAAAGCCTGCACCTGCTCCACCGAAGCCAGTAGCTCAGGTTCATGTACCAGTGCCCGAATCTGCCCCAGAATCGACGCTCCCGACTACAGAAGCACAATCGAGCGAAGCAGCATCATTGGTTCCTCCAATCGCAGATGAAGTCGAAATTGTTCCTGATGTATCCATCACAGAGAATAAGACTCCGCCTGTCGTATCAGAAGATCCTGAGCCCCAGCTCACTCCCTCGAAGGATGAGCTTACCGAAGAGAATGTTGAGCATCTGCCAGACGCTACTGAACAGCCTGCTCTCACAGAGACCGTCGCAAGCACTATTGATGCGTCAAGTGTGATTGGCAACGCAACACCCGCCGGTCAAAGTACCCCTGCTGCTCTGCCTCGTCCACCTATGGGCGGGTATGCTGCCACTGCTTTGAAAGCGACGGCCACACCTGGACGAAGTGCGAGCTATCAACGTAGACTGTTTGAGCAACACGAAGCCGTCGTAATGCCAGGGCACAATGCGGTCGACCGGGCCGCCGTCCAATTCGGGAGCCTAGGCCTGAACGGCGATGCCGATGCAGATCTCGACGTGGATGAAGAGCGGGAAGCAGCAGAGACTCGTCAGCAGCCTCCTCAGCATTCACCAACAGGACAGCCGAGGACGTCTCTCCCACCAGTACCCCGGCACACTTCCGCTTCGGCTGAGCAAGCACCTCTCGAGGCAGTGCCGACTCCCAAGCAGGCACCAGGACTTCCACCAGTTCCTCAACAGCAGTCTCCGTCAACTACACTCGGAGGAGCGCCTGGTCTCACACAAGGGGCTCCAGGAAACCAGCAATATAACCAGTTCAGCCGCTACGGACAATCAGCCGAGGCGACCGCTCCTACCCAGCAAAAGTCGTATGATCCATTCGGCCACCAAGCTCCCCATTCGACTCCGTTCGAAACCTATCCTTCTCAGTCCCAAGGCCCGAGCCAACAGCCGCAACCTGCACCGTCAGGCCTTGGTGGCTATACATCTACCCCGAATGATTTGACCTCCTACTACACGACCGATCATCAACGCACCCAGTATCAAAATTACTATAACAATTCATACGGTCAGCCAGGCCAGCAGCCGGCGACTAGTCAAGACGCCGGAGCGGGCCAGCAACGCGCCGGAAGCGCTTTTGGGTCCGCCTCAGGTGAACCTGCCTTTCCCGCGTCACAGGCCCAGCAACCACAGTCTCGATATACCGATGCTCAGAACAGCGGAAACAACACGCCAAACCCGGTTTCAAGTGGTCAACATGGTGCGCAATCTCAACAGACCGGCCACAACCTGCACCAACAACATTCTGGACACGGGGGCTACGGAGGTTATAATCATCCGTACTACAGCCAGCCATACTACCAGAGTTATATGAATCAGATGAATCAATATGGTGGTGGCTATGGTAACCAAGGCTATGGTCCATACGGTGGAGGCGGAAAGAGTGGCATGCACAACCAACCCCATTACGGTTACGGCATGTCTCCACAAAGCTCATTCGATCAGCATTCATCTTCTCCTGCAAATGCGGGTGGATTTGGTCACTCTTCCGTACAAGGACGCGAAGGTGGCTTAGGCGGTGGCTTCGGTGACTATGGCCGTTCAGGCTCTACTCAGCCTTCCTCGCAACAGCACGGCGCATCTGGATTCGGTGGTGCATCTGAAGGGTTTGGACGCCAGCAAAGCGGATTCCAGAGCCAGAGCCAGTATGGACAACAACAGCAGCAACAAAGTGGACAGCAATCTGGAACGGAGGATTCGCTGAAGCCCTTTGGCGAGTCCAAGTCAAACGCAGGACCAAGCCCTTCACTCAACCAACCTGGCCGACCTGGATCTGCTACGAACACTAGTGGAGCTGGCAATGCAGGACTCCCAGCCCCACAGTCCCATCAACAAGGCTTCAGCGGTGGCTATCCTAACCATCTGAGCGGCCAGAACAGCCAATATGGTGGTGGTCTTGGAGGTCTGGGTGGTGGTCATCAAGGTGGTCAGGGTCACCAAGGACAACACCAAGCACACCAGGGTCAAGGCTATGGATTTGGCGGTGGATATGGTGGTTACAACAACTCAGGCGGCTACAACCGCGGAGGTTGGAGCTCCAATTACCAAGGTCATTAGAGTCTTTGTGGGATGCAATTCTTGTTTGGAAGGACGAAGCACTAGGAGTCAGCAGCATCCTCACTTGAAGGCAATAATTCGATGGTGGTGATGGGAGACGTTGGTCTTTCTCTTTAGCCGCCAGTAACATTACACGCATATCGGTTGGCCGGTTAAAGAAATCATTTGCAGTGCATTCTGCCTGCGAAAGACTGTATTATGAATCTCATCTTTTCCTTTCAAATGTTTCGCTTTTTGGAGTACTCAAACCCCTCTCTTACACAGCTGTAACACTGGCTGTTGATTGTCCATGTGGATGGACGTCTGTTTTCTCAAACTTGGTTCTAGCCTCTCACTTGTTGACAAAACTTATGGGTCTGTGAAAAATACTTTGTGTGCTGGTTTCGAATGCACGAAGCGGTCGAGCTTGACGATTGTTATTGAAGGTTATGCCTGGGTTGTACTCCGTATCCGAATGGCTAGGAAGATGCCAGCGGACAACGAATGGACGGGAGGATTACTTCTATCAAAATACAACAACATCACGAGGCTTGATGACACTGCCAGTCATTCGTAATTGTTGTCTTGACTTCACGTCTTTAACTTGCCATGCTTTGCTGGACTTGTCTGTTCGAACGCAGCGTAATTGATTGTAAGCATGAATCTAGCTTCTTGCCCGTGTTTTAGCCCTTTGACTGCGTGGAGTTGAATTCATGACTGAATGAGCGAGACACACTGAGAGATGAATATATCACTCACTCACGCCGGCGCCTGCAACGAACCATGGCGCGCCTATGCACTTGCGGCCCCGCATCTCGGCAGTCTTTACCCCAGCTTTCCAGCCCCGCCCCCTGCCCCACACTGAGGAAAATCACGCCCAAAGCGGGCGGGACCAGCGGCGGGACCAACGACTCATTTCTCGTGTGCTTGACAGGCTGGGCTGAGCAATCTGGCTGTGCCCTCAATGCTCACCTCCACCCTCCAGCATCACACCCTACTCGCTTTAGCCGGTCCGCTTGCCTGACAAGGAAGGACGCTGATACACAATCTAAGCGCCTCTCACGGGACACGGAGACGCTTACCTTGACCCTGACTTGACTTCCTGAACTCCCGCAGTTGTCTTTCGTCTTGCTCATCTTGCTCGTCAAAGGACGACACGTACCTCGAGACGACACGACAGTCTTCCAGGACTACCTCGCCGACGAGCCCATGTCCATAGACGTTCTGCAAGCTTTGACTTGAGTTCAATCGGACCATTGTGCCGACCATGATACTCACTGGCGTCCGGCCGGCATTGAGGCGGTACGGAGCAAGCACGCACTCACGAGGAGAGCTACTGCAACGCTCAGCGTCGTCACTCTATGGTGAGTCTTAGTGCAAACTTGCATCGTTGGCAGAAAGCTAACATGAACATGAGCAGTCGCGCACTCAAGGGCTCTTCGCGTCCTAGCCCAGCATTGGCCACAACCCAAGTGTTGGACGATTCCTCATCCCTGTACGAGCTTGATAAAGTATACAGGATATGCCACCGAGACTCCAGATCAGACGACTCACACGCCACCGAGTCCCTCGCATCCACCTCGTCCATACTCCGAGCTTACCGTTGGTGTGGTTCGTGAAATTTATCCTGGCGAGCGTCGTGTCGCTTTGACGCCTCAGAATACAGCCTTGCTGCTCAAGAAAGGCTTCCAACGAGTGCTCGTCGAGCGTGGAGCTGGTGCTGAAGCTCAATTTACAGACGAGGCATACAAGCAGGCTGGCGCTACCCTCGTCGGACCGGGGGAGATCTGGTCACAAAGTGATGTCCTCCTCAAAGTGCGCCCTCCCACCGACGGAGGCGAAGGCAATGAGGTCCGTCAGCTCCGTGATGGTGGTGTTATCATCTCGTTTCTCTATCCAGCCAGAAACAAAGATCTCGTAGCCAAGATCGCAAGTCGAGGAAGCACAAGTTTCGCCATGGACATGATACCTCGGATCTCACGCGCGCAGGTGTTCGATGCTCTGAGCTCCATGGCTAATATTGCTGGATATAAAGCTGTGCTGGAAGCTTCCAACCACTTTGGAAGATTCTTGACTGGACAAGTCACGGCCGCTGGCAAGATCCCGCCCTGTAAGGTATTGGTAATCGGTGCTGGTGTGGCTGGACTGAGTGCCATTGCAACAGCTCGCCGCATGGGTGCAATTGTGCGCGGGTTTGATACACGATCGGCTGCACGAGAGCAGGTCCAGTCGCTTGGTGCGGAGTTCATTGAAGTAGAAATTCAAGAGTCGGGCGACGGAGCGGGAGGATATGCAAAAGTCATGTCGAAAGAGTTCATTGAAGCCGAAATGAAGCTGTTCATGGAACAGGCACAGGAAGTTGATATCATCATCACTACAGCTCTGATCCCCGGAAAGCCCGCCCCGAAGCTCATCACCAACGAGATGGTGGCAGCTATGAGACCTGGTTCAGTCGTTGTGGACCTAGCAGCAGAGGCAGGGGGCAATTGTGAGGCCACAGTTCCTGGACAAGTCGCGACATACAAGGACGCTACGATTATTGGGTACACTGATCTTCCTTCACGGCTCCCCACACAGTCATCTACGCTATATTCAAACAACATCACCAAGTTTCTTCTTTCCATGAATCCCCAGGAGAAGCATTTCGGCATTGACTTTGAAGACGAGGTGGTTCGCGGTTCCATCGTCACTCAGAACGGCGACATCATCCCGCCTGCTCCAAGACCAGTCCCACCTACGCCTCCTCAATCATCTTCAAATGCAGGGGCTACTGTCACCCCTGAGACCGTTGCAGTGGCGTTGACGCCATGGCAGAAGACGTCGCGTGAAGTTGCGTTGGTGACGGGCGGTATGGGGACTGTTCTTGGACTTGCCAAAGCAACAGGACCCGTGTTCATGGGCAACACGTTCATCTTCGCACTGTCTGGTATGATCGGCTATCGTGCAGTCTGGGGAGTACAGCCTGCTCTGCACTCACCACTGATGAGCGTCACCAACGCGATCTCCGGAATGGTGGGTATCGGCGGTCTGTTCGTGATGGGCGGCGGATTCTTCCCAGAGACGATCCCTCAAGCCCTTGGAGCGGCATCGGTACTTTTGGCTTTCATGAACATCTCGGGAGGGTTCGTTATAACGAAACGGATGCTTGACATGTTCAAGCGGCCTACTGATCCTCCGGAGTATCCCTGGTTGTATAGTGTTCCTGCACTGCTTTTCGGTGGCGGGTATCTTGCAGCTGCCACGACTGGAGCTGCAGGGCTTGTGCAGGGGGGTTATCTTCTCAGCAGTGTCCTCTGTATGACGTCTATCCAGAGCCTCTCCTCGATGACATCGGCGAGGCAAGGCAATGTTCTTGGCATGCTTGGTGTCAGCACAGGTATCCTTGCATCGCTCCATGCTGTGGGATTCTCGATGGAGGTGCTTGTGCAGTTTGCTGGACTAGCTGGTATTGGCGGCATGATTGGTGCTGTCTTTGGATCTCGTGTTTCGCCCATCAGCCTGCCTCAGACAGTAGCTCTTCTACACTCTGTTGTTGGTCTGGCTGCGGTCCTGACGAGTATTGGTAGTGTGCTGGGCGGCATTGACCATGTTTCTACATTGCATCTCGTGTCGGCATATCTAGGAGTTGTCATTGGCAAGTCTCTTGTTGGGTGTTCTCATGAAGGCTACGTGCTGACTGGATTTAGGCGGCGTTACTTTTACAGGCTCTCTTGTTGCGTTTATGAAACTGGCGGGCAGGATGTCCTCTAAGCCTACAATCCTGCCTGGGAAGCACGCCATCAATGGAGGTCTCCTCGCGGCTAATGTTGCTACGATGGGCGCTTTCATCACCATGGCGCCCGGAGCACCGGTTGTTGCTGCTGCAGCTCTGGGCACAAGCACAGCACTTAGTTTCCTGAAGGGGTATACCACGACAGCGGCAATTGGAGGAGCCGATATGCGTAGGTCATGTCATGTTGTCTGCAGAGAAATCTGGTTCTAACAAATGTCTAAGCCGTTGTCATCACCGTTCTCAACGCCTACTCAGGTTTCGCCCTCGTCGCAGAAGGCTTCATGCTCGACAACCCGCTGCTAACCAGCGTGGGTGCCCTCATCGGCGTGAGCGGCTCCATCCTCTCCTACATCATGGTATGTCCCCTATTCTTTCCTCTTTTCCTCCTTCCCGCACCGCGACCTAACCCCTTCCCTCCCAGTGCGTCGCCATGAACCGCTCCCTCACAAACGTGCTCTTCGGCGGCATATCGGCCCCCGCCCAAACAGACTTCAAAGTCGACGGCGAAATCACAAAAGCCAGCATCGACGACACCGTCGACCTCCTTGCGAACGCCGAATCCGTCATCATCGTCGTAGGCTACGGCATGGCCGTCGCAAAAGCCCAGTACGCAATCGCAGCCTTCACCCAAACCCTCCGCAGCCGCGGCATAAACGTCCGCTTCGCAATCCACCCGGTCGCTGGCCGCATGCCGGGCCAATGCAACGTCCTCCTTGCCGAAGCATCCGTCCCCTACGACATCGTCCTCGAAATGGACGAAATCAACGACGATTTCCCGGACACGGACGTCACGCTCGTCATTGGTGCGAATGATACCGTTAATCCGATTGCGCTGGAGCGGAATAGTCCGATCGCGGGCATGCCCGTGCTGCATGCGTGGAAGAGTAAGAGTACGGTCGTGATGAAGCGTGGGATGGCGAGTGGGTATGCGGATGTGCCGAATCCGATGTTCTATATGCCGGGTACGAAGATGTTGTTTGGCGATGCGCGCGAGAGTTGTGATGCTATCCGTGCGGCGCTGGATGCAAGGGCGAAGGAGTATGATGTTTGATGGTTGGTGGATGGTGGGTCGTGCATTCTTTGCATTTTTCTTTCGGCTGGCGTTGGATTTTCGGGCGCGTGTGGGTTGGATGCTGGGTTGAGCTGGATTGATCTGAGCTGAGTTGAATATATGAGAGAGAGAGAGAGGGGGGTAGTACCATATGATACACCTCCATCGCACGATCACATAACAACACAAGAATAACACATCATCTGTCCAAGTCGTGTGTTTACGTGAGCATAACAGACAGACAACACAAACAACGCAGACATTGATATATATAGCCATGTCGATAGCCCATACGCCATAGCAACGCGTATGCTACGCCGCTTGCTATCCTGCTAGCTATATGTTGCTCTATGTTGCTCTATGTTGCTACAAGCTACAGGCCACGCTATACTATACAAAGAACCTCCCACCTTCTCCAAACGCCATGTGCTATGCTTCATATACCATGCCATGCCATGTTGTGCTCTGCCATGCCATGCTATGCTATGCTATGCTATTTATTATTACATTTTCTCTCCTCCTTTACTTTTCCTTCCTTTCCTTTCCTTTTACAAGCTATAGACACCTACTGAATTTCCAATACTGGAGCTACACCGACCACACTAAACATCAGGCCTCGTCGATGGGCTTGAAGCCAAAGACAAAGGCACCTTTCTTCCTGTGTGGTAGGTCTGAATCGTCGGAGTCTTGGTGGGCGTGTAGAGCCTTGCGCTTCTTCTCCGTTGCTGCTGCTGCTGCCACCGCCGCCGCTTGTTCTTGCTGTTGCTGTTGTCTCTGCTGTTGCTGCAGTTCTTGCTGTTGTTGTTGTTGCTGTTGCTGCAGTTCTTGCAGTTCTTGTAGTTCTTGCTGTTGCTGCTGCTGTTGCTGTTCTTGCAGTTCCTGCCGCTGCCGAGCCTCCTCCGCCGCGGCGGCGGCCTGACGGGCGTAACCACGCTGCATAGCCTCAGCGCGCTTCTTCTCTCTCGCACGCTCGGCAAGGAGGCGGTCCTTTTGGCCTACGGCCGAGGGCGTGAAGAGGGGCCTGGCAGGTTTCTTGGGGGCGGGGGCGGTCTTGCCGACGATAAAGGGGTGCTGGAGAGAACCGTGCGGGCCGATGCGCTTGTCGTGGTTGAAGTGCAGGCATTTAGACAAGAGGTCGGCGAGCATCTCAATCTTTTCGGCTTCCTTGCGGTCGTTTGGATCAGCGGCGGCGGCACGGAGTTTGGTTAGGAGGGACTCTGGAGATGTTGGTGTTTTGGGGCCCAAGTTTGCGTAAGAATTTGTGACGAGCTGTGGAGGTTAGTGCGTGTTGGAGTGGGTATGTAGAGTGGATGTACTTACGTTGCCCTTTTCGTTGACCTTGCGCATGTGGAAGACTGCGTGCACGTCGTCGTCAAAGTACTGTCGGAAGAAGACGCCTTGGCGGTAGTACTTCCGCGAAATGTGGCCGGTCGTCTTCATGATCTGGTATAGCATCTCGGCGTTGTCCATGCCGGTGAACAGGATCTTGCCGGTGAAGATTTCGAAAAGGGTACAGCCAGCGGCCCAGATGTCCATATCGTAGCCCCATTCTATGCCCAGGATGACCTCTGGTGGTCTGTAGAAGCGAGAGCCCAGCTCGCCACGCATGTCGTATTTCTCGGACTCGTTATGGAGACGATGCTTGAATGTGGTGCCAAAATCGGCAAGCTTGATGTACTCTGGTCGATCGCCTGGATTCATGAGGATGTTGTCAGGTTTCAAATCGCCGTGGACAAGGTCGAGATCCTTCATCACACGGAGGGAGGTGAAGAGCTGTTTGGCAAATATCCGGACAGCATCGATGTTGAGGCCGGTGTCATGGCCGCCCTTCGACTTAGTAAGCACGTCACGCAAGTTGTAACCCATGTTTTCAAAAATGATACAGATGTGCTGTCTGTGGGTGAAGGTATCGAGGAACTCGACGAGATACTGCTGATCCTCGGGATGCACGACACACCAGTCCTTGATCTTGCGAAGGATGTCAATTTCGTCACGGGCCTTGTCGGCCATCATGCCATTCTTGCGAATGATCTTGATGGCGACGACCTTCTGGTTCTGGGTGGTGTCAAGGGCTCTGACGACGGTGGCGTAGGAGCCCTTACCTAATTTCTCGACGATGTGATAGCGGTTGTGCATGAGCTCGTGCTTGAAGAACTTGTAGTAAGCCTCGTGATCATCAGTCTCAATGTGACGTTCTAGAGGCATTGGCTTCACGGGACCTAAGTTCTTTGATTTCTTCTCCTTTGGCAGCTTGGGTTCGGCATCAAAGTAGCCGCCGAACATGTCGCCATCATCCGAGTCGCTGTCCTCAGCTCTGAGCCACTCGACCATCTTCTCATCTTCTAAGGGAGTGTTAGCTATCAGTATAGAGACAGACAGGGATAGAGAGCGCACTGACCTTTGCGTTTCTTCTCTGCTTGGTACTCAGCTTCCGCGGTCTGCGGTGAAGGAATATCTTGGCGGCCTGCTTGGTAGGGCGTGAGTGAAACGTGACCTGACATGTCGTAAAAGGTCGGCGTACCTTTGTTCTCCGCAGAGAAAGCCATGATTCGATACGGTTAATGCAATGCAACGAGATGGCGGATTAGACACAGGTGATTTGACGTGCAGTGTTGTGATGGAGACTATTCACTGATTGCAGGGCGAGAGTTGTTGTTGTTGAAGGACACAACTAGAGCTAAGTTGGCTGGTAGAAGCGAGGAGGGCGCTTCGGCTTATGTTCGGCAGTCATTAACAACGTGTCTGCCATATAATATCGCCGAGTATAAAGACGACGACGACTGTTAATTAGTGAATAAACAGCATGTGTACTCATCGATTTGTTTCGGATAGGTCGCGTCAAGCATGCAAGGCCTGTCATCCTAGAACCAGCACACAGGTACGAGTACGAGAGCTCTGCAGCGGATTAGTCCCATGCAGATGGAAACATGAGACATGAGGCTCTTCGGGAGATGCTGCAACTCACCGTTCATGGGAGAGCAACACACGGATCTGCCTGCAGCCATGCACAATTTTTCATATTTTTTTTTGGCCATTTCGCGCAAGTCAATTCGTGGCAGGTCAAGCGAATTTCTACCACTGCAAGTCAGGTTCACTCAGTCAGACTGATCAGGTAGACAGGAGCCCAGTGTGCAAAGATAAATTTGGTACGATGCAGCTGGGAAGAGAGGAGTTGGGGCGATCGAGAGGGACGGGAATAATGGCATGCCATGCGATGTTCATGGATGTATCGTTCACCCCAGACCCGACATCGGCGGTGCGTGCAGGGACATGGGCAGTAGTCGATGGAGAGTGATACAAGGACATTATCATTACTATTAGGCAATCAAATTGGCGCACGTCAGTAGAGCAGAGAAAGAGGGAGTTTATGGCAGATGCCGTGGCAAGAATAGATTGTGTATGGGCAGTGATTAGGAAGTATTCATGGGAATGGGCAATTGGAGGGTAGGTAACTCTGATAGGGTCAACGGCGCAAAGGTGGCAGAGTGGTCTGTTTGTAAGGCAGTAAGGTTGACGAAGACAAGATGGAGGCCAGACAGTGTGTTATGTACCTCGGCCACAGTTCCGCGATCCCCGTCTGTAGTGTATGAACGAGGGGGAGAGCAGCAGCACTAGCTAGCGGGTATCTAACCAAATAGCAGCAGCAGCCGAATGAATTGTAATTATTGATCAATGGACGCACGATTGGCGGCTTTTGGCGCAGAACGGACGGCGCGAATATTAGATATTAACCTGGAATGGGATGAGGGACCGCCGGGGAGCACTAACTAACTGACTAGACATGATCGGAAGTTAAAAGCTTGGTCGTCTGGTGGCGCAAGGCATACTATGTATAGAAAGGGGAAATGAGGGTGGCTTTCTCAAGGGTTCCCCGCCACACAGACAGCATCTCAGGGCGGGAGCACGTACAGTGTTATGCACTATAGATAGCTCTTGTGGCAGCAGTGAACGGGACGTGTTTGAGTCCTGGATCTGATGTTGTTAATAATTGAATACGACCACGACCACGAGGATGCCCGTGCAGGAACGTCAATGGCTGTTGATGGTGTGGATGAAGGGCAGGAGGGCGAACAGCAGACAGCGAGCATCATCCATGATCCATGCAAAAGACCGGTAGTAATCAGAACATACGTTCGGTCACTTGATGATAATTCGCGTCGATGAACATGTGGGCGTACAGTCAAGACCAGATCAGGATGCTGCACACTGATTAGGAGGAGGAGCTCGCTCTAGAGAGACGATCTGGTGGGTGGTGAGCCCAAGTAATGGCAGCCCAAAAGTAATCAATATTGTCTGTCTGTCCTGTTGTGGCGTAGGGCGAGATACTGTAGTATGAGCATGTCACGAGGAAAGCCACACAGCATGCATATGATGAAGTTAATTCGTTGAATGGATGCTGGAATTCAGACACGCTGGCCAAAACAGAGAATCCACTCACTCACACGCAGACCATCCGATGCCCAAAGCAGCACAATCAACACAATCAGCATAATCAGCAAATCTAAGTCGCGCTTTCTTAGCCCGCGGGACGTTGCAGGCAGGTACTGACTGAGCTTGGAAGGTACGGGTGGGTCATGGGCTGCGATGACGCTAGGCCCGAAACGCGCTGGTGGAGAGATCTGGGGGAGACGAAGTGGAGAGAGATGGAAGGTTCGCCGTCGTGAAGAACTCAAGGGTCACCACTGAGACAATGAAGCCTGCTGCAGGTTGAATGGTAATAGTCCACTATCCTGTCTACGACTATCAGTGTTCTCGAATCTTGAATGTACCCCTTGTTACTAGTATGGCCACGTCAACGACGACGACGACGACGAGGTGCCCAAGCTGTCAGCAGCACACGCGTTGGGTAGCCAGGGGATCGGCGGGCAGGATCTGACTGTCTCGAGGAGGATGAATAAAGGGATCGTCGGACCCTGAGATGGCGAAACTCTTCGTTCTTCTGCCTCTATTTGAGATGGTGTGTTATGGTGTGAGAAGTCTGACACAGTAGCTCTGGCGATCTGCCTCTTTTCGCGCCCTTGGGCATCCTCGTCCTTGTTGTGCCTGAGAGGTGAGGCTGAGAAAGGTGAGAGTGGCGGTATGTACTGTACGCACCCAGGTACTTGAGTTTCGCTAGTAAAGCTGCCCCGGCTCCCCCGCTGCCCAACGATAGTGGACTAGTCAGGCTTCGGAATAGCACCTCTAACCGGCATACTACAGCATCCAGCATCAACCATCAATCATCCATCCAGCTGCCAACCTCGGCCCTTGCTCTCTGTCTGCCTCTTTCTCGGACCATTTTGCCGTGCTTCCAGAACATCAGACGACCTAGTCAACGCATTCACCGAGAACAGACTTCAATTTCTGAGAGAGATTGACAGGAGAGCGAGAGTTTATGCGCTGCTTGCTGTTGCTGCTCGTGCTGATGCTCGTGCCTTAACCCACAGGCCGGAAGAAGGCGTTATCTCGGCACGACTTCTGCCCACGAGCTGCCCCGGTGTTCGTGCCTTCCTTCCCCCAGACGTGTTGTTCCTTCTCCATACAGTCACAGTTCCAGACTTGCAACACTGCAATCTTGCTGCTACCATGACCACCACGACCACAACAATAATAACAACAACAATAACGCAAGTGAATGTCAGTGTTTTCTTTCTTGTCTCGTGATCCCTATGCTCTCCCTGCCGCTCTTCGCTTTACCTCCTCTCTAGAAACCGCGCCGCTATCCGACATGCTTCACTACCTACTGCTGCCCATCTTAGATACTCTAACACCTAATTATGTGACTACAACCTGCTTTCTACTAACTACTACCTTCCAACCTTCCCATACTCCCAGCAACATCCGTGGACAGGCCACTTCACTTACGTCAGGATGCTGAACTGTGCACGCCGGCCTGTTTTGCCTTTCAAACCTCTTCCTCTCAACCCAGACTTGGCATTGTGGCTCCGACTGTCAAGCGTCAGTCTCCAACGTAGAAACAAGGTTTTCCGCCGTTACGGCCAGCGCGTGCCAGGGTCCGTGACCCGATACCTCAGATGCACGCTAGAAACGTCTTTGGCAGGCATTCCAATTCTTAGCTCTCCATGCATCCTAACCCAGTACTTACTTGCCATACACTTCTGGTTAGTCTCGATGCCCTATCTCTACCTGGCCCTACCGGGGCCCTAAGGTACTGAGCCCTACATATCTCATAATCTCGCTGGGTTCAAAGACCGCTCCGGCCTGCCTACACTGGGCTCGACTACATATCTCTCTACTCTACTTCTACCTCATCCTTCCTGCCTGACTGTCATCCCTCCCAACTAAGGCTCTGGGCATGGATATCCCATCTCTCTTTTAATTGTCCTCCCTGTCCCTCCTTTCCGTCCTTGTTTTTTTGGGTGTGGAGTTCATGTCTTTCTGCATCTAGATACCCCACTCGCTTCTTTCCTACATTTCCTTTTTATGCCATTCTTCCATATTGCATCTTTTGCGGCCCAGTCTTCGCCTTTCCAGCATGTCACCTATCACTAGTCCGTCGCCTCCCCACTGATTCAGTGTCCTGCGAGCATCTTACTGACCGTTGCAGGTCCATATCCACAATACGTTCCTAATGCACTGCCCACTCTCTCCGAAACATATCAATATCCTGCAAACAGCCGTCCAGGAGGCTACTCTCTATCGCCAACCCATCTTGACGCCGATTCTACGGAACATCAAAGGTAAGACAGTCCCCACCGCTTCACTCTGCCATCCTCGATACCTGCCTGTACCTGCACTGTACTCCTCAGGGCTCTTTGTTTTCATGCAATCTTGGATGAACTGCACGAGAACTATGGAATTGAAATTTCTGGACCAGGACTCGGATCCACCAGCCACCGCAGTGGACAGACATGTCCAAGTTGTCAGTCTGTCTGCTTGTTGGGGTACCGTATGTTTGTTATACCAACAAATCCCACATCTGTTGTTATGGCTTACTTACTCGTCAGGAAAGGCGGATCGTTGAATACACTCAAGTTGACTCTGGACTGGCATCTATGCCTGGGAACAATCCTCGTGCCTCCAGATCAGGATGACAATACTCTCCACCAGGAGCCTCTTCGGAACGTCCCAATCGGCTACTACACTCGACTACGGAAAATGTCCCAGGCCCTTTCCTCCCGCAGCAATGCAGTACAGTGCACACAAGCTCTCCATGCCCTCACATGCAATGCAACAACATGATTTTGGACTGACAGTTTTCTGTCTCGCAGACTGCCATATGTGGACGTTTCCCAAGCCCCGGAGACCGACTCACCCTCACCACAATATTTGGTCGGCCCACCACCTTCTCGTCCCGCTCCACGGGAGAGCACGTCACTTCGCAACAGGTCACCACCTTCCGCCACTGGCCTACGCCCGCTAGCACAATCTGCTTCCGTGCGTACAGCCTTGACCGATCCGAACCAGCCATCGCCAGTCTCGAATCCGGGTAAGCCAATCAAGCCACGAAGCAAGATCACAACAGTCGCGTGTGCGCCATGCAGAAAGAGAAAGTCCAAGGTCTGTTACAACATCCATCCTCGCCAGTGAATAGTCTGACAAGTATCGACAGTGCAACGGAGGTCGGCCGCAATGTGCTGCATGCATCCAGCGCCGGTCAGACTGCTTTTATGATGCGACAGAGAATGAGCGGTCTGCAAAGGAACTGCGAGACATGTTCAAAGCACTCCGGGACTTGCTACCTGCTCTTGTCTCCGCGTCAAATCAACAAACTGCCATTACTATCGCTTCGGAGATCCAAGCAAATGGCTTTGAACGCTACAGGCCTGACCAGCTGAGCTACATGTTGCACCACGGCGTCGATACCATCCCAACAATGTCTCCTTCCAAGAGCGAAGGCTCACCTGGAGATGCAAGTACAGTTGCCGAGAGAAGTGGCGAAAGTGGACTCACGAGCAATACGACACCTGTCAGTGGTATCCATGCCGCCTCTTCATTACCACAAAATCCATCGTACTACGGCTCTTCTGTCATACCTACCGAAAGTCCGCAGTTGAAGACCCGACCACCGACAGAATCTCCATACCTGTCACCAACGGTTTCGCGCCCGGACAGCGCTACCGCCAGACACGGTCATAACTTCATACCATCGCCACTCTCTATTCCTGCCACCGTCTCAACCATACCCAGTCCTGTGCAAGGCATCACAGAAGCCCTGCATCCCGTCAACATGATGAATCCGGGCGCTTTTGTTACTACGGGCCCTGTTCTGGACACGAAGACGGAGCTGACGACCTATCCTTTGGAGTACCAACAAGTAGGAGTACTAGATCCACAGCCTGTGGCAGAGACCAGACAACATGTGCGTCCTCCGCGAGGGGCTACTACTCCCAATCCTCCTGCCACCGAGAGGAAGCGGTACGATCCATATGCCCGTCCAAATGCCCGTACGAACCCGTCCCGGAGCTCGCGACTCCGAGGCCCGACCTCCGTGCTCCCTTCATCGTCCGCAAATTCAGCCGGCCCGGCCTCCGCCACACTTGTCTCCGAACTTTCACGCATAGTCGACCGCTACCAGCACGCGAAACAAGCCGACATCGCCGCCGGCCACGACCCAAACATCGTACTTGGTCCCTCTGGCGTCGACATTGGGCCCATCATGCAGCCGACAGCCATTCCAACCAGCAACGACGACCCCATCGCGACCTTCTCTGCAAAGCTTGCGTCTATGGCGCTACCAGCTCACCTCCACGCTGACCGCTGTGGAATCGCCTGGATCATGTCACATGTCCTGCGCGCCACCATAGCGCCGGCGTATACGTCTGTGTACCTGCCCGACTGGCTGCAACCGACGTATAGCCAAGCGACGAGCTTCCCAGACTCCCTCGTCAACTTTATCCCATGGTATGTGCCGCCACATCTGGTCACCACCAAGAGACTAAGTCGCTAACCACTCTGAACAGGCCCTCTGTGCGCGAAGCTCTGTGTGCTGGGTCAGCTATGCCTGCGCTGACCGTACTGGCGGCCAGTCAAGTTAACTGGCCGTTTGACGGGGCATCGACAATAACGTACGACTATGCTTCTGGTGGATGGATGCTGGCGCCCGCATTTGAAACGCACGTGCAAGAGCTTGGTAACTGGAGCCTCGCCAGGTCGGCTGCGACGGCCGTCTTGGGCATGGGCGGGGGCAACGTGTTGCAGCACGAGGGTTAGAGCCGAGCCCACCTATGTCTATCTTTTTGTTCCCACATCTCCTTTGTTTTCCATGTACATTCTGCATATGTGCTGCATGAGTGAATGCAAGACGGTAATGTGTGATGTGATGGATGGATAATGCGACACATGAAGATGGCAGTTTCATAGCTTCTGCTTCTGTATTATAATTCGGCGTACCTTTGTCATGCTCCAAGCGGCGATTTTAAGATGCAGTATAGAGTACATATAGATATGCAAGAGAATGTCCCGCAAGGGCTGAGTTCCTGACATTGGATGTCGACACGATCAAAAACTGCCCCGCCAAGGAATGAAAGGTATGTATGTATGTACTGCCAAACCTGGAAATTTCCTAACCGGCTAAGTCATTAGCCGCCCGTCCTCGTCCCGTACGTCCCGGCATTCGATTCGGCCCTTGATACAGTAGCGTCGCACTGTCCCCACTGATAACCAACCTTCGTCATCGCCTAACATGCAATTTTTTACTGCATCGCCTGAGAGACTCTGGTGCCCGACTCTTTTTTTCAAGACATCATGTCTCTGCTGCAAGTTGATGACCCAATCGAACAGAGCTCAGCTACGTTAAAAGAGCAGCCCATCTCAGATGTTCACGCCAATCCTTCCAACACCACCTGCAGGCAGACCTTCTTCTCTTATCACTCACTCACTCACCCTAGCACACGTCGTCGAACTCGACCATGAGCAGCAGGACGGCCAATTCGTGCGTCCAAGGCCGGGTGGAAGATATGGCAGCTTCTGGACTCCCACCCCCGACCCCATTCATGAACGACGCGTTCGACCCGTTTGACCGTGATTTTGCAGCCAAACGTCGGAAGGACGGTGATGTTCATTGTGATTGCCGTACTCCAGCGCATGCAGATCCTGGGAGCAGCCAGCAGTCCATGTCTCATACTAGACTTCGCTTCAGGGACCGCGTGCGCCATTTCACGTGGACGTGGTTCACAATGACCATGGCGACCGGTGGAATTGCAAATGTGCTGGCTCATGGTCTGTCTTCTCCGCGACCCGGATGGCCACGAACCTGACTGACTGACAGCGACAACACATAGTCCCGTACCAATTCCCCGGTCTGTACGCGCTCGGCTGTGTGTTTTTCATCCTCAACATTGTCCTCTTTGCCTTCAACGTTGCCATGATTAGCGCGCGCTTCTATCTCTACCCGTCGACGTTCAAGGCGAGCTTCCTGCATCCGACGGAGTCACTGTTCATCCCGGCGTCTATCATCTCGGTCGGCACGATCCTGCTGAACATCTCCGAGTTTGGCGTCGGCGACAAGACAGGTCCGTGGCTGACGGACACGATGATTGTGCTGTACTGGGTGTACTGTGCTGCGGCGATCCTGGGGTCCAGCGGGATATACCTCATCATGTGAGTAGGGTTAGAGTGTTCCTACATCTATGCTAACGTAAACCAGGTGGTCCACACAGACATTCACAATCTCCCAAATGACACCCGTTTGGATCTTCCCGGCCTACCCGCTCCTCATCGTCGGCCCGCATGCCTCTAACCTCGCGAGCAAAACCTCCCCGTCCGCCGCGCTCGAGATCATCATTGGCGGCGTCGTCCTGCAGGGCATCGGCTTCATGGTCTCGCTCATGATCTACTCGGCCTTCCTGTACCGTCTGATGACGCAAAAACTGCCAAAGGAAAGTCTGCGCCCGGGCATGTTCATCAGCGTCGGACCCAGCGGCTTCACGATCTCCGGTATTGTTGGCATGGGTCAGTTGGTGCCGCAGGTTGTGGGTGCGGATTTCATGGGTGATGGGGTGCTTGCGGGCCAGGTTACGAAGATTGTGGCGAATTGGGCGGGGTTGTGGTTATGGGGGTGAGTTTCTTCTACTTTTCTTCCCCTTTTCCTTGCTTCCTTTACCCCTTAAGACACCTAACCTACCCTATCCTGAACGCACACGACTGATAAACTAACTAACTAACTAACTAACCAACCAACAGCCTCGCATTCTGGTTCTTCCTCGTCTCAGTCTTCGCCCACTGGTCGCCCGCCACCCGCGGCACAATGCGCTTCGCCATGCCCTGGTACTCCTTCATCTTCCCCAACACCGCCCTCACAACCGCCACTTTCGCAATCGCCCGTGCGTTTGGGCCCCACCATCATATATCCACATCCCAACGAACAGATCTCGCTTCCGCATCCTCCCAACCCGGTCTCCCCGCCCTGAATATCCTCGGCTGCGTCATGACGGGCTTGCTGGTCGTTGCCTGGACGGCGGTGTTTGCGGCTATGTTGCGCGCGGTGTATTTGAGGCAGATTCTCTGGCCGCAGAGGCAGGAGGATCGGGATGAGGGGGGGTGGGTTAAGAAGGATGATGATGGGGAGGATGGGGATGAGGGGGATGAAGAGGTGGTGGTTGAGGGTGAGGGGGGTGAGGGGGCAAAGGAGGGGGTGAGGAAAGTGAGGACTAGAAGGCCGAGTATGTTGGGGCGTGCGAGAGAGAGGGTTCTGAGGGGTGCAGAGGGGGGTGCGGGTGGAAATGGGAATGGGCGGGGAATAGGGGATGCGAATGGGGTGCAGAAGAGGCGGGGTGTTGAAGAGGTGGTTTAGATACGGATGGGTGAAGTTGGAAAGTATTATCATGGAGAAAGTAAAATAATCAAGCATAGCATTAAAACGCGATATCATATAATATAATACAATACAGTAAGTACCCAGAGAACCCATTACACCACAACCACAACCACCACTTACCCAATCCGTCCGCCCACCTAGCATAAAACAGCCAATTACTTCCTATCGTATCCATATCCAAAGCCATCTACCTACCCCTAATCCAAATAAGTGTCGAAGATGGATATAAAACAAGATTACCTAATTATACCTAGACCCACAACACACACACACACACACACACACACACACAGACTACCCTCCCTGAACCACGACGTTCTGCCACCATAGTAACATTTCAAGTACATACATTCTTTAGTACATACATTTAATAGCCAGAAGAACTTACTGTCTCCCCATCTTAGGAAGGAGTAATAGTAGTAGTGGTAGAAAAAAAAAGACCATTCTGCGCATGCGCCGCCCCGAGTCACACTTCTCTCAAGATACAAGAAAAGATAAAAAAGAAACTCCCTTATACGCCGCCCGTCCCCTGCCTGTCCCGTCGTCCAACGAAGCGCCGTAAATGCCGCTAGAAGCGAGGGCCCCTAATGGATGGAATGGATTACAACAGTATTAAGTAGTAGCAGTGGTAGCAGCAACAGCAGCAGCAGCAGCAGCAGCAGCAGCAGCACCAAGCACACCGTTCTCTGTCGCTATTTGTCATCTCTGTTATGATTCCCTATTCCGAACCCGAACCCATTCCCATTACAACATGTCAGTCGCCATGTCTCCCCACTTACAGAAGATGCACAAACACTTAGCCACCACCACATGACCGCCTACCAGAAACTGCACCAGCCAATGTAGTGCTGACACAGATTCTCCAGGTCCGTGGCCTGCACGATCAGCTTCTCGACCTGCTCCGGCACGTCCAGCTCTTCGTTGGGCTTGAAGTCGCGACCAATGAGCTTATGCTTGACGCGCGCGAGCACCTCTACTGCGCGGGCGTTTTGGATCTCCTTGGCTTGGGCGTCGTCGAGCGGAGGCTGTGCCGCGCTGGAGCGGTGGCGGGGTCGGTGCGAGCTGCTGGGCCGGTCGCGGTCTGTCTCCATGCCCAGGATCGAGGCGCGGCGCTCCGACGGGAACGATGGCTCGACGGGCTCGTTTTGCTCGCCAATCTTCCAGTTCAGGAGCGGGTCGTGAATGAACTGCGATTCAGGTTCGTTAGTAGTGGACACATCAACAACACGGCGGAACTTACAGCTTCGAGCACTGCCATGACAGACTCCTTGTTGTCGCGCAGGACGCGCATGACGTGCTCACAAGTCGTTCGATAGCTTCCTTCAATGTTGCTGACCTCCATGGCGTATGTGAGCATCCTCGTGAGGCGGAATGGGACTCGCTCCGGGTACTTGTCACGATGCATGGCAACCTCAAAGCAGTCGCCATAGTCAATGTGCACAATCTTGCCCGTATACTTGTCCAGCATCAGGTTGGACGGATGACGATCTCCGAGACCGAGAATGTATCCGACCATCGACATCACTGCCAGAGAGCGTGTGTAGTTGGTGCGTCGATCCAACCAGGCTTCGGAACTCTTGCTCTTCAGCCATAGGACGCGGTATAGGTCCTGACCGGTCGTGTTGTCGAGTGCGTATCCGAACACCTCGACCTTCTGCATCAGGGTCAGACAGTCGTAGTCTGGTGCCATCTGGAGCATGATACGGTGCTCGATATTCAGCAGGATCTTGCGGCTCTCGCGGTACTCCCGAATGAGCACGTGGAGGGTATCACTGTTTGGTACCCAGCCCAACAGACCAGACTGCGTCGACAACGGGATTACAGGATACGGTTGGATGTTGAGATGTCGCTTTGCGCACTCGGCATCGTTCTCCAGTAGCGTATTGACCAGGCCGAAGAGTTGCATGACGCGTTCGTCTTGTCGAATATCCTCGTGGCCCTTCAACAAGTACTGATAAGTTTCGCCGTTGTCGCCTGTGAGCAACAGCTTTCTCGGCCGCTGCTTCGATTGAATGACTGTAGACACTGGGTCAAATGCGACGATGCGTACAACCTTCTCCCCGCTTTTGTACGTGCCAGGAGCCGCGAGCTCGAGATTTTCGACCGCTTTCAGTTTTGGCGACACGTACTGCAGCTCCAGGGTCATCAAAGACGGCAGCTGGCGCGCAATTTTGCGGAAGACCTGGTAGTATAGATCCCATGCCTGGTTTAGATCACCAACTTCGTTGGAGTTGCGGAACGTCGTGCACCAGTCGCGCGCCTCTGCTAATTCACGACCGAAAGACTGAATGAATGATATTTCTCGAAGCGTCTCAGGCCCCTTATCGAGCATTGCGTGGAGTGGTGCGAGAGTCTTGAACATGCCTTCAATGTTGTGGTCACCAAAGTACAGACGAGAAGCTTCCTCGAGCCCCTCATGCCATTGCTCGTGCCACAACACGGCGATCCTGATCAGTTCGTGGCTGACAATATCTGCCTGCTCTACGAGCTTGTACGAGTGTGAGCGCATGTCGTTCATGAGCTCGCCTGCTAAGCGCGAGCGACCGCCTTCGTTCGACTTCATGGGAACTGTCAGTGGGAAGACTAGTGCCTGTGGATGATGACGTCCGAGATCACACAGCAGCTTGTGCACAGATTTCCGTACTCGTTCGTTGGGTTGGTTGATGCGAGCCAACAGTTGTGGTATCACATGCAGCCAAGTATCGATACTGACCAGTCCGACTCCCTCATTGACAGCCGCGTTGACTTCATGATGGCCTCCGTGGGTGAACCAGAGGCTAAGTAAGCGCAATGTGTCCTGCAGCGAGCTGACCGATGCCAATGAAATCGACTTGAAAAATCCTTGTATAGCTGGAACAATGTGCTCATGCACCACATTCGACGGCACATGCTTCTGCTCTCCTTCCAGTGTTCCCGTGATGGAGTTGACGACTTCGAAGTTGGCAAGAGCCCAGGCATGCCAGGCCTTGTACCAGTCTGTATTGTATCTGGTTGCGGCGCTGTACGAAGAAAGAATGTCGTGGACCTGGTCATGATGCCAGTCTCCGTGGTGAAGTGCAGTTTGCCATTCTCCTTGCTTCAGGTAGCATTTGGCCAAAAGCCTGTGGCAATCTGCAAGGTCTTTCGCTGTAAGTGGGGGCTGGTATGAGCCACTCATGCCATTGGATCCACTGAGCGAGAGACTGTTCATTCCATTGACTGGGTAGCCGTTGGTCAGGCCGGTCACCGCGAGGGCGCCATGCACACCGTTTGGACTTGCATGAATGTCTCGGGTGCGGATTTGTAGGTCATCAGCAATTTGTGCAGTAAATTGCTTCAACCCTAGTAAAGCTCTTGCGGGCTGTCCTTCGCTTGGGCTCGACCATATGAACTTCAGGACCGCGTAGGAGATATGTGGATCGATCTCTTTACTGTGTACTGAAAGGTAACTCAACATATCATCTGTAGAAGGTGTGCCAAGGAGGTCGCACAACGTCTTCCGAGCCAAACCAAGTCTTTGGTTCTTTCGGCAAAGGTTCGTAAACTTGATGGACATCTCCACATCTTCTTTGGGTGTGATGACAAGAGCCCGAATCTTGAGCATTCGTTGCCATACCTCAGGGTTCGGTTGACAACCTTTGAGTCTCTTCATCCAGGTACGGCGAATGCTGGCTTGCTTCTCTGGGTTGTTGGTGCTCTTCTTGTACGTGATGATCTCTTCCAGCTCTGCCATCTGTTGTATGCGCAGCATCGGAAGATATGCCCGCTGGTAGGACTCTCCTAGCACAGAGCTAAGCTCCGTGTCTAGTCCCTCGCGCGCTTTTTCAATATAGATCTGAGCGTCATCAAATTGGTTTCGATGAATCGCAAGTACTGCACCGAAGAACGACCTATCAGGCGTGCTCGGCTTCATGACAGCAAGGTAATTGTCCATCAATTCCCATTGTGATTGTCCCCAAGCCGCAGTGGCAGCCAAAGGAGCGATCGCCTTTCGGTATTCTGAGGAAGCGTGGACCCATTTGTCTTGTGCAAGGCTAGATAGAATGTCCCAGTCACCTAACGCATGTAAACAACGCATCTTGCCCATGGTGACGTCAAACGCATGGGGATCTTCTTTCTCTCGTCTTTGATATGCTTCCAGCGCTTCCTCCCATTTCTGCAACTTCTCGAACCACGTTTCTCGCAATTCAAAGTCGGTGTAATTTTGCGCTTTTCTAAGAATGCCAAACGCAGCGTCTGTCTGCTGAAGCTGATTGTTGATACTGATCAAAGCTTCCACGGCGCTTGCAGTCTGCTCCGCGTTGAATTCGAGCTCTTTATAATGTAGCGCCTTTGCGAAAGCATGGCATTTGGCTGCATACATTCCCAAAACTCTCACGTCTATTGGGAGTGCTTTGTCATCATGTTCCATGAACTCTGCAAGATTGAGAAGGACCTGGAGAATATCGGGCGGAATGTTTGGCGAGGTCAGGGCTGACTCTATCGAACGAACAAGCTCTTCTTGGTACGGCTCGTAGAGCTCTGTCCAGCATGAGACGAACGCAGAATTAAAGAGGGTCTTGGCGATGGGTTGGTATATGCTGGCCAATGGCGTACATGCCCGAAGTGCTTGCTGCGGAGACTCGCGCAGAAGTTCTACACTGAAGCGTCGCATCCACTCGATCCAATCTTCACGTGTACTCTTCTGAGACGCCTCCCAAGCATTCTTCAGGTGCTGCTGATTGACTGCTAATTTCTTGGATGAGATTTCCGTTGCAGTGGCATCCTCGCTATGCTCGGTATAGACCTCATCTGGACTGAGATCCTGAGGCAAGGGCTCGCCCTTCTGAAGCTTGGAAACTATGAGTGAGTAGTTGGAGTTCGTGATCCTTTGTGCGGCGAGGATCTTGTTGATGGTAGGAACAAAATGCATGTAGTCTGGGCCAAGCTGAAAGACAAGGGCGCAGAGGGTATCAAGTGCTGTCCTGTACAGGCTAGTTTCATTGCTAGCCAGTATTCGTGACAAAGGATGGATGATCTTTGCGGCAAACTCGGAGATGTTGACTTGTCTCGACAATCGACCGAGTGTTTCAATTGCATACTTCCGTATCGACAGAGGTTGGCCTGGCTTTTCGAACATTCGTACTATGACTGGGATGATTAGATGCATGTACTCTTCGGCACTCGAGCCAAACACCAAAAAAGCATGCAGGATTTTTTCGGAAGGAGTGCGTTTTGGGGTCATATCTTGATCCAAGACACCGAGCATCAGGGGTAGCACACTGGCTAGATACACTTTGAACTCGCCCTCTAATGATCGCGATATGCTTTCAACAAGTGCAATGATAGTCGCTTGTAGAGTTAGCGAATGGTTCCAAAAGTCCTGAACAGTCTCCAGAATAGCAGGTAAAAACCGTCGGATATGCTGCTTGACGATTCGGACCATTTGACTGAGTTGATTGAAATAACTCTCAAGACGCCCTGGCGCAGCTCCTTTGATGACCATCAGATAGCCTGGTATGACCTGGTCAAGGAATGGTACGCATTTGAGCCCCATAGTGGCATAAATGTTCATGACTGCATCCACAATTCCCGAGTGGTACTGCGCAAGAGAAGCGTCCTTCAGTAACCCCATCAAGGTGTTGATGACAATTGTGGGGTAATATTCTTCGTTCGATGGCGTGGTCCCTTTCATGATGAGCGACACATCTGTTACAGCATCGGCATCTTCCATAAGGTTCCTCTCTGGCGATTTCTCCATGATCTTTTGGTGTTTATCTGGATCTAGGGCGCCTAAAGTTCCCAGTAGCTTGACCGTCTCTCGGCGTAGCGATCCAACAGGCTCGATCTTAACGATGTTGATTAGAACAGTGAGGAGCTGAGGATACTGCTCATATGGTTCAATCACGTAACCCGAGTTGGCTGCGAGGTTGCCCAGGGTCCTCAGCGCAGCCATTCGCTTGGAATCAGAGCTCAGATCCTGCAGGTTGTCCAATATGATAACCATGAGTTCTGGGATGTATTTTGTCATATCCTCTCCTCCGACCATCGCCAGATCGCCAATCGCATTGAGTGTGGCTGAGGCTACCTCTGGGTTAGGATCTTTGGCCTTTGGAAGAAGCACGGTGACTATGGGATCAACGTAGGGCTTGATAAGCTTTGAGGATGCATTTACAAGATGGCTGATCAAGTTGGCGCTTTCTTCCTTGTTTCTTGGACTGTTCGAATATTCCACTTCCGTCAGAAGTTGTATCAAGACCTTCCGTAGAGATGGAAAAACATATGCTGGGTTTACTGAAGTGAGACGTCCAATAATAGTCATAGCGGCCTCGCGAATGCCAAAGACTTCATCGTTGAGTGCCAAGAACAAAGTCCGCACATTCTCAGCCTTGCCCAGGTGTTTGTCAAACCGTGTGTCCAGCGACAGAAGCACTGTGCGACGAATTTCTGGATCTGCATCGGCCACACCAACAGTGAGGAGCTTCTCGATGACATCACCAACGACATTGATGGCATGATGACTAACCTGGCGAACGATCGGATCATGGATAAAAAGTTGGCAACACGTGAGAGCGGCTGCCTTTCGGATCTCCGGGTTGTCGGCATCGACGTACTTGATAGCAACATCCCTTACAAATTCGTTCAATATATGTCCGGAAAAATCGAAACTTCCTAAGGTGTGTAGGGCGAGGGCAATCTCAGTCTCTCTTTGTTGAACGATAGGGGGCTCTTTATGATCTCGTGTCCATATAATCGGAGGTTGGGCCATGTGGTACGGGCTGCCCAAGGGAAGGAATGGCCGACCACAAAGAACCTGGCTAAGAAGATCGAGGAGACGTTCCTGAATGACAGCCTTAGACGGAGGGATGTAATGGGCCATGTCAACAAGTGCTTGGGTTAATGAGTCGCTCAAACCGCATGCAAAGATAGGATCCAATAGGGGCTCAATGCTTTTACTGAGTGTTTGCCCAACAGCAATCGCAATCATACTCAGACACTTGAAGATCGGACCCTCAACCACATTCCTATTGCGCCTACAGATTGTTAGTCGCAGCTTCTAGGCTGGTCGGAGCTACTCACGCCTTGGAGAGCAAGCCCTCCTTAATCAAGGTCAGAACACCGTCCAGATAAGGTGCAATAGCGCTATTGACAGCACTAGCAATTTCGCCCACTGCAATGTAGGAGATATTCCTGCGATCCTTGTCATTTTTTATAAGGCCTTGCAGATGTAGCATGCACTGATGTAAATACTGGCCAGCAAATTCTTGTGGCGCATATGCGGCTAAAATTGGAATGATGATAACCACTTCGCGTCTGATCAAAGGGTCACGATGTTCTCGGTATCTTAGCACTGTGTCGCAGGCATCTCTATACCTCTGGCCGGTCATGAACATAGCTCCCTTTTGTAATAACTCTTTCATGGTGAGAAGTGAGCCATGTATTGCCTCATTCGTGTTTAGTTGAAATCCCTGCCTCAGCTCTTCATAAACACGACCAAACCATGTCTGGCGAAAGTGTGAGTCTCTTGGAGAGATGATTTCGAGCAAGGCGCTGACGGCCTCGGCAGCAGATTCTCGAATCAGGACCTTGGGGTCTCGAAGTGCTACCCAAATGACGTCCAGAATTTGGGGAACCCACTGATACATCAATGTCGGAGAGTTCCTAGCTAACTCGCGAAGGTTGAGAATTGCGGCGAAACGGCGGTTCTCCTGGCGGTCCATCTGTAGCCATTCCAGTGCGCTCTTGACCTCTGCCTCCACCAGTTCCGCTGTGAGTGTTCCACCAGGTTTAACCAGTTTTCCCAGGGCGCGTGCCGACCAAACCATGGCTGTGGTATCACTCCCTCTTGAGACTACTCTTAGATAACTCGCGAACCTTGTTGTCTTTTGCCCGGCATCGTCACCTTTAAAGTCGATCAATTGTAACATGGCAAGTATGCCGCCGATACGATCATTCGTTTCGGTACCCTGGACAACCAGAGTGGATATTTTTGTGTTTACATCAGTGTAGTAGGGCGCAAACTGCCCGGGGGGAAGTTCTAGCATTGTGATCAATCAGACAGCTCGTGTGCCCACATGAAGAGAAGGCGGGTGTACCTCGATGCGCCGCTTCTAAGTTCTGCCGCAATGCGATTGCGGCTCTTTGACGAATCTCATCGTTTCTGATAACCTGTTAGCAATCGGTCCATCATGTAGGCAAGTGTTGGTAGACTTTGATCTGAGTTCCTGAAATATGCGATCCAAGATGTCTCGCGAAGGTTGAGCCATCTTGAGCTGCGGGCACAGCCCGCTATTGTGTTCGTGAAGGAGAAGGACGTGTCATGGGAAGTTCAGGCACTGATGAACGGGTTGAAGAGATCGATAAAAGCAGATACGGCGCGGAGTTTGAGAAAGGCGAATATAAAGTGTCAAGCTCAAAGCTCGCCGAAGACCCCAGCTCGTGGATCATGCGGCGGCAGGTTCCAGGTTGCTCCCGCAGAAAGCTTGGCACGACCGGTAATTTGTAGCCTAACGAAATCGCCTTGATTGTCAGTGAACAGAGTGGCCTGAGCGTCCTACTCTCACAGGTGGGTGTGATGCACAAAATTGATTATGTTTAGACTATTTCGGGGGAGAAGTTTCATGCTTATGTAAAGATTTTGTGTCTTTGTCATTAGAAGAGGGTATCGCTGGTTTAAATTCCGTAGTGCGCCGCCGTTCTACAGATGTGTCCAATAACACTTCATAGTTACCATACCAACAAGCCATATCTGATTGTTCAAATGCTTCTCATCGTCCTAAGCGTAATCGCACGATCATGCATAGGTATGTAAGCTGGTATGACACATAGTAGCCTGATGAGTGTGCAATGATAGTCACCCAAAAAGAATATCAGATCCTCCACAAACGCGGGTTTAATACCAGGAACCCGATCACTCATATTCCTCATCATACTCGTCGTACTCTTGAGCTTCGTCTTCGTCCGAAATGTACTGAATTGCGTCGTTGATCTCCTCTTCATCCATATCTATATCAGATATGTCATCATCATGACCGTCTTCGTCCGTCTGCTGAGGCTTCTGTGGTGGATCTGCCTTTTCAGCCGTGCGGATAACTTCTTCTACCCTAGTAAGAGGCTGCGTAGACTGGCGCGTAGCTTGTGAGGGTGTTGGAGTAGGAAGCATGCCACGAGCAGAGTTGAGAGCTAGCCGTGCAGCCTCAAGGCCAGACTGACCGGAAATGCCAGCAGGCTCAAGGAGACGACTGGGTGTAGCGCGACTAGAAGGCGCAGGACTTGCTTCGATGCTAGCACGGCGAGAGTCAAGACCGCTAGCAGGGGAAGCTGGCCCGGCTCCATACATAGAATTCAGTTGGTCATAGTTGAGCTTGCGTGAGAATGCTGGAGCTCTTCTTCGAATCATCTCAACTGTAGCTTCAGTGGCGTTTTCATATCGCGTTGGAGTGCCATCCTCGTTCTCGTCCAGGCGACGGCGCTTGCGACGGCGAATAGGCTTCTTCGGGCCCCCGCGGGCATCCTCTAAAGCTTTGTCCATAAGACGTTGGTGTTGCACGCGCAACCAGTCGGCATTCTCTGTAACCCATAACTTTTCCTTCCGTGCTACCTCTTCTTTGGAGAGCTGACAGTATTTGACTTCAGGGTCATCTTCAAACTCTCCCTCAAGAACTTCAATCTCATTGGAGACTTTGGATTGATTCCTCATCCTGTCAGAAGCCGCCTTGAGCTCTGCTGCTCGTCGTTCCCAGACTTCCTCTGCATCGTGCTCTGAAGCGATCTGCTGAAGACTGGGATTATTTAGTTCAGCCTCGATAGCTTCTTCGATTGCGGACTCCTCTTGTGCCTCAGAGGCCGTTGGCTCTTGCACGACCGGGATGATCTTACGTGGCCTTCCTCGTTTCTTGGCTGCAGGCTTTTGCGAAGAGCCATCGGTTGCAGTATCTATAGGCAAAGCGGGGATTGCAAAGCCATCAGCATCTCGACGAGGACCACCCCCAACTGGTTCCCCGTCTTTCTTACTGGACCTTTTACGCTTACGCGTCTTCTTCGACGACCCGGTATTGGAGCTATCAGCTTCTCCAATTTCGGCAGTATCTGGGGTATCTGTATCCTCCTCCTGTTCCATCCGCTTCCTCCTTTTTTCAGCCTTCTCCAGAGGTTTCCAGATTGCAGGAGGGTTGGCGGCGTCAGGTAATGTATCGAATTTGTCCCGGAATTCGTCAATGGAAAGAGTCGAAGCTTCAGTCTTTTTAAATTCTTGCATGCGTAGATTTAGAGTAGCATCAGTGACCTTGACGACAAACACAACTTCACGTACGGATCGGCGAAAGTTGTTCATGCGCGCTGCAAGAATCAAACAAGCTCCGATTACTCCTGCGGGACTTCTTCCGTCAGTAAGCCAATCTTTTTTCATGCGACTCATGATTCGCTGCGCATCATGCGCCACGGTAGTCATTTTGGCCCCAAATTCGAGCTTCTTCGCATATCGAATAATCATTTTTTCGAGATCTAACAAACCTGCTTCTTTGTCCTGCTCAAGTCCAAGGGTCTTGCGCATCTCCTTGTATATCTTGCCTAGGGTGAACACGCTCGTCTTGGTCTTCTCGGCGATATCCGCAAGGGCCATTTGTTCTTCCTTGTTGTTCGAGTAACGGCAAGCGTGGTATATGCAGACGCCTGCGACTTGATCGATCTGACGACCTTGAACGAAGTTATGATGTTGTACCATCCTGTAGGCACCGACAGCTTTTTCCGTCAGGCTGTCACTGAGGCGAAGCTGATGGCAGATCATTTTGGCCTGGTCGGCACCACGCTGTGCGGACATGCTCTCTCCTCCGCTCTCTCCGCCGAGACCGCCCATATGTCTGTTTGGTATCCCTAAGCTCCGTGCATGCCTCTGACCCTCTCCGACGAAGGCCCCCTGTACGACGGCCGCGCCTGTTGAAGTCTCACCAAAGGTCACCTCTGACACGATGTTGGAAGAACTCAGCATGATACCACAATTGCTGCATACTAGACCTCCGTCCGATTCTTGCGGCTTGGGATCATCACAGCCACATCCTGCGTTTTTCTTCGATTTGCGCAACGCTGAGGGCGTGTTCTCGCGGGCTCGTCTTAGGCTTTCGGGGTCTTTCATACTCGCGAGACGCCCAATTGGCGGTCCTCGCCGCATTCCACCGGCGATGGTAGACATGATAGGCTAATATGTGCTCGACCGGAGTAAAGTGATAACTTGTACGTTGCGCAGTTGATTGTGAAGTCTCAACTTGGTTCTTCGTCCATATGTTCAACGTCGAGAGTATATAACGCGTTGGCGTTAAGGATATATATCGAAGGGTTTACGATGCGTCGAGGGCAGTGAATGTAACGTCTTCGCTGCCCGAACGTAAGGAATCAAGGTGGAATAAGCGATCTACTCTTCAAGAAAAAAGTTAGTGCTTTAGGCATGGTGTAAAAAGGTCTACGTAGGCTATAGACTGCCTAGCGACGACTGCAACTGCGACTGTGACCGTCGAGGACGTAGACGACTCTTTTGTAGTGCAAACGATGAGGAATACTTTTAAGATAGAAAAGCTGCACCTACCTGAAGAAAACGCCCGTTCTCTTAACTGAATCCGGCAATAATGCGCCCGCCTGTTGCAGCGCAAGTGTGTAATGCAGGGAGCGTGGGTGCAACTGAGGTTCGACGGTGGTTGATGTAAAGACAAGATTTGGCGGGGTGGGCTAGTGGTGCTCATGTCTGCCTAAAATTTCGCTTAGAATCTTCCTCTCACACGGGCCGAGTTCGACTCTCTGTTCACTCACACCTTTTAACAACCCTTGATAATTCACTTCCATTGCTATACACGATCGCGGGCATCAATGTATTACACGTAAGTCACTTATCACACTTGGCTCTGTGGACTAGTGCCCTCAAAGCATTTTATGCTTGTGCAGGTAAGCTTGATTATTGGGTGTATGGTGTACGAGCACGATCTCATAGAATATACCTTTAAATGGGTGTTGCAGCCTCGTAAACAAGGTAGCATCGGCAGCTATCACGACTGCAACCCGGAAAACAAGATCGTCTCCCGGTTGCTATATGTGTATATGCCGCAGGGCGAAGAGGAAGGATAAAGTGGTTTCGTCGGCGAGGAGGCAATGCACAGTTCCCGCTCGTACGGGCCTCCCCCACCGGTCTGATTGAGGACTTCCCTGCGTGTTCCTTTTGGTACCTGGCAATGCGGCCAAATTATCGGCCAGTCTAGGTCTGCTGCACGATGACCGACATGGAGCAGGAGAGGTTGGTGGTGTTCTTGGTGCAGGTGGCCCTCTTTGATTACGCCGCCTGCAAACAGACGCCTCTTCCAGTTTCCCCTCGCGCTCACCCAGCAGCGCTAAAGCCCCTTCCCGCAGCTTGCCTGCCCTACCCTGCCCTACCCTGCCTTGAGCTCATTGCCCTGCCCTGACCTGAGCTCATAATGTACTTCAGCCGGCCCCTCAACTTTTCCTCGTTTTCCCAACTCCTCCTTTTCTTCCTCCCATTCCTCTCCCTTCACCTTTGTAGCTCTACTCTAATTGCCCCTTCATCATGTCTACCCGTAAGCGACAAGCCGAGGAGGAGCTCGTGGCTCTCCCTTCTGACGAGTCTGACGAGGAGGAAGAGTAAGCTCAACGTTCTCTTGACGTCATGCCGTTTGCCTTGTAACGTTATTATTGCTGTCGCATTCCACAAATACCCCCAATTGTGATCGCGAGGCTACTGCGACTGTGTTCCTTGAGTCTTCTTTCGTTGCGATACGTCTTTGTGTTGTTGTTTCTGGCATGCCTTTCGCGTCCGTCGTTATAGCTCCCCATTGGGAGCTTGTCTCCTGAGCTTTGATGTCTGTAGCTGTGGCGCTTAACCTGTCATTATTTAAGTTTCCTCTAGCTCTGAGCATCGCTGTTATCACATTTGTCTCATTGACATTGCTTGCACCACAACTCTTGATACAGTCCTCCTTCTGAGAGTGACTTGAGGCTGATCTCGCCCGCCCAGATATGATTCCGAAGGCTCGGAGAACTACGACGAGGAAGAGGACGAAGAAGAAGAGGATGAGGAAGAGGACGAGGTCGTAGAAGAGCAACCAAAATCTAAAGCTCCTCGTATGCAACCCCCATCTTAATTTCACTATTCGCCTTACTCTCCTCATGAATTCTACCCCTGCTCCACCAGGGTGTCTTTCTACATCTTCCACGGATACTGACACCCAACAGAGCCCAAGAAGCGCAAAGTCGAACGCGAGGGTCCGGCTCCTGACGATGAGAAGCCCACTGCCGGATCCGACGCCGAAGATGGCGGTCCAGATGCGTCGGAAGAAGACGAAGAAGCCTCTGATGACGCTGACGATGCAGCCGAGGCGACGGCGAAGAAAGGTGGGCCAGCGGCTGCAGCTGCAAAGGCCAAGGGCGGCGATGTGCCACAAGAGGATGATCTAGAGGAGGTCGATGGGGATGAGGATTAAAGTGGACGATACTAAAGTGGTACGTGCTGGAATCGGGAGAGTGGTTTACGTAGAGGAAAACCCAGCAGATATTGAGCGATTGTGAATGCTAGCTGGGCAGAGCCGTAGTTGCGTCAAACATTCCGCCCTGTCCCCCTGATCCGCTGCCCACTTCTCCTCTATTATGCTCGTCTGTGTCGCGCAGCATTGCGAAACCGATTGAGTACAGCATAAAGATGTTAGATGAAGTTGTCATCTCCGATCCCTTCGTGATCACTACCTACTTCGTGACCTTATTGAACATCTCATTCACGCGCTCTCGAACTCCCGGAGGTCTCTTGTGCTCTGGAACGTTTGTCTGCAGTCCGAACAGTATGACGCTTAGTGTGGATTTCAACGCTTGTGTTGATTTCTCACTCTGTGAAGCCTTGTCTACAGATATGTTTGCACTCGCAGCTCCAACTAGTCTCTCTAAATTATCCAGCGCGTCGGCATCAGAGTCTAGATAGCGCATCACACATTCAGCAGATGGCTGATGGTGCGTGAGCAAACCCAGTGCGAACAAGCCTCTTCGACATGGGTAGCTGTTTGGGTCATTTTGCGCGAGCTTGAACAATGGATGGAGCGTGGACGTTACTGTTTCAGGCTCATGTAATGCTACATCAAAAAAAGAATTGGTAAGAGCCTCAGAATGAGGTTTACATGCGATCTTGACAACTTCCACGACTGCAACTGCGAGGTCTGCAACGTCGGTGTTGGAGGCGTAGATAGACGTGATTATACCGAGGAGCGTTGGTGGCAGCGGTTGTGTGAGATCGCTTTTCCATTGCCATTCTCGGATGTGTCGCCGACTGGTTTCTGAAATTCCGGAAAATACTTTTGGAATATTGGCTGGTGTGTCTGTCAGAAGTCGCTTGATGACGGACGCTGCCTCGGGGCTTATGCGTGGGTCCTTTAGGTATAGCAAGCAAGCACATGCCTCGAGTACGCCTGCTGTACCCAAGGTTGGGCGATTCAGACTCGATTCAGCTAGGCGGAAGAGACATTGAGCTGCGGCGCGCAGAATATTACGATCGGTAGCAGGCGTAATGATATTTAGTACTGCGCGGTGTACGTCCATCTCCTGCACGGCTCGTTCCGAGAGCGAAGTATTGCTTGCCATATTTGCAAGCATAAGACATGCACACATAATGTGTACCCCAGCAACAGAGCTTGTCTCTGAGCGTATAACATCCACAAGCTTCATGAGCTCACATTCAGGAAGAACTTCTGCGATTGTTGACTTATATGTATCTTCTTGAGACAGAAGCACGAGCGCTTTACCAAGAGATTCCGTACTCACAAGTTGCTGTACAAGTTTCAAGTTCACCTCCTTACCTTGTTCTTCGGCAGCGTCGTCAAAATCAAACAATTCCTCTTGAATGTCCTGGACCACTTCTCTGCGTGTTGCTTCCGGGAGATCTAGGAGCTTCTGTACTCTCCTATCGTTGTCGACCAAAACATCCATACAAGAATTGAATATAGGGGCGTCATTCGCAATAGCTCTCCTGACAGTATCGTTCTCAAGATACTTGACCGTGATTGCAGCACAGCGCGCATACACCGTAAGGTCTTTGAGGATGGTCATGGCTTGTATCAAATAATTCAAGGTGATGAGCGGTTCAACAGTACTAAGATTCCTTGGCAAGTCGTCTGATATGTTCTCGAGGAACGAGATGGCTCTGTCGCATCCTGGACTGTTCTCCGGAAATAGTCCAGCCCACAACCCACTTGCCACTTTGGCATCGAAACCTAACTCCACAGCATATTCGCTTTCAGGGCCTGGTTCAGCGCAAAGATTCATGGCAAGACCGATTGCTATTGGGGCCAAATCTGGATTGTGGAAGAAGTTCGACAGTTTGGGTAGGTAGCTGAGAACGACTTTTCGACATTTTCCTGTTTGCTCATCTAGGGAATTGCCAACAACACGAAGATATTGCTTCGTGAGATCTTTGCTCTTTCCCTCGGTGAATGCTGCTTGTGCACATTGGTATAAAACGCCGAACTCCTCATACTTAGGCCTCAGCTCGGGATCTGCGGCCAATGTAAATACACGGACAAAGCTTTGCCATGACTGTTAGGATTCGACCCACGAGATCCTGCGGCGTCTGCCATAATTTGTATTGCTTGAACGCCGAATGGACTATCCTCCAAGGACCTTCGGACATCGTTTCCAATATGCATCAAGTCTTGACCGTCATGCCATTTTCTCTGCTCGAAGTAGCTCAAAAACTGCTTCCACAATGCTTCCGGTTCGTGTATGACCTCAGACCAGTAGTGGTTTGTCTGACCTGGGCTCGGTGGCCCCATTTCAGTCCTTTTGAGACTCATCAGGAACCTTACGCCATGAAGACTTGATGCCCTTGCGCAAAAGGAACGTAAGCTAAGTCAGAGGAAACGACACACTACCATGTATGAGAGCCGTTACACGTGATCTGCGCTGGCGCTCCCACCACACCTACTTAGTTGTCTGAGGCGCCAAGACCTAAGCGAGCGACACACCAGTCCGCGAAAATCGTAGACGAGACAACCTCACGAATCGAAACTAACGACAGCGACGCCCACCCAACATCCTCACGACACATTCTGATCGCCATATCGCCCAGAATGGCTTCTACACAGAGTGTACAGTGCTTCGGCAAGAAGAAGACCGCGACTGGTATGCTCCATCAGTCCGCTCGCTCGCGCGACTCCATCTCGAATACATATCGCTAACAATTTTATGCAGCTGTCGCTCACTGCAAGGTACGACTACAACAGAAGCCAGGGAATACAGCTATAATGTAGAGGGAGCACAATACTGATTGAGTTGCTATTAGGCCGGAAAAGGTCTCATCAAGGTCAACGGCAAGCCCCTCGCGCTCGTCCAGCCTGAGGTTCTGCGCTTCAAGCTCTACGAACCCGTCCTCATCCTCGGACTTGATAAGTTCGCCGATGTAGACATCCGCGTTCGTGTCTCCGGCGGTGGTCACACTTCCCAGATCTACGCCATTCGACAAGCCATTGCCAAGTCAATCGTACGTTGATCCAGACCCTGCAAGAGAAGGAAAACGAGAACGAGAAGATTGACGATGCAAACAATGGAACGTGCATTTGAGAAGGAATGCTAACAATGCCTGCTACAGATTGCATACTACCAAAAATTCGTCGATGAGCACTCAAAGAACCAACTGAAGACCGCCCTCGTACAATACGACCGCACACTCCTCGTTGCCGACAACAGACGGTGCGAGCCCAAGAAGTTTGGCGGTCCGGGTGCCCGTGCCAGATACCAGAAATCCTACCGTTAAAGAGTACCTGTTATGGGGGTGGGGGCATGCGAAGGAAAAGGTGTATTCACTGCTTCACGGTTGCGGCGATTTCTGCGTCATTGGTCTTACTGGGATCACCCGGCGAATATGTGATATAGGAATGAAAAACCATTGTCTTTTCACACTGAAGACATGCCGATATTGCAGATGTGATAGTGCTGCTTGGAGCATTCGAAAATATGAAATATCAGATGGTATTATATTGGCTATGCGAAGCACCGCCCTGTCGTGGATATAAAACACTACACTTTTGACTAAGCACATACCATCTCTCAACGACATAACGTTTCATTCTCGGCTTTTCAGACTGCGGCTGGATATCTATCATAGACTCAGCCATCGGTACCACTGCTCCTGAAGGCAGCACACAGTTGCGCATAGTGATGAGTCAAGTCCAGAACGTGCTGCGGCATTGTCGTGCCTTGAATAATACTTCTAACCTTCACGGCACCCTCTTCTTCTATGAGCTTCCGTACGTTGTATAGCAAAGAGGGCGAGAACTAGCCAAAGATTAGCCGCATGACTCCAGAAATGTCCTGGACGTAACCAACCTCAGAATACCACCTGTATTGCCATGTGACCAGCCGGATAAGCGCGCCTAGGTTCTCCCTCACATCGCTGTGGGTTTCATACACTTTTAACACGCCTTTCATGGCCTTCGGGCTGAACCTCATCTGCAGGCAAGACTCAAATGCCTCGATGGCTTCGTCAGAATGGTGCAGTCTCTCTGCCAGCTCTCCCAGGATTTCCCACTCATCAGCAGATTTCTTGTATGCGAGCTGACGCTCGCGATATTGTGCCATTTCCGTGCGCCAGATGGTGTACACTCGCAGATCTTCATACAGCACCATGAAAAGGTTGTCGAGCCAGCGTTCACACAAGCGTTTGTTATGGAATTGCGTGTAGTTCTGCTGGGCTGTCTGATCGGGCTCGTCGCTGCCTGCCTTGACTGTCTCTGACGCAACAGTGAGACTGGGCTTCTCCAGATTTTGGGCCTCGGCCTCAGCTGCGGAGGAGGGGTCGGTCTCTGATGCACCTTCTGATGTGTCCTCTTCGCTGTCTGCATCGTCGTTCCCCTTGTTGCCGTTGGTGTTGGGGCTCGGGGAGTGGAGAGCGGTGGTGCTGGCATTTCTACTGGCAGGCACATGCGCGGCAGTCTGCTTTTCGTGGCGGTATTCTTCTTCCATGACGAAGACTTGGCTACGGATCTTGAGCAGTTGATCCCACCCGATCTTTTTGGCTATCTCAGTTAGGAGTGTATACGCTTTGGCAAAAGTGCCTTTGAATTGTGCTGCGTGAAGCTTGCGCAAAGTCGGATGTACCGCGTCAGAGTCTCCATCTACGGTGCTGTCATCAATCTCGTCGCATATGGTCTCTGGCATTGCCGGTAGAGAGAGACGGAGGGGTTCGGGTATGCGAGGGGCGTCTTTATCTTGATACGTAAACATTGGACATGAGTTCAAGGTCAGAAGCGCCAGATCCCATTGCTCTAGATTCACGTAGATTTCTGCGAGTCTAGCCCAAGTGCCGAATTCACTTGGTGCTGAGACAACGCTACGTTTTGCTATTTCTAGAGCGAGATCCGGTCGTCCTTTCTGATTGCAAAAATCAGCTTGGCAGTCTAACAAGGAATAGTCCATAGGAAGCTCCTGAATGGCGTCATGCAGCAGCTGCACTGCTTTGACCTCCTCGTCTGCGGCGATATAGACTCGAGCGAGGAGGGATGATATTTCAGGGTCGCGCGTGCGGAGTTTCTCAAACAAATTGATACCCGATGGATATCTTCCAGTCGTGTGAATATAGTCCAAAAGTCCAGTCGTAAGGTGGTTAGAGACAAGATTTGGTACTTGGATTTCTGGATCAGATCCCAGCTGCCAGCCATTGAAGAATAGGCGCTCAGCAGCATCAAGAAACTTATGCTCCGCATCTGTGCTGGTAATTGGATTGAATCTTCGTACGCCTATAATCTTTTTGATTACTTCTCCAGAACCGTCGTCGGCATAGGAATAGGCGCGTAAGACACTACAAAGGTAGGTTTCTAGCCAAAGCTCATCCGTAGCAACTCTTTTGTCTCCCCTTTCGTCGATGCAATAGGCTTCCACAGTTCCTGGAATTGCCACCTGCACGCGCATGTCGAGTCTGGAGAACGCATTGTAGCAACAATAGAGCCCCTGCGTGACCTTGTTGGTTTTATCAAGTGGATTATAGGTGAGGGTGTTGATATAGGCGGCAAGACTGGCGGAAGAGGAGGCGTCTACACCAGTGACATGATGGTATACACCAATCTTTATCGTCTTGATTAGCTGTGCTTTTCGTGATGTCCGGTAAGCGCATGTACCTGTTTCGTGGTCGATTTGACCGGCTGTTTGACAAGATGAACCAAGTCGGGAGGTCCTAGTTCGCGCAAGGCAGAGAGTGATTCAGTGCGTGCTTCTATGACTGATTGGCTGTCATCTTCGAATATCCTATACGCCACGACATATCAGTATTGATCTTTCGTGTCGATAGCATAGCCGTGGAGGTATATCCAGTGGCTTTAGTAAACTAAATGAACTTTGAAGAGCTACATGAGTTGAAGCCAATTAGGCTACGAGGGTGCCGGGAACTGCAAGGAGATCATAAAGCTGAGACCTACTCCGGCACGGACGGCGCTGTAACCATTGCGAGGTCGCGATGTAGAATTGGCAGGGTATAAGGGTGTAATAGTTGTATGAACCTCCGTGTATGGACCTTCGTGGAGAAGACAATTTGATCTTACGGTCTCATCATGACGTCGGAGTGTATTGTAGCGAGCAACTTTATGGACTATTAGCTATGAGACGTATGTTGTCTACAACCTGGTCCCACTAATATGTTCATGAACCCATTAACGGAGTATCTCCGGCTGTTACGACGCGCCAGGTCACAGCTCACACGTGAAGTTGCGCGTCTCTGCGGCGAGCACAAAGGCTTATGCTTGACAGCTTGCGATCTCTCTGGATGGCTTCTCAGCTATGTGCCTCTACCAAAGAACTAAATAAATGCGCATGTCGCGTATGTATTTGAGCGACTGGCCACGGCAACACATTCCCGAGATTACAGAGTTGATTGGATTCAGCGTCACTGTTGATACTCGTACTTTGATACGATCATGGTGAGTCATTTCAGTAACCTGATCGACTATTGATCTGTTCTGATCAGATTTTAGGCGACCTTCAAAGCCCTCAACCTCGAATCCGACAGCGAATCCGACGATGAAGTCGACAACACGAAGGAGATTCAGATAGAGGAAGCATTGAAACTGTATCAAAACGCACTGAAGTACCACTCCGAGGGACCACAGTCATACGATAAAGCAAAAGAAGCCTATGCCTCCCTATTCAATTCCGAAGTTTTCAAGTACCCCGAGTCCTTATCCGAGTATCGCAGATCGGAGTTACTGGGGGATCAGTTTGATTTTGAATATGCTTTGCCCGATGATGTGGAGGCTGGACCTGTAGCACTACCTGCGCCCTCTGACAGCGCGCCTAATACTCTTCCTCAAATACTTCACCTGTCAAATAAGAACCATGGTCAACTGCTCATGGACATCTTAGTGCAACGGCATAGGGAATGGACAGCACGCCCTAGAGAGGAACAAGACCAATTCAAGGTTGAAGATCTTGCCCTGAACCTCATCAATGCAGCTGTAATCGCGCTCGACTACTTTGCAAATGCTTTGGACAAAGATGATGCTGATATTGGACTGTGGTCGCGCACAGCCTCAGTCGCTGAAGTTATTGGTAGCAAACGTTTGGCAAGGTTCTGTATAGAAGCTGTACTGGATGGAGACGACGAGGGATTGGAAGGTATTTTGAGGCTTCCTGGTCTACAGGAGACTCGTGCAATGCAGCAGTTGAAAGAAGTATGTCCCCCACGTTCATAGGAAACAAGTTCTAACTGTGCCATAGCTGGCAGAAGTTGTCGAAGATGATCTTTCCGTACTTCAGCCTCCTTTGTCTTCGTGGCAGCGTAAGAGTCTCTCAAGTGCCTTGAAACAGCGACTTGTTACCCATACGTATCCCCAGTTATCGACGATAGCGTCTTCTGCTTCGAAATTGAAGAGCCTGGAGATGGTAACTGGATCAAGTCCTCAAGATCAGACTCTTTCACCGGCAAAAGAAGACTGGGGTGCAGTTGGTGAATCCATTCTCCAGACATATGTATCAGAGCAGAATGGGGTTACTAAAAGTTCTCATGGTGCAGCGATCAGGCTAGCTGTAAAGGAAACGGACGTCAAGTTCCTTCCGCAACACGAGGCGAAGGAGAACGAACTTATACATTCTGAGCCCTCTCCAACACCCGTGGCACGAAAGTCACCATCAGACGAGGACCTCGGAAGGACTCAAGATGCGAACGATAATGCGATGGAAGAACCGCCTCAAGAAAGTGCGGAGCCCCCATCTACTATAGATGCTGGTACAGGAGAGATAAGCACACTCCCATCTAGGAAACGGTCGACTGAGTCTGCCGGCTTGCCAGAGACTGCCGAAGGCGGACGCGGCCGAAGCAAACGTTTGCGAGCTCGTGAAACTGTGACTGAGAGTCAACAGGTGCCAGACCAAGCCAGTACGGAAATCGCCAAACAAATTACAAATCAGCTATGGAATTACGAGCAAGCAGATCACTACCTTTTCACTATCGCTGGGGACCTATTCCGACATATCGATGTTGATGCTTTTGGCACTTCTGCTTCTCTCCGAGATGTTCTTAAAAATGAACTTCCCACCACACTATCTTCGGACGGTGAGCGTCTTTCTTATGCCATGCAGGATCTTCATACTGTGCTCCAAGCATGTACACCAAAGACGACTAGGCTCTTTCGACACGGTGAGTCGGTAGACACTCTCAGTGGCATGTCTCGCGAAGCTGGATTGAACGCATTTCTGGGTAACGCTCGAAGCACCGTCTCTCCCAAAAATTCGAAACCCATGCTAGATCGCACCGAGGGTCTCTGTTCATGGATGGACGAGATCAATACAAGCTGGCTATCTATCAAACAGGTTGCCCTTCGTTGGCTTAAATGCTTCCTCATGCCCCAATCGTTTCCATCAACGACCTCTAGCCACATTTTCCAATCAAGCTACATGTCCCATAAATGGCCTGAAGACGTCAAGCGCACGATTGTTCAAGTCCTGGTCCATCTGGACGAATGCATCTATGAAGATGCTCTCGACCTCTTGAGTACCCTGAATGCTTCGCTACTGGGCAGTGATGAGTCCATGAACAAGTACGAGTTCTCCGAGTTTGATGCTGCACTAGTAGAATATATCGAAACGCTCTTTGAGCTACACCTAGATGTGTACTCGCTCATCAAAAACAGTACCGTAGATACCACAACGCAGGTGCTACAACACGATCGCCTTGAGAAATGGGCCCTTTTAGCGAGAGATGCGCTAAGTCTTCGCCGAGATGGCGTGCCTACTACAAATATGGACGACCTCTCTCTTCGGCATATTTGGGCGTCCGCTTTTCACATCAGCGTATGTGACGGCGTGTTGCAACAACACGTTGTTCGTTGTATAGAGGATGTGAAAGACACCCTGGCTGCTTTGAACGATCATGTCATTATAGTGACCAACAACGCCATCATGCCAGAGCTCTCACTAAGTGCTGCAGATAGAGAGCTTGCTAAGATCAACATGAAAGACTTTTTCTTAAAAGTTTTTGACCACGACGAGAAGGACCCTGTGGCGGTCATTGAGAGCCTGGAGCCTATTGTCGAGCCTTCTGAATTGATAGATGTCAAACGTACTGTAGGGCCGAATACGCAGAACGAATATGACGGCGATGTTACTATGGAGGAGCCAGACAAAGTCGAGGGTGACGTGCCCGATATCTCAACCAAAGGAATAAACCCGGGTAGGAACGTATCACTGACTCCATATACCGAGATGCGAAAGTTTCTCGAGAACGCAAGTTTATCACTACGACTCTCGCTTTGGCAACGCCTCCGCGAGGCCTATCAATCAATCGAGTATTATCCGAAGGTCATGTCATGCTATCTGCGAAGCATTGAGCTGATCTCCAACAACTTCAAATCTGTCATCTATACAGAGTCTCAAGAAGATCAGCGTCAGTTTATGCTGCTCAGCGGGATTCGGATTCTTGATGAGATTCTCTTCAAAATCATGACACTCATCAATAAGGGCAACTTCGATCCCTTCGAATGTCTAGACGAAACCCATCTCAAGTCGTCTGCAAATGCGATAGCCGAAATACTCCGACTACTTACTGTTTCTGACGTCTATGAAGATCGTATCCGCGTCGGCCAAGTACCAGTATCCACGACACAAGGACGAGGAAACGCGGATTATAACATGATCAGTGCAAGGATTAAAGACATGCATGTTCGAGCATGGACACTACAATACTTGCTCCTCAAAGAAGGCATGAAGCAGAATCCCGACAAGTACCCTACAGCAGATGATGATCGCTTAGACTTTCTGCGACACATACACTATGCGATGGGGCTGCGCCAATATGGGCATATGGCCAACAAAGTCTTCCTAAAGCTGCTGAAAGATGAGCTTGTTCATCTCAACGATGTTAGCGATAAAAAGGCTAGAGATGCCGAGCTTTGCCAGACGCTCTATGATATTTATGGACTCAAGTGCTTTACGAAAGCTGAGGACTCCATGGAGTACGGCTCTCCGGAAGAGCCACTGGATGCGAAGACTGCCACACAGTTGTTACCATTTGTGATGGCACAAGCACATAAAATCAGTGTCAAAGACCTACCCAAAACAGAACACAAAGCAGCGATCGACAAGCTTCATGGCGCGCTTGGGCGTCCGAAAGCGAACGGTGATATGATGATGAACAGAAAGGTCATAACTTCCTATCTGAAATCTCCTATCAACCCTCTGAATTGCTTCCGATGCCTGCATGGAGTTGGGGCCTTGTCGACGAAACATATATCCCCAAACCGTGCCATCGCTGCTTCTAAGGGCTGGTATTTCCTCATGGGCAATATTGCATTAAACAAGTTCCGGTCTCAGAAACGAATTGCTCAAGGTCCGACCGAAGAAATAAACTTTGCTGCTGCATTCTTCATGCAAGATCTAGAATACTCTATCGAGCGCTGGGAAACCTGGTATCGTCTTGCTCAAACATATGATACACAGCTGGAAGAAAGTGTTTCGTGGTCAGCCGAAAAATTAAATGGGGACCAATACGATATTATACAACTACAAAGAAATGCAGTGCATTGCTACACTATGGCAGTTGCTTGCGCAAACAGGCAAGTCGACATCACAGAAGAAGATAAGACCACGATGGCCGAGATGTACGCAGACTTCGGCATGCGAATGTACTCTTCTTCTCGTCCCCCCTACAGCTCGAAAGCGTTCGACTTTCGTGAATCCGAAACACGATTTCTTAGCCGCAACGTCGTCCAGCAAGAGGCGCCATATGAAAGTTTTAAAGAATTCACTTTATGGAAATTCTCGAAGACACTGTTTATTCGTGCAATACGCGGCAATCCTGATCGCTGGATGGACCATTTTATGCTTGGCAAGTGTCTATGGAAGATGTATAACTGCACCACACGCAACCATATCGACAATGCCCCAACCATCGAACAAATTGTAAATGCATTTGTCAATGCTATTGATCGGTTGCCGGGGAAGAAAGACTCTAAACGCGAGCCAGTTCTTGAGCCTCATTACAAGCTTGTTTCAATCATCAACAAGTTGGTCCATGATAAGAGTTTGGGTCACGAAAGTGCTTGTGAGGCCTTGCAGTCCACTCGATATGCGCGGACACTCGGAAAGTCCCAGGACTTGGATGACTGGCAGTCATATGTGCTCCAAATTCTTAAGCAACTGCGAAGCGCTGACAAGTCTGGCTGGCATCATCGCATGACGGCAAGAGCGGCGCACGTTGTATACGATGACGACAAATCTAGTATCATGGCGGCCATGGGTGCTAAGCATGAGTTGACGCAGCAGATCTTCACAAAAACAATGGCAGTCCAAGTATGGAAACCTGAGAATGAAAGACCTGGCCGGCATTTTGTTTACACCACTCTCTACACAGACTTCTTTCTACAACTGCTCGTCCAACTTAACGAACGCAGTAGTCTTGAAGCTTTAGCGAAAAGAGTTCGGAAGCGGCCTCATGACTTCTTTGAGCACTCCAAACTTTGGTATAAGATTTGTGTGGAGTACATAAAGCTACTTCGGCGTCATGCGAAAGTTCCGGAAGGTCACGAAGACATCATTTTCAAATCACTCAGTAGCGAAGAGTTCGCAGTCAAGGCAGACCGGCTCGAACAATGGCTTTTGACCGCGGACAGTTCTATGCCCGTAATCGAAGTTCTCAGAGAGGCCGTTGAATTCAAGAAGCTGAACAGTGGCCTCGCTAAATACGCGCTGATAGATGATACTGTCGGAGATGCATATGCCGTGCTATATGCAGATATCGCCCTGACATTACCACCACTGCCTTCAGAGACGCCTAGCCTTCCTCTGAATGCTACTGCAACCCCTTTCTCTGGAGGTCAAGCGCCAGAGAGAACCAATATGATGTCGTTGACCTCCCTCATGAATATGGCTAATTCGGACAAGGCTACTATAGGGGGTGTTGGAGTCGTGATGAATGCTGCGGCTTCATCCACTGTCACAACAGAACCTGTATTGGCTCGTCCGCGCTTCAAGGCTGTGAATCGCCGAGAGATTGCGCGCCGCGCCGAGGCAGCTGTTGCCAGATTAACTACCCTTCAGACAGCTGCCAAGACTCCTGTCCTCCCACAGGGCGATCATACCGTCGAAGTCGTTATCCGTTCGCCTGTTCACGATAGGCGAAAGTCATTTGGGCCTAGTGGTGACAATACTTTGTCTGCCCCAGATCGTGATGATGAAGGTGCCGAGGTCAGTGCACCTGGTAGTGTACATGATAGTGCAGATGATGAAAGCGAGCTCACGCAATTGGAGGACGATGATGACGAGGACGACGAGGACGACGACACCGAACCCCGTCCACCGAAGTCCATGTTTCCCAATCTGTTCCGAAAGGACCACCTTGCTGCTGATGATACAGGGGCTAGTAGCGTAGCTAGTCCAGAGGCAGTGACTGCCGATGAAGGTCATCCCGACGAAGGAGATGAAGATGTGGAGGACATCGATGATGAGGTATTCGAGGAAGCGGAGGAAGAACAGCTACAAGCCGACGATGATGGACCCGAGAAGATCGCTGATGATCACGATTGAACAATGCAGAATCCTTGAATATCATCTGAAATATCTGTATATATTGTATGAGTACCAGAACTTTTGGCGTTTCCGACCTGATCAGGTTCATTTGGGTCATCTCCGGAGTAGAGCTACCAGACTAGCCTAAGGATGGAAATCGGGACGGTTGTCTGTCCTCGCACATAATATTATGCACTTGGCTTGAGAGGTGATATGACGAGAGACACAATGTGTACGAGCCAAAGATATGATCTACAGACTCCCGTATCTAACTTCATTAGTAACAAATGATACATTATTCTGGCTCAGTCGTTTTGAGGGAAACACCGACAATTTTTGCATCACGTGTATGCGGAAATTCAGGAGTTCTTATTCTTTTTACAGTTTTTCGAATCTATCCTGATATTCGTTCACTAAAATTTTCGCACGCTCGAGATCGCCCTCTAGATCAAAATGCCAGATCCAGAAATAGCCTTCCCGCACGGCATCCTCAAATTTGTCCATGTCATCTCCAACTCCTTTGCCCATGAAAGAGATAAGCCCACCCGCCTCGTGTCCTGATACTATCAGACTCTGCGTACGTGGTCTCCGTACCTCATCATAAGCCTTGAACACCGCCTCATAGTCCTTTGGATCTCTAAAGTCACTCAGCAGGTTACCCAATATGAAAGCGTCCTCCATTGCCATTCCTCCTCCTGCCCCCTGGTGGGGCGTGGTGGCATGCGCCGAGTCACCCAAAAGACAAGCTTGTCCTCGGGCATATGGATATGGATGCAGCATGTCATGTAGCGCCCATTGCTCACACTTCGAGTACTTGTCAAACAATTCCATCAGGCCTGGATGCCAGCCTTCCAAGTCTTTGAGCATGGCCTCCTTAGTGCTTTGTTGTAACCATCCGGTTCCTGGCCATGTCGAGCCCTGCTTCTGGATCACACCGACGATGTTTACAAGTGCACCATTTTCAATCGGATAGCTGACGATATACGTACCGTAACCGCAGTATATCTGTCCATTGGTCGCGAGTTCTTCGCCGAGTATGGCGATGGCAGCGTCGCGAGGAATAAGTGCACGATACGCGTATTCAGAACAGTAGTTCGGATGGACAGTCTTCTGACAGACGAAGTCGCGAGTCTTTGATTTTATACCATCTGCTCCGATCACAGCCTGTGCGCAGATCGTGGTTCCGTCGGAGAAGTGCAGGAGGATTGTGTTATTGGTGGAGTCTTCTGATATTGAGGAGAGGCATTTGTTGAACTCAGTTACATCGGGAGGGATGAGCTTTACTAATTCCTCGAGTAGCCGGGCCCGGTGTATACTACTTCGAACAGCTGTGTTGAGCCATTCGTCACGTTCAACCCATTCCTGTTCTTCTTGCAACGCAAATATCAAGTCGCCAGACTTCTTTCCACTCTTATTTCTGGGGTCTTGTCCGTAGCGAAATGCGAACCATGTATTACGATAACTCTCAAACGCATTCTGTGTTACACACTCATTGAAGCCTCTGAGGAGCTCTGGAGATATTAGACCAAGCGCACGTACAGCATTTGTACTGCATGCGATCCCAGCTCCTATCTCTGAAAATTTTGAGACTGCTTCGTAGATGCGGAATGGGACATTTCGTCGTGTGAGACTAACTGCAAGGGCCAGTCCACCTATACCTCCTCCGATGATAGCTATCGGTACGTCTACTTGTGGATCGGACATGTTGACGTATGTGCCGTGACCGAGAATGAGCAGCAAGAAATGTTCTTTAAATGGGCCTGATAGCCGCACAAATGGTAACTGAGATATACGATATTACGCTAATTTCAGGATCCTGTTAGATGTAAGTGGAGGTCAATCCGGGGCCCATCAGGGTGGGGCCGATCCGGATGGATCAGGGGCCTGACTAGCCTTTCAATTCTCCGAGTAGGATCTGCAGACAACAACATACTGTAACTTTTAGCTTTTGCCGTGGAGTATGTATTAACAGCCAGAATACCCTACGAACTAGGCTTATAACTGAACAGTGAGTATTCAGAGTAACTAGAGGAGTCTAAGGAGTATATTCTAAAGGCAGACCGGGCTTATAAGCCATATCCTTCTCTCAAGGACAGCAAACTGCTAGGTATATACAGGATCATATATTATTTGAAAAGGCACCTATTTCGCCAAAACCCGTCTTATCTGCCCAATTCTCAATTTTACATCTGATCTCGGACACATAAGACAAGCTTGTTGCACTCTAAGCCTTCTCTGGGCTATGGAAAGTCAGAGAATCATCCCGCAGGCTTGCAGAGATAAAAATTTCCACTTTGCCGCTTATATATCCCTGGGATTCGCTTCATGTGCATCGTTGGATAACAACCCCTACTCTGGGCATTGGCATCGGTCAATGGATCTTGTAGCTGTTGTAGGTACGTTGATAAGATCATTAGCATGTTAAAAGCATTTTTGTAAGATGGTCAATATATCAATGTCGTCTAAATAGTAGACAATCTGAGGCTGGTATGGTAGGTATTGATATCTTAAACACCTATGTGTTTCATCTACGTTATCAGACTTTTATGGAGAATTCGACTCGCAGATACTCAATAGTGGAGACAGAAAATCCCATCCATTACTGGTATGATAACTTGATTCACCTCTCTCCTTATCTGTGCAGAGGATACCATCCAAAAGTGAACAGGTAAGGGATAGGTTAATTAGGTGCTGAGGCTAGATCACAATATAGTGCTTTGGGCTAATTAATGTACATGTTCCGGCGCTGAGCCACAGTCGCACGCAAGGACTGGTGTAACTTCACCGTACGGGCTTTGTGACCAATTTAGATGAGCTGTCAAAGCAACGGTGTAGGGAATTTAACTCATGCCCACGAGGCCAGCCAGAGAATATTCCTGAGTTATCTTTTCATGGCCTATGATACCGATGACGTGTAAATCATGGTTCTAGAATCCTTGGGTCTATAAACTTTGCAGATTGGCATACTCTTACGCGATTTTGCCCTCGAGTATAGACTAGGCAACTACAGGTCACTGTTAAACATACCATTTAACGATATTGTTGAAGACAACAGGCCGGAAGATTTTCTCTATTGTGAGGTTGTGGACGCCTAAAAGTGAAATCTCAAAGGTGGTTTTCGAGAATGCTGTTTCTCCGGTTCCTCCCCTAATCGATTCAATACCAAAGGCAATAAATTGACTAATATGGACCCACAGCTGATCCATTAGAAATGTTGTTTGACAGAGCACTGAAGTTATCTTGGCGGTTGGCTTAGTATCGAGCTAGGGGTTGGATTCTGACGTTACCCGGTGGGTCTCATCCATGGCTCCGGGAACCACGTTGACTAGCAAAGAACCAACAGAACTATTCTGCGATTCAGCTTATAGCAAAGGTGTGCAGAATCTACAGTTCCTTGACTAGGAAGTAAAGTAAGCGCTATGCGGTGTAGTCATATGAGCAACCCTCCGGAGCGATCATTTCCTCTTCCGCCTGTTTTTAGTGCTAAGCTTTGTCAAAATCTATTTACCTATGTTCTTGCATGGATGTGCCATGACTACATTTCGATGGTCTGATGATAATGTGTTGCAGTATAATTCCAAGTCGGTCTGCAGAGATTAGATTATATCCTGCAATTCCTTTCTGTGTTCACGGAACCGTTGTCAAGATGGCAATGCGACATCTTCTTGTGTGCGCGGCCATTTTTTCAGTACTAGCCCAGGGAATTGTATTGAGCACCAAGGGTCGTTGGATCGTCGATCCCAATGGTCAGCGTGTCAAGCTTCGTTGCGTCAACTGGGCGGGAGCAGGAGAAACACACATCCCAGAAGGGCTTGCGTCCCAGCCTGTTGATACCATCACCAAATTGATCGCGGATGGAGGCTTTAACTGTGTACGCCTCACATATTCGATTGATATGGCTCTAGACCCTGATGAGCGCGTGTCAACCGCTTTCAACCGTGCAGCAGCTGAGACAGGACAATCATCCCTGACCAAAATCTACGACACCGGGAAAGGCAAGAACTCTTTCCTTGCCAGCGGAACAACAAGAGGAGCTTTCGAGGCGGTCATCAATTCTTTGAATAGAAAAGGGATCTTGGTGATCCTTGACAATCATACCTCTAAAGCGCAATGGTGCTGTGGCACGAGCGATGGAAACGGATGGTGGGCATCTGCATCCGGTTACAACGATGCCAATTCGCGATACTTTGATACTGAGAACTGGCTATCCGGACTCAGCGCCATGGCAATTTGGTCGAAGTCTTTCTCAAATGTTGTGGCACTCTCTCTTCGAAACGAATTGCGTGCTGTCGGCGGGCAAGACGGGAACTCGCATGCGGATTGGTATAAATTTGTCTCGCGAGGTGCAAAGGCAATCCACAGCGCGAATCCAAACGCGCTTGTTGTCGTCGGCGGTGTAAACTATGCTCTGGATTTCAGCTTCATGTACAGCAAGCCTCTTGATAGGGCGTCTCTAGGCCTGTCGAGCAAAGTTCTATGGGAGTATCACAGCTACTCTTTCAGCACTGATGTGTCGAATTGTGCAAACTATCAATCCTACATGGGTAACAATGCAGGTTATCTTCTCGCCCAAGGAAAGCCATATACTGGTCCTCTCTGGCTCAGTGAGTTCGGCTTCTCACAAACGTCGATGTCTAGCACAGAAAAGTCGTATTGGGACTGTCTCCGAAACTATATCGAAGGCAACGATGCTGACTGGGCGTATTGGGCCGTGCAGGGCAATTACTATATCCGCGAAGGGGAGGTTGACTATGATGAGACTTTTGGCTTGCTTTCACACGACTGGAGTGTTTGGAGAAATCCTTCCTGGAGGACGATATTTGGCGACAAAATCTTTCGGGTGAACCAGACGCCATAGAGGGAGCTGATCATAGTTGATGTCTTATACGGGTGTGCTCTGCAATGTATATAAAATCCTTGAGATCAGGATGATTGATAAAGTAATGAAGATGGTGTTAACCGGTATCAAAAGACCCTTGGACGACGGTTCGTCACATCGTGATTGATACTGTTGTCAGTAGTGCTCTGTTATTCCGAGTAAGGTCGTTCTGATATCCAAGCGTCTAATACCCCCTAAATGATGTTATATTGTTGAGAATACTCCATATTCCTCATCATAGCTGTCTACTATTGAAGTCCGCTCCACCCAATGTGCTGAGCGTCAGTACTTCCAACCTCGATATTGCCTCTAGTGAACATGATCATTTAAGACAACCACGGTCGAAATATCCCATTAACGCCCCGATGTGTACAAGGTTCTTTCCAGGCACATTTTTCCTACGTTACGATAAGCCTACAGTATAGTGAGCTAAGAAAGCACGTCTTGCTTTGCGCTCTCTGAAGTCATATCATGCATGAACGCGCGTACTCCTTCTCCCGTAGCCTTCCTATCTTAAGTGTTTTATTTCAATATACTTTTCGTACTGGGACTCAACTTCGGACCTTTGCTTTGGATACTGCCACGGAGCACAGCATCTTTATCACCGCTCCCCAAAGCAAAGGTCGCTACGGTCAGCTCAGAATTGTGTGTCTGATGAGGGACATCACGTGTTGTAATGCAAGCTCGAAGCTATAGTATTATCGGGTATTGATATGTGACGTTATGTTGCCGAATAATATGATTAAGGCTGGTAGATACCAGTCCACGCTTGCGACGACTTTACTTTAAAAATACGCCTAAGTGTAATACCTTGGGTTGATTAAGGGACAAAACTGGCGAAGATTCGATTACACAGTTAGTGGAAGCTATTGATATGCGATAGAGCGAACCAGACATAGGTAAATACTAATATAGAGGCGAAAGAAAACTGACCATAGTCTAGAGACGAAAAGGGCGGAAAATACGTGTATACGAGTCGAAGGAAGAGCTGATCCGGCCGACCAGGTTTGTGAATGTGTATCTTTATGTTATCGGTAATGAATACATCGTAGGCAGGTATGAAATATAAGACACTGGCTGAAGTCTCGATGCAGGCGCACTTACAAGGACGTTGAAAAGGGGCATATCGATGAGGCAGTTCTAGATGTGTACGGTGCAGCCAACTCACCTTTTCGCTCCAACAGAAAAGACAAAAATGCACATGTTTAGTAGGTGGCAACTCTGGAGTGGTAGTATAGTATCAACTGCTGATCGAATGAATTGCAGAGTCTGCAGCTAGGACTAGAATCTGCAACGTGCTACGTCCTATGAATGTCTTTCTATCGATATTACAATCAGATTACTACGCGTTTATACCTTAATCTAAGCACGGATGCAATGAAAGTCACCGTTCCTATATTATACATTATGGCATCTCGTACGGAATCGAAATTGAAGAATGTTTCGACCCTAGGGTCTAGCACTCTACCTTATGCACATAGAACTGCTTTCAGAGAATGAGAAAACACAGGGTGTTCTTAGCAGATAATGCTTCAGATGATGTGATTATATTCTGGTTGGTCTAATGATCCTTGACCTTGTGAGGACCAGCCTCATTCTAAGGAAGAGATGTGCCTCATTTCTTCATCACCCGCAGGGCTAGCCAATGTCAGGCGTAGCCTGTATGCTTACTATTTCTCTTCTTTTCATCATCATGATCATCATCTTCTTCTTCATCTTCTTCTTCATCTTCTTCTTCATCTTCTTCTTCATCTTCTTCTTCATCTTCTTCTTCATCTTCTTCTTCATCTTCTTCCGCTTCTCGAAGCATTCTAAGTCTGTCTTCTTCCTTGTCCTTCTTGATCCATGCGTCGGTCTCTCTTTGTTCAGCAGCCCATTCAGCTTCTTGATGAGGTTAGACAGTGACTATGGAGAGTATGGGAAGTTAACAGTTGGTACTTACTCTCGATCATGTTAAGCATCTGGATGGCTCTCTTGACACGTTTCCCGATGAACAAGCCAGTCAGGTAGGCATGATTGGTATTGATTGTCAGAGGGTGGTCGAGAAATGAAGGGTGTGCTAATGTAAGTGGATCATAGCCCTCACACTCAATGACCATCCAATCGGGTACTCCATTGATTGGAGTTATGCTTTGACAGATTCCGAATCTTTCATACATGCTGTTTGCTTCCATCTTGTAGATTCTGAGCGCTTCCATGATATCGGTAAGCTCAGTGTGCGTCTCCGACTCATGACAGTACAACGAGACTTCGAGCTGTTTGATGCCCATGGCTACACGATGCGTGCGAGTTGTGACTCGGAGTCGGAGGCTCTTAGTAAATTGGTAGCGTAGTGTGTCAGATGGAGGAGGAGTTGGTATTGGTTTCAGCTTGTGTCAATGCTATGCTCGATGGGATGTTGAGATGTTAGACGAAGAGGTGTCTTATGTACTCCTATATGACAAAGATACTGACAGAGTCTCCTGCCTACCGCAATAGACCCTCAGAACTACAAAGCACCGTTTGCAGACATGCGAATCGGAATGGTAGTAGCCTGACTTGAGCGGAAATATGTACGCAGAAGCAACAGTGCTACATTTTCGTTCTATAGGTAAATTCTTTGTTCGTTGTTCGCAAATCTGGCAGAACGCTGGCATCAATTGCGTTCACTTTCAGTATTTTGATAAGAGTTAGATGCCTGTTCCGGCGGAGCCAAAATGCTCTCAAGCAAATGTCGCTCACCATTAGTCACATTTGTAAGCTTGGCTGGAATTCAATCAACAAGTAAGATATGTCAGATGGATGTCTTCTCGATTTCATGCTTTGTTCTCTCCGATAATCCGATCTACGAAAAAAAAGAATGCTGGCCGAATCAAGGGGCAGGACCTGAGAACGCAAGGTGCTTGTGCGGGATTTCGGGTAGAAAGGCACTGCCCAGTTCCACAGTTTCATGTTCACAATTGTGGCTACACAGACCGAAAGTCCAGCACCCATGGCGAATTGGTCGTCTATAGTTCTCTGATGCCTACCAATGGGACTACCACAATATATACTACATATTGAAACATCTACCTTATTTCACTCCACCCGATAGGAAGCAAACCCATAGCCGGTTAAGCAATGGACATTCACTGACTGTTTCCAGAGGCACCATACAAGGCTGCATCTACTGGCCATCTCTTACCCCAACAATACCCCCAAAGACCGTTTGATAAAATGTGCCATCAGGACCCACCGATGCTTGCAAATAGTTATCGTTGTATGTCCCGCCAGCACCAGTCCTCACTTTGTAGACAGTCCGACCGGTATCCCAGTCAACCGCTGCGACATACCACACATACTCTCCCCTCGGCGAGCGCTCAGTATCTTGAACGTAGCCATATATCAAGCCAGATCTCGTTGACATGATGGAAACGCCCTTGATAGCTAATTCAGTGTTTGTCCACCGCATGGAGCATGTCCCATTAGGATTAATATCAATGCGCGTCATTCCACCAGCCATTCCGCTCATATCATTCCACTTCCCATTGACATCGACGGGCACGTCAGGCTCGGGTTGATATACTGGCGGAATGCCGTAGTTGTTCTGTATGATAACGCCATGCGTCTTCCCATCGAAATGGCCCAGAACAGCGTTATCGTTGTTGCTCTTGCCAGGCGTGAAAAGGGGCACTTTGCAAAGTACCTGCTTGTCTGTACTGTTCTGCGTCTTCTGGTGAAAGATGTTGAGCTTCACTTGTGGACTTGATCGATCCGTGATTGCAACATAGTTGTCTTGCAACAGCACGGGCGATGACCCGGACCCACGAACATCGCCGTCTGCATCCAGACCGGCTGTGTACGGAGCTCGCCACTTGATTTTGGCCCCCTCGCGACCTGAAGTTACCGAATACATGTACCCGGTAGCATTGCTCGCGTTTGCCATGGCTGTAGGTCCACTTACCATGTACACATCCAAGCCACTGACAGCAATGCCATTCTCCACAAACTCTCCATGTACATGCTCTTTCACGACAGTCCCGTTCGGCGTGACATAGCCGAAGGTAAACGACTCTTGTGCTGCGTCACCACCATTTATCGTGCCGCCCGTTGTAAACCAGATATTGCCCGCCGTGTCATACATGGCATTCAGCAGCTGCTCGCCAGACAAGAATGCACCCGCTAGTGAGATCGTCCGCGTAGTGGTGAAACAAGGCGTCGTACCGCAAGTCCCGCGGTGCACGACATATACGTGACCCTGGTACGTACTGACAACAATGTCGTCAGTCTCCTTGATGTACTCCATGTAGCTGAACCGTAGCGTCTCGTTTCCAGGTGGGTACCATGCAGCTTGAATTTGCAGCGTGCTTGGATCCATGGCAACGAGGCCAAGCTTTGGCGCGCTGCTGGATATGGTGGTATTGGCGTAGCCGCAGGTCATGCTTCCATCAGAGCCCCATACCATCATTAAGACTTTGGCGCTGCTGCTGCGGATGTGTGGGTCAATGCCGAGGGGGCCTTGGTCGTCTCGAGCACCGGAGTTGCCACCATCAGTGTGCATAAGGGAGGCATCAGGGTAGAATTTGAAGAGGGGCTTGAGTGGGTGTGCGGATGCAGCAGAGCCGATGAATGAGGAGCTGTTGAGAACTTGGCTGTCGGCGATGGAAGGAGCCTTAGGATAGATGTAATTGTTGGAGGCATTCTCGTGGTACGATTAGCTGTGGTGGCCGAAATGAACGGGTGATCAGACTGTGGAACTGAGCTTACATTGCACGATTCTGCTTCAATAACACCCAAAACTAAGAGCAGCGAGCATAATATAGGATGAAGGTGTACCATGATGGATGCTGGCTTCGAGAAATTCACACTGCTCAAAAGCTCGAGAAGAACGAGCTATAGGCTTCAGTTACTAATAAAGGAGTAACGAGTAAGCACCACGAGAGGAAGTCTGTCGGGTATCGTCGTATAGAGCGAGTTGATTGTCAAATATCGACATTGATTGTCTTGAGGCAGAAGCTTTATAAAAGTGCCCCCCTATACACCGCTTCTCTATGACGTACACATCACCAAAGCCCCAAGCAACCATGACGAACTGCACTGCCAAACATAGATTTCTGACTAGACTAACGCATATACACAACAAGCTTACAAGCTGTATATCACTCTGCACGCCAAGCTCCAAATACACGTATCTATTCACCCTTGCCAAGCTTTCGCCCCTATCCACCGAATATCATCCAAGCCTTCAAGCAAGGCTATGATAGCATACGCTGTAGGCGATGTGCAGTCCCGAAAATCTTGCACTGCATCATCACACCAAAGTCTAAATATCGAATTCGCCTTGCTAGCGCCGAGATCTCATACATATCTTTCAGCCACGGAAAAGGTCTAGCCTATTTCAGTAATGTATAAGCTTGCACTGACGCCCACTAAGCTGTTCCGGATAGCACGTAGCATTTAGTGTAGGATCTAGCGCAGCCTATATCCCTGTCTAGTGCCCGCAGTGGTGTCTCTCGTGTGGTAAATACGCGTATTTTGCCTAAAATACGTGTATTTAAGTTCTCCATAACCATCGACTGAATTACACGTATTTTGTGCTCTGGACGACCTTTGTTCTACGTGTACGTGTATATCGCGTGCTCGGATTTTTCCGTAGTTACTCTACCGTTCGGTATGCTATGTCGCAGGTTTTGAGTTCGACGATCCCGTACGGAGCTTTTTCGTATCGTGGATGTTTGCGAAATACATTCATTCATTCAGCTTGTAGATGAGCCTCACAGTGACGTTGCGTGATATACATAGCCAGCAGTGACGCAGAAGTGAGCGGAAATCTGGTATACACATATAAAAAGACTCGATCTGTATACTTTTGTTGTTTCAACATCGCAACTTTAAGATAACGATTTTTCGAGCTTCTTTTTAAACCATTTCCCCTGATCGTTCGGTCAAAGACCACGTTTAAATTTAGTTTTTTTGCATTATGGCGGTTATAACATCCCCAAATGGATACATCTTCTACCACTACATCCCCACACAGCCCGGCGCAATCGTCGTCGCCGTGTTATTCGCCCTGGGCACACTGGCCGTACTCTACAGGAGCATCACCACACGCACGGCCTTCGCAATCCCATTCATCATCGGCGGCCTTCGTGAGTCTCCCCTTTATCCTCAACCCGCGCAGATATCGTCAGTCTCATCTGACACACCCTTCGCAGTCGAAGTCCTCGGTTACATTGCGCGCGCCCTCGCCAAAACCACTACATCCACACCCCTCCCGCCTTTCATAATGCAGAACATTCTCCTACTCATCGCGCCTGCACTCTTCGCCGCATCGATATACATGACGCTCGGCCGCGTCATACGCAGTGTACGCGGCGAGGCTTACTCACTGATACGTCCGGCATATCTCACGCGTTTCTTTGTGCTTCTTGATGTCGTGTCGTTCTTCGCGCAGGGTACAGGGGGCGGGTTTCAGGCGAGCAGGAACTTTAACAAGACGACTGCGGAGTACATCATACTTGGCGGTCTGGTGGTGCAGATCTTGGGGTTCGGGCTATTTGCGGTAACGGCGGGGATCTGGCATGTGAGGATGAGGAAAGTCCGAACAGCTACAACAGGGGCGAGTGGCAGATGGGTTGGAGTTATGAAGATGTTGTATGTGGTTAGTGGTCTGATTATGGTGAGGTCGGTGTTTCGAGTTGTGGAGTACGTGATGGGCACGGACGGATATTTGCTGCGGCATGAGTGGCCGTTGTATGTTTTCGACGCTGTGCTCATGATGGGAACGGTTGGTGTGTTTGCGTGGTGGTATCCCGGTCGGCTGGATGTGGCTTCTTCTGGCGAAGAGCATAAAGCAGATGTTGGAAATGATGCTTGATAGCAGAAGGGTTGTATTTGGATGGCTTGACAGCTGCTTGGATTCTAGAGGATAGGTGGATTGCGATGCGACTGTAAGAGGAGTCAGGACACGTTGAGTTATGTAGAAACCTCCCTTTTATGATGGTATAGAACTGTTTGGACACCCTGGGACTGGCGTACGTGACGAATCTGAGGAATTGACCTGCATCGAAGCCATATTTGCAGGCTCTGGCCTACGCTCCATCTCTATCACATGAAGCGGCCATGCAAGTGGCGCTTGCCAATAGCTCCCCAGGTGGCCAGCAATGGCGCGTATCATTACAGCACCAGCATCACCGAAGGCCCAAAAGCCATGACATCGGTGTAGCAAGACACCAAAGTATGCGAGAATGACAAGAGCCTCCGGACGATGCTTCCGTAACATGTCCACAAAGCCGCCCTCTACCTTTACAGAGAACACCGAAGCAGATTGTGGATAATCCTCGACGTCAAGATGGTGGCAGATATCAAAGGAGCATTGAAGGATTTCAATAGCTTGGCGACAGGCTGTGGTACTAGTCTCACTGAGATCAGAGTCGTCTAGAAGCCGGCGCAAAGGATCACATTCGTTGCCTGGCGTAAGGACCTTAGCGTAAGCGTCGAGAACAACAGTAAGAAGGGGCTTGATCTCTGAGTCATGGAGATATAGACGAGCTGGAGGAGTGACAGAGGTGACCCCACGATTGAGACTGAAACATTCTACGAGCCGATCGATGAATGTCTGAAAGTCAGAGCGATAGTTGGCAAGGGTATCAGCGAGAGCATGCCGGCCTAAGATCGCGGAGAAAAGAAACCGAGGAACGGCGGTGGCTCTGTCATCCTTGGGAACCGATTCCGTGAGGCTGGTAAAGGAGGCAACAGCACGAGTCTGGAGTTCTGTAGCGAGGTGTCGGAGATGTATGGCTGATCCAGGATACAAATAAGTCATATGAAAAGCTATGAAAGCAAGAACTTCATCTAGGAGGTAGGGAGAATCGACAGCGCGACGAATGGCAATGTCAATAACGATCCTGTTTGGCCCGCAGATGTTTGGCACTATATGGGCATGGTATAACAGGATCATATGCTGGGACGTAAAGGTGGCCTTGGAATTGAGGTCTGAAACTTCTGAAAATCCAGGATAGCTAGGTAACGATGTGTGCATATCGCCCAATTGCAAAGATGGGTCTGGAGAAGGAACTTCTCGATCGTTAAGCTCAAGACCACTGAGGAACTGATTGGCGTCATGCCTCAGAGAACAGGTCTGAGAGAGGTTATTTGGTGCTCGCTCAGGATCTGATCGAGTGTGTTGTCGACGACTTGGCGGTGGTATCTGCGGGTGCTCCATATCCGCAGTATCGATAACGCATGGTGTACTGTGACTACTCGCTCTGCACTCTGGCGAGAATCCATGAGTTTCATTCGACTGTTGTTCCTGCGCAGCATCCTGCTTCCCCCTTTTTTTCTTAGGCGGTGGGAAGAAACAGATGCGCTCTGCGACTGCACAATTTGCGCACGAGGGCCGACGTTCATCGCAGCGGATATGACGTCTTTTGCATTCAGCACACCCGTTTCGAGACTTCGTATGGCCCCGGCGAGTTTTCGTACGCATGGCACTCGAGGATGCGTAGTCAGGTGACTCGTCAAGGCTAGTCGAGTTGCGAGTCTGTCGGGGCATGACAACAAATTAGCTCTGACGATAGCATCCGTTTGATCACTTCAGGCCAGGCGTATCTCAGGAGGTTGAAGGAGATATAGCGGTCATCAACGTCGTGTAGGATTGCATGAATGGATGTTTGCGCGTCGTGGAATCATGATGGAGGCATCATGACTCTAGGGACCACTACCCCTATATCTATGTGGTTGTAGATACAGTATACGATGTCCTAAGAAACTAAACGCGAAGGCTGTGGTCGAGCTAAGGTGAGGCTGAAGACGATGAGGAAGAAATGTGAATTAATGCTGTTCATGGGCCGAGCTTGGCGTATAATCCGGATTGGTTCTAGCGTACATTAGCTTAGCCTTCGAGCGTGCTAGAATAAACTGAGATGGTCTAAATAACACTCGGGCACGTACCCAATCGGCACGCGCCCGTTCACGAATCCTCTCATCACCAGCAGTTCATCTCATCGGTTTAGAGATATACCAACGAGAGGGAGAAAATGCAGTACAACCCGAACTCAGTAATTTATGCTGGGGACGTCGTTGTACATTTATACCGCTGTACTGTTATATAGCGCCTTATAAGTCTGCTATAGTTGCTATCTTCAAGCCCCCTTGGTCCTTCAACGCGCATCGTCTCGTGCGACTAAACATTGCAAGATTTTTTTTCCAGATCGTTGCCTGTGAGGAGACAAGATCCCCGTCGATGGGCTCGATACGATACTTTCACGGGAATAATTCTTCTTAGGCTTGACCTGTCATAGGCCCCGAGCTCAAGTGGATGTTCAGAAGTTTTATGTACCACTCAAGGGCCTTCTCAAGAAGATTCCTTGGATTCTTCGCCCAGTATCCTTTCCATACGTCTCAGACCTTATCGTGTTCAAGCGATGTCGGCTCAATTGGTCGTGAAAATGTGCCGTTCTAGCACCCGAAGGCTCTCTGAAATGGCTCATGGAAGGCGCCACCGCACCACCAAGCGATTGTAGAACTTGTCGACCAGATGGAGCATCCCAACAAGCTGATCGTTGAATATCGTACTACCAGTCTGATCTTTGTTGCCGGGAGGAAGCGTATACTATATATGAGAGATCACATAGCGCAGTGTAGAAGGGCGCAGTCAATGTTAATTTGACGATAGGAGCCTCGAGCTCGCATGTGTCACTGTAGACATGTTCATCGTCAGGGTAACGTTTATGCTTGGGCACCGCGTGTCTGGACCCAGTTGCGGTCCGGACGATGAACCGCAACATGAGAAAGTGCAGTGCAGCACACATATGAAATCTATGCGTACAAAGTTCCTCTTCCGTCTCATTGCTGTAAACTTATGCTCACGATTCGGACTTGCACGGTCCATACTACATCCGATGCCTGAATTCCCGAGACAATCTTCATATATGTAGTCTCTAGTCTGCAGTACTTCCAACTTCGTTCGATACATCTGTCTCCTCACAAGCTACCCTCGTTGTCTTTCCTCCTTGTCCTAAGTTCTCAGTCGATCGGTCCAGAGTCTTGCCATGGGCCTTGGTATCTTCACTAATCTTGGCTTTTTTGATCGGCGGAGGGTCATCATAAAGTCCAAACGAATCGTCGTCGTCAAGCACACCTGCTAATCCGGACGAGCCGTCACTCGACTTCCGCTTTCTCGTCGTGACCAGGGCGTTAGAACTTTCAACAACGGGCGGCGCGCTGTTGCTACCACTTGATTTACCGGCAGGTTCACCCATCGATTCTGCAGCCTGCGTGGTATCTTGTCCGAGCGAAGGCGCATCATTGGCCATGGGCAAAGACTTGGCTTGTTCATAGAACTTGATTTGATCAGCTTGTTCTTCACATCTTGATTTGTAGCGCTTGAGCTGTTTGTTTAGCTCCTCGATTCTAACTCTTGCCAGGAGCAGTTCGTCCTCGTTCATCCCCGACTCTTTTTCACTGTGGTCGTAATCTCTCTTCAAATCTCTGATTTGGCTTTCGTAGCCATCTCGTAAGGTTTTGGTATGGCTGTCGTGCGCTTTTCGCATCCTCTTGATTATACGGCGTGCTTTTTCATGTAGCTCCTTACCGGTTCTGATTTTTGCGAGTTCCCGATTGAGGGATTTGACCCTGTGTTCCAGCTCTGCTATGACCTTATTAGGATTATCGAGCACAGCAGTCGCATGGTTTAGACGCTGTACCAGACCCTTTAGTACAGCCATGTCATGTTCAGCGGAGATTTCAGCCGTCCATACATTGGGCTGCACATCCGGATCGGAGCTCTCTTCATCTATAGTAGAGTCAGTAAGGCTTTAATTGATACAGGGTGCGGCTTAGAGTTTAGGTCCCTTCATATGACTTACCAGAGCTCGTGTTTCTTGAATCGCTCTCACCAAGCACAGCCTCGTAGTCATGAGACGAGGCAAATCCTTTACTCTCAGACCGCAGAACCCGTCCTCCAGTCGTGGATCTACAGGCTTGCTTTCTAGAAGCTGTAACTGTACTTTTCTCGATCTGGACTTTCGCATCGTGTGCGATAAATTCCGGTGTATCAATCCCGCCAGGGGCTTGACGAACTGAAGCGTCCTCATCGCGGCCATGGAAGGTCCCACGAGGAGACACTAGGTCGAGATCATCTGAAGGGACGTCAGACTGTGTACCTAGCTATTGATATTGGCATCAGGATGTCCTCACCTAGCTGCCCCTCTTCGATGAGAGGTAATTTCGTTGACGTTTTGAGCGCCTCAGCCTGGGTTTCCTCAGGAACATCTGCCGGTTTCGGGATCTGACCAATGACTTGACCTTTTGGTACGACTTTGCGGTTCTCGCCCTCAAAGGTATCTCCAATCACTGTTGAGTTTTGTCGTGTAAATCGTCGAGGCGGCTCCATTGGTTGTTCTGCAGATGCAGCTTCTGCGGCACGTTCTCTATCTATAATAGTCGCTTTTGCGGCCATAGATGTACTATGGGTAACGGAGGTCTTTCTCGGAAGCTTTACTTTCGGAACCTGACTACTAGCTCTTCTCTGTCTGCTGGAGTCATTTGATACGACCTTCATGTCATTCGGATCTGATATGGTGGCCGAGTGCGTGCGTTTCGGCGCCATCTCCGTTGCGATGTGCTGTGATGGATAAAATACAGAACGATGAAGCTTAGTGGTATTTCGAGATAGCGTACGTGTATAGGAAAGGTATGTATGTCGCAAAGTAGCCACAAGAAAGGTCGCAAGAATATGGGCAAGAACAGATGATGACCTTAGCTGAAAAATGGGGCTTATATAGATGTTCATCTGGTCTTGTGATGAATGGAACGCGAATAGAAAGAAATTTATTGTGCTAAAGATGAACAATAGCACGTGTAACAATTGAACGAGGATTCTTCCTCCTGAATATGCTTGTTTCATATGAAGAGAAGTGAATGATCCGAACGAACACGCCTTATTCATGCTCGCATACTCGACTAGGTAGGGCGAGACCTTGAAAGACCACCACAATAGTCCTATGAAGGGCTCTTTGACCCATGATTGAAAGGTTGAAAGAATAAATGCCCTTGTTATACGTTGCTGTCATCCCGAATGGTATTCAGGGTCTAACAGCAACCTTTACGATAATCTGAGAAAAATGGTACCAGTTTGAACAACCTCATGATTTGCGACCTTTGAGTGCGTAAAGACACAGAAATTGTGTTAGGTTTGAACCGGATGGAACTCCAAGTGATGCTGAAAGTGGCTCAACGTTTGATGATTCACTTCCACTGAGTGCGCCGCTGGGGGTGCACCAAACACAATGTGTATCCAGGGCTGTGCATCACTCTATCCGTTATCGTAGGACCTATTAGGTATGCACCTTGACGGAAAAGAAGTTAAAAGATTCATCCATCGAAGCCAATGAGAATATAACCCGTATGAGGACTAGCGTCCTATCGCCATCAACTTCCAGCTCTCAGGCTCGCATCGAAGCAACCCCGTTTAGATCAACAACAGCGGATTATCCGCCCACCAGGAATGAAAATGCGCATCTCCCTCAGCGCTCTCGCCCTCGTCCCAACCCTTCTCCTTGCCGCCCCCCAGCCTCTCACAATCTACACCTCTCCCGTCTCATCCACAAGTAACACCCCGGCGACTCTCCTCACACTCAATTACGACCCGACGACCCTATCCGCAGAAATCCTATCGTACAACCCCCCGAAAGATATTCCGTCTGGTGACCCGAAAGCCACATCGTCCCCATTGACTCGAATTTTCCTCAATAACCCCTCCTCGTCACCGAGCGTCGCAACCTCGATCCTATCCTTCTCGCCCACCTACCAAAAGACGCTCATACTGCACGTCGATGACGCCGGCGAAATATACCACATCGGGTTCGCGACATCTGGTCGTGGCGTGCAGTCACCCCCGAACAAGGCGGGAAATGGAGAGAACGACCACAGTGCGGCGGAAGATGAGATATTGGTTGAAGTAGTAAAGAAAGGTGTTGGGCCGCAGGTGCATTTCAACAAGCCGGTGGTCTTGAATAAGGAGGGAAAGGTCGAGGGCAAGGAGCCAGAGAAGAGTTTCATTCAAAAGTGAGTTGTTGATGAGCATCCCAGTGGTGAATCTGTGCTAATGAGTGATACAGGTACTGGTGGGCAATTGCACTATTCTTGTTGATACAGCTTGTGGCGGGAGGTGGTGGTGGAGACGAGAAGAAATGAGGCGATACCCGGTGGTAATATATGGATCAAGAGAGGGTTGCAAATAGTATGAGACGGTGTAGAGGAAGGGGTCACATTGGACCTAGACAAGAATCATGTCGCTGAAACGTGGTCTCGAAACTCTCAAGGAAGAAATGGCGCTCGGCGCTCTAGAATCTTCTCAAGTATGGTCTACAGAATCCGCGAGGAATGAGTATAAACCAATTGCAATATCCACCAGCGCCCTAGAAAATGCCACCCAAACAGAATAACGCCTGCATGACAAGGTGTCAACGTATACAATACTCGCTCCCATGCAGCCTACGACACGCTCAAATGCATCAACAACACTTCCCACCTTCCTTCGACCTGATCCTTTCCATATCCGCTTGCCACTCCTCTTCAGTTGTGCCCCCTACCGCCGGGGTGGTCGGAAAGCCCAGCCAACTTCGCCGTTTATCCCCCATGCCCAATCTAAAACTCCCACTTCCCGCACCGGGATGATCAAAGTATCCGTTGACATTCCCATTGATACCGGGAGTCATACCAGAGAACAATGCCACGTCTTCTTCCATCTTCTTATTTCGTTGCTCGACTAGCTTCCGCGTTATGACCCTGAAGACTTCTTCCACGCCCTCCCCATCTTTCGCACTTATCTCGTGACAACAATCCCATCCAACGTCTTGCCCCCAGAATCCGCTGCTGCGGTTACTCTGTGGTGACGCAAGCGCGGCATTGTCGTCCTTGTCTCTGCCTTGCTGTGCTTGTGTTGGTGGGAAAAGGTTCTCTGCGACATATGCGATGCAGCGCTCGAAAGGCACTTTGAGGAGGGAAGGGTCTCGCGCGACGATATCGCTTTTTGTGCCGACAACGTGAAGGATGATGTCGGAGCCGAGGTTAGCCTTTAGTTCTTTGAACCAGCGGCCCATTTCCTCGAAGGAGGTTGGGTCGGTGATGTCGTAGCAGAGAACAGCGGCATTAGCACCTTCACAATATACTCATTAGTAGATGTGGTGAGGTCCATCAGGATGTTTTTTTACCTCGATAGTAAAGCTTTGATATACTCCTGAATCTTTCTTGCCCTGCAGTGTCCCAGATTTGTAGACGTACAATGGTGGATGTATCTATGTCTACTACCTTCTTCGTCAAGAACGATGCGCCTATGGTGGACATTGTCGTTGGTGGTACGAATGCATTTTTGACATATCTGTGCACGAGGGATGTCTTGCCGACCCCTTGGCTACCAAGCACTACGATTTTGGCTTCGAGGTCGTTGTTCATGGTGGTCGTCTATAAGGAGAGTATCGTGATGCGGATGTTGAGTCTATCGATAATCAGGAGAACGCAGAGAAAGCTTGATGCGCGTGTGTCTCGTGTTGTCCTGTCGCGACGCCCGGTGACGGAGGTGGAATTAGGAGAAACTACTGGTCATTCGCCGATACGGGATGGAGGCCTGTTGTACAGGAATGGCTGACAATGTTGGACGTGAAGGAGAGCACGGTCATGGCGAGAGGAAGAAGAACGAAGAGGAGAGATTGCTTGTTTGGGCATGAAACATGTTGGGAGACATTGTTTGGTGTTTACTTTGCGGATTAAAATGACATCTGCAGCACGTGCCAGGATCCCTTCGCCCAAGGCTGCCCGACGCTATGGATGGAGCGCCATGGATTAGTAGGATCGCAACACCATTCGTCTATCACCAAATTTCTCTCACCACTCCAACGGCGCTGAAATTCTTTCATCATCATTTGAGCTTGCAACTCAGGAGTTGAGCCTTTTGGCGCTGACGAGGGATTGCTCATGCGGTATTAGTGGCTCTAATAATACAACATGTCGCGGGCGCACCTACCAAGAGACCAGAACATCCACCATACAATCATTCACTGGCTGACTGAGCAAATGACAGACGAAGTATAGCACTCTCTTTAATCTCCTCACCTCAAGGCCTCGATATATTCAGGGCTCGAACATGCTCTACCCGCCAGTCTTCGGCAATCACCTGGTGTAGATTCTGACTTTCTGAGTGTCGCACGCAAGTGTTCTCACCCTCAGTCCAAGAGGATTCCTGCAGGCCTCGCTATCCGTATTCGTAGAGGATCATCGTCCCACTCCATAAGGTTATCTACAAACCCCGACCACTTTTGTAAGCCGTGTAGAGTTCGCGGGGATTTATGTTTCTACGCACCAGCTTGTAGTATTCCTTATAGTGTCGGAAGATGTCTCTCACTCGGAGAACTCTGAAGCTTGTTGAATTCAACCTTCCTTGGCCCTTGGCGAGTGGCCAAGTTACACGAATTGTACCATGAACGTTCTAGGCAGACTCAGCTTTACTTTTTCCGACACCTCATCCGCCGCCCCGTCACTTACCGGCCGCTCTCTTCCGGAACTTCATGTCCGCCCTGTATGCGCTAGATCCATGCGACTGGGATCGAAAACTATCGAACCTGAGAACGAATATGATGGCCGAGCTTTCAAGATCGGGAAAGCTTGCATCTGACATGCTTGGTATACGATGATTTGGTCACATCCGCCTAGGAACAGTAACAGCTTGTCCATGTTTTGCTGACAGGCGTGTCGTGTTCGTGTCCTAGAACAGTGGATCAACACTGCGCCTCCGATATAACAAGGGCTTGACTGAAGCTTGTCGTATCCGTGTCTGGAATCATGTCATGCATATTCAGCCTAATGGCGCTGCTCGTCGTCGTCTGTAGCGTAAGCTCACATCGAATGAATCCTATTGGCCACGAAGAAGTAGTCTAGGTAACGAAATGACTGTTCGACATCATATCAGTAAGTCATTCGGCTCGCATCGAAGTGAAAAAGCACAAATGTTCTGGCCAGATCATGTTTCATAGTGATAATCTGTCCAGGATTTTCCAGACAATACATTGCAACGTCCAACGACCGGTGGGTCCTAGATCGCTCGCCTCTGTAAATAAATCGGTTGTCACTGTTTACCACGCTCATTTGAATACAAGCGGCCGAGATTCAATGCATGATATGCGCCACTGTGCCGGAAAATGAATCTCGGCTCTGATATGGCAAAGCTATTGACCTATTCATGCATGATCTGGTTCGTGATATAAGGGTACGTTTCGCTCCGTAAGAATGGTACAGACCCCCAAACACAAGATCCCGCTGTCTGGTACGTTCTAAACTTTGTTATAACAAGCATTCACATCAATCTCAACCTCTTTGTTTATCTCGCATTAGGCCATTATGCGCTCTAAATCTACATTTCTTATGTTTTCCCTCTTAACGCCATCTGCGCTTTGCTTTTCATTCCCCCAGACCTCAGATATCACCGCATCTATCTCCAACATCTTCAACCGTTCTGGCGGTACCAAATGTCCTGCAATATGGACCACTATCTCCCTCGATCTGACCAAATCCTTCCTCGCCAACGGTCAATGTACCGACCTCGCTCGCGCTGCTATCCGCTATGCTTTCCACGACGCCGGTACATTCAGCCTCAAACTACCCTTTACTGCTCCAGCTGCTGGCGGCGCCGACGGCTCTCTCCTGCTCAACCCCACCGAGATTTCTCGCCCAGAGAACAATGGTCTGCAGGATTACAACAAATTCATCGGCGATAAATTCACTCTATACAAACCACAGGGCGTCGGTGCTGCAGATCTCATCTATTTCGCCGGCAATCATGCAGTTGTGACATGTCCCGGGGGACCCTCAGTCAAGACCGTCATCGGCCGCACCGATTCATCCACCGCATCGCCCACAGGTGTCATGCCGCCCGGCTTCGGCCCAGGTTCTGACCACGACAGCTTATTGAAGCTCTTCGTCGACAAAGGCTTTAGCGCAGAAGATCTCGCCGCACTCGTTGGCGCACACAGCACTTCGAAGAACATTGCCGAAACAGCCATCCCCGTGGGTGCGTCACAGGATAGCACGCCGGGCGTCTGGGACGTCAAATTTTACGCCGAAACATATAACCCCCCACAAGGAGTAGTTCGATTTGATAGTGACATCGCGCTGAGTAACAAGAGTACGGCCGTGGGAAAGAAGTTTGCGGGCTTTGTCGACGGGCAGGGCAAGTGGACCGGCAAGTTTGCAGATGCCATGTATCGATTGTCTGTACTGGGCGTTCCGTCTGGGACAGCGAAGAACTTTGTGGAGTGTACGGATGCGTTGCCGAAGGCTGTGAGTGTGAAGAGGGATATCAGGGGTGCCGCGATCAATGCGCGGGCCGTATGATATAGGATGTTTTTTGCTTTCTGACTTATGTCCTTATGGTATATCCATCTGGAGCAATTTATTTATATAATCAAAAATGTCAATACATACATTCAGCAGATAACATCATGTATAAATCTATAAGTTATCTTCACGAGTATAGGCGATGAAGAATAGAACATCAGGCCCGAGTGTGCGACGCTGTACTGACTAGATTGGAAGATAGGTGATTGAACACGCGTACGAGTGCCAAGAAAGTCAGGTTCTAGGAAACGACGCATCGTCACTGAGCCGGAGGCAAAATCCGCATTGAACCTGAGCGTTTCATGCAGGCGCTGTACCTCACCTTCACTTGCGAGTACATTCATTGTTGCTCGCCTTGGAGCCATGATGTTGGTCGCTGTATAGCTTCGTACTTAAGCGCCAGCACACGTGGCGTGTCTTCAATCTCTGACACCGCGCCCCAATATTCTTACCATTATGGTCATTCGCAGCATTCCGATTCGGCTGAGTCGAAACCTTTCCCGGTCTCCTCTTCCTCGCTGTTGCAGGCTGTTCGTCTCGTGTGCAACTGATATAGAGATCACGGAAAAAGACTGCGAATTGTTCGAGTACACTTCTGGTCGTTGGATGTACGTAGCAAGTCGTGATGAGCATTCTGCAGATCGACCAACTTTCCAATGACAGATTTAACGAACATCTCCGTTTGGCCGAACGACAGTTATCTTTCAACGTAAAAGAACTTCAAAAGGCCGCCGCGGAGTCCGTGAACCAACCATTTTCTGAAGTCCGAAGCTTTCGCAAGTTTGCTGAAGGCGGTTTCAATCGCGTTTTTGAAATATGTATGAGAGATGGAACATCTGTCCTCGCACGACTTCCATATCCGCTGACGCTGCCGCGACGTCTGGCAGTAGCAAGTGAGGTCGCAACCTTAGATTTCATTCGCAGCTATGGCATTCCTACGCCTAGAGTCCTGGATTATTGTGTGGAGATCAATCCCGTTGGCTCTGAGTATATGATAATGGAAAGAGTCTCGGGAACAGCTATTGGAGACTCTTGGTTCGACCTCTCTGAGAAAGAACGGCTCAAAGTTCTGCTCCAAATAGTGGAGCTGGAAGCGAAGCTTTTTGCCCTCCAATTACCAGCTAGCGGGAGCATATACTACGCCCGTGATCTATCGCCTAACTGCCCAAAGATCTACATACCTAATTCTGATGGCCAGCTGTGTATAGGACCATACGCTGGCGAGAGTTGGTGGTTCGGCGAACGTGGAGATCTTGATATTGACAGGGGACCTCGTAAGTCCTACTCTAAGACTATGTTGTTTGACTGTTCTTGACACCCATAGATACTCACCCTTCTCATGTCCTTGAGGCTCCCGCAAAGAAAGAGTTAGCCTGGATCCGGGCATATGGACGACCCCGTTATCCCTTCGATCGCGCATACAGGGGAGTTTTCGACTATAAAAAGCAGGATCCTAAGGAGCACGCAAAATCTCTGGAGACATACATACGCCTAGCGCCATATCTTGTGCCTCCCACTTCCGAGCTTAATTCTCCTATTCTTCGACATCCTGACCTCCAACCGCATAATATTTTTGTTTCCGAGAGTTTCGACGTTACTGGCCTCATAGACTGGCAACATTCCATGGTTCTCCCAACCTTCCTCGTTTCCGGTATACCAAACTCGTTCCAGAATTACAAAGACAAGGAATCTCTGACATTCATCCCGCCGCGACTTCCAGATGATATCGAAATCATGGACATGAACGAGCGTGACAGAGCTCTGGAACAGTTTCGTCGTCGTCACGTACATTTCTATTACTTGGGCTTCACACAACGATCTAACGAGCTACACTGGCAAGCCATACAGCAAGAACCGAGTCTATTGAAACGGCGGATCTTTAATGACGCGGGCAATCCTTGGGAAGGACTCAATCTCACCCTTCAGATGGACTTTGTACGAATACTGGAATCCTGGGACAAAGTGCCTGCGCCCAGGTCTGATGGAGCTCTCCCAGCGTGCCCTATTGTGCTCGAAAAACAAGAGATTCAAAAGCTGATTGCACAAGATGAGTTGCTACGTGAGGCTGACGCCGAAATGGAAGGGATCAACGAGCTGCTCGGCGTGGCGTCCGATGGCTGGGTATCGAATGAGAATTTCGAAATTGCAAAAGGAACATCAGAGTCCTGCAGAGGACAAGCGTTCGATGCGGTCGCTGATGACCCGGTTGAGATGGAGATGACAGAACGCCATTGGCCCTTTGACGATTGGAATGAGGACGAATAGCAAGATGAACTGTACATTGTAACCCTGTTGCTGATTCTCATCTTCTCGCATATTTTGAATCTTCTCCAGGTCTTTCCAAACAGCCAGTGGAATCGTACCAATGCCCAGGGCTAGCTGGCTGCTTCTTGTATGTCATGGAGGAGGATGTCCAGTCAGGTTTAGACTCTTGTCTCTGAGCACATACGCGTCTCTCGGGATTTGCGACAGTCTCAAACCACTCATAATGTTCATAGGCGATCTTCATACATCACCTTTAAGGCCAACTATCTGAACTGGGGTGGACCATAAGGTACGTCTTGCAAGAGTATCTCGAGAGCCAAATGTTGCTTTGATACAACTAAGTCTACCGTTCACTTCAAAGTGATCGTTTGACGTTTATCACTCTCTCTGAGAATGCCACCGTACTTATCAACACGGTGCAAATAGCCACCATAATTATCGTGGTACATCAAGCCATCAACGTAGGTCTCACCGATAAGGGTATACAGTCCATCATTCTCTTGGCGAACAATGTATGGTGTACTTGCACCGGAGATGAGGCAGACCTGATCCCCTTCTAGAACATCCTCGGGTGCAAGCCCCACAAACCCGCTTACAGAAAGCGTTGGTCGGCATGGGCGGAGTCGTGTCATTACACGCACGTACCAGGATACTTCATCTGAAGGTGGCTTCGTTGGCATATGCTGGACTTTCCACGTCTGCAGAATTGTCTGATAAGCCTCTAGAACCTTTTCTCTAGAATGCTCGATACAACGATATGCTATCGCGATCTGAGAAGAATGTTTCTCAACAGCATCATCTTTGATCCGTGGCGAGTCTCGACAAAGTGATCTAATGCCATTGAGGTATTCCAGGCCTTGACGAGGATGGACTCGAGACAACCAATCGGGCGCCCACAAGCCTTTAGTTGTCTTGATTCTGTCGACCAGGATACATTGCAGCGTGAGGTGCCCGCACTGGTTATCGACCTTCAATCCTTCAATAGGAGGTCCTGATAGGCTGCCATATATATTGTCATCGAACGGTGGATCATTCGTCCAAGGCCAAAAGGTTGGGCTCTGCCAATCTGGTACCCAGGACGGAAGATTGCTAGGGCGAGGAGCACGGCATAACGCGAGCATATTGATTCTTCCCTGCTGCAGGAACCTTTCGGCAAGTAGTGTATAAACTTTCTCGCAGGTCGAGGAATAATCTGGGAAGAAGTGGAACTCATCCGAGTCTGCTACAAGCCCAAGCAATGCAAATATACGATCTCGTGGGTTGGAACAAGACAGATGGTTGTAATCTTCTTCCAACAGGGATGATGTCGAAAGTACACTAAAGAGGCTGCGTGGAGTCGACATGTACATATAGCGTTGGCGCAGCGAACAGACACCCTGCATGAAGCTTTCAGCCGCATGGGTATAGCTCCTAGTGATAAGGTCTATATTTTTCTGATCTGCCAGACTGCCATTACCTTTCAGCTCATTCTTGGTTGATCCAATCTCAGCCAAGGAATCAGAAAGGATATCTCCCGATAACCGGTAGGTTCCGCAGGCTACGATGACATCTCGAGCTACGGCAAACTCCTGTATGACCCAAACTCTGGTCCAGTATACAGAGGAAGCAAGATGAACAAAAGCTCGGCGGACGATGTGTGATTGACCCTCTAAGGATTCAATTACATCTTGGAATGCCACTAAGTCAGGCGTTGCTGTTGTACGGTTACCACTAGTCCTAAAGTGAGCCAGACCTATGGATTCCAGATGCGCGAAAAGTAGCTGAGTACCGTCAATTGGAAGCCCTACCCAAGCTATTACTGAAGTCGCTTGAGCGTATATATCGCGCATATGCCGTACTTGGTGCTCCCTCTCGCTTTGGTCGTTTTGGTTAATACAGATCTGATCGACCCAGACGAAGACATCCCTATGACCTGACGCCTGCCGAATGCTAGATAAAGCATTGTATAGATTGACGCCCACCGACATATTGCGACCAGAAACGTCGATGTCCATATGCTCCCCCTCACCCCAAGCGTAAGACAGCGCGATGTACGATGGGGCATTGTCTGGGGCTGCGTGTTGGAGGGTACCACTTATGCGTGTCTCATTGAACATTTCATTGAGTAGGTTTCGATGCTTCAACTTAAAGAGCCGGAACTCACGGAGCGCATCTTTGGAGCTACCTAGTGGTCTATAAAGTGTCATCTTAAATCGATTGTATGTATCGTGGGCAAAGGTCTTCTCGGGTGGCGGCCTGTAAAGCTGGGACGATATATATAGACCTCGGCTTTTTGTGGGGGCTGAAGTGAAGACGAACCATTGGTCACTTTGGTCTATGGATTTACCAGAGAAAGAGTTGTATAGAAATGGAAAACTACAGTGTGCGCATATTCTTCTAGGCTGTCAGGCCATTGTGCAAGCTCGAGAGTGCAGCATGATCTCACTACCGCTTGGCACTTGTGATAACCATTCCGTACTCTGCTGCAAACCAGACAACGACTTTATGTAGACGATCGAACCACTTGAGTCCTTTGACACAGCCATGGATCCAGTCTTTCGCAAATCGGGCTTCCTGATTGTAGGATTGATGGCTGCGAGCCAGAGGCCAGACCCAGTGTGTGGTTGTCTTGTGTACACCGGTCGTATCAATCGCTGGAGAGCATCATCTGGTATCGTCCCTGGCCCACTCATCATACTACGGCGGGTTATGCGGTTGATTGGAAAGTGGTGCAGATCCGTAATCAACATATCGAACTGGTTCCGTATAAGGTGATTAAAATTAGAGACGTCGGTACCGATATATGTCAGTCGAGTAGATCGGTCGATGGGTGGTCTAAGAAGCTCTGTTCGTTCAATGAGCTCGACGAGGTGTCTGCGAAGATCATGTTCCTTATCATCGTTCTCGGCAGCAGCATCAGTGCTTGATGAAAGGCTCTCTATTCTTTTCTCATATGAAGAGATTGCCGCACTGTACAAGACGACGATGGAGATGAAACGAGCCGTGATTTTGTCTTGCGGCGAAGCCTTACGTGAGGTGTACATAAGTTATCACGTGATCTGTAAGTTGTACACGGAAACCCAATCTCTTGGGCATCACATCGAACTTTTCGTGAGTGACAACTGAAACATGATCCTGCTTGCATACAGTATATCAATAGAAGCCCCACAGTACCACTATCGTCACTTGCTTATGTCGATCTGGCGAATCCATTGTTAGCATGTGTAGTCACGTGTGCAATTCCAAGACACGGCTCCACTTACCTGTTCTTTTACGTCTTTCCATCTTCATGAGTGATGCTACCACCAGATATTCCATCAAGGGCATTAATACCATCTCGATGTTTCACAAACTCTCAGAGTCAGCCATGTGGCGTTCGGCAATCTATGTTTCGTCTCTGACCAATGGCAAGCCGGCTGTTTATCGTCGCATATCCACTCACTCACTCGAGGCCGCCACGCCGAAGTCATCGTGCGTCTGACAAATAGATGTCACGTGCCGAAATGCCGTTTACGTATTTGATCGCATGCTCGATGTCGTAGCTGGTCATCAAACCTGGGAGCGAAACACCAATAATTTCACCATGGACACCCTCGACCTGGTCATTATTAATGGTATTTGTGTGACAGCGTCCGACATTGCACCTTATGATGTAGGAATAAAGGGTGAACGAATAGCGATTCTCGCTCCATCAGGGGCTCTTGCGGATGCGAAAGCTGCGAGACGTATTGATGCTGAAGGTGGTTACGTCATGGTACTTACCAGTTATCCAGAGGCCTTTATTTCGCTAATAGCAGCGCAGCCAGGTGGTATAGACTGTCATGTGCATCTCCAGGAGCCAAGTATGTTTGGGAAGGGCTCATCGGCTGATACCTATGAGACCGGGACAAGATCCGCTGTTGCAGGAGGAAATACTACCATTGTCTCCTTTGCGCCACAGCAATCGCACGTTGAGTCCGTCATTGAAGCCATACGCACGACTCATCAGCTTGCCAAGGGCAACTGCTACTGTGACTATGGCTTTCATGCGCTCGTTGCCAACCCGAGTCCCACAGCATTATCAGAATTCCAAAGTCTGGTAGAAACCGAAGGCATCACCTCCCTTAAGATATACATGGTCAGTACTAAACCTTTTTGAACCGAAATGATACTGACTATTCCAGACATATGCAGCTCTGCAGTTGCGAGATGATCAAATTTTATCAGTTTTGCTGATGGCCCGCCAGAACAAGATCCTTACAATGATCCATGCCGAGAATGGCGATGTGCTAGACTGGCTCACCACTGAACTGGTGGCTAGGAAGCTATATGCTCCCAAGTATCATGCTAACTCCCGTCCCCCAATTCTCGAGTCAGAAGCTACGAATCGAGCAATTGCACTATCATCGCTAATCAATCATACTCCAATTCTTCTGGTGCATGTATCTGATCAAGAGGCCGCGAAACGAATACGCAAGGCACAGAGCTGTGGGCAACCGATTTTCGCCGAAACCTGTCCTCAATATCTGTTCCTCACCCGAAATGCTCTCGACAAATTTGGATTCGAAGGTGCAAAACATGTTTGCTCCCCTCCTCCGAGGACTATTGCAGACCAGGATAGGATGTGGACTGGCCTTCACAATGGCACATTCTCGTTGCTAAGCTCAGATCATTGTCCTTTCCGCTTCGATGATGCGATCACAGGCAAGAAGTCTTGTGTTACTGAAGATTTTCCTGTTGGAAGATTCAGTCACATTCCAAATGGACTGCCTGGCATAGAGACTCGCTTACCTCTTGCGTTATCATTGAATGCTGCTGGTAAACCCAAGATTGCTTTGACAAAGTTTGTCGAGGTTACGAGCACGAATGCTGCAAAGCTTTATGGACTATATCCTCGAAAAGGAAGCATGCTCCCAGGTATCTCAGATGCTGACTTAGTGATCTGGTATCCCGATGGCCATATCCACGGTACAAAGATCACAAATGACATACTACATCACGATGTTGACTACACACCATATGAGGGTCACATAGTCCACAATTGGCCACGTTATACGATCCTAAGGGGCAAGGTTGTCTGGGATCGTGATAACGGCGGCATTGTTGGTGAGAAAGGCTTCGGGATGTTTCTGAGAAGGGAGGTCAGTTCTATGCCCGGAGTCTGGGATACTGTGGAAATCAGCTCAGACTTTGACGTCGAGCAATTGTAACACGTGAAGGCCCCGATCTTTAATTCGTCTGTATTCCTTTCCCTAAACCATACGCCACATGACTCGGGTGATCAATTTTTATATTACTCGCACTGCCTCGTCACGATATGAGAACCGACTGCTGCTGCTGCGTTAAAGTTGCACAGTAGTGATCAGACTACGCTAGATACTTGCAAGTATGCAATCCAAAACGTCGAGCTGAGGGTTCTCGCTACTTACTCTGCAATACGAATAGTGGCTATGATACACCAAATCGCCGGATTGTCGAAAACATTGACCAAGATACTTTCATAGTGCTCAGACTCCATCGTTATAGAATTCCGGCATTGATAGCTTTCAGCTTTCCTTCATGAACCTCTTGGCTGCAATCACATCACAGTTCATACCAATAGCGTGGAAATCTAGCACCATGCATTCGACTTCACGACCACTACCGAAGGACATCTACACCCCTCTCCCAACATTCTTCCACGTAGACGAGAGTCTCGACCTAGAGTCTTTGTCACGCCACGTCCAGTACACCGCAATGGCTGGTTGCACACCCGTCGTATGTGGTTCCGCCGGCGAAGCGCCACACCTGTCCTGCGAAGAAAGAATCCCGATCATTCAAACAGCACGCAGTGCCCGTTCGTCGATTACCTTGGATCACATTCCGGTCATAGCAGGCGTCGGCGCGCCCAGCACCCGTGAAACAATCATCTTGGCTACACAAGCATACAGTGCTGGCTCAGATTACGCTATGGCCATTGCGTCGGGGTTTTATGCCAGTGGGCTGGTTAAAAGACGAGCTGCAAGCTATCAAATGCTATTTCTTGGACGTAGCGGGGTGTAGTCCGATTCCGGTCATCATCTATAACTCCCCTCCTGTGGCGGGTGGTATTGACCTCCATAGCGATCTTATCGTTGATGTTGCGCGTCAGTCGCCAGATATAGGTTGTGTAAATTTGACATGTGGGAGCGTAGGTAAGATTGTGAAGATTAATGTTGTTGTTCAGTCTGACCATTTCATGAGTCTAGATCCGAGATCGAAGCCGTGCGAATGCTTTCTTGTTATTGATGGGTTTATCGACATACTGTTGCCGTCGATTGTCTCTGGCGCTGGTGGGGTGAGTTATGTCCCCGAAGAACGAAAACTGATGGGCACTAATCGTGAAAGGCAATATCTGGTCTTCCCAACTTGATCCCTGTAATTCGCTGCCATACACTTCAAATTGGTTTACCAAAGCACTAACACATTCTTCTAGCACACATGCAACAGACTCTGGGAGCTCTGCTTTTCGAAACCCGGCACACCGCAGTATGCAGAAGCCCAAAAGCTTCAGGGCTAACTAGCCCTCTTAGAAGACTTCTTTCAAGAAATTTTCGGGACAAGTCTGAGGCTCAACTCTAAACAAAGGTCCTAACGATAAGTGGTTCGCTGGCCTGAAAATGCTCTTGCACAAACGCTTCGGCTGCAGCCCCTGTCCACGAAGGCCGCTCTTGCCGAGCTTGGAGAGCGATGCTGGCAGATGGTTAGCAAATTCAGTACCGAGATGCTCATTGAAAAACGAAGAACAGCTTTTAAGTGCATCTCCGTGTGACACCCGAACCTTTGTAGACAGACAGACGTCACTTGTTTTCGAAAGTCGTGACAGCTTATCTGAAAAGGAACTGCACAGCAGAAAAGATTAGATCAGTTTCAGCTCAGTACTACTCACCAACCGCGTGACACCCAAGGTCTGACATGTCAGCCTGCGATGGGAGTTCTTTGGATCGAATGCAAAGACCCTACTTCGATCTCAGAGTTAGCAGGAGTATCATACCACCTTTGGGTAGTCATCAGGTAACATGCCATGCTGTTCTAATCTCAGATGGAGACTGTGCTCATACATATCGAATGATTCCCTGGTAGTTGCTCAGATCGAACGTTCAGGAGGATAATTAAGGCGTATGAGGGAAGAGGGTCAGAGGTTTCACAGGGCCACAGTATGCACAATGTCTTCGTGCTCCATCATTATAGATAGAAACATGAAACAAAGGCAGTCGGTGTTAGCTCATAATTGGGGCCATTGCTTATGTTCAGACTTCGTAGCTTGCCGATTACTTACCCTGTCGTAACGCCAGGATGCTGGTGAAGTCCCTGTGTAGAATGCGATTTACACAAGTCTATTGGACTTGCAATGCTAGGTCATCATTCTTGGGACACTTAGGTGCCTGGCTTGTGCTTGAGACGTCCCCGGAATAATTTTCTAGTACTGTACTTTACTTCTTAGTCTGTCGATATGAGATCAAGATACTGTTCATATCGATGTTGTGTCCCATGGAATAACTCTATGAATATTTCCAACCATGGCATGCTTATGAGAGGGTCTATAGACGAGTTTTCCAGATTTGTTCTCGAGAGTAAGCGGGTCGCGCGTATTCATGAGTAAAAATGGCCTCAGCAGACAGACACCATAGATCGAAGTATGGCCGAGTCTTCGAAATCTTCATCATTAGTCTTCATATATATGCTCAATCTAAAGGCGGAGGCGGGGTCTTCAAAGAACTCGCTGATTATCATCTCGCTCTTCAGAGATTGACAATAGGTTGGTGCCTCTCTGAATCTAGCCCATGGATAGGACTCATGTCGTTGACCTGACTATTGTCCTAGCGGCCTGTCAGAACATGAATTCCCTGTCTAATACCCTGCTCAAATTGTTCACAGAAGAGATTTTCACGCCTTCTGTAGGCTTACACTGGAAAGCTTCAAGCAGTAAGAGGGACTTGTGTAAAGAATTATTTGTGCCACAGCCATGAGAGCCAATGAGTAGCCCTGATGCCACTTCTCAGAGGGTGTAACATTAATGCTTGATAGAACGCCACCGAGAATGTTCTCGATTCCCAGAATTACATACTGATGGAGCAATGTAGGAATGCACTATAGATATTGTACTTGGCCCAGGTTCCATATGCTGGTAACTATACTGACTGCAGCTTTTGCAATCATCCTTTCTATTCCTTCTTACCTGATGAAAGATCTCTTTGTGCCTTTCTAGAGATTATCTCAGCCGCCTTTTCCGCGAAGGCGTAAACGGCAGTCAGAATATTCCCTCGTGGAATTATCGGCAAGATACTGGCGTCGCAGACTCTTACGTTCTTTGTGCCATACACTATCAGTCGCTCATCGACAACGCCACATAGATCCTCTCTCATCATGGAACAAGTGCCACACGGATGGTAGTTCGTCGCTGCATTGACTGGAAGTATGTTCTTCGCGTCCTCTAGCGACAAAATCGGGTACGGAAAGCTTCGAGGTAAGCGCTTTCCATTCTGCTTAGTTATAGCAGTGAATGTGGGCCCTTGGAAGAGTCTCTCTACTAGACGCAAATGGCGAGCCAGGATTTCCGTGTCAAGTGGATGAGAGAGATAGTTGAAGCAGATCTCCGGATGATGCCTTGTCCCAGACTTAATATGGCAACTTCCTCGCGAGAAAGGATGGGCCAGCATCGCGACGACCGTCACGTAGTTGCCATCGACATAGCGAGGAGTGTCTTTGGGTAGAGAATCGGTGTCTCTATGACGTTGCAGCGGCAGCATGAATATAGTGGCAGTCGCTTCGTTGGGACTTTCAATTGCTTTCTGGATGACAGAATACTGGGCTTTTAAGCTTGGGTTGTGCTCCTCTTTAACATGACTCTCCACGATGTTAGTCAGTATTTGTGTCTCCGATGATGTTTCGAGCATCTGTAACGGTGTGAAAGCAAAACTATAAGCCCCCCCTTCCGACAGCCGCCCTCTACGATTCTGTTCGTAGTCCATTGATGCAGCATTCCGCTCTTCGGGATCCCTCAGTGCTTCGTCACGAGTATGAACTCCTTCACGAGTTTCACATGACAGGCCACAGTTAATATGGTCTTGTAGGTTCTCTCCGACTCCCGGAAGTTCGTACAGAACAGGAACACGTGCAGCAGTAAGAATCTTTCTGCAGCCTATGCCTGATCGTTCCAATATAGCTGGAGATTCGAAGACGCCTGCACAGAGGATGACCTCCCCGGTTCTGATCAGATACTCTTGCTCCTGGTGTGTGTAGCGCACACCCTTAGCAACGAGTTTTCCCTCCGTGTTCAAATGCTCATCGAACACAATCCTATCAACTTTGGTGGCGGTTTTTAAAACCACATTGCCTCGTTCCAATGCAGGTTCCAGGAATGCTGTTCCTGCGTGACTCCTTTCTCCCTTAGATGAATCGATTGCATTGGTGACAGTGACAGCGCCGGCGGAGCTCTCGGTGAAGCCTGTAGGCTTCGTCGCATGTCCAAGTTCTTCAAACGCTTCCATCCACCGAGATTGAAGACTATCCAGAGCACGTGGGTATGAAACTTTTATATGATCCAGGAACTCTACACTCGCATGCAGTCTCGACTCAGAGCTTTCAAGCTGCCATCGCTTGTAGCAGTCTCTCATGCCTTGTGAGCCCCAGTCTTCTTTCGCTGAGTGTGGTAGAAGCTCTTCCACTAAACGATCTTGCCACTCATGATTAGGGAATACCACACTATGGCTGTTGATCGCACTGCTACCGCCAACTACCTTCCCTCTCGGGTGTTTCACTATTCTATCGTTTAAGCGTGGCTCCGGTATACTGTTGTACTGCCAATCGTAAACAGGATCTGACATAAGTGATGGGGACAAGCCAGGCGTTTGTATCTTTGGATCATCGCGAAGATTCTCGCCGGCCTCCAGAACAAGAATCCGGTGGTTGGGCAGCTGCTGCGAGAGACGTGACGCAATCAAGCATGAAGCTGAACCGGCTCCGACGATTACGAAGTCGGCCTCTGAGGCAGCACTCCGATCTTTAAAGTCTGGCATTGTTTGATATCGTAATCTGTTAGATCATGAAATGGATCACTAGATGCGACGTTATCGTGTCACCTGTCATCCTTCTGTTTCGCCGCCTTCGCAAGTTTCCCCGCTCCTCGCGCCCGAAGCTGGACTTACTAATCCAGGGATCCGGATCTCACCTGGGTTAGATAGATCGTCTGTAGAGCACTAATTATGAACTTTTCCATGATATCATAAATGTATAAAGATCTTTTATCTAACTTGACACATACCTAGGTATATGTAAGCGGTATCAGCTGCACAAGTCTTGACCAAAAAGCAGTATTTCATTCGCTGCAAGTACTACCACCAATGTACAAATTGGACAATTAGTCTCTGTCGCCTGCGTCTCTTTGTCAACGATAGATAACAGTTGAGCGGTAGGGATGTTGTTATACAAGTAGAGACCAATTCTGTACCATCAAAACTGGTGCCTCTGTAGTCATTAGGATGGGTTAATGGGAACGCCATCCGAGGCTGAGCAGTCTAACACGCCTGTCAGTAGCTCTTCTAGCATCTCAGCGATATGTCTTGAACTGGCACGTCTCTTTTCCAGTTGCGTACTGCCCACAGTTTCTACTATCAACACCTCTCTCAAGACCATTTCGAGGATTCCGCTAAGAACCTCTTTTGTTTTAGGTGTATCATAAGATGTTTCACAATTGGTTAAGAGTTGGCTGATTTGCTATTATGGTACTGTAAGCTAGATGTGCAAAAAATATTACGAGGGAAGAAGTGTAAAATGTGCGTAACTTACGTCGATGACTGTGTCTTTCACTCTGGTTTGCCGCATCTGCGAGATGGTATCCCTCCTGAACTCGAAGAAAGCCTTGAAGATCCACCACATTGGTCGTATTCGGTAACATTTCAAACTGCTTTGTAACCTTTCTGAACGACTCCGGGTGTAATAATGACTTCCCTGAGTCCGTTTGGTGCCTATGAACACCACTCAGTGCCTGCGCAAGGCCACAAAATTGCTCGCTGAGCTAGATTCTAAGGTTACTGTAATTGAAGCTTTCTGGGTCATATTTTTTCCAGTATTCGACGAGATCGGCTTCAGGAAATACTAGGTAGTATTCATTTCAATACTCGAAAATTCCAAGAAATGTTACAATGTGATCGTGGGAAGGCCTTGCCTGACTGAACCTCTTCAAGATGCCCAACTCAAACTCAAAGGCACTCTTGGACCTGTGAGTATTTTTTGTGTCTTTGAGTAGACGTTTGACTGCAAAGATGTCGTCACCCTGCTAGTGATGTTAAAAGTCTTTCAACCCTTTCAGAAGCATGCTGCTTACAGTTTCATCTTTGACTCCATAATGAACTTCAAAGTTCTGAGTTCTCAGACATATGACAGCCCGGAGGACATCACTTGATCCGCTGAAGTGAGTCGGCCTTGCACTTGTAAACGGTAGGATCTCATCGTCATGAGAGTACTTAGGTTCAAACGGTGAAAGGGTCGAAAAGTTGCTTACCACAACTTTCCACTGCTCTTGCTCGAAGCTCGATACTGCCCTCTCGGTTCAGTCCTTAGATACGTCAGTCAAATCTCCAGACTTCGTCTTCCATCTTTTCGGTGAATCGGTATTGGCAAGCGGCAGATCCTCATCAGATACTCCACGCTTCAAAAAGGACGTAATCTCCCAGGCCGCTGCATTAGGACTAGCACAGCAAACACCTTCGTATAACACTTGGGCTCTGAGCGACAAGAGCCTGGAAACGGCGTGCTTCCACATATGCTGTGTGCAACGAAATCGGTACTCTCTATACTGTTGCTATAGAAGAAATTACGGAAAAGCTGGGAGCATGATCTTCCCACTTCGCGCATCGAATTTTCTATCTCAGCCACGATAGCTGACTGATGGTGTTGTAATCTCATATATCTTGTGTCCACGTAGAATGTACTGCTTTTGGTAGTTTCCTTGTGGACACTCAACGTGAAGAGCAACTCTCCTCAGCACATCATACAGGCTACATTGACTGACATTAGGATCATTCATTGAGCGATTGCTCAAGTCACTCGATGATGAGTCCGGGAGACTGATGATATTGGAACTTTTCATTTTTGGATTGTGGATCCTCGTTGCTCTACTGAGCCGAAGGTTCACACTGAAGAGATGGCATTGATAGATATTCGACTTGTCAGATCGGAGAGGCAGGTAGATTGGGCCTGTAACATTCTTTCCAGTGTGGATGCAATTCCTGTATCTTGTGCGAGGCTGCGAAGGCATGAGACGTGCTTAGACATACCGCGATGTCAAGTCCTAGGATCAGAAGGCGACAAACGTTTCCGCGTGTAACTCACATAACTAAAATATATCCGTCCGTAACCTTTTCAGTGCAACTCTTGGCACGTGTTACGCGCGTAATACACACATTTTCTCTTATTCTTAAACTTATATTTTTTCTAATAACTCTAGAATTAAGACTCTAGGAAGTTTCTTAGTTATATCTATATATACTTCTATATAGTCTGTTGCTTTCTATATTAAGAAAAAAATAAAGAAAGAATAATAATATATTAATTAGTTATTCTAAGAAAAGCTCTATTTATAATTCTAGTTCTTAAGTATAGGAGGGGTTATAGGAGGGGTAACTTCTAAAGTACCGAGGTATATAGTAAACTTATAGAGAAAATAGAGATTTTCTCTTCTATCTATCTCTTTAAGATCCTTTAGTCTTTAAAAGAATTTAATAAATATTCCTAAGATATAAATAGAAGTATATAAGATCTTCTAATACCTTCTAGAGCCTTAAAGCTAGAGTTATTAGGGAGGGTATAGGTTTTAAGAATTAGAGGTATCGGTAAAAAAACTTATGGATGTGTTGCGCGTACGACACGTGCCAAGAGTTACGCTGAGAAAATTACGGACGGATATTTCTTAGATATATTAGCTTTATAATACTATAATTATTATTTATAACTAGTATTTAGATCAAAGCTATATCGTAGAGCTACATTATTTAGATAATAGAGACTTAATAAGTGAGGTTTTGGTAATAGGAAGGTGGATTTGGACCACTATTGCGGCTCCGCTTGGAACACGGGGCCAATATGAGCTGCGAAAGTGCAATTGGTGCCCGAGGAGTACAGTTTAGATGAGGGCGTAGTCACACTCTGCAGGTAGTTATTGAACCACAAAAGGCAGGCATTCAGGATGCTATGTCTTGTGCGATCTCAAAGCCTGGTTGGTCAGTCGGGTGCCCTAACTCTGAGGTCGCATTATCGAGCTCTCTGGCTTGCAGATAGTATGCATGTAGTGACGACTCATCAACTTGGCAGATACAGGCCATGAATACGGTGTCAAGGCTTTAGCCTTATCACGTGTGAAACACAGTACGGTGCCGCGAAATTGCAACCGAAAATGAACCGTCCGCATCTTGACAATTCTATTCCATGCATAGCTAGAATAGTGAAAATTTTCACAAATAGTCGCTATCATGAAAGATCGAGAGTCCTGAATGCAGGCACTATCAAAACTGTTTTTTCTTGGTTTGCTGGAGCCTTATTGTCTCAACTACTCAACATGGTTTCTTCAGACACGGAATCGGATGGCTCTGAACATACGACAGAACCCAATACCATCGAACGCGCCATATCGAAAGAAAAAAAGCGCAGCCAATTCCATAAGACAGAATCTGGATTCTTTCTTCCAAACGATGCAATCAATCGGATCTTGACTAAAGAGGCCATTGCTCAAGCTACTGCTATGAAAGAAACAGACGCCAGCGTCAACTATACTTTCAAGTTCGCGAAAAGACTGTTTGCCATTGTGGTCTATAGCGTGTCCTACAACGATCTTGGCCGCAGTATACTACAAAACGCTATGGAGTCGTTCAAAAAAGCAAATATCAATGATCACATGCTGCCCCTAATAAGGGACGAAACTGTAGGAGCCTCTGCCAGGGATTCAAGTTTGAAATATTTTTTTAAAAAATACAAGAAGCGCATATGGAAATCCAATATGGAACAGGCATTGGACACATTTGAAGAGCGCCAGTGGATGTTTCTTGCTCCCACATTCTCGTCCGATGTGAAATCTACCATCGACGTTCCATGGTGCGCACCTCTGCCATTCGTGTCACGCGCTCCTTCAATTGCAGAAGGCTCCTTTGGGTGGGTATATCATTACGATGTCCATGGAGCTCATATCGACGACATTGGCTCCCAGGTGAGATTGTACCGATGAGCTCGTGGTGTATATCACTAATATCACCGCAGCACTCGCAGCCCTCTTCAAAATATACGCCCAGGACCGTAGCGGTCAAGGAATTTCGAAAACGGAATGGTGGTAAAGTTTCCGAGCTACGCAAAGCTTGGGAGGCAGAGGCTGAGAATCTAGTCAATGTAGAAGAGAGGGACAGCTCACACATCGTTCACTTCATTGCCGCTTTCCGTAGGTGCTATGCAGATGAACAAATAAACGAGTATTACTTAATGTTTGAGTGGGCAGACGGTGGTAGTCTTCGCCAGCTATGGGAGGTAGTAAAGCCTCGTCCTGACGTTACGTTTGTCAGAACGGTCTTCGATCAGCTGATTGGAATTACAAGAGCAATTAGAAAATGTCACTACAGGGATAGTGATGGCGACAGTACTCACTATCGTCACGGGGATCTGAAACCTGAAAACATCCTTTGGTTTCGAACCAGCAACGATATCAACGATATTGGTACGCTCAAGATCGGCGATTGGGGTATAGCAAAGGGGCATACCCTTGACACTACAATCAGGGTAAATAATACATCAACTCGGTTCGGGACTCAACGCTACGAACCTCCAGAGTCAGAGACTGGATTAGTAGCAGGTTTTGAAGGCCAGAGTGAGAAACGCATCTCTAGACTTTATGATATCTGGGCCATGGGTTGTATTATTCTTGAATTTCTCAGCTGGATGTTGAATGGCTACGAAGGTCTCTCGAGGTTCAACCAATATACAAGTGGCTCTACTGGTCGTGAAGAGCCATTCTACGAACTGGAAATTACCAAGCTAGGGGATAGGAAGAAGGCAGTTGTCCACAGACGTGTTGTGGAAGAAATGAACAGGATGGCCAAGCACCCAAGGTGTCTGGTCAATAAGACCGCTTTGGGTGATCTGCTTCAACTTGTGAGAGACCATATACTAGTTGTGGGCGTTCCAAATCGAACTGCCTCTGTAAATCACAACTTTGAGCATGGAACTCCGGAACAGTGTGGCACGTCCCCCATATGGAATAATATTCATGTGGGGCCGGGTAATGGTGGTAGATCAACTCAAATTGTCCACGATCGAAGCCACAACGACACACCTATGATTGCCGTGAGGGATACAATGGAGGAAGCGGCAAAAGTAGATCCTGAGTCCGATTATGATGAGCTTCCTCAGTATCGATATCAGGCTAAGAAATTCTTGGAGGCACTAGAAACTATCAAGCTTAAGCTTGACAATGACGTCTACCAGTTCGAAGATGCTATCAGTGGTGCAAGTCCCATTACAGTTCCTATCGAAGAGCAAGCAATGTCAAGTGCTGTTAGTAAAATCGAGTCGTTGAACATAGGGAGGGTATGATATCCACATTCTCTTTGGCGACGTTGGTGAAAATTCTCCTCCGCTGCAGAGAATTCCGCTACTTATTGTTGCTCTACAAGTCAGCTACGCTCATCCAAGACTTGACAACGGATGGGAGTATGTTACTGACAATGAAGTTACATCCTTGCTGTGGAGAGAGAACGAGGAATTATTCAGACTGCTCTACTCTAACATAGATTCATCACACCTTTGTCAGGATTGCATGGATGTGCAAGAAAATATCTGGAGCCTGGGTCACGTTATCAACTATCCCGTGTATCAACTCAAATTGAGAGCCGAGTTGGGGCCCTGCAAACTCTACAGTGTTTTATGGGATGCATGTCAAACGAATGGGGCTCAAAGATGCCACTGTCCGCTTCACTCGGAAAGGATCACATCTAGTCATTAACGGCGGAAATACGCCTGCCCTATCTGTGTTTCGACACCTCGGTAGGCTACTTGCTATAGATTTCATATGTTTGACTCTTGCTAAACTTCCATGCAGATCTCATGACAAGTGCAGCAAGAGACGTGCAAATCGGAATTCCAAGATTACCGGCTGTCGGGACACGAGGACATTTCCAGACGCTGAGTCTATGGCTTCATGACTGTGATACAAATCATAGTGATGGAAAATTCTTAGCTCGAAACTAGAAGCAGTCACCGATAAGACCATACCTAAGAGGCTTCTTAGCGTTGGCACCGATGGTGACCCCATTGTCTATCTTCAAGAAATAGGAGATCATAAGAAAGGTATTGAGGTGGTAGCTATGGCCGCAACGTTTCGTGATGCCGTTATTTTGACGCAAGCTCTGAGGAAGCTCTACTTGTGGATCGACTCTCTATGCATTGTTCAAGGGGAAGGCGGGGACTTAAAGACAGAAACAAGGCACATGTTGGAAATATACAGCGGAGCCAGCCTACTATGTCATTGCCGCCAGCAACGCAACGAACCACTTTTTCAGGTTTTCTGAAGAGAAGCAAACAGCTGGACGCTGAATGTCTAGGTCTGAATTTAGAGTCTCCCTTCTTCATTTGCAACATGATAGATGGGTTCCAGAGGCAGGTATTGTAAGGTGAATTGAACCGCCGTGGATGGGTCCTTCAAGAACATGCTCTTGTAAGACGAACGTTGTTCTTCACGGACTACCAAGCTTACTTCGCGGGTCGCGAGGGCGTACGATGCGAGACTATGACCAGAATTCGCATGTAAGTCAGACGAAGACGTTGGTACTACAGAGTGCTAAACACACGGATAGTAATAAAGCAGCATTACTTGGGGATCCAAGATTCCCCCGAATTCTAACACCAGCGGACCAAGGAGAACGCATTCTTAGATACCAAGAACTCTATAAGACGTTCTCAACACTCGAATTTTCCAACAAATTTGATCGTCCCACCGCTATCGACGGCTTGCAGCGCCGACTTCTTCGGACCATGGACTACAATGGTGATTTTGGGATATTGAGTAGAGAATACACGGATGGTGAGGGCCTATATTGACGAGAACGACACTAGAGGTCCTAGGCAGTCGAACAGATCCGTATATACTGGAAGCATTGACTACTTGACCCTAGAGTTCGATGGCATTGACTGGCAAGATATTGAATCTCCTTGGTCTAAAACATCGGGGTCTCTTCCTAAACAGCCACCCAAGTCACACGCTACATGCTGAAGGCAAGAGCTACCACATATATACATCCTATCAGTTTTAACAAGACTCACGGAGTGTGGCTTAGATTTGATCGTCCTCAAGAGTCGATCGAGCCTCAGGAACCATGGTGTATGGTGATTGGGCATTCAGAAGGGCACGGGCGCTCTTGAAAAGAAGAAGCATTACGTCCTACTTGTATCACCTAACAATGCACAGTCACCTGTGTATAGGAGAGTTGGTGCAGGTTACATGCCTGGGTCATCTATCGATCGCACTAGGGAACGATCAATCCTGATAGAATAGGGCACCCTACTCGGGCAAAGATGTGTGCCAGATCCCTAATAACTCTTATTTATATTACATTCCAACTAATTATGTATTTGAAATTGACTAATCGTACCTCTAGAGCATGGTATTACACATTCTCATCTGTCTCCAATTATGACCATACATTGAAGTAAAACAAGACCCTCACTATACTTTTGGATGAATCCATATCATAATACGATGTGAAGTCGACTGCATAAGATTCTTTAACTGGCCTGCAACATATACAAAGTGTTCATTGCACCAACTTAGTGTTAAATTAAAATCTGCCCAAACCATCCTAAAGATAAATCCTCAAGATTACTGCATGGCAAATGTCGATAACAGTCATGTTGAAGCAGTCACAAAGCACAGTCATAAGCTGTACTGCTAGCATAAATGACTAGGGTTTACTACTTAGCCATGATGACCATGATGTCATATCGTCTGTTTGTGAGCATGGCCTCACTGTGGAAACCCTTGTCTTAGATACGAGAAGCGATAGATTGAGGTTTAGCTCGAGTGACTCGTAGGATTACAGTCGGGGATTAGCAGCTCACATATAGGTTTCAAGAACTTTGACGTGACATTAATACATCTAGTGCCTGCAAACCAGATACCTGTTGCTTAGTAGAATTCACGCTACACGTAGGTAATCTTCTCACATAACCTATAGTATCTAATCTATTGTTGCAGGTCATTTTTTAGCTTTAGGCATTTCGACGGACTTAGTATCATATTTTAGGTGAATTTATTCAGACCAACGATACTGAGCTTCTCGACTTATAACAATCATATATACTACCCTCTTAGGAGTGTTGCTTACTAGCAATGTCTCTCCCAGACGCAGAAGTTCTCGGAAATCACGAATTGCTCTTTGTGTTACTGAACTTGAAGGACAGCTATAGAAATGTTGCTATCGTCCATCAGAGGCATCATAGCAACGCGTCTCCTTGTTATAGTAATATTAACACCATGTGTGCACTAAGTGTATCCAACCTTAGAACGATCGTTCCGGATCCAATTCGAACGTTGTTCCACGTTAGTGTAGCTCGAGAGGATCTTCTAGCATACACCCCATAAAGGGCTTTTAATGCTGACCATATACAGCTTTTAGTTGCTCTTTATAGGTCATCTTTTTCGTCCAAACCCCTAGGTTGTTTATATATACTGGAGGGTGTATAGCAAAGAGTCTTGTGAGAGGCTAGTATGTGAGATTAAATATATCATGGAGCACCGCATCAATGATTGGAGCACATGTGGCATCTCGACTGAGTTTCTGATCTCTTAGTCATATTCTCCTATGTACAAATAGGGCATTGCGCCATCATAACCCCACGTGCGAATACAAATGTGATGCTTCACTGTTTCTCGCAGTGTCTGAGAATATATTAGCATACAATTAAGTCTGAGTTTGACAGTCGAGAACTTAATGCTAGGACATAGGAGAAGGAATGGAGAAGTAGCTTACCCAAGGAACCCACTCGAGTCCTTCACACATTTACCACCTTGAGGAAATCCGAAGCAGTCAAAATCGTCAAAACATACTCCACCGGTTGGAGCCGGTGCAGCGCTCGTGGCTGGAGTACCAGGAAACCCAGGAAACTGTGGTGCAGGTACGGCGACGGCAGTTCTATAGAAGCACTTAGTATTGATGTCATATGGCAACGCCATTCAGTCAAAGAAGCTTACCCTAAAAGAGAGGCAATGATAGCTGTGAGGATCGTAAAGGACTGCATTTTGATAACTTTTGGACTATTTCTTTTGACTTCTGGGTATTTTAAGTACGTGATTCTTTATATATCCTTTGGGTACTCGCAAATCCTTTGTCTTCATATGCTACAATGCTACCAAACCTCGGCTTGACATGAAACCCTGAGTAGTAGACAGAGACCACCTCGTTCATCTTGGCAGTGCATGTGCGTCCCAAACGTTCTCATAAGAAGCATGGACCACCGAAGCAGCGAGTTACAAGATGCTGTTGGCAGTCTGAGTTAGGTTAGATGAGAGCCGTAAATGTTGAGATACGGAAGATAACTGTGCCGTTGATCGCGCAACGGCTCGGTGAAATCTTTTATGTGACCACATGCCTTCAATGTAGGACCCCTGATAGCGGCAAAGGAGGTAGACCAGATGTTAACGTGATCATACATAGGCTTTAAGTTTAGAGATACTAAGATGAACGTTGATTGGTTGAGAGTCATGTAGTGTGAGACCAGGTTTACTAGTAAGGTTCATCCCCGCTTTATCACATGGTGGTCGTGGCGTCTGGGGAAACGACAATCGAAATAGGGATCTGCACTGGGGTATGATGAAACTAAACATTTAGCTTGTGATAAGCTATTTTGCAACATTCTGATTCTGTAAACCACTGGCTGCATATGATTTACGAAGCACCTGACCTGCCCTCTGCTCAATTTTAGCACATGGCCGACAAGATACACCTAATTAAACAATGTTGCGGTGACGCTGAAATGTATCGGTCAAGCAACACTACAAGACATGGCTTTTTGCGCCGGCTTGCAAACAAAACTGTTCGGAATAACAATCCTGATTTACGGAGACTATTTGATCCGAGGCCATGCTTTTGCCCTGTGATCACCATGCCCTCTTTATATCACAATAGGTTTACCAATCATTAGGAACATGCAATATCAATCGCTCGCGATATAGTACCACAGCTGGCCCTACAATGTCATTCTTCAAGACTTCAGTCGCTTCTTGCTTACTCGGCGTTGCTATTGCAGTCAATGAGGCCCCGATTGTCCCAGTAGCAGCACAGATCGGAGCCTTGGACTTTGGCATTACCTGCCAGGTTCCGATTCTTGGTAACTATACATTTGCCGGATTCTTTACCGCCACTGCTGCCATTCAGGCAAACGCAGGACAAGAGATATACTACACGGATCTCGTCGCCGAAGTTACTATACCATCATCTATAACCACTCTTGGGGGCCTCATCGGCGCCAGATCCGTAGACGCAAATGTTAAAGTAGCTTTGGACCTTGAGAATGCGTCTCCTGCAACGTTCAATATCTTTCCAAATGGCCTCCAGATCAACGACATCAAGTTTACCCCAGGATCTCCTGTGACAGTGCGGGTTCCGACAAACGGCACCCTTCAGCCGCTTGGGCCGATCACGATGGGTGCCGCTGGAACCACGCATGCTATTCATCTTGGCGAGGTTGACATTGAAATTATGATCCCGTTCGGTACTTATATGGAAACAATCCTTACGTTATAACCCCTAACACATTCAGGCCCAACCAAATTCCCACTCGACGTTAAATGCCCACCTCAAGCCATCCCATACGACTGCGACTTCAGCGGCGTCATACAGCAGGAGATTGATCTAACAATTTCCGGCACCGTGCCTACATATCTCAACCCGGGCAAGACTTTCAGTGTTGACGACGTGTATGCCTACCTACGCGTACCGGCAGCACTCACGGCGCAGGTCAAGGCTATCATTCCCGAAGCAAAGACCGGGCGTGTAACAGCAGATAACTTTACCATTGCAGTGAAGAATGGGAGCCCGGGCGCGTACAACGCGCTGCCAACGCCGCAGGTTGTCGAATTCGAGTTTGTTGATGGGCAAGAAATTGGGATTGCTGTTCCGAAAGATGAGACTTTTTCTATTGGGCCGTTGGTACCGGGAATGTCGGGGAGTGAACTGTTCTTGGATGCGGGAGATGCGTCAGGAGCGGTGGATATTTTGGATGGAGAGGGTGCGACTGTTATCACGGTGCCATTTACATGTGTGCCGAAATATACGAGTTCCTTAATTGGGTAAGTTTGGCCGAGCTGTGATGTTGGGTTGATCGGCTAACTTCGAGTAGGATTCCGGTGACGGATCTGACTGCTCCTCCGATCACGCCTTGAAACCATAGTCTTTAGTACGTGGGAGCTGACTCAACCTTGGTGATATGGAACGTAACGCATGTGAACAGGAATAGCATTTGTACATATATATAGCATGACGTCGTCTTCCAAATGCGCTTACTGGCTCACATGAATTGGCACCTATGAGATACTGGGGAGACTCATATTATGTTCACTGTGTCTTTGAACATCGTTCTCCCCCTTCCAACAACCAGTCTTCCATTGATTTGACGTGTTTGTTCACCTTTCACCATACCTTCACCCGGCAAACAATATCCGTTCCATTATTTGGCCCCTTATCATATAATCACCCCAGCACATTAGTTTTATCTCAGCTCCCTAAAGTTAACTTAATATTGAACAGTACCTCCCACACATGCTGAACTCTCTTGATTCACTCAGACCTGCGAAAACCCGAATGCAGTATTATGAGTAGGTACCTCCGAGCCATCCTGCCTGCAAAATTGCGAACTTCGCTTTCGTGCAAGAGACGCACCGGCTTTATCGCGCAGCGCATTTCTGATATCGGCTTTCCCATAGGTATCCATGATGTATTTTACAGAATATGTTTGTGGGAACAGGACTAGGTTCTTTGGGTCTGTTGTGAACTGCTGAACGTCTGGTGCAGGCGCCGCCGTCATCATCTCAATATCCTTGGCAATGGTGAAGCAGAAGCCATCGAGGTCGAGGTCATTTGCGTCGGAGCCAAATGGATTCTCGATTTCGCGACCGATGGCTGCAAGGCCGAGGATTATGTATGCGGCGACTAGACTGGTTAGTATTGTCTAGCAGCTGAAGCATACTGTCAACTCACAGATTGTGCCAGGAATCGTGATCCAGCCGAGCGGACCCCACATTTGGATGGGGAGTACGAGTATGTACACCCATGTGATCTGTGAGATGGCGATATTGTAGGCGGTGGGCAACGGAGTATCCAGGACGCGCTCTGCTGAGACCAAGCACTCATTCATCGTCATAATGCCACTGACCAAGGGTGCTTGATACACAGCCGCAAGTCGCCCCTCACTCTTGGACATTACATGATCTACGAAGGTAGAGAGATACGTGAGGATCTCGAGAGGTAAGTTGCCGATCGACTGTTGGCTTTCCATTTGTTTGATCAGCTTGCGGGGATTGTCGATAGCAAACGGTAGGCCGATGAGTTCTCCATAATGCTTCCAAGTCGGCTTCTTCGCGGTTGTGGATAAGTCCTTTGGTGGCCCTATGAAAGTATCCATCCACTGGAAGAGGCCGGCATATTCTTCGTCGGAGTTGATACCAGGCTCATAGCGGAGCTTATGTTTTAGTGCGACTGCGAAAGAGATGATGAGATTAAGTGCAGTCCTAGACTATGTCAGTATTCTTGTGCTTTACTTCAAACTCATATTAGCCACGTTACAGTTTCTCCAATAGATGTTTCTTTCCATTCTCAATGTTTTCCGCATCTTCCCCGACATGTAGCCAGATGAGCCGAGACATGTTTTGCGAAGCCAGTCGAAGGTCAGACCAACATCTGCGGCCTTCGGTGTACCGCTCGTACGCCGAGGAGCTACGAAAGGATAGTCCTAGACCAACAACAAATCCGAGTACTGTCAAAAGAAGGCTATCGCAGGAGACTAATACCATTGTCAGTTTCTTCGCGGGCCTTTCAAAAGGAACGCAACTTACTGTCGACTCGGTAGAAACAGATACAGGTAACGGCAGCGGCCCAAACTCCAACAAAGAGTAGAGGCAAGATCATTTTGGGCAAAACACTTCCTCGCAGGCGAAGAAATAACGGCCATTTAGAATGTTTCTGAGTATCCAACGGTCCATTTACATATCCACCCTCTGTCTTCTTGTGAAGCATGTTGAAGCTACTAGTATTATGGTACAACTTGGGCTTCTCAGAGACTCCCCATGTCGAAGACTGGGATCCATTGATACTATTTGATGCTGTACTAGGTCCCTCTATCGCTGATGGTTGCATTGTAGTCTTTTCGGACGCAATTGTAGTCAGTTGATGGCCTGTGAGGGCGAAGCGCTTTGTAGGAAAAGGCTAAAAGCTTAGTAGGTGCCTAGATATTCAGGAGAAGCAGGCTGTGAACACCTTTTATCATTCTTCCATGTTCCACAAATAGTACAAACTTAGTCCAAGTCGCCCCTATCTGTTGTGTTATGTTAGAGTAACATGATTACAGATGTGACAATACATGCTACTGAAGACAACTGTAATAGGCCCCCACACATGTTCATACCCTGAAATAGACCCTCAGTGGTAACAGGGTTATTTGAGCAAGGACATGATGCAGCTCCACATTGCATACTTCAATTGGAGAATCTTATCTTCGTAAGTGAAAATGAGTGGTAGAGACCAGGCTATGTTTCCAAAGCTGAAACGGACTCCCAAACCCGTAACTTTACTGAAGATATAGCCTTATAGGTCTTGGTCTAGACTATCCAATAAGTAAGTCTCTAGGCTCATGCTAATAAAAATCTGTATAGCAATCGATGCTACGCTCCAAGTTGCGAGTAGAAAAGCTCTGATCTGAGTATCGTACTCTAACATATCGCTATCCAAGAGATATGTCTGCCTCTAGCAGCTGCAAGGCTTCCCCTGAGCTAAGTCTCACCTCGCCCAGAGTTAGTTCCTTGTTTGAGAAGACAGCGGGATTGGTGCTCTATTTTTGTCGTCTTATATTAAATATAGGGGCCAATAAACACGTCCCTCTTCTTTTACCTTGCAAAGGCTGATTACTGCCCGCCATGGATACACATGAACCAATCGACCCATGTAAGGTGGTGAGACGAGTGCAGCCCCCACGCAAGGCATCGTTCTCAGGTAAGGCAACAACAGAGCGTGTAAACTGTTCAGACCATAGGTATTTCAACTGCCTTGTCGTTATATCTCGGACCCATCTAAAGCGGAGACGCGTTATAAGCGGAGCAGGTTGAGACTAGTCGCATGATAGTCGTGGAATTGAAGCAGTCATATCGGCTAGTTCGCAGCGTCTGATATTATGCAGAACACTATATAGTAACACGTGGGATAAGCTGAGGGCAGCCTGCGACCAAAGAATTAGGATAAAATTTTCCAATGAAAGGACACTGACGTGGAAGCTAGGTCACGTCCACTGAACAACATATACAAAGACACTGCAGGCACAACCACTTTGGTCATATTCAATATCGATCTATCCAACTTAACTAACGTGTCTAAATCTAGCAAAACATAATGAATTTGTATCTAATTGGACTTGAGCCTGAGGCATCAAATGCATTGACGAAGTCTTTTTTGCACTCCATGCTAAAAGGGAATGTCCTGGGAGGACTATTTCAAGATTGTCCTACTGTTTAAAAGATACCGCGCAGGCTGACCATCTTCTTGCATAGGATCTCATCATAGATCAGGTAGTAGCATGTGATATGTCGACTATTTCAGCTTCTAGTGCCTTCTTTATTTCAGCGACACTCTATGTTGCTTCGTCTAGCTTAACACAGAAGTTCGAGAATCAGTGCAATCAAAGACAATGTACAATAAATAGCTCGTCGACAGAGTGAAGTTCGGCAGGCAAGCGTCCCACAAGATAAGCTATCCAGGCAACGCTCCAGCTCTAGAGCTGCTGGGCAAGCTTTCAGGGCTACAAGCAGTAACTTGGCGTGCTCGGCGTCCTGGGCAAATATCGAAGGCCATTGATGAAACATGTACTGTTGATTTCCTTTAGTTTATTCATATTTCTCTTCCAGGTATGCTCTTAGTTGTGATGAAGTCCGGACCCCTCTTTCTTATCTTCCCGCTAGTCCAGAACAGGAAGTTCGATAACATACGCCTACGAGATACGTCATACTGGCCTAGATGGATGGATGTACCCGTGGGGCTGTAGCACTATCAATGGCCTGATCCAGTGGTTTTTTATTCGTGGCTCGAGCCTCGCAATCCGAGGGGTATACTGCTGAATTCTCATCAACACTCTCCAATCCAGTGGTGTTGCAAACGTAGTATAGTGGTCGAAGAGCCCCATACATGATGCAAGTCCCACAACTGGCCACTATGTTGACGGCAGGAATGGGTCTTGCGAGTCTTGTGAGCGGCGCGGCTGAACCAATTCGTTATGTAGCTCCTCAAGTGGCTGCTAGACAAAATTTCCCAGCAGTATACAAAGCATACACATTCGATCAAACGGTACTGTAATTCGTTTGTTCGCCTTAACGGAGCTGATATAAATAGATCGATCACTTCCCTAATAGCAAGAGGTATGAGCCGCATGCAAATGGTACTTTTCAACAACGATACTTTTTCGACTCGTCGTACTACAAGCCTGGTGGCCCAGTCTTCTTGTACATTGGAGGAGAAACAAGCGGTGAAAGTCGACTCTCAAATCTGCAGACTGGAAGTTAGAAAAGCACCGAAACAAACTGAAGAAGCGTACTGATGACTTACAGTCATTCAAGTCCTCATGCAGCAATTTGACGGCTTGGGAGTCATTCTCGAGAATCGATACTACGGCGGATCGAATGGCGGAAGCTACCCATTTGAAACAAGTACCGTGGATGAATTGGCGTACTTGACAACGGAGCAAAGTTGGTTCGCCTATATGGTTTACAAGTGACATGCTGAACAGCCCTTACAGCCATCGCTGACAATGTCAACTTCGCCAGACACGCAACGTTCCCAGGAGTAAATGCGACCGTGACAGCACCGTCGACTCCATGGATTTTGTACGGCGGCAGTCTTGCTGGCGCCCAAACAGCCTTCTCCGTACAAACATATGGTGATATCTTGTATGGCGGCATTGCAAGCAGCGCCACAACTAACGCAGTTCTGGGCTACGCGCAATGGTATGATCCAATTCAAAAGTATGGTCCACAAGACTGTATTGCCAGGATCAATAAGTTAGTGGACAACATTGATCACGTGCTGTTCTCAAACAACACAGCGGCTATCACGCAACTTAAACAGACTTTCGGTCTGGAAGCTCTGAAAGATAGTAGAGACTTTGCGATGACTATCGCATTCCCGCTTGGAGGGCCGATGTTCTACCCGACAAATACTTGGCAAGAGTTGAACTGGTATACGGACTACACTTCCGATGACTTTTTTCAGTTCTGCGGTAATGTCACCGATCTTGATACACCAGAAGATGTGACTGCTGTCGACAGCGTCCTTGCTGCCTATACAGGAGGCGAAGATTGGAAAGGTCTGGGGAACTATGCTGAATACGTGAAGAATGTGATTGTTCCGTTATGCGAGGACGGAGATTTGAACAACCAGAAATGCTTCGGCACGCAGAACTCAACTGCGTGGGCTGAGATTGCGAACTCTGGTGACCGATCGTATCTATACACTTGTAAGTTCTTGCATGCCTGGTGAAGCACCAAGCCTGACAAAGGGACAGCCTGCACAGAACAGGGAGCTTTCATCGCTGCACCAACGCACGGCAAAAGCCTCATCTCTCGTGTCCTCCAGCCGTCCTACACCCAGCAGTGGTGTGAGTGGTCTTTCGAGCCAGGCCAGTACAACAGAATCCCGAAAACCCCTGATTTAGCCAAGTACAACAAGTACGGTGGGTATGATGTGGAAGCTGATCGACTGGCACACATTGATGGCGATCAAGATGTTTGGTTGGACTTGTGCTATCACAGTAACAACGCCCCAAAACGGTACTCGAGCGACTTGCGGCCTGAGTATCTCATCACCGGGGCGGGTCATCACTGGGATAGCTCCGGCATCAAAGACGTAGGCGCCGAGCCACAATTCATACGAGAGGCCCACCGATGGGAGATCCGGACGGTGAAGAGATGGTTAAGCGACTTCGATAGCTGGAAAAGCACAAAGCACAGCGAACTGTGATTGTCGACTGCGATCATTTCCATACAGCGATCATCCAAGCCTAGCAGTATGTATTGTCTTTTAAATATTAAATGTAGGCGATGAGAATGTCTCTCCTCGTGCCACCTATATCGCTATAGCCCGTGGTGGGTTATGCCTGAAGAGATCTGCTTGTTCGACCAAGGTAGTGAGCCGGGCCATAAAGTAAAAGTGTGCTCCTCATGATCATCCGGGTATGAGACGGTATGCCCAGATCAGTCTGAAGCAGAAGTGTGCGGTTCGTGGAGAGAACAGTGAATGTTGTTGAATTGTGCAAGAGGGATTGGAAAGTCTATATGGCTATCTGGAGAGCCCAAGGACCCTGCCAAGACAGGGCTGTGATTGGCCCAGCCATATGACGTACCTAGCAGGGACCTGGAACGGCGGGCACATACTTTCACGGTTCAACGTCTGCCTTCTCCTGCATTGTCTCTACCCACACGCACACACACACATAACGCACTTCTTTACATCTACTTGAGCTATACTATATCGACGCGGCAAGCGACGATAAATCGCTCATACCTGGACATCATATCGAAGCCACCTTCGCTGAGACCACCGCCCTCCTGTGTGTCAGCGCAGGCCTGCGATCTTTGAACAACGTCCTCGACCCCTCGATACAATATCCTACAATGTCGCAAGCACCTACCCTCATCAATCTTCCTCCTCCTCCTTCTGACCCGGTCACTCCTTCCGACGCTCCGTAAGCCATCCTAATAAAAGTCCCTAAGTTGGCACAACAATAGCATAGACTAACTCCTCTTTCCCTCAGGGGCACGCCAAACTCTACCACGACATCCATGTCGGAGCTTTCCACCGTAGCTATCAAAGATGGCCACCGTGGTCACTTTCCTCACCACCAGAACCCTCAGGATGCCGAGCGCGCTGACCGCATTTCGCGCCTGGCCGGCCTGGAGCGCGTCGCAACAACCAGGCAAGCCAACATCATTGCTCAAGGCCAAGGCCTGTCCTCGACCCCGGCATACTTTGATCAGAATGCGCAACCCCAAATATTCCGTGAAAGGAGCACTGTCGGCAGTGCTTCGGCCACCGGCAGCGTTGGTGGTCGTACGACATGGGCTAGCGGTTCCATCGATGGCGACAAGATGAGCGAGGATCAGGACATGGAAACTTCCAGCACAGGAGGCTTCAGTGATGAGGCTGCGAGTCTAGTTGGTTTTGGCGAGGGAGCGCGTACACCAGCACGGCAACAGAGTCATATCGGAAGCCCGGTCGTTGGCAAAGCAAGCGCTGTCCCGCAATATCTCCGTGGCGAGCAAGCGCCGCCGAGCCCGATGACTGGTGTAAGTATCAGCAGTGGGGTGTCTACGCAGACGAACCAAGCCATCGATGCAGAGATGCAAGACTCGAATACTGAGGACCGAGGAGGACTTTCGAGTGTGGAGGCTGCAAAGAGCATTATGCGCGACCGCATCACCAGGAACGAAGACGTCGGACAGGGCCATACCATGGTTGGTAACGAAGATACCAGATCGTAGACGACTTCACTCGTCCATACCAGGACCTTGCACAGCTTTCAGCGTCGGATTTTGCAGATATAGTCTGTCAGTGATATCCCCACGAATTGTTAGGACTACGCGTCCTAGGACGCGCAGTTTATACCTCAAAACAGTCTGTTGCACAGCGAATAAAACATGAAGTATAATATATTCTATCGCAACCCGATAGTGTTCGAGGTGGAATGGAAGACTGCTAGTCTGAAAACTTCTGAAGCACTCGTGAATTATTGCATGTCGGCTAATGTGTTTCGCCTCGGTTTTAGACGCTTCTCGAAACCTTAACTCCGAAATATAGTCCTGTCACCTTACATGCATGCCTCTCACGACAATCCAGCTCAAAACTACGTTCGGCTCGCCAGATAAGAGATAGCGCGTCACCACTCACATAACTGGGCCGTCAATCAAACCTCCCACGCAGGTATCACTAAAACGAGATCTGCCAGCCATCACCTCTCTCCCCTGAGCATATGCTCAACCACTCCAAGTCACCAGTCGCATCTCGCAGCTGCCTGCATGCAAAGCGCCTTATGCATACAGCTTAGCCATGCATATCCATTGCATCATGCCCAGTGCCCCATCTGTATTCCGGCGTTCAAGAACGGGCGGTTTGGAGACACGCACATATCCCAACGTCCGGATTATGTTTGTATGCATGCATGAATAACGACCGTAGTGCTCCGCTGTGATGTGTCAAGGTTCGGCCCGCTTGTGGCTTGGCGTTTGAAAGGTAATTGGAACTGCATCCATGCTAAGGCTTTGCTGACATGCCCGAGGTTACCTAGGTAGGTAGTTAGGTTGGGGTATGGGCGCGGCGCGCAGGAGGAGAGGGTATGACGTCGGGCGCAAATCAGAGGGAAGAGTGTTAGTAGTTGCATAATGAGGTGGGATGCGAGACTTCTTTCCACACATGGGCGTAGATTTACATCAGTGTGTTTTGACAGAACAGAGCAGACTGGGGATCTCCGTGGTACATCTTGGTATCAGCTCTACGAATACCCAGCGACAACAATTGCATCGCAACACCACAATATAATGGCATCATCTGATCTACCTGTGACGATAAAGGCATGGACATACACGCACTCCGGCTATCCGCAATGCCTGCAGCAGACTGACCAGACGCCCAAAGCCTCGTTTTGCCCGACTGAGATACTTGTACAGATGCACGCCATCGCCCTCAATCCCGTAGATATCCAACTTATGAACTTGGCTATCTGGTCGCTACCGCTCCCCGCTCTCCACCAGCCCAAGACCATCGGCTGCGACTTCGCCGGCACCGTGCTGCGCGCGGGCTCTGAGGCACAATACACTGCGGGAGATGAGGTGTTTGGCGTGAGCATGGCGCCGCGGGGCCCCGGTTGTGCGGCGGAGGTTGTAGTGCTGGACACTGGGAGTGCGCACCTGATGATCGCCAAAAAGCCACCGCAACTGAGTTTCGTACAGGCCGCGAGCCTGCCTGTGGTGTTCATGACGGCACGGACGACGATCGCTTTGGTCGAGGAGTATATGCGGGTTGGAGGTGCTAGTCTAGGCAGAGTGGCGGTGCTAGGCGGGAGTACGAGTTGTGGCATGTATGCGATCCGGCTCGCGCGCCAGCGAGGATGGGACGTGTTATCCACGTGCTCCGGGAAGAATGTCGAGTTTGTAAAGGGTTTAGGCGCGGGTGAAGTCATTGATTATACGAAAGATTCGGTGCCAGATGGCGTGCGAGCTTTTGCACCAGATGCAGTCATCGACTGCGTAGGTGGGTCAGATTGCATTGGGATCACAAGGAGATACGTGACGATAGTGGGCGACAAGACGGATCGGACGTTGATTGGGGGAAGCATGTTGTACTTAACACATCCACGTATGCTGGTGCGTTGGGTATTGGGATGGCTCGGGGTGCTGGGCAGGTACGACTGTATCATCTTTGAGAAGAATGTAACGTGGTTGGCTGAGGCCGTAGAGTTGAGGCCGGAGGAAGTCACTGTCGACAGTGTATTTGCGTTTAGTGATATGAAGAAGGCGTTAGAGAAGGTGGCGAGGGGGAATGTGAGAGGTAAGGTCGTCGTGGAGATCAAGTAGGTAAGATATAGTCAGCATGCTTCTTCTATTCGTGCCAGGCCATCTGTTCTGCTCCAGTATGTAGGTTATTCATACTAGCGTAGGAAGATTATGTGCATTAAGATGCATCGTCTCATGTAGCGCCAGCTAGAACGTCACCAACCCAGGAAAGCTGCACCGCACTCACCCCTCTTGCATAACTGCGATTCGTGAAGACAAATTCTGAGAACACGATAGCCTCGACCTTGCGACCAAACAGCACGCTAGTAGGATGTATGGCTACGACCTGATTGCCAACCATCGTCTTGTACGACCCATCCGGCATAAGCCTGGCGGTGTTCGTAGCGAAACCTCTCAGCAGACATTGTAACATCGCCGCCTTGGTGTCTTCATCCATCCTGGAGCCTTCTGTAGCATTACGATCAAGCAATTTCATCTGCACACACTGGGCCCGTAGCTGTTTCCGAATGTCTATAACATTCTGCATAGCTCGATGGCTTACAAAGTGACGATCAGACCATGCACGGCGATCAGATTGTTCTTCACTGTATGCGCGGATAGTGGCAAGAAGAGTTAGATGGTCTCCCTCGCGGCGGAATAGGGAGCGGCGGGCCTCTTCGGCGGCTTCCTTCTTCTCCTCGGTATGAATATTGAGGAATATGTTTTCGACACTGAGACATGCGATAATATCGATGATTTCAGACAGGCAATCACGTTCAGGCTTCGCAGCTTCGAGGATAACCCGTCCGAGCGTTGGAGAGAGAGGAAGACGGGCGAGCTGTTTGCCTGTGTGACTAAAATGTGCGGACTCATTAAGAGCGCCAAGTTGGAGAAGCTGGGTTAAAGCTTGCTTGAGTGATTCGTCGCTCGGTCGGTCAAGAAAGGGGAACGTTATGATGTCTTGCACAGGAACTCCGCGGGCCATGATGGTCAGCAGTGCCTGACTCAGGTCGCATCGCAAGATCTCTGGGGTAGTTACTTTTTGTAGTTCTTGAAAGCTTCTCTCCGTGTATAAGCGGAAACATTGTCCAGGTGCCTCACGACCTGCGCGACCTTGGCGTTGAATCGCAGAAGACATCGATATAGGCTTGACAAGCAAGGATTCAAGTCCTAGGTTGTTGCGAAAGTGTTTCATCTTTACCTTACCGCAGTCTATGACATATCGTATCCCAGGAACGGTAATTGAGGTTTCGGCAATGTTGGTAGCGAGAATGACTTTACGAGTGAAATGAGGCGCCTTGTCAAAAACCCGCTGCTGAGCTATTTGGGGGAGTGCAGCGAAAAGAGGCAATGTGAGAATCTTAGGAGTCTTTTCATCAAGACCACCAGCGTATTCATTGACGAGACGCTGGAGAGATTCTACTGTTTCTTGTCCGGTCAAAAAGACGAGTATGTCCCCGGGTAGTGGCTCTTTGCAATGGATCCTGAAGATAGTCTTGAGAGCCTCCTCGACAAAATCTTGGGTCGGCTCGTGTACGTAGGTGGTTTTGACATCAAACTGTCGGCCCTTGATCAGACATGTAGATATACGATCCGAAAATGCATCGACAGTGTAGTCCTTCGTATGATGTGCCTTGGCACTGCCGGTGCTGGATGATGAGGTCCCTTGGCTATGAACCTTTGTAGCCTTTCTGTCAGTGCCGTTCGATATAGTCTTCTCACGTAGGCCGTCCTGAAAGAACTTGGTCAGTCCCTCTACGTCAGCCGTGGCACTCATGACGACGACTTTCATAGCAGCACGTTTGGAGCTGACTAGATTCCGCAGAAACCCCAATATTAAATCAACATTGACACTCCGTTCGTGAACCTCATCTACGATCACTGCGCTATATTGCGGTAATGTTGGATCGCGTAACATCTCTTGTAGAAGCATACCCTCTGTGAGAAATTTGATTCTAGTATTCGGTCCTATCGACGTGTCGAATCGTACGGAATATCCCACTTGGCAGGCAGGTGCACCGAGTGTCATGCCCATCTCATCTGCTACGCGCCTCGCCAGGGATATAGCCGCCACTCGGCGTGGCTGTGTGATGGCAATGCATCTCTTACACCAGGGCTCGGTCATCAGAAACTGCGGTACCTGCGTACTCTTTCCGCTACCTGTCTCACCCACCATGAGCATGATGTCTTTATTGCCGGACAATGATTGACGGATGAGTCTTTCATGGTTCCATATCGGCAGTTCCTTGCGTAGTTTCAATAAAGCAGCCTTCTTTTGCTCGTTCACCACGCCTTTGTGCCTGCCTTGCTCATTCTTTCCTGCCGACAATTTCTGCGCAAGCCCTTCATGGAGCACAGGCCTTCTTGAAGATAGCCCCGGTGCGCCATTGTCATCAGAGTTGTTTTGCAGGGGTTTGAGCGCATCATTGTGGTGCTTTTGCTGTACTTCATAATCGGGAGAGGACGCCTTTAGATGGCCGTTGAGGAGTCTCTTCTTGCTGGTCGTCGGCATGGACACATGTGAAGGATTGGTCCCAGACGCATTGCTCGGTACTTTCAGGATCGGTGGCGACATGGTTGTGCTGCGTGCAATTGTTCATAGCCCGCGTACGACGATAACGAATTTCCAGATTTCATGATCTATAGATTCGCGAGCTAATCCTAACTTGGCTTAGTACACACGGACCACTACTAGCAAGCCCTCCACTGCATGGCTGGTAATTAATACTGTCAACTTCATCGCATACCATCATAATGGTCATGGACCCGCTGCCCTCCACTCATACAACCACGCTAACCATTGCATGGCTCCCAAAGGATAGCCAAGTTTGCTGTGTTGACACTGTGGGCAATGCAAACGCAGTGTTTCATATCAAATTAGTTATACTTTAAGAGGATGATTCCCTGTGCGGACAACCTGACTTAACCACACTACAGGGTGAATCAATATGCTACAGTACCATGTCCTAGCTCTGTCGTCGTGACACACGAAATGGGCATGTTTTCACATTCGTCGTCACACCCAGCTCAAGCAAGGGGGGCTGCTAATCAAAACAACGCTAACCTATATACGGGCGGCTTCTAAGGTTCCTACCCTTACCTTGGTCCTGCTCGACTTATTGCTGACGTCCTGGCAGACAAATGTTTAGTATTTTCTTCCCTGGCAACTTAGAATTCACCATATATCTCTCTGGATTCATGATCGGTTCGACTACCAACCATGGGTCCAAGGTCCACTACCGAAACCGAGCACAGAGTCAGTGTCATCGCGTTCCAGAGTCTCAATAGTCGAACTGGCCATGAAGAAGGCTCTGCCCAGTTTGAAGTCAATGACTGTAACATGTATCTACATTTCGTTCCGAAGAGCAGAGATGAAGCTCCATACCTCGACTGCCAATTGACTCTCCCAAGACTATCTCAGACAGGGATTCGCTGCCATGACTTCGACGCACTCATTACGGAAACTTCGCTCCAGAGTTTTAATATCCGACCGGATATAACAAATGATCCTAGAGCATCGCGTTTTATCTTTCAGTCCTACCTTCCCAGAGGGTCATACAAAGGCGTGACCAACTGGGTGCCGACTGGGTTAGCCGATCGGTTGGACAGTTCTAACAGGTATAATGGATGTGAAATTGTTGCTTTGGTTCTGAAGTTGAGAAAGCGCTTGGAAGTTCTGATGCTGAGGGACCCAGTCAAGCCTACTACGCACAGCGGTCTGGAAGCCATCAACGCGCTTTCCGTAGCTACTAAAGATAGCATTGTGCGGTTCTTCATTCGTTACGAAAACGACCGGCACCTTAGCAGGCATTGGTTGATTGACTCCGTAAACAACGGCTTCTTTTCGCAGAGTAGAATCCCCCTGAGCAGGCCCCGCTACCATATCGGGGCTGACTCAGTGCTCAAAGCTGGCAGTGCTGTCGACTGGGGATCATTTGTGCTGGCTGGCGACCCATCTGAACGAGGACAGACTACGCTACATAGCTTACCGCCGACCCTATATCGAAGCACGAACATACCTACCGGGCCGTCCAATAATCTCGCCCAATCGAAACGTGAAAGAAGTTCCAGTTCACCGCGAACGTCTACCAACAGTACAGTGACGAAAAGAGCCGCTTTATCTTCACCAGCGGCCGATGAGCTTTTGAAGCGAAGCCGAGAAGATTATGCCCGGTCAGTGCTATATGACCGACATGTCGATGGTCAACCAAGCTCTGCAGTACTAAGCAACCACTTCTACCAAGACCCAACAGTCAAATCAGCGCCATCACGTACCTCACAAACGTTACCAGAGCTCTCACCCGACAGGGACGAATCCAAGCCTGTCCAGCTCGACAGTCACCAAAGCAACATACGTACGGTAATCCCACTGCATAATCGAAGAACTCCTATTTGTGGCGCTATGAGCAGTCAGTTATCTCAAACTGTCGAGAATGATGACAGCAGTCGAGGTAGTAATCATACACCCACGCCAGTCTGCACCTCGCAAAGAAGCGAATTCCGTGTCTCAAACAGCCAATTCTCCAATCCTGTGCAATCTAGTGATCATCAAACTGGCATGACCGACCGCGATAGACCTGTACTGAGTCTTGAGATCCCCGATACCAGCTCTGGTCATTTCACCAAACCAGACTCTGCAAAGGAGGTCTCCAGAAAGCGCATGATCCACCGATTGGAGACACTTACGTGCAATGCACTAGAGAAAAACATGGATGGAGAAGAAGACAACCAGGTGCAATGTATGCTTAGCCAGCTGCTAGACTTGGTAAAGGTTGGGGACGAGAAAGCATTCAACAGACTATGGAGTAAGGTTCAAGTTAGGGTTGGACTGTACACATGAAGTCTCGAAAGGGCTTGAAAAAGTATGATGGTGTCATGGAAGGGGCATCTTGAACTCTGCGCCAGGGATATCAATGTAGGGGGACTGTTGACTGCATACAAGGTTATGATAAACAGCTCGTACAACGCTCTTCGTAAAGCGTCAATCGGATTTAGTATCTGCAAAAGGGACCTGGCATGTTTGTGAGTCTGTGATTGAAAGGGAACGGAGAGACATTTCCACCTACAAGATCTTTAATAGGGAAGCTTGGACATTCTTGTAGTATCGTTCACTGTTAGACAAGTGACAGGGATAACGAAAAAGCTATTAATACTCACTGTTCGCTTTCAAATAACCCTACAGGGGTACAGCTCTCATTGGCCCGCCTCACCAGGTCCGTCTTGGCAATACTTCTTGTTGATGTGCCCTCCTTTCCGACCACAAATTGAAAGTGCCCCGATTTCTGGCATACCTCCAACGAGCTTTCTTGACTTCATTTCTGTATCCAGCCCCAAGCTTTTGGTAAGCAACTGTCACCCAATCACTTCGCCACAGAGCATTAGATAACAACGCTACAGTCTTTGGCCTCACTACTCGACCGATAATTTCCAGGATATACTCTGAGCCGACAATGTCAAAACAATTGAGATTCAATGTCTTTGCCCTACAAGGATCCAATGATGAGGACCCGGAACATGATCCAGTCATCCAATTCCTCGACAGAGAGGGTGCTACGATGAGTGTTTGGTTTCGCCACAGTGCTGATACAGCGCCCATAATTGAGCTCACGATGGTTATACCCAACGTCTCTGGCACGACCAAACGTCTGCCACACGTCGTTCACATCGGTGTTAACAAGTGTGATATCCTTTCATCTCCTATCAATACGAAAAGTCATGGGTCAAGCTATGTACAAATCTCCAACGCCAGGAGTGATGTCAACTTAAACAGAGACATTCGTGTCCGTGAGTTCCGCGACGAGTCTTTGATGGCACTGGCTGCAACAATCCAGCTCAGTCACTGTGTGCTGGTCAAATGGAACAGGACTGAGGAAAAACTTACTTCCAGTAAAGGCCTGCAACTCATAGAGGATATACAAGAGATACTGAGCTGCGGAAAAGTCCGTATCTGCTTGACAGTCGATTTTGACAACCTCGAGTCTGACGTCCGAGAAGGAGTAAGTGAAGATTTCAACAACGCAATGAAGCAACAGCAAACAGAGCAACTTGCCCTGCCAAATGAATGGATCCATGATGGTGCGTCTTCAAGAATCTGGCCTTCCGACAAGGCTCCTTGGCACGAATTCCGGGAGGTCCCAGAGCACCAGGACTCAGAACACCAAGATGATAATGAGGAGGGCAACTTTACCGACCTTGAGTTGACCAAATCTACGTCATTGGGGGACATTGATAAGTCTCATGTTCGCCAGAGATTTGCATTCCTTGAAGCTTCCAGAAATTCTCCCCATCTGGTTTCTCTGCAGGGTACGACCCAATCCAGGAAGAGGGTACGTTCTCCGAGCTCTGAGATTGAGATCAGCTCCAAGAAGGCTCAGGTTACACCCGATAAGACATCAAGTAAGTTTGACCCTGAGCTCATGCGACATTGTGAGAAGTGGCAACGCTAAGTAAAGGAATCTTAGAGCGCCATTCGTCTACCTCCTCCGAATTCCAGCTTCTCCCCCTAGGGGCGCCCTGCAATTCATGCGAGGAGGTCGAAATCGCCCACAAATTCGGAGTAAGCGGGAACCCTGCTAACGCCAACCCCGGATGCCAAATCTGCATCGCGCGGTGGTCATACCTGAAGAATCCGAAATATAGAAACGTCCCTGTTGCACCACGCCTACAGACAGCCACCCCTGCTGTCCCAGTCACGACTTTCAACACGAAGAGCGCTGTGAAGCGAGTCGCGTTCGCCGAACGTGAGGATGACCTTTCCGAAACACAGGCTGCCATACCCCAAAAGGCAGCGAAGCAGACAGGCGCAGGACCAAAATCTGCCCGTATGAGGGCAGTCGAGAAGATTCGTAAGCTGCCGAGCTTCACACGTAGGACTGCCACTGCTCGACGACACGTCATTGATTCCGATTCGGATGATGACAACGACGATGATGACAATGCACCAGTATGTAGCCTCATCGACTCTCAATACCTAAAGCCCATGCTAACCAGTCCTCACTCCCCAGGATTACATGTCAAGCCGCTCGACACCAGCCTACAGGACAAGTGCCACTCCCTTCGATCTACACACAGCTCTACGCAGGAGTAGGCTACAGACGCCCCAGATACGCGGTTCTGAGCCCTCCAGGGCGCTGAGCGCCAGTGCTAGACTCGAGCAAGACAAGCATGACCTCAGGGACAGGCTTGAAGGACTGATGCGAAAGCTGAAGTCGAGCTACCCACGCTGGGAGCGGGACATGCCTATCTCAGACAAGGTCGCACAACTGAGCGAGCTTGCACAGCAGGGCGACGTTGGTACGTTTGGAGAGGTTGAGGACGAGGCATATGACATTGTGAAGAAGTTCACCTTCCGCCGTTAGATTATAATATAGCGGCGATAGCAGGGTGTAGGGTTGCTTAAAAGGTTATAGCCATGAGAAAGGAAGCTGGATTGGGCCAGCTGATACTTTGTGGAATGTGCGCCTCAACTTTGAATTAGGGGTATCTAGCACTGTATAATTTATCGGCATAGCACGTTAAGCGGATTCGTACAGCGCATTAACGTGTAAATGAGCTCGTGATCGTAGGGTCCTGATACCGTGCTTGCAGTTTAACCTCATATCTGGTGTACAAAGGCGCGACTTTCGAGGTTCTGTGGTGCTTGTGACACAAAATAATGATAGCTTCTGTACAGCAATGCTAAATAGAGCCTTTGAATGTAGATATATCAACATAAGCAAGTACAGCAAAGCACTGATCTATTATTGTCTTACATCATACAACAATAAATTTCCACACCCACACCTCTCTTCGTCGGGCCAGCACCAAATCTAGCGCCTTTGCTCTCATTCTTGATTATCCGCTCTATGCCCATGTCGTACAATCCCCTCCGATGACCACATAGAGGGCATTGATGTCTTGGTACGTGTCGTGTGTATTCGTACACCGGTAAGGAGGGTATAACAGTTGTTGCGCCGTCTTGAAAGGCTGGACAGGTCATGAGGTTTCGCCCTGGAGCGCATGGGCGCGTGAAGACTAGCCAGGCGTGACAGGGAGCAATATAGCGAATTGAGCGACACATGCTGGGATGATTGTAGTGTCGACAACTCTCCCTGTCGAGGATTCAGAATTGTTGTGATTCTCGGGAAGCCTGCTCGAGAGAATAGATGAGAGGATGTCTTGAGGTTCTGGAGTTGAGGGAAGATGTTTTGCAAATTTGTGATAGCTTTTGATAGGAAACGAAGTCGAACTGTGTTCCGAAGAACATTTCGTTCTGATAAATGTCTTCTTCAGGATTGGGAGCTCCTTCACGACGTCGAAAGTCTCCACGAAGTCGCGGGGTCTGTCGCTGTGTATCAGTGAACGCGCCTCATTGACAGAGCTGTAAATTGACCATGTAGATGGTGAAGCTCTAGATCAGTATCTGAGCTTCTTTAATAGACAGAGCGCTTGCTGTACATTAATTCTTCGGTTCTGGGGGCGGTGGCGGGGTGTGTTCTGCGTCGTTCTCTTCTAGTTCACGATTTCGAATTGCTTGCATAAGCTCGTACATTTGAGTGATCTGGTCGTCTGCAGCACATATAATTAGCAATGAAGCATCTTAGGAATGGTGTAAATTGCAACAATCCGAGAGGACAAGTCATTGCAGCAGTTCCATTACGGCAGGCGCATCCCATCATTAGGCTACCAACTCGGAAGCGCAAGAGAAACCCTATGAGGACTCACCACTCATTTTGTCCACCTTACTCTTGTCCATCCTACCGTCACGCCAGGAGTTTCCTTCGATTGTTTGGGCATACATCTGCCATTCGCTGAGGAATCCGATCTGTTGAGGCTGGCGTTAGGCTGGGTCTTCGGCATACGCATTGTGGGTTTCTCACTATCTGTACGGGATTTTCAACGCTCTTGTGTGCACGAAATTCTGCCTTGATGTACTCGTCGCCTAACGTTCGTTGCTCTTTGGGCAGCTTGCGATGTGCGCGAAGCAGTCGTCGGTATAACGGAATCGGTGGGAGGATGGCCATCTGATTGCCGAATAGATTGGCGGCGGACTTGACGACAGTTGCCGAAGCCGCGAGGCGTTGAAACACTTTCATTGCGATAGAGGGTAGATATTACACTATATGGAACAGACGTTGACGGGAATTGTGATGCTGCAACGATAACATGCCAAGTAGTGACGTCTGATGCAGCTTTTTGGGAGCATCCAAACAACAATTTTCGGAGCAGGGATTTTTAGCGGCCTCACTGCACCGCAACGCAATACAGAAAATCACCCTTCAACCCAACCGGGCTTCTGGAACATCTTTGACGTGCATGGACATGCTGCCGACGCCAGATACATCGCATGTGTCTTTCGATCGAATCTATGAGCCATATGAAGATTCATACTTGTTTTTGGATACACTTTCATCCGCAACGGAAATCTCGTTTCTTCACCAGCGATTCTCGGCCGCGCATGAACAACATGGAAGTCCGATGATCGTCGAGACCGGTGTTGGGTCTGGTGTAGTTCTTGCGTTTGCCGCTGCCAACGCACACATTATTCTTGGCCGCCCGGACGTTGTCACGCTCGGCACTGACATCAACAGCTTTGCCTGCCACGCTGCCTCAAAGACCGTGGAGACGGCGATATCAGAAATGCGGTCATTGAAGACCACATCATTAGATATTCTGAATACCGATCTAACAGCATCAATACGGCCCGGGCTAGTAGATGTTCTTATCTTCAACCCGCCATATGTCCCAACAGAGGATCTGCCAGATGCTGTTAAACATGCCGAGTACAACCTCCGGTCGACTATGAGTCCAGCAACATCATTTGCTCGAGACTCTCACCTCCTCGCACTATCATACGCCGGCGGCGTGAATGGTATGGAGGTCACGAACAAACTATTGGCTGAGATTCCCGTAATTCTCCATCCAAAACGTGGCGTCGCATATGTGTTGCTTTGCGCCCAAAACAAACCTGAAGCAGTCAAGCAAAGTATCAGACAGTGGGGCTCGGAGTGGAGGGTACTCACAGCAGGGTTCAGTGGGAAGAAAGGTGGATGGGAGAAGCTGCAGATCTTGAGAATCTGGAGGGAACCTTGACTCTTCAGACCCGCAAATGCATGGATCCGCGAGACTTCCTCTAGACTGGGAGCATCAAAGTCGCAATGTAGTAGAAAACATTCGAAGAGCCGATGGGATCGCTCATTTCTAAGGGTCGGGAAGGGCTTTAGACCTTCGATCCGGATCATGAATTCTCCCAAAGATAACTCTATATCAAATCACTTGGACCTCCACATTAATCAGAACGGAATACCAGCCTCATGATAGGGGCACCAGATACGGGACGTGCCAAGAGCGACAAGCTTCCTACAGCAAATTGCTCTATGCAACATGATGCGAGATAGCGAAGAAGCGCGGAGACCGCTTCACGCATGCATCAACAGGGATATTCCGAACTCGCTAAGGGGTTGCCATATCGTAGCATAGGACCACGGAGTGCAATATATGAATTATGACAATGTTGTCTCACAGACATCACACAAACAAAAGATCGATTGGAAACTTTCTTGCTCAGAATGTCTTGATATTGGTCCCGATGAGGTAGGCTTGAAGCACAATAAACAATAGTAATTCCTGGCTAAGGCCTTGATTGCACTCCTTGTGTACTTACGGACTCCCTCCACTCACGGAAGAGTATAACCGCCGTCGATGACCATATTCGCTCCGGTCATGTAGCAGCACGAATCGCTGGCCAGAAACACATAAGCCTGAACATTGGCGTGTCAGCGTCTCCCTTGATGGACCAGGAATGGCTCTCTTTCCCTGTCAACTTACACTCTTCAATTCCGCAGGGTGACATATACGTCTTCCGGGTATCATCTGCAGCCACTGCTCCATCATCTCTTTAGGTTGCATAGTGATCACTACATAAATCCATTAGTCACACACATCGAAGCTCATAAGCAGTGACCCTTACTATCCGTATGAATGAAGCCCGGCGAGACACAATTGACCCGCGCAAAGTCCACCCATTCGACCGCCAGACACTTCGCCAGGTGCACCACCGCAGCCTTACTCGCATTATACGCCGCCTGGAGCTGAGGAAGATTGACCAGCGTCGCACTCACACTCGCCGTGATGATAAAGTTGCCCTTGCCCTGCTTCTTGAACACCTTTCCCGCCGCCTGCGCGGTCCACATCACGCCGTCATAGTTGACACGGTTGTTCGCCGCCCATGTCTCCTCGGTGTATTCGAGCGCCGGGATGTTCGCACATACACCTGCGTTTGCAACGACGACATCGAGCTTTCCGTGGCCGAACTCCGTTGTGATCTTGTCGATGCAGCTGAGGATCGAGTCTCGTGATCCGACATCGGCCTGGAAGGCTTCAACACGGACACCAGTGTCTTTCGCGATGTTTGCTGCTGTCTCGTGTGCGTCCTTGGATGAGCTGTAGATGACTGCTACGTCTGCACCTGCCTCGGCGAGGCCACGCACGATTTCGACGCCGATGCCTCGCGCGCCGCCCGTCACAGCCACGATCTTGCCGGCGAGTGAGAATTGAGATAGGACAGGGGCTGACACGTTGGGTGGCTGGTAGAGCGGCATTGTTGATGTGATTGTATGGGTAGTCGAAGAAGTTGTATGTTTGGTGTTTGCTGATGTTCTTATTTTCTGCGTATGACAGACTTGAAAGTTGTGGACTCGTGACTCGGTGAGAACCTTGTTATGCGGGGAAAAGGCCGCTCCCAGTGCGGAGGCTGGGGGACAAACACATTTCTTCACACGAAACTATTACTCGGCGACCGTTAGCCGACCTACGGAAACCACTTGCCATTATCATCTTTGATGGTGAAATCATGGAAACACTTATGACGCGCTGTCTAAAACACCTTCTAGTCTTGGGACGTTTAATATACCTAGGGCTTCCCTCTAAATACCACGCTAACCCAACATGGTTTTATGTTTTGCCTCAGTCTCAGGGTCACGAGAAACACGCAGATTCTTCGATCTTCATCATCAGATAGGTGACTAGACTATCTACCACGTCCAATGGGAAGATCTTCGACCAGATACGAGACGTGGTGAAGAGATGGACACAAAGATTACAGGACAAACTCAAGACACCAGACAGCTCAATTGCTACAATAAATTCAGACACTACTCTCCAAGACAAATTGTGGTTCGTCATGAGTGCTATCAGCCATTCGAATTCTCGACACAACATTCCTCCCAGTCTCGCCATAACTCATTCCAGAACCTGAACCGTACGCCACCGACGAAGGTGCAGAGCTCGCTGCGAGAGCCACTAGCTCGCCAATATCCCCCCACGACCTGCAATAAACCAATGTTGCGCGAGCGCGTGACGCAAACATGTACAGCGAGTGAGCCAACACAAGGATGCTGAAAAGAAACAGACATGCAATGGCCGCTCTCGTAGAGGTGCTGCGTAGAGAGTATCCATAGCCATAGCGATCGACGGCAAAGCGCAGTTTCAGCACAGCGGCGTTTGGCCTGGAGCGGAAGAGAGTGGTGAAATCCCGGGTTGAGTTCTGCGCAGGAGCACGCAGAGTGTCAAAGACCTCTGAGGTGTCATTGCCGTCGTTAACGCTTACTGCGAGTGCCATTCCCGAATGAATTGTTCTCGATATTGAATCTGCGACGACAAAGCCAAGCAGACGAGCCACTGTTTCTTTGATGACTCCGTCCGAGTCGTTGTCCGTCGTACTAGGCATCTGAAAGATAGTGTAGTTGTTGAGTTCATTCAATCCAATGGATAGAAGTTGACTCATGGTGGTAGCGTTCAACTGGTTTTCGCCGTCAATCATTGATGTGTTAAAGTTGAGCATCTGGGCCCAGTCAAGCTGTAGATCAATCGGCCGATCAGATATGCCATATCGCTCCCTGACTCGCTTTGACGAAGCTCTTGGAGGCTTTGTGAATACTTCGGAACCAAGGAATGCGTTATTACTGACATTGCTTGAGACAATGCTGGAGTTCCAAGGCTGATATCTAATGCCTGAGGCTGCCCATCGTGCATCAATGCTACACGGAACGATTGCCAGAGACTGGAATGTCGTACCATTTTCATGCACATCAGTCACCGGTACCTTAGACAATGCTAACAATGATGACTGTGCGGTTGTGTTCGGATCTTTGTACCAGTCAAATGTCGTATTCACACGGGATATACTCTGCCAAGTGCTCGCTCCCACATCAAGAGAGACTCTTCCAAAATCGGGATTGGCATCGCCCCAAGGACTACCTACAAGGTTTGGAAACGTGACGTTCCCAAGGTCTGGAGAGAGGTGCGTCATGGTGCAGCTCACATGTACCAGTGGCTGGTAAAGTGCGATATCGTCGTCGAAACGAAGTTGTGGCATCTTGATATGATCCAACTTCCCAAGTTTACGCCGCGACAAATATTCCCAATATCCAGATATTGCAGTAAGCAGAAATTCCGGTATTGCGGTCGCGATCGCACCTTTCGCAACATCATTCCCGTCCTGTACCGAAGGAAGGACTTCACCGATGACCAGGCGCTGTGCGTTATTGGACCAATCTTTGACGACAAGCACATCCTGAGCGCCACTCAATTTCCATGCTCCAAACCATAGTATTATGCTGTATATCCCAGAGAAAGGGCATATCGGTCCCAGCAGAGCCTCCATAACATTAGATTCCGGCTGACATGATCTCCTCTGATAAGGACTGAGTTGAGTCGTTGATAGCTTTTGGGGCCATATTTGTTCGGCTGCCGTAGTCAAATTTGATATGTCCATGAAGTAGACCTCTGGATCCTTTGGTAGTGCTCCTTCAGCCGAGTACCAGTCCAGCGATGGAATCATAGTGGCAGCTGAGGAGGGACCGAGGAACAGAACAAGTATAGATGTCGACATCAACAGGAGCGTAAATAGCAGATGTTTTCCTCGAAAGCATCGCCAGAAAGACCGCCGGAAAAGTGTGGAGGGAGACCCAGCGACATAAGACGGCCCCAAAAGGCCCAATGGGACACCTCTCGTGCCCACAAGGAGCCTCCGAGTATAGTGAAGGACAATGTGGCCCAGCGAGGCCACCATTATGATCTCATGTAGCTTGGACACTACTTGAAGCCCCTTCATAATGTTATTTTGGAGTTCAGGGCTCCAGTGACCAATGTCCTGCCAGTACTGCTCCTTGAAGCTAGGCCACACAACAGAAACGGTGGCACATATGGCAAATACATGCACTGTCACCTCCCATCGTGGTAGTCTCCCGATCACTGGGGCATACGGACCTAAGTCCTTGGAATGTTTCAGAGACACATCGTCAGAGTAAGAACTTTGCAGTAGAGAGTTCGTGTAGGTATCTTCAACCTGCTCTAATGGCAGTAGAGGAATCTGATGACCGTTTGACTGAGAGGACATGTATGCAATCAAAGCAAGATATGAATTTGGAGTAGTAAACAGTGACCCGGAATACAGTAGGTCTCATCTGCGCGTAGGTGACACAGAAGTAGTGATGTTGATTTGCGCAAACAAGGACTCTGATAGTGGAAGGGTTCATATTGATGTAGTACTATCCTGGCAAGTATTCGAGGATGGTGGTGTAGGCTTAATGAATAACAGTGGCTGAAGAACCCAGGCGACACAGTCTGTCAAGGAGCGTCTATTTCTGAGATTAATGGTCAAGCGCAGTTTGATTCATGTTTGATCTTTTTAGAGTGCGCATCCATAATTATTACCTTGCATTGCGGCTGACTGTTGCTGGAGCTTTGCTGAGTTGGTGGCTATATCCGTTTCAACAGACTGGTCAGCCTCTCGAGCTCCCCGGATGCAGTAAGCGCCTGGCTCAGCTTCGTGTGATCATTCATTTTGTCCTATGAGGCTCCTCGTCAGCCTGTAAACGAGTGTTATTAGCTACAGCGGTATGCTGTTGGTAGATAATTCATGCTGTGCAACATATGGTGGGGCGTCAGACATGTCGCGGACAAGGTATGTAGCATAAGCAGGCAGGCGAGCCCTGTTCTATTACTTGTTATAGAAAAACGACGCGATGTCTTGAGCCAATCCCCGTAAGCTTTCGTCTAGCCTCTGCTTCCTGGTAGTTTTTTGTTAGATGCACATAATGATATCTTTCAGGGAGCGAGATAGACATGTGATCTCACACCTAATCATCCCCCAACTGTTCTACCCAGCAGTCTTGGCCCAGTGAACATCACGCCCGGACCACAATTTCCCAAGCACCAAAGATCACATCCTCACTTTTCTTTTTCATGCTTTCATCGCAACCACATCCGTACCCATACTAACCTCTCTCGTCAACTCCAGATCCCTCTGAAACTCACCAATCTTATCCTCCATGGCCTTAACACAATCGGGCCCGAGAATCAACCTCAAGTACTCATGCCCACCCAAGACAGCGTCCACAATTGCCTTGGCCGCCTTATCCGGATCGCCCTTGGCCAAGTTCTCCGGCGGCACTCCATCTTTCCCATGCATCATCTGTAGCATGGCCTCCAGCTTTGTGCCCCTATAGGCCTCGCTGTAACCGCCTGTGCTTTCGTGCGCAGCAGGCGTGACGAGACGGGTAGAAAAGGCGGTGCGAAACGCACCAGGCTCGACGATGAGGGTTTTGATGCCGAGCGAGTGCGTCTCGTGCATGAGAGATTCGTGGATGGCTTCAATGGCGTATTTGCTTGCGGAGTAGACGCCGCGGCCAGGGCGGGCGATGAAGCTGTCCTAGTCAAATGGATGTCTATTATTTGCATGAGCATGGCGTAGAAACGTACCCAGCGCCGGAACTGATCAGGACGATGTGGCCACGCTTCTTCCTGCGCATGGCTGGGAGAACAGCTTTGATTGCACGGATGGGTCCGTAGAAATTGACCTCCATCTGATGGCGGATCTCTTGCTCGCTGGAATCGTCAGTGATATGGATCCTGGCTGGTGATTATACGACAATAGCAGACCTCGTATCCTCTACACCACCAATGAACGCATAACCCGCACAGTTCACCAAGACATCGACGTCAAACTCTTCCTGCGCCTTAGCAAAGTGTGCAAGCGATTCTGGGTGTCCAGGATCTAACCGCGTCCACATGCCGCCTTTCGCAGCAAATTCTGGATTACAGTGTTTTGCCATGACGACATCACGGGTCGCTCCGACTACTCTCTGTCCTGCATTCAAGGCTGCGATACCGATCGACTGGCCGAAGCCTGAAGATGCGCCTGTGATGAGCCAAGTTTGTGTCCGAGACATCGTAGATATTTTCTGTGATGCAAAGTCTGGTATAGGAAGACGTCGAAAATATCAGTGTGCTTCGTGTGTATCTTTATATCGCTGTGATACGTTAAAACATTGGCGCAGAATGCTATAGGTGACAATGACGTCTGTGGAGCTGGCCTGTTGACGGAAATAGGGCAAAGAGACTGTAGCGGAGTTAAGACATCGCGCTTAAGTACTATTTTCACCACCATGGTTTAAGGCGTCCCGTCGTTTGTGTCAGGAGCAACATTCTGGTGGCACCATCAATCGAATCGAGTAGAAATTGAAGCGCATCTGATTGCCAGCTGGATGTAGCGCATCAAGGTGCATCTGTTTAATATGTGTTTTGTAAACAGATCGAGCACATGTACAGGGCTTAAGTCGTTCGAAAAAGCCCTTGTAGCGAGAACCAGTCTGACAAACTGGATTTATGTGATTGCTTGTACTTGAACCTATTCACCCCCAACGATGCCACCGCCACACAAATCCGCAATCAATCCATCCACCATCCTTTCTTTCTCGCTCGATCTCATCGCATATCTCTGATCAAAAGCCCATAGACTCAATTCACCAAAGAATGGTCTCAGCACCCTCGCTGTGAATTCCTCCCTAGAGAGTGTAGTCACATCTGTTTCAGTTCCCGCAAGTCCATTCATCTTCGCATCGGCTTTGACGCTGTTCAGGATCGCCTCGAGCTTAGACTGACCTAGAATTGGTTCTTTGTCCAAGTCATCATCATGAGATTCTGAGAGTGGTGCGTAGGATGTTGTATCAGCAAGAGTATCCGCAACGGCTTCAACAAGAGCGGTCGGAGCAGAGTCTGCGGGACCGTAGCGGCCGTCAATGGTGTCAGTAATATACAACCATTCGTGAAGCTGGAAGTCCTCGGGATCCAGTATAACTAGAGTGTCAAGGAGTTTGCAGGCCATGAGGATAGAGTGATTGTTGTATCTATCATGACTTTCGTCATCTGGGACAACGGCAGATATGGAGGCTGTCAGCTCGGAATTTATCACAGGCCAGAGAGAAGCTAAGGAGATAGCGGAAGTCTTAAGGACGAGAGCGCGGAGAACCATGAAGATTTCAGCACGAGTAGCAGATGATGGAGAAGATGATGGCGTCGCTGCAAGTAAATCTACAATCCGATCTTGTAGAATTGGTAGAATGGGGACAAAGTTGTCATCTACACTCGAGAGTATGAGGAGTGCGATGCGACGAAGATTGAACTGAGTCTTGCGATCAGCCTCGAGACGAGCTGAAGCAGCTCCAACGCCAAACATGATACCAGCAGTTGCAGGAGCTGAGATACGAGAAAGCAGCTCAGGCATCCGTTCTTTATCGGTGAATGACCACTGTCTGAGAATTTCAAGCCAGTGATTCTTCATCACAGTTTCAGAGAAAGAAAAAAATCGGGCGTCGTTGAATGCATCTGTTATATCTTTTTTGAGGGCTTTCGAAGAAGTGGCGACTCTCGAAAGTCGGTGAGTTAGATTCAACATCGTGCTGGAAATGTTCGAGGGAAATGACTTCGCGCGAACCGCGGGTCCGACGAGATTTGTGGATATTGCCGTGGCGACATTCATGATACGATCATTGTCCAGCAAGATGATGGAGAAGTCAGGGACGATATCTGCAAGAATTGCAACGACATCTGTAGCTCTTTTCGTACGAATGTTTGCTGCGGACTCTGTATCTTTGTCTTGCACACCCATCTGCGATAGATCCTGCAAGAAACTCTGGGGCCGCGTAGTAAATGTAGCCGCTAGGAGGCGCGTGAAAAGTTCCTGTGACGGTCAGCAAGAGTTAGTATGACAATAGGTTTGATGAAAATACCCCAAGCTCTTTCCTCATCTTCTTTTGTTCACCGAAGTTTGTGTTGTCCACCTTCTGCGCGAGGAGAGCAACCCATTCGAGTAGCAACGGCAGTATCTGTCGATGAGGCATAGGATTTGTCAAGAGATCCTTCAAGAAAGTCGTACAATCTGGCCAGATTTCGTCCATCGCATCATCTTCCAGGGATCTTGTATACTCGACAAGAAATGCCACAAGATCCGTATCGGAGAGTTCAGAGGACAGAGAGGAGGTTCTGGAAAACTCAAGGGCTCCAGGACTCGTCCGGCTGTAAATAGCATTGAAGATTGCTGGTATGGTGTGCTTCGGTTTTGCTCCATTTAGAACGTTCAACAAACCAAGTACTGCCTCAGCACGTGTTTCTGTGCGAGATGACTGGCACCACACAACAGCTAGAGTCTCAAGAGACTCTAAGCCCTCGGCTGCAAACAGATGCTCGAGAATCCTTCTGGCTCGATTCCTTAGCCTGAGTGAGGCGTACAAAAAGCTGGCATAAGACCCGGGATCAGGTTTGCCTTCACCGTAGCTATACCCGTTCCATGACCATATCGAAAAACAGAGACGTACAGTGTCTTGGAAGCAGAGAATCACCGTGAGCCGACTGTTCGCAACAGATGATCTAGCTTGTGGTGTAGAGTCGGAAGAGAAGACCCCGGCAACGCTGCCAAAGAACCCTTGTTGCATCTCGGGACTCTTCGCTGTGGCGGGGCGAGACTCCTCGTCTGTCAGTCGGCTATGGGCCTTCTCGAGAATTTGCTCGAGCCCATCTAAGAGAGATATGATTGTTGTATCTGGTGATACCTGTGAGGTGTGTTGCGAATTCTTATAAGTAGTCCGCAGCTGGGCGAAGACTTCCTCGATCTGACCACAGAAGCTCTCTACCAGCGGTAAAAGGTTTTGATACATGGTGTCTTCGAACATTGGGAGAACTTCGGCAAGGAATCGCACCCAGTCATCAAGTATCAAACGACTCGAAGGCGACGCGAATCCCAATTTCAGACACTCAATGAGCTGAGGCGGTGGTGTCGATGACACAGTTGGTTCACTACGATCCTGAGATACTGATAGACGCCTTAATGTACTGGAGAGATCTCGCGATGCTTTTCTTCCTTGGTCTTCTGTCACTGACTCTGGCTTCAAACTACGAAGCTTCAAAGCAGAAACTATAGTGTGCAGGATCATCGATTGTAGCGCAGGTGGGGATATCCGCACGAGTGACATCAAAGGTATCTCCAATTCGAACTCCCTCAAAGGAGCAGCATAAGGACCTCTAAGGACCTGCTGAAGCACGGCCATAGAGGTGCGATGGAGTTCACTCGTGAGATACACAGCACCCGCGGCCTTCCGTGGCGGGGAGACGGCAAGAGCTCTCATGGCGGCTTGAACAATGAAGACTTGCAGTGTCACCACCTCGGCATTCGCATGCGTAGTGTCTAATGGTGGAACTTTCTCGTCATTGAGAGTTCTCCATATCCTACTCGAGGACAGACCAAGAATGCCGTGAATCAGCCTCAGCTGATACAAGCATTCCTTTATGTCTGTAACGACAGCTGTTCCGGTTTGTAACCCCTGCGAGACTGGCGTTGACTGTAGATTTGTACTTTTCCTCTTTAGAGTATTGAGGGAACGCAAATGTGCACATATGATGTCGAACACCTTGTTCAAGCTTGGTAGATCCTGAAGCCAGTTTTTGACAAAAAGCTGAAGCTCTGAACCGTTTTCGTCAAGAGCATCTAGTATTCGAAATAAGGGTCTTGTGAGAACGGCTTGGATGCCAAGGCTGTTCAGCGTCGTGCAATCGACACCGACCGAGCTGTTCGATCTTGAGACGGGGCGGCTTCCTCTTTCAACATGCTTCTGACTTCGCTCATTGATAAAATGAGTCCAGATGATGGTAAAGCGCCTTCCAGCTTCAGAAGAACCCTCTTTCGGCGAGCCTGATACGTCAGGAGCCATCAATGCAGTAATAGACGCTTCAACTATTCTACTCGAGGATGATAAGGTGTGGAGTTGCCAAAGACATCTCACACACTCGACGTGGTATTTAGGTGTACATGGAGAAAGATAGTGCCATAGGAGCTTGACCATGGGCTGAAGCAAATCAGGGAAATGCGCATCGTCAATGAATGGTTTCGTCGGACTAGCAGATTGGAGCGGGATCAGGACAGTGGTCATCGCCAAGACAGATTTATATGGCATGTTCGAGTCGAGTGGTGAGGTGTTGATCGACTCAAGGGCCTTATGAAGATTAGCCAGTAAGTTCATACTGTTCAAACCCTCAAATTTTTGTGACTTCTGAAGCAGGGTAGAGAGAATTTTCGACGTCGTTTCAAGCATGTCTCCAGAGCGATCATCTGATAGAAAAGAGGAGAACAATGTGCCGGCCAAGGAAGTTGAGTGATGTGCGAGTTCGTCGATAGAAAGAGGGGTATTCTGAACGTCCAAATTTCCTTGTAGTTCAGGGTCGAAATAAAATTTGCTAATCGCGTTAAAGATATCTTTCGTGGTTCGCACAGACGTAGGCTTCGTTCGTTCTTGCGTATGTGATCGTAATGCTCTGTCTGGCAGATGCTGTACTAGCCATTCTGCAAATTCAAGGACCTTAATTGACACTTCTGAATTGTAGAACCGACTTTCTATGCCTTGACCGATGTATTGGATGACCAATATCAACACAGCAATTATGATGAGAGGCATGTGATGGAGGATCATCTCTTCTTCGCGAACGTTGAAGCGGCTGAGGATAAAACGGGCGAGTTTGAGTTTCTGACTAGCTTCGTCGCCTGCAGATGAGTCGGTCCTCAGCGTGAGAACCAGTAACTCAAGAAATTTACTCCAAATGAGTCCACTTTCAACGCCGTCAAAGAACAAACTCGCACTTCGCATGACTTCGTCGACATCGTCTTTACTTGCAATATGGCTATATCGCTCTACGCTCTGTAAGGCAGGGATGAATATCTTCGGCACGACAAGACCACCCACCTCCCAGCGATCCATAAGCGACAAGCATATGCGAAAAGGTCTCGCGCGTACGGATGGCAATGCCGAATCTTTCTTGACCATGGCAAGAATACTTTGCGTAAGTGGCTCAAGCCCATACGCTTCGAAGTATACTGCAGTCTGAGACGAGACCTGATTAGCGTCAATCTCACTGACTTCCTCACTTCCCTGTGTTGGTTCTGGCCCCAGGAACCATGACCATAGCCGTCGGTTCAGACTCATATCTCGACGTGTGACGACTCCAACAGCAGCGGAAACCAAGAGCTCTAGATCTGTCTGGTCTTTGGTCGTCCTGTTTCCACTTTTTTGTATAACCGGGGAATCAAGCGGCAGCTTGGACACAAGAAGATCCAAGAAGCCTCTCTGAATGAGTATTTGATCGTCTGTTAAACCTGCAGCGAAACATCGAATCATTAGCCCAGGCTCCGGAGTGACCGCTGCCTGGGCTTCCAGTGGCATGGCGATCGCACCATTTGCAGTAGGGACCTTGGATCCCTTAGACCCTGGCAAGTCGAATTTCGGTAGATATCGGTTGAGATATGCTAAAGCACCATGTCTCCGGGGAGGATTCGTGATCACGGCAAGGAAAAAACATTGCCAGAAATAAGGATCCTTGGCCTCCTCTTCAGCCGCATCTGTCTCTTTCTGTAACTTTACAGCAGAACCCAGGTGGTCTAGAACTTTAAGAATCCGCTCGAAATCGTCACTTGTCTCTTCTTCCAGTCCAGGCAATAGACAGAGTATGATAGACTTAAGGGCCGGTCGAAGAGCCTCGGGATTCAGAGTGAGGATATGGGACTCGACGAGAGATATGAATAGAGGTCTGACAGTGAGTGAAGCAAACGATGGCAAGGCGGCCAAGCCCGGGAAATAGAGGTTGAGGTCTCGACTTAGTGAGTCTTTCTGGTGACATGTGAGTTTGGGGCTGCTCTTAGCAAAGTCGTTATAAGAGCAGACGGACCCCTAAGATCTCGAAGATCTGGTTGTATACGTCCAGTGCTTTCTGATGCACACCAGATGGCAGCGTTGGGTTCATACATTGTGCGAGACGCGTTGCAATAGTCGGGCTGTACGGAATGGCATCGACTTCACCAGTATACGATTGAACTGCCTAGTCTTGGTGAGCCTCGTCTGTCGTACTCTTGAGCGCATGGATTTAAGGGGATTACAAACCTTCAAGAGGCGTGCGAGAAATGAGATGTAGTCGGCCCACTCTTGCTGAGGCGTCTCGAAGAAGGACAGTGCACGTTCGATACCTTGCGCATATCGACGCAGGTTCTTATCTTTCTTGTACAATCCTGACGGAGAGTTGAGTTAGTGACTTGTAGTACCAGATGTAGCTCATGTCACCTACATACCCTCTTCCGCTTCTCTGCGCAGTACCCGTGGTACTGGTGATGATCTCCCAGAGCTTACTGGGGAGACTGGGCGGCGACCTGGTTCAAGCGTCATGGTTAAACAGCGCAATGGAGCTTTTGTCGCATTAGTCTCGCTCTTTTCCACAGCATTGCGCACGTCAATGTTGTGTAGAGAAAGTGGTGCTGCCTGAGCTTGTAATATGCGTTACGCAAGCTGTCATTTTTGGGTGGAGTCGTTGAGCTCCGTAGGGCTGAACATTAGAGCCCCACTGGTGACCTTGGCCTAAGGCATCAGTTTCACCAATACCGTGTGTCATCGTTGGAGCGTCGTCAGAGCAGTTTCATACTCTTTTATTGGCTTCATGACGCATCTCAGCAAGTTCATATATATCAATGTTTATGATTCACTTTGAGGTTCACTGAATGGCCCATCGGCTCGTTCCTGTGGCTAGTTTTCTCCTTCATAATGACAAAAATGCCATTCAGTGACATGCAACTCACTGCTCTTGTCAGCGGCAGATCTACATTACCTCGCAGCGTTTCCATTCTCGTAAGATTAATATACGGACCGAGTATGACAACCTCACAACCCTACCCGGCTCGAAGCTTGGATGCGAGAGACGGACGCGCATTATGATTCATAGAGGACACCGAGGTGTCAGAGGCTGATTAGTTCGAATAGAACCGCTATAGAATATGGAATCGTACCAGTATATTCCTTTCGACTCAACCGTTGGCCGTAGGTTGTTTCGAGAGACAAGGTCCTGCTCTGTTGAAAGGCACACTTGTAGAATTAAGCAATTAATTCGTACGTTCGCCGTGACTTCTGCCCTCGAAGGATGAGCTCATCAATATCTCTTCACCCTGAGCGACACTGATACCGCGGTTTAAAGCGTAAACTTGCTATATACGGCCAACCCAAGCCAGTGAGATTCCAAAAATTGATTCGACAGAAGATTACACAGTACCAACAGGCTGAGACCGTCCGATTGGCGTTGAAAGCGAGCGACGACCTATGCTGACGAAGCTGACGAAGCAGTTTCTCTAGCCTTATATGGATGTAGCTCTCGCACCACAAACCAGAAAGCGTCTGGTATGGGAGACGGCAGAGCGTCGCTCTTACTATCAATGTACAGCTGTTGTTACGCGTACATGGCTGTGCCGTGGCATTTGTTCCGCTACACCAACACAGTCAGAAATGCACTACAGAAGTCGGAACATGGATGGGTCGCTTCGCCAGCCGATACGCATGCTCGAGCTAGGGGTGAGGTTAGGTATTTCATGTGTTTTTTACAGTACGAACGCAAAGCTACTAAACCCAGTGGTCGGTGGACGTATTATGAAAGAAAGCTTACGGAATTCAGCCGGTGAGGCTTCGCGAAGGCCTAGGAGTATACTGCAGAAATACGACAACGTGACAATGGAGATCACTATACCCATCATCATAGCACCAAGGTGCAAGGACCTCTGAGAAAGTTTTCGATACGACATTATATTCTGAGCACTCTCGAGCATCGAGGCCTTTCCATGGCATGGCGAAGAGTAAGTGGGCTGTGCATCTGTGTAGTTGGGACGCAATGAATAGTGCACCAGAGACTTAGCATCAATTTATTGTATGTATTGCATTTGCTGCGGGAGACAAGAGTACTCATTCCTTGGCTTGCCCCAAACCGCTGGGTCAGAAATTTTCCCATGAAATCGTGGCTTCCCGGAGACAATCAAGGTAGTATCTCAATTTCTGGAAGTAATATATGAGTCATGCAGGACGGTGACCGAGGGCTGACAGTGATATCTTAAGACGGGGCTGATCTGACAACTGACATGATGCATGAATGCAAGCCAAACTTTACGCGTATGGGGCGGTAGGGATACGTTACGAGTTCAAGGACCAGTGATCGCAATATAATACACAACATGATGGTAGAGATCGAAGTCCAGCGGTGACTGACGAAACCTGATCATGAGGCTGGACAGGTCAAAATTGCGTTGGCCTAAAGAGGTTTCTTTTAAGGATTCAAGTCAAGATGATTCCCGCAGGACAGGGTGCTGTCCTTCGATTTCGAGCTATCGGCATCGACATTATCCGGCTCCGTGTCGTATTACGATCTGTCAAGGCCTTTTGTTACTCCCGGGTGCGGGATTTGGATGACACCACTTTGTACTCTGAGGCTCTGATTCGTGAGTAACAGCGCTGTTTTCAGATGCCATGCCGTCCGTCGATCCGTACAGGGTTATCACAAACAGTCCCGGAGGTGTGCAATGCTACTATGTCGTTTTTGGCACGCACCTAGAGCAACACGATTTGTATCGGGCTTTGAGAACTGCAGTTACCGATGAGGCGTCACGAAAACAAGTTCATTCTGTCAGACGAGCGAATGACCGGAGCGCAAATGCCCTTGCCGCTACCTTGAGGTGGAAATCGTAAACGCGAGGTGCTTTGCTGTAGGTGAAAATAACACTGCGCATTGGATGTCTGACCCATGGAGCCCACCCTCGGACGAATCTCGCACTACGCCGTGGGAGAAGGCGAAAGAGAAAGTTTACGATCCGCACAAAGACCTTCGCATCGTAGGCGGACGAGGCAATTCTGTCCGAACGTAAGAAAAATGGTAATCTCGAAGACTGGGACCCGTGATCGCGTGCGTTGATGCGGGACACTGCCCAGGTGAAACCTTGCAGTGGAAAGTCAGACATGCTGTGTCAGCAGCACACTACCACTACACCTGATCACTATTATTTTGGCGATCGCTATAGCTGCAGTTATCATGATAGATGTATTGAAGAAAAGTAGAGGCCAGGCTGCTTCCAAAGGTGTCTGCGTAAGTAGTGCCTAAGGCATGTAAAGTAGCAGTGTGACTGCTCATTGATCCAATTTGTAGTAATGAGCACGACGAAACAGATACCCGAAATTGACGGATTATGGGATCCAAGGGTCTGAAGACGAAGACAAGGAGACCTGCAAGACAGCGCCATAACCTACAAGTAACGAGTTCTCTGACCATGCCATGTCTGTTATCGTGTACGGGCAGAGACCTGGCCTTGGCTCTTGGGTATTAAAGACCCGGGTTGGCGGCTTACCAGATTGGCATATAGAAATGATCCGACTGCTCAGGCAAAGATGTGAGTAGTCACCGTTTCCCCTGTTGTTTGATGCGTTAGAGGAGTCATGGAGTATCTATAGATGGTCGGCATCCAGTCGATGCTGTCAGTACGGAAGGATTGCACGGAGCGGCTACACGAGAACGAGAATCCAGTTGGGTAGTAATTAATAGCAGAGATGAAGATGTAACCCGGCTTGGCTGCAGGATTGTCGTCTGTCAGGAAGCCGACGCTCGGTCCGCTGTAGAAAGCGAAAACACGAGCGAAAAAAAGCCAAGAAGCCACGCGGCTAGCCAGGATGTTGCGACTTGTGCAGCGATCGAGAATAGAAACAGCAGACCAGACAGAACGTCCGATGAATGCGATTCTATCATTAGTGGGATGTGATGTCGAAGCGGTGAAATTGCACAAAGACATTGCTGTGGCTGGGGCAGTGGTCAGGGCTGCTATTCCAATGCAATAAGATATTGAGCAGCTAGCACAGCACACCCAGGAGGAATAATGTGATGTAGCAAGTCAGATGGTGTGATACAGCGGACAATAGGAGCCTGGATAATTCCAATGTGAGAAACAGTGTCCATACAGATAGTGTATATTGATTAAGTGGTTGATCATCGAAGTCGAGGGCGAGGTGATGTTGACGCGCAGGCGGGTGGAAGATGCCGAGAGTGGGTGGAAGAGCAGCCCACCTGAGGCTGCACAGCGCCAGGTCTGAGGTTGGAGGTGAGTACTTTGTTGCTTAAGGCTAAGTCAGCTAATTTTACTAGCTGGGTGCATGGGGCCACGGTACCTATGTAGTGGAGGTACTGGAGGTACTAGAGGTACCTCCACCTTTGGATAGGTAAGGTGCCTAGTACTACTACTACTACTACTACCTAGTGGGTTAGTCATCGTTTGCGTAGTAGTAGGTATGTATGCAGCTAGCTGGGCAAGTGCACGCGGTCTGCGCTAGACGGAAGTACCAGATCCTACCTGGTAGCGGTATTAAATATACGTACCCAATGTTCCAAGGTTTTGCCGGTATGCACGAAAGAGGTCTGTCAGGCTGTACGAGTGGGGCTCAGGCATCACAATATTAGACCTGCTTTGTTAGCTTGCATGGGTTGTTCACTCCGTAATTTACAATAAGTCCTGCTTGGCGTGTACTACGTACTGCCGGGGGAAGGGGGGGGGACCGGGGGCGTCCTGCGTGCATCAGTCAGTCAAGGTGGTGGATCCTCTCTCGCAACGTTCGGTGGTGAACTCGGACCTTAACTGCGCTGTCTTGTCAGTCGAAAAACCTTGACTTGACCTTGACCTGGACGGAAGCGGGACCTAGACCTGGGCCTGGAGCTGCGCATTAAAAGAGTCGTCATTGTCGCATTGCCGTCATGTAGCGCGCTTTCTGCCATTCTCGATATATATCGCCTGCCTCTGCATACCTACCTACCTACTACCAGAACTACTGTTTCCTGGGCCCCAACTTCCACCACCTCCAATGCCATGGTACTGTTTATATCATAGGTCCTGTTTACTTTAGTCTCATTCTATGCCATCTATTGCACCATCAGTCCCACACTCCAAGCTCCATCCCAACCAGGCCTTCATTTATTTGCCCACAACTACTTAAATTCGTCATTGCCCACTTTTATATATTCTTCCTCCATACATTTCCACCCACCTTCACAGTCTCCATGAGTTCCAGAAACTTGTCACTCGGCTCGAGTGTAGAAGCTGTCGAGCGCAAACGGGTTTGCAAGGCGTGCGACCGCTGTCGGTTGAAAAAGTCAAAGTGTGACGGTTCACAGCCGTGCTTGCGATGCAAAAGTGACAATGTGTCATGTCTCTTCGGCGAAAGGAAACGTGCTCAAGACAAGGTCTATCCAAAAGGGTAATTTTGATTTCTCGTCCTCTCACCAATTCCAAAGCTGATATACCTGCAGCTATGTAGAGATGTTGGAACACCAGCAAGCTATGCTTGTTCGTGGCATGCGCAACCTTTATCAGAGGTGTGTCGCCCATGGTTGCTGGGAAGGCGAGCCCTTGGAGACACATGAAACGACCGGACATCCACTTGTTCACAGCATGCTTCTTCGGCTCGACGCCCTATACATGGTTTCCTCTGCTGAATTCGAAGAGGGACAGGAGCACATCCGTTATGAAAACTATGGCCCCTTCGAGGAAAACTACCCAAAGATGAGGACTAGACTACTAGAGCAAGGTGCTAGTCTACGAGATAGACGTGGTGCCTCTATAGGCTCCGATTCCGATCACGGTAGCTCCAATGTCGCCTCACCTATTTCTCCCACTGGCAACTCCTGGGAACAATCAGTCATCACTCCTATCACACCCCCAACAAACGATTTCTTCCCACAGGCGCATCAGCAAAGCATCAAGCAAGAGCCTACACACAATAGGCAAAATTCATTCAACTGTGCAGAGAGGCAGAATTCGTACAGCTGTGCAGATGGCCAAGATTCCTTCAGCAATCCGAACTGGGCATCGACGTCAGCAGTACCAGATATGCCTATGCTAGCAGCAGAAACCTGGCCCAACAACGACACCTTCTTCGGGAATCCTTCCATGCCAGAGGACAACATCTTAGCATATGACCAGCCTCAATATTTGTTCAATAACAACACGCAAACAAATACCCAATGGGATCAATGGGCCGTGCCTGAGGAACAGCGAGACTACTCCTACGGTTTTGGCAACTCATGATGGGAAAGCTATTCAATTCTTGATGAAGCTAGCTCAGATTAGCTTTTACGAGAATGGCTAGACCAATCGTCTCAGGCAACTTCACGAATTACGACCACCGCACCTCAGGAGCTGGAAGGGATACCACCAGCGGCAAGCTATGTCAATGACAAGCAGTTGAGGCGCACTGGAATTGATACATTGGGACTGCTGGGACTCAGGCGTTTTGGGAAACTGTATAATGGGACGATGCAATGTGTCCAAATAGATTGTGCATATGAAGCACACATCTTTGTCGATGGTGTCTCCAACCACTTGTACGGTATCTACAAGAGTAGTAATAATATTGATACCCTGTTCATCTTACTGACTCGCTCCGGCCTCGACGTACTCTCAATGGCATACAACTGACCACTACCTGACGTGTTAGCGCCTATTCAGGTCTCACACTTGACGTTATGGAGTAGTTTTCGAGGGCTTCGCCGTTGCTTCTGGCGCTATTGGAACACCGGCATTAGCAACTCTGTCCTTATCACGTGCCTAGTTCTCAGCCCAAGTCAAGATGTGTGTGGATCAAAAATATCTGTTCAGGCACAGGCCTCGCCTGGCTACTTAACGGCAAGTCCCGAAATATGGCGCCCGTTAACAAGCACCGCGTACGCAGATAATTGGGCTGAGGCTTCGAAAAAGGAATGTGCAGTAGTAGTCCATGGGTGCTAATATTGATAGCGATAGTGATCGAAAGTGAGAAGCCTGGGGAACAAGCCGATCGGCGGTCGGAGCCTTCTTTCCCAGTATACCCCTCAACGCGCTCCCAACACATTCATCTTCAGTCGCGTTGCATTGATCGCTCGCCGACGTCATTTTCACTTTGATCTCCTTCATGCTCAATCGATCTCTAGAATCATGCACTTTTCTTCACAATTTTGGGGTCTTGCCTCCGGTGGGACGTCGTTTATGCACGATGTAGCCTTCGCTCTAGCCACACAATGATCTCCCGAACAAGGATCCCAAAGATCGTGCCCATAGGCTAATGTTCTTCGACATGCCGAAAACCCACCCAGCCAGTGGGCCCATAAAGACCTGTTGTTTCGCGCATCCTCTACGAACTCGTCCTCGTCACATCTTTCTCCTTGGTATCCTCATACTTCCCCGTAAGTGGCGCATATTCTCCGCCCTCTGTCGAGTCCCAGATTACTCAGTACAGTGGTACCTAGCCCTTGTAAATCGTTTATGAAAAGCGCTGCGATTCTTCCGACTCTAATGCAACCTTACTCATCCCCGAACATCATAAGCTGACTGCAACATTATTAGGCACGAGAGTCCTGATTCGCGGAATTCTCCGCCATCGACAAAAAAGTATACCCCGGTCCGCCATGACAAGCCCTTTGCCTTCAGTATCATTTCTACCTCTCGGGGCTATAATCAAATCCATAGAAGTTAACGGCAAAAACATAGTGCAGGGGTTCCCAACCTCTGCAGACTACGTCGCTCACAATTCACCGTACTTTGGAGAGACGATTGGGCGTATTGCGAATCGCATTTCGAGTGCCCGAGTCAACCACCTCAATAGTCAAAGCTACCAATTGAGCGCGAACAATGGATCCAATAGTCTACATGGTGGTGTGAAAGGATGGGGCAAGAGAGATTGGAAAGCAGAGAATACCAAGCGCGCGAGCATCGATGGCACCGAAAGAGACGCTGTGTTGTTCACATTGACAAGTAAGCATGAAGAAGAAGGCTTTCCTGGGACCGTTGAAGCCAAGGTCTGGTATATGCCGCACATCACCAAAGAGGACGGAGTGGATAAGACTATACTTGAGATGGAGTACGAAGCGCAGCTGATTGGTGACGAGGTCGGCGAAACTGCTGTGGGAATGACCAATCACAGGTAGGACCGTTTTTATTATTATTTGCACAATGGCTATGTGTTCTCACTCATGTGACTTAGCTACTTCAATCTCGCCCAAGCGCCTGATATTAGTGGGACTGAGGTCACTTTGTCTACGATTCACTATCAAAAGGTCGACGACGGTGGAATACCGACTGGCCCGATCATCGAATATCCGGGCTTGGCCAAGGACAAGACCTTCACGCTTGGTTCTGAGAAGCCAGACATTGATGACTGCTTCATATCGAATTTGGACCCTTCCAGTATCCCTCTAGACACGCGCCCACAGCCTCTAGACTTGAAGGCATCTTTCTACCATCCAAGCTCGAGAATTCATCTCGAGGTTCTCAGTACAGAGCCCGCTTTCCAGTTTTATACTGGTAAGTATATCGATGTCCCTGCTGTACCGGGCCAGCCAGCCCGCGGCAAACGATCTGGATTCTGTGTGGAGCCTAGTCGCTATGTCAATGCTGTCAATGTCGATGAGCACAAAAGCATGGTGATCTTGCGACAGGGTGAAAGGTACGGCACGAGAATTGTGTACCGCACTTGGGAATCATAAGGCTACTCTGCAAGATATCTCCTAAGGCTGGCTGGAGTGAAACAGCATACCACTAGTTCCTAATGACTCACGTGATGGCGTGTTCTGTTCAGTTTGCGCCATAAAACTTTCTGCTAGATCTATGAGCGATGTCGATACGCTAGTACCCGCTGGGAACTGGCTTTGACCTATTCTGGCCCTCGAGTCATTTTTACTTATCTGAAAGCGGCTTTTAGTATTTTCATAAGTTCCTTGGCGAACAGCCTACCCTTGGCATCCTTAGCACCTTTATCGTGGTAGTATCCACTCTAGGTAGCATAGTAGTCGCTTTCTAAGGACATGAGGTACTTGGAACAAGGGTTAACAATTATTTCATGTTAATACTTGTACACCTAAACAGGTAAAAGACGTGCGGCCCAAGGCCAAAATTTAAGTAGTAAGTCAAGAACTGCGGCCCAATCAATATAATGACTTGGTATATAAATTCTGCCTGAATCTGGCCAAAACGTGAAGAGCTAAATAATTAATGGGTCACTTCCCAGGAACTGCTGTCGCATTTTTTGCACGGAGAGGGCTCCACCTTCCTACGTACCTACTACCTATATCACGCCATGCAAGTTTTGGTGCTGGCTCGAATAAGTCTAAATCACTACGCGCGCTAAGGCTATTGATAAATTCTCCTACCCGGGTGGTTGGGTGGCTGGGCGGCTGGGCGCAATGCCCAACGCAATCTACAAAGCAAGACTACCGTGTATGTCATGGTAAAATGGTTAGTGATGGCCAATCGCGGCGGGGCCAAAGCTCATCTCCGTATTTCTTTTCTTTTCTTCCAGGGTCGACAGAGAAGGACTAGCGAAGTTCAACCGATCACTTGGATGCACATCTCCACTACAAGTCGGTAGGTAATGTAGTGTAGTGCATAGTGCATAGTAAGTAACATGGGGTAATAGGTAGTAGTACAGAAAAGGCAAACACCACTGCAGTATAAGCTCATGCAACGGTGATCCGTGGGGCATAGTACTCCGCTAACCATACTCCACACTTGCAATAATCCTCACAGAACCCACTCCTGAACTCCACAGCCCCCCCCTTGCTCCGACTCCACATCAAAAGGGCGAGCAGGTTTAGTCAAAGTCAACAAGTCCTTGTAGAAGTCTTGGCGAGCCCCCCTCCTTGGGCAATTCAACCTTTTATCTACTTACGTGACTTGTCCAGTCCTCCAGCCATGATATTATCATTGACATTATTCATATAATTAGCTTTAACTACGGGTGCGGGCCGGTAAGCCTTGAATCCCCGGACTGGGATCCTTCTGCTTCTGCTTCTGCTTCGACCTTCCTCTTGTAGATCACCCCCCTCCTGGTGTTTATCTGATCTGATGCATCATCAGGATCAAGAGTCGATACTCATTTGCATCATGATTTCATGTCCATGTTCTCCCGGCGGATGTCGGGCCGCCCGCTGCATGATCATGATGGTGACACGCGCTGGACATGATGCATGCCGAGATGATGATGATGATGCAGATGGGATGCAGATGCGTGCTGTGATGTTGCCTCAGGCATATCTATCTACCTGTCTCGCCAGGCTCTTGTCTCAGCTGATTGTGCGCAGTGCATGATGTACCAGGCACGTGCTCCGGATTTAACAGAATAACATAACGCCGGATGTTGATGAGTGAGTATGATTGGGATGGTCTCAAGTGTGGAGAAGACGCGTGCCAGGCCCGAGCGGAGCTGTATCCCTCTGCTTGTACCCCGGGCATGCTTCTCTCGGGGTTAGGTAGTAGAGCATCTCTTGACTGCTCGTAATTGACGAGCAAGAGTCACGATGCACACATCGCAAAGGATACCTATACAAGCATCTGCACACACCTACCCTTCAAAGCCCTGGTCTGCTTAGTCATAGATGCGCGCAGGCAGTGCAGGGCAGGTATTCCGCGACGTTGGGTCCGAGAAATGCGAGAAGTTGAGCGGGCCCAGGCGAAGTGGGGCGCGTGTTTGGAGCTATCAACATATGAGAGGGGGCTTGGGTTGTTTTGATTGGATCGCTTGGTTCGCCGTTGGAGCGGATGGATGTGTGCGTTCAACGCACACAAACTCTATACGATGGAACACGAGCTGTGGGGTGGCTTGGCTCTTCTTTGGCCGAGTGGTGCGTGTACGACGTACTCGTATCTTGACAATGAGATTCTGTGTCGTGTGCTGTGATGGTTCTGTCCAGAGCTCATATGGTGAACCACGATCTGGATTGGTCTGTGTCTATGTTAGTGCTTCACAGTGCGCTGCTGATTGGTTGCATGTAAAATCTCTGGTACGGCTGGAGTAGATACGCCAGCCGTTCGTGGTCACGTTGCTCATTCTTCTGACGTATAGACATATCCATATGCACAACATATAGTGAAGTCGCTATAGTGGTAGTCCTTTACAAGTAAGCAAAACCTTACAACCGTGCATACATGGATGGATGTAAGGGAGCCACTTACCTGTTCACTATCTGCGTATCATGACTCATGCATTATGATAGACGCGTGACTATGTGAGCCATATTGAGGTACTGGCGCACTGAAACCGGTACGACTATCTATCCCAGGTCGCAGCAGACTTGAAATGTGCGTTGTTTCTATTTTCTAGGCACAGCCCCATGAATGATACGCGTTGTCCTGGGGACCGACTAGAAAACTCCACAAGCATTAATTGTCAGTTCGTCTCCTGAGAATCTTATCATATCAAGACCTACAGCGTTTGCCTATACAAGCTTCGTGCATTGCACTTCCATCGATCCAATTTACTCGCCCTTAGCTGACTTGCTCCCGAATAGGACAGACAGTCCGCCGAGCCTGATTCAACAAAAGCGCACTGACGTCTGATCGATGCTTGCGCACAAGATCACCTTGTCTTGGAGTTAAATCAAACTGGGATGGCCCAATCATGCCTATGTGAGTGTTTAGTTAGACCCACGGTACGGGTGAGAGGACCGGCGGTCCAGGCCGCAAACCACATGGTATCTGCGGGAAAGTACTGCCCAAGGGCCGCGTATCGCACCTATACAACTGGCTGTTGAAGAGCAGTGGCCATGCTTGTCCAGAATTGAGAGCCCCGTGGCCACACAATTCCAGGAACGTGGTCCGAATGAGGGGGAAAGTGCAGTTGAGACTTTCGAACGGGTTGGTCCCTGAGGTGACAGAGAAGGTTTTGGCGATATCGTCGATGGGATTGATGGTGCAAATGTGGTCTGCTTGTAAGCAAATCTTGACAAGTGCATTCCGCAATATGGTTAAGTCCCGCAATAGGGATGATTTGAATACTATATTTGTCGTCAAATCTACCGCCTGGTGTTGCTCGAACGCTCGCTTTCCTGAATGCTCGTGCTGTGCCATCGTCACTCATTTGTGCTGCGTACACGATGAAGTCGATAAATTGCGAGTCGATTTGCCGAGACACAACTGCTCGCATCCGACTCGGATCGTATGCGTTGTGATGCTCGGGTTCTTGTCGCGAAGCTGCAGGCTCGACCGGGGGCTGAACAACAGGGACGCGTGAGCGCAAGATGGTGTGTCATGCGGCAGCTGGAACCGAGATCTGCTGGCTTGGTAAAGCTTGGCTCAATAGACAGCTTTGGGTTCAAAACTTAGTCATCATCGATACCCGCTAAGACTCAAAGGTCCCATTAGACTATTAGTCGTGAAGGAGAAAAGTCGAAATAGGAATATCACACTGTCGATGACATCGTCTTTCTGTAATAGCTCACCAGCCTCAGCTACTCACCACTGATACACTCGCATCGGGGTTTAAGATGGTTGCGAACAGTCGAATGTGGGGCGATCGTTTGCCACCGGGATCTGTCGTCGATGTAGAGCTCACTGAAGGCTTACTCCAACCTCTTCGTACCCCCATAAGCTCGGTGAATGGCACACCAGACGTTGCCGATGAGTGTTTTTAAGCAGTGGTGTAGTCGTGGTTCGATTGCTGTACAGTTCGCATGTGTCCCTGAGATCCACACTGGGGTCTGCACAACGCCTGTCCATCTATGCGTTCAATGCTTGTTATCTGAGTGATGTCGTGACAGTAGTAGTATATACATGACCTGCCGCACGGAATGTAACGAACCATCATAATGATAATCGAGCTTGGCAGTAAAGAATGTCTGTGATGACACATAACCATTGCGAGGATCCCAGAATCTGCATTGATCATAGGCGCAGTGTACAGTCCGAATAATAGCTGTCCTCATGCGACCAGATTGGCGCGCTAGTGTCATCACACGAGGATTATTGCAAGGAGGCTGGATGCTCAGCTTCCAGACAGGGGTAATCTCTTGACCGCGCACCAAATGTGGATCGCGAATGCGGGAGGGTATGCTTGCCCGGAGTGGTGCTGGGTACACGGCATCCCCTCGACAGAATCGTGGTAGGCTCAGCGAGCTTAGAGTCTTGGATGAGGCCTGCGACGGTTTCTGAGATCTGGATTACGACGAGGTCGTGGCTACATAGCTGAACTGGTATGTCTCACGTCAGTCTCGAGTCCTGTTCGCTGTATCGCTTGCGAGGCAGCAGACGGCCGGTGAGATGGACTGGCTTCTATGAAAATCGGTGGGGCTGACCGGCCGCCGGATTCTGATATTTGGAACTTGTCGATGCCGCCCTCTACCTTGCAGGTTGCTCCGTCCCAACGTTTTACGGTCGGCGCCCGCTCTACAGAATCGCCGACAGTGCCTTAAGCCCGAACCCGTCTCCTTCTTGCGTAGTCATGGATCACCCTCTCTCTTGCTACGGCTAACGAGATCTGTATTCTTAAATAATAGGAACCCACGTCACAAGTCTATCGATACTGGATTGATGATACCGATTTGAATTACTTATTCACACTCACTGCAGCCCATTGGCTCGATTGATTGCTGAACAACGATCCATCACGCCTCCGACTACATCATCATCCGGCAACAAAAAACATAGGCGATTTGAATGTCTACTATTACCCACTCCTCGTATACAATTACCTCAAGCTTTGAACGACTTACCATAGAGAACTCAGTAAGGAATGCTACCATGAATATGCCACAGATATCAAGTCTGTAGCAGGACCTCGGATTCAGCCTGGGGTTCCGCATCGTTTGCTATCTCCCTGGAACGCCATAAAGAAACTGTACATAATACTTATCACTACGACTTAGTAAAACCAAAAGACCGAATATCGAACCGTTTTTAATAACACTATCAGTGTGATTGGTTGCCAACGACAAGCACCAGTTTCGCATTAGGAGCCGTGGCATTCTCTGGTAATACCATCAGCATTGGTGGCTCCGCGGAACATGTCTCGGGGAATCAATCAGAGCCTTGCATACTCTAACAATGATTTGCCACACTTTTTACATCTCTATGATGGCAGATGTTAGATACATGTTGCTGAAGAAGAGGCACATATGCGTGGCGTGTCAAGCACCAGCAGCAGTTCCCGCCTTCGGCGCATAGTCTGCTATGTTGTAATCATATCTAAGCCTCATAGGTCCAATGTTCGCCTTCGTCCCGCATGCGCAGGCTTTTGAAGCAAAACTTCGTGTTCTAGAAGTGTCTTTTTTGAACATCTATCATTCTTCAGGCGCACCCCAGGAGTTCTATACAGAGCAACAGATATGTCTCGATGGCTATGGGTACTCGAATAGATCCGCAGTAATAAGTGTACATTCACATAGAGACAAAGCCCTGGACTAAACTCCTTGGGATGCTGACAGTTCTGTCAATTTGCACAAGTCATTCTTTGATTATCGAGAACACTGCAAAACCTGGATAGCAAAATCCAAAGTACTAGCGGCTGTATACAAAGCCATGTTCTCGGATATAAGATCGTTCCGTTCCCGGACGCGGAGAGGCCGTCTACACACGTGGCTGACGAAGCGCACTAAGTCCATATCAAGCTTTGTCAAGAATGCTTCAAGCACTACTAGCATTCGGCCGAGCATTTATGAGTGCGAGGCTACTTTGCGTAGTTGTCTCTATCGGCGTGTAGCTCGCATGATGTTTCCGCGTCGAGGCATAAACCCGAAGCACTGGCACAGCAGGTCTGATCGTCGTTAGTATTGGTGATTCCGAGCTTCTAGAACTGTGAGTCTTTAGTAGGTGTTGGGTGAATTATAGCGTCGAGTTTGTATTTATTGCTTTGGATGACGCAGTCACATGCGTCATTGCAACACAACTTACATGACTTGGATCGTCGATATCGTGACTTGTTTATGGACATGTTCGCGGTTTCTTTTGGGCTAGCTGTTCCTAAGCATTAAGAGCCCTGAGTGTGGCTATGACTCGACACGATGTTTGATATTAACGACCATTCTCAAATGCCATGTCAATATGCACTCATCTTGAGTCAGCATTCCCCGGTTAAGATCCTCTCTGACACAACCTGACCCACATCCACTTGTACACCACTTACCACTATTGTTTTCCTAAGGGTAGGCAGTATTCTCTCTCTCAACCAACAGCGTGTGTAAGGGCCCCACCCTTATGCGTCTGTCCCATATTCGTGGACCAACCGTTATGTCCTCCGAACGCCAACCGCGCCGCGTTCCCACTGACTACTCGCTTATCCCAATGAACACTCTGCAGGCTGATCGATTGCAGGTTGCCCTTATCCTGCATTCTGTATGATGCGCTGTATCACACGTTTTCTAGACCTCTAGTGTGAATACCATATGTTTCGTTGCTAAAGAGCTGTAGCTGGAATATTGTGGGCCAAGGAATGAGACGTGGCCACTTGAATGTTGAGAACAGAGCCTGTCTACGCATGTGTGGTCGAAGTGCAGAAATTGTGACCAATGAGGAGCATGCATGAGTATCGCTTCAATCGAATTATATGGCTCATCCTAGGACTGCAAACGTGGATGGGAATTTTGTTTGTACAAAATCAAAGCGACACAAGTTCTTAGACATAGACTTGGACTAAAGAGCTAAATCTACGTAGGTTGCCAGAAGCGTGAGTGAAATCCGTCCGCTCATTGAGCCTAGCCAAAGGAGCAGTTTACACATCGGAACACTCAAGCCCGTACACTATGTGCTCGAATACATAGTCGTTTGATGTGGCCCAGGTGATACCACGATGTACTCTCCATTGACTTCTAGGCAATGCATCTCCTCCGATCATCCTATTCCTGCTGTTTCCTAATATCACTTCCTGGTATTAAACATTGTATTCAGTTCCACAGACAGCCTCTTTCACAAGTCGACAGCAAGGATCCCCACCGACCGTCTCTTCTTTCTCAGCATCTCCATTTGCTCCCTTTTCCTCGTATTACTTTTGTCGGTCTTTTCCGACTATTTCGCTCCTTTCCTGACCGAACTGTGTTGCCATTTTACTTTCTCTTAACTCTCTTTCTGACCTGCTACCTGAATATCGTCGTACAATATCGACCCTTTGTGACATTAATAGACAATCGCCGAACGCCACTTGAGAAGCTGATTCTTCGTAAAAGAGCTCTACACTTGTTTCCATCAATGTGAAGAAAATTTTGAGAGTCCTTGTCGATCAGCATGACGCTGACATGAACGTGTTTGGAGATTTAACAGAATACTCTCGGCAGTCGCAAGGACGGTAGCAGATTTGCTTCGATCCTGACTGCATTGCGTGGCGGACCGTTCAGAGTTGTGCGCGGTAAATACCGATGGGGACGATATTGACACGATAGTAGCGCTATTACGCTTCTGCAGACAGTTCGAACTTTGCTTACTACGGTCATCAGATGACGCTCCAAGAAGGAACAACACAAAAGATTGATCGGCACACAAAGTCTGGAAAGTCGTTTCCGTGCTCCGTTGCAGCCTAGCAGCCTGATACAGCTTCAAAACACTGTTCGCGCGTCGCGTACACGCGGCCACTACACCCTAAAGAAATTTCTCAACCTTCGTCTCGCCCTTTATAAATAATCCAAGTTCAACTGAAATCAGTACCAGCACTTCGGGGTCATGGCTGAGTGGTCCCACAACTGGATAAAAAAGCGCAATTTGGTGACGGCTTTCTCGGTTCCCCATCGATCAGACCTCTGGTTCGATCCGTGAGATATGAGTTTTGTTTTTGAAATTTGTAACAACACGTATTTTTTATTATTCTTGCTTGTATGTGGACGTTGGAGCGGGCTGTGTCAATCATGGACTCTGTAAGAACGTTTAGGCTTCTTCTTTTGACTAATATATTGTGACAGGGAAGTTTTATAATGGCCAGGATGCGCTTGCTGTTCATCCTATGCGCAGGTAGTACTTGATAGAGGTTCTCAGCGCTAGAATTCACGACATGTACCTACTGAAATGACTTCACCTTCCACTGATTACGGTAGAAGCAAACTACATGTTCTATTCAAGCTCATATTAATCTTGACAAGCTATCTTGCCAGAGCTATTGTGATATTATATACCCATTTATGTGGTTTGAACATACTATAAGACGCGTGAATGACGTCAAAGTCCTACCGATGATCGGAGTACCTGGCAACCCACATCAAATCAATGACATTAGAAGGTTCTCCATTAGTTATTGGAAATAAGGCTGTACTATATCCACACAAGCCTGGTTATAACTAATTCTTACTACTTCAAACATATGAGGCCTTCAAGGCCAAAGTGCGAGAAAAGGTATCGTTTCATGAAGTCTCGTGATACCGTCTGTACTCTCTATATAATTCTCGGCTTAGCCGAACGTTTAACAACGTCTAGGTTCTCTACCATGAATGTGGAAGTCATGTCCATTTCCCGACTAGGAACACCTTGAACCTTAACGCACCACTTATAATAGCACATGTGTAACACCACAAACAATAATTGATTCATTGAAATATCTAATCTCAAGCTTTCTAACGAACCAAAACACCAAATCCTCCCCTTGCAAGTGAAAAGGTGGGCTCACCACCCATCTAGAACTTGGTGCTTCTCCGCAGCCACCATCGACTCTCTCCTCTCCCTTCCCGGAGCGCCCTATTTCCACGCATACGGGTCGCGATCGAAGCACTTCCCACACGCCGCAAACTCGTTGGTATCTAGAACTCTTTAGAAAGACATACTTAACCCTTATGGTGAAACAACACAAACGTACCTCCGTCAACGAGCTCACAAAGACACCAGCGCCTGGGATCTCTGGGCACGATGACGTGCTCCCAAGGCGCCAATGGCCTGCGAATTTGACGGACGCCTCCACACGTAGTGGGCCCACAAGAGAAGAGTATATATCCAACAGCGATCCCGATGGCGATGGCGGATGTCTTGACGAGTGTGGTAATGGGGTCTGTAATGGTGGCGTGCTCGTTGATGGTAGTGAGGATGCTGGTATAGGTGCTTGTGAGGGCCGAAATGGTGCTTGACATGGCTGCTTCGGCTGAGAAAGTTACCCTGAGGTTTATGTATGGCGTAGTAGATGGAGATATTGTATTGACTTGAAGTTGACTTTATAAAGTTGCAGCTGAGGGTGTGAGGTGTGAAGATGGAGGTGAACTGTGAAGTTTTGAGGAAATGAGAGCAGTCTATTGCTTCACTGGGTTTTTCATTGTTTCCGCTCGCCATGACTATCTTGGTCGAGGTGTTCCATGGATTGGATGCGATTTCAGAGCGCATCCACGGAAGAGCTCAGGGGTAGGTGCTTCAGGGTCCAGCCCACCATCTCAATATCTCAGGCGAGACTGGCTCACAATGATGCGAGAGTGCGTATCGCCTTCCTTGTACTGCCGCAGTTCTATCTCATTATTCTCTCCGTGATCTGTATCCATGGTGAGCATACCATAGGTGCAGCCTAAGGTGTCTCACCATATAACCAATTCCCCAAGTAGACCGGAGTAGGCTGATGAGTCCAATATTTTAGGCTCTGATAAACGATATGAGCATATTTAATGATGTTTCACAATGTCCAAATAGTATCATTGAATCATCCAAATGCTTGCTTGTTGCACCCAAAAATCGCGCAATGGGATTACAGTGGAATATGAGCATGAGCGCAGCCTTTATCAGTGAACCACGTGAGCACATTAAACAACCAAAAAAATAAACACAAATATTGTTGTCATTTCATATAGGTCTCTATTGTTGATAGGTGACTCCGCCTATCAACAGACCTCCTGTTTTCTCGACTCTGCTAACTGTAGTCTTTGCTTACCCTTCGCAGGGGAGGCAGTTGCCGCAAAGGTACATGCCGTTGCCTAGAGGCGTGCAAGAGCAACATTCGTCCAAAGCGACCACACCAGAAACAGCAACGGCGGCGTTGCTTTTGTCTGTAGCAGGAGCTGTGACAGCGAGAGTAGAGGTAAGAAGGAAGATGAGGAGAGAAGCGAGTTTGTACATTCCGATTTGTTTGAAAAGTTGATTTGGTGTGTCGAGGAGCGGCTGTGAGGTCTGAAGTTGAGTTAAGAGGATCGTAAGTTGTGGATGGCTTAGGATGAGGATATGAGGACCTAGGTGTACCTTTCATACTCGTCTTTATTGTAGGCTGGAGGGATATGCTGACTCCTGCCCAATGACTCTTGATCTGACCGCCTTCTCTTCTTGGTATTTTAGATGTAACTTACGCATTTGCAATGCTCGGTCGCACGCCGACGCAAGCCCTCGCTTCCACGCCTTGGCCTTCTCTTCGATATTAGCTACTTTGAGCATTAGTAATGGTCTGCTCCGTCCTTGGAAAACAACTCTTCTCCCATAGCCGTAGCACATTACAATCGAGACAGGTAGAGGACAGTCTTGAAGCAGCATCAAGCTCCAATATCACCAGCGTCCAACGTCCGCTAGTCACTGATTCATGCAAGCCCTCGCTTCCATGCCTTGGCTTGGACTTCAGTAGACTTGGCTTTGGTCCCTCGAGGATCACTTTAGCTTCGCGTGCTAGATTATAATAGCTGTTTTAGGCAGGAGCTTCGTTTGAACCCTAAAGATTGGCGCAAGCTGCGAACGTTGTAGTCCCGCGATGGTAGCAGAGGAAAGGTATAGAGTGGAAATGCATTCTCCCTAGAGATCAGCGGGCGCTGGCACAAACGGCAAGCGAGTAGCTTGCGGAATGCGATTTTAGGTGTTAATCTGTTCTCGAGTGTGATATGAAAATGCTACAAGTCAGACCTACTCGGCGAACGTTGCTGTAAGGATAATCCCAGACTAATGCGACTGACTGAAGCATCTTGTGTTCAGAGCTGCCTTCTATCATTAAGTGATGCTAATGCACCCTTTTGGCCTTTGAAATCGCCTGCAGCAACATGACGTAGTAGCAACACCGATCATGTTGTGTGAGAGTAGCGGGATTTTTGGATAATGGCGTCGACTGCTACAGATCGTGTCGTTCGGATTGTAAGCAAACATTCATAGCTTAGCAGACGTAGGCAAAATGAACTTTCTTATCTCAAGGATGCATGATACATGAAATTCTGAGAGTAATGTGCCCGGCACTAAATGCGACTTACCGTAAGGCGACGGATTGGGCTCTCAAGCAGTGGTGCTTCTTGTAAACCTATTTACAAGAGTTCTATAGTCATTTAGTAAGAGTAGCCACATCACAGTGATGATATTTATTGTTGTACAAATCTATGTACATAGAAGGATGTATCATATGAGAAGTACATCTGGTGGCCTGTGCTCACAGAGCCGAGCAAGGATTAAAGTGGAGTTCATGACGCGTGAATGGAAGCATATATCGCGGTCGCAATCTACACTTCACGCACACCTCACTAGAATGGTGCGACAACCCAGTCATAGCTTGAATTACCTCACATTATGAGGATTCGCTCCCCAGTGCTAGCCGCACTTCTGTCGCCATCGCCGTTCCACCACCTTGCCTCTCGGTGTCCTAAGCACATACGATGCGCGACAGCCGTTCTACACTCACACATATATAACCAACGAAAGAACAACCACTCATTCCGGAGACTCCCTGCTGAATGCGACGAGGATGATGATCGGCAAACGAAGCCCGAGGCGGCCACATCTTCATTCGTGCCCCCAACCTCCCAGTCCGTCCGACAGACAGAAAGCCGGCGCGAGGAGAAAGCTTTACACTCGAAGCATAACGCCATGATCTCGTCGGACATGCCTCGCTCGGACTCACTACCACGGTCGTTCTTCGCTGACCGGCTCAATCCCCCAATTTCCACCCTCCCTCCACCTCTCGAAAATCTGCCACCTCGAAGTGATTACAATTGGATGATAGCGTATCTATATACATGCGGACAGATTTACTATAGATTTTACAAAGCTGCCCTCTACCAACTTTGGAACAATCGGAAGATATTGCGTGCTCTAGGCCCAGAGCCCATTCTTGCTAGAACATTGAGGTCAAATCGTAATCCTATACCTTCGGCAGACCTCGAGAACCTAGGTGCAAAACTACTTGCGAAGCTGAAAACCAACACCGAGAAAAGTATGCACGCACACATCGCTATACTCGCTCCGCTGCATATACCTGCTGGTTTAGACTGGTCGCATCCTGAGACTCGTGTAGGATCGCAGGTAGTGCTTCTCCCACCACGACAAGATTACAAGCATTGTACGCCGCTCGACTGGAAGTGGAGCAATCTTGGCCCGAACGATAAGATACAATTAGAAAGTGATCCTTGTAAGTCTCTTGAACATTGGCAAGAGAATTGGGATCGTATCACCACTGCTACTACTGCGCATGGGACCCACACCGAAAAGGCCACAATTATTACTCTTCCTGAATACTGTCGTGCAGAATTCCAATTTCGTGAGCGGACCAAGCGTGATCTTCGAAGATTGGTCCCGTTCGCAACAATTCTGCTTGTTCTGGGTGAATGGACACCTCTCATCGTCGCATTCGTGACCCCATTAGTCCCACGCGTCTGCTGGCTCCCAACCCAGCAGTCCAAGATGATCCAATCACGAGAACGCTTTGCGAGCCAAAATGAACTCAGCTTTGTTAGGAGGAGAGCTCAGAGGAACCAAAACCTGGCGCTACATATGAGAGAACGGCTAGCTGGTCAACTGAGGCCAAATTGGCTCAGATTCAAAATCCCAATGGTTTTCGTTGGTACCTTGTTACAAAGAGTGCTCAGATATCTCGATTTTGATGACGCGCTGATACGTCGAGATGGAGGCGTCGCTGGTATGACTGATGCCGAAGTTCACATGGCCGCTGTGGAGCGCAGTATTCGAGTCTCGGATCGACATCATAAGGACATCAGGGAGGATCTTGATTGTTGGGTTCGGAAGGGAGGATGGAGAAGTCTCCTCAACTATAGTGAATATTCTGGAGAATGAAAGTACAAGCTGGGTCGGTCATGTTCAATCTTGGCGATAGCATTGTATCCACAAACGTCGAAACCTGGAATATGCCGCCAAAGAGAGGAAACCCCAGAGCTCGGTATCTAAGCTCTGTGCTAACAAGATAAGGCCTGTATATCAAGCTCAGCCGAGTCGTTCCATAGCTCTCCTCGCTTTGAACAGATCCCGTAGAGCGATTGGCAGCGTTACTATCCAGTCGCGTTGGCTTTGTGGGTTCTCTTGAAGCATAGCAATGGCCAATCGTGTCCACTGTTCAGTGAGCTGGGACTGTCTCTGTACACGGTCACTACGAATACAGAGCGCCATGAAAGTAGAATATCATATCAGTCGGTGATCCTGGGTATTATTAATTGGTATTGTTGTTCAAGGGCGAGCTGCCGCATGCCCAACTAATATGATGATCGGTGATCTTCGCATCAATGAGTCATCTCCATTGTCATCTGGTCTATCATCCCCAAAGGATCAGACTATGACGGAGTGTAGCCTAGCTACTCATGCGGCTGAAGATTGATATATGAGTCCTCTCGGCTGGCACTTCCTTCCCCCTATTTTGATTTCCACGACAAACTATAATCAGGACTTGCGAACCCGTCCCAGATTCGACGATAATATGTAGGTCACTGTCATCCCATCAGGATCCAAGGCATGTCGCGCAGCTATTGAGACGCTTTTGGGGCATCGACTTGGGCCCACGGTGATTGCCGTCTACCGCGATCTCCAAAAAAGTACCTGAGACACTCGCGAGCAGCTCGCAATTCACAGCAGTTAATCGAGACATTACAAACACATCATCCCTAAATTTTTGCGGCTCACGTGCTGTAATCACACTGATACCATCCAAATACGACGGCTCTGATGTCATCGAATGGGCAAATACAGTGTCGAGCAACATCAGTAATGCAGTGAAACAGGCAGGCAATGGGCGACGGCTAGTTTATATCTCGAGCGGAGATGCTCAACACGGACATAGCGTTGGTGCGATCAAGTCAAGCCACGCGAGTGAGGAGACATACCGCCATGTATCGCCTGAAGTTATTTTCGTGAGAAATGCGTGTTCTATGAAGGACTGAGAGATGACGCTGAAAACGGCTAAGGGGGTGAAGAGCGTATTTTCTAGTCCAAGCACGCCGGTGGACCATAAGATATCCATTGTATGAGACGATGGCTCTTGATTTTCTGACAGTGTAACTAGTTACTGATGAGCCCGCTAAGTCCCCACGGTTGACATTGGGCGCGCATGTGCCAAACACATCCTTTGGACTATAACAGCCATCTCAATGGAAAACGGTGCGTCATTATTGGAACTTTATGGTCTGGAGGAGTATTCAACACTTGGTGTACACGATGCGTTCGAAAAGGTTACGGGGAAGGAGGTCGAGCTCCGCTCCGTTGAACCTGATGAGCTTGCTGGATTCTTCAGCAGCTTCCTGCCGGAAGTAGTAGTGCCCGAATTCGTTGAGATGACAAAAACATTGTTTTCAGGTGGATTATTGATGACATAGGAAAGGACGGTGTGAGGTTCGAAAGGGGCACAGAGAGCTTGGTGCAAGCTTCCGCAAGAATGCTCGAGGCCTGAAGCAAATAGAGGCGAATATAACGAGATATTCTCACTCCTTGCATCCGAGTCAATGACCATGATGCACAAACATCATACTCAGTATATCATTATGAATAGTGCTATGGAGTGTACGAGACGTCCATAAAAACTCATGACGTATCACTGTTCAAGCTTATCTTTGGTGTAGAAATATGATTGGACAATGAGCTGAGATGAGATCGTATGCCAGACGTACATGATTGAGTTTGTGTAACTTAATGACTTGTATAGCCTTAATGAATGGCTATAATTTCTGTAGGAGATTTACTGACTAAGAGCGACTGCTCCTTAAATTGATCCAATGTACTAATGAACGCATCTAGATTACCTGCCTGCTAGCGCATCCTTTCTCGACTAGTACTTATGATGTCAGTCTAGCGTCTCCTCACACCGAAGCAGTGGACACACAGCTTTTTATGACGACGTGATTAATGCCACTCAATGCCACCAAAGTTACCAACTTTGGCTTCTTTCGCGAATGTCTCTCCGAGTCTGTTCTTCGTTATCTAGCTCCTCAACCCGAGAAGCAGAAGAAGAAGAAGAGAAAGGAGAGGAGGAAAAGCGGGAGTAAAACGGTAAGCTTGAGCGCCTTGAGTCAAGCGAGTAACGATACTGCGGAGGATGTGATTAAGAAAAGAACCGAGAATGGGTCCTGGGTCGATATACCTAGAAGCAGAAACATCCTCGACGGTCATCTAAGCAACCATGATGATAAAAGCGAGCAAGACACGGACGCGAAAGACGTTAGTGAAGCTGAAGAGTTGAGCGAGTTCATTGATGTTTGTGAGCCTTGAAATTCATCGTGTGTCAGTATGTAGGACTCACCACCTATAACCTCGCAGTTCCTAGCCCATGGCATCTTCTCAGACCTGCCTGCTGACTTACGCTCTCTGACACATCGTTCATTCGAGGCATCGAAAAGCCTACAGGCACGATACGCTACTCCACTGTCTTCAGACACTGTCAACAGATTAGTCGCTCCCTTGCCCACGCTCTACGTCGAGACCATCTCGACGTTTCTGCCCTCACTTGTGGCTTCCGATCCAACGTTCTTCGAGGCATTCTTGTCACCCGTTCTGACGTCCTATGTGGAGGGGGCTATCGCTGCTCCACCCCCACCATCATCCACGAAAGATACAGCCGATTGTTGTGAAATTTGTCTGCGAGAGCACATGCCACTAACATACCATCACCTCATCCCCAAATCAGTACACGACAAGGTGATAAAAAGGGGCTGGCATGAGGCACGGCAGTTGAACGACGTAGCTTGGCTATGTAGGCAGTGTCATAGCTTTGTTCATCGAATTGCTGGCAATGAGGAACTGGCAAGAGAGTGGTACACAGTCGAAAAGCTGCTAGAACGGGAGGATGTACAGAGATGGGCAAGATGGTGTGGAGGTATTAGATGGAAGAAGAAGTGACACGTGTAGCGCATGTATCGATATACAAAATACGTCCGAAGAGAGCCATCCATCTAGATAGCCCAAACCATTTACATGGTATAACCAAATGACAGCAACGCTCTTGAGATCATCGTTATCATTATAATTATCGGTATCATTGCAAATGTGTAGCTATGACTCGGCGACTCGAATCGACAGGGATATCATCAGCAATCACTGTACATTACAAATGATATTGCTGAAACCCTAAGGACGACGCAAACTGGGAAGCGGAAGGATATTTCTAGGACAGTGACCGTACATTTGAAGTATAAGACGCTGACGGGGCTCTTCAGCTAGCAAATGTGTGTTGAGACCCGGCATCTGCCCTTGAAGCTTGATTGAACCAAAGCCAAAATCTTCGATGCGGCGGCTTATCAATCTATCTCTGTCTGTCTATTCACATATTGTGCTACTCAGAGCAACCGCAACACGTCTGGAAAGTACACTGCTCTGCAGTCGGCGCTTTCAGAACATGACAGTCTGGCAGTACTGGAGGCCACTGGCAAAGAGTTTCCCTATCATTTCTGTAAGCTACTGCAGGCTCAAGACGTAGACATATCTGAAAGGTATTGACGAGAAGATTGTCACTTTAACAATTCGTCAGGGCAGGAATGCGAGATCCGTGCGACACAAACGGAAAGCTCAGAATATCACACAAGGTCCTTGCAAAGATCTGTTAGTACTTTGGGCGGCTTAGAAGTGGGACTGTAGTATATCCACTTCGTCCCTCCATTCGGACGGGCCCATTGCGCTCGTCGCCATATATGTACTCCCATGACACCCGGAACACCGTCCGCTGCAGAATGATGATGCTCCGTATCCATTTCGTAAAAGCTGATCCCCCTGTGCTCCGGTAAACACCAACCGATTGTGGGGTATGTTTGACAAAAGAATTAATCAGGCACCCTCGGATCCGAACTCTTGCGTCCACTCAGAGTTGCGATTAAGATCTTCTTTGCTAACAGTGGGCCGAGACGCTTTGATAGCTTTCACGAAGTCCTTCACGCGCAGAGGCGGTTCAAGAAGCTGGTCTGACTCAACCTCTGTCCATGTCATCTCCAACGCGCCGCTATCGCCAGGGGAGCAAGGAGTGAGCTTTTCCACACCATCCACAATGACCTACGATGCACCTGATTAGGATACGATGTCTGTAAATTTGTGCTTTGGGGGAAGGTACCTTCTTGTAGTGCGTAGCTGTTTGTATCATGCGGACTGGCTGCATAAGAGCGTCCTGAACCGCTATGCTGATATCGCTACCTGAGTAACCTTCACTTAGTTCGCCGAGTTTGCGAAAGTCGTTTTGTGTCAGCTCGCATGGGGTCGAGCCGACCGCAAGCTCGAACATCTTCATGCGAGCAGGCAGATCTGGAAGACTGATGTGAACTCTTCTCTGAAAGCGTCTTCGGATAGCTGCGTCAAGTTGCCAGGGGATATTAGTTGCGCCCAGGATCAATACACCTCTCGAATCTTTGCCAACACCGTCCATTTGTACAAGCAACTCGGTCTTGATACGCCTTGAGGCTTCCGATTCACCCTCGCCACGAGGTCCACACAGAGCATCAATCTCATCAATGAAGATAATCGATGGCTTGTTTTCCCGTGCCATACCGAATAGCTGCTTGACGAGTCGTTCACTTTCTCCCATCCATTTTGAGACCAAGTCAGAACTGCTGACACTGAAAAAGGTACTGTTGGCCTCGGTGGCGACAGCTTTAGCAAGGTAAGATTTACCGGTACCTGGAGGGCCTGTTATCGGGCAGTTAGTGGATGATTTTGCGGAGATGGTAGCACGACTTACCATAGAGTAATATACCCTTCCAAGGCTGTCTCTTTCCGGTAAACAGATGTGGGAATTTGATGGGCAATATCACAGCCTCTTTCAGGGCTTCTTTTGCCATCTCTAAGCCGGCAACGTCCTCCCATCGGATATTTGGTTTTTCGGAGAGAATGGCGCCTGCTAACGCGCCGCGAAGTTTCTTCGAGTCTGCGTCTTGCTCTTCCTCGTCGTCGTCACCTCTGGAATATATCATCAGCCGCTATCGAGTTTTCGTATGGGCTCCGTAGGCAACATACTTGCCCTTGCCACTCCCTCCAGCGACTTTCCCGTTCGAGCCGACGGCACTCGGTTTTTTTCTATTACTAGAATCGTTTTCGGCCAAATGTGACTTGAGTTTCTCGGCTCTCTCCATGTATTCACCGGCTTTTGCTCTTATCATTTCCTTTGACTTGGCATTCTTCTCCCCTAGAGTTCGGCGCATCAGGCTAGGCTCCCACGAGTCCAAGTTGGCCGGTGAACTCACATTTTAGGGCAAGCATAAAAAGCTCTACTATTGATACATGTCAGTTAGGAATCCTGAAGTCGTTGTATGACCAGGTCATTGGTGGGCCACATACAAGCTTGGTAGTATGTTTGGTATGCCTTCTCATACTCGCCTGCGGTATCGCTCTCGATAGCTTTCTTGACCACCTCTATTGCACGCCCAAGAAAGTCTGTGTTACTCATGACGCAAACGGTGCTATTTACTCGCGATACAAGAAGACCTCGACCGAAGACTTAGAATGCTACAGACGTGGATGTGGGATTGCGATCTGAAATGGCGAAGCGCGGGGGAGGGGTAACACAAGTGTCGTCGCGTGGCCACCGATAAAGCAGTGTCGTTCGGTAGAGAGAAGTCGATATGAAGGTGGGATTTTGGGAAGTTGTAGCTCCTCTGAGTGACCAGGCACCGAAAATACGGTATGTCGTGGAGGTAACTTTTCAGTTGACTCGTCTCGCCAGGACTGTTGTCCAGGCGGCGAGATGGCGCCAAGGCCGCGCCAAGAGTTCGGTTCCTGTCTTGACGACGAAGTCAACACTTTACACCAACCAGACACAGGTAGGATAGGGTTTTTATCTTCAAGGAAGCAATCTCTAAAGTTCCCGCAAGTCCGAAGTATTGGACAACAAAAGCGCGGTCGGATCAACGAATAGTACAGGTCTGTCATCGACAAACACAAATCAAATGGGCGACCAGAAGAAGCTGCAAGAGCTTTCAGATGAGTTCCAAAAGTTTCAGGCTGGTGCGTATTATACATATAAAATAATGCTCCGGTCTAATACCCACTAGAACTCCAGTCTATTGTTGATGGCAGGCAAAAGCTTGAGTCGCAACAGCAAGAAAACGATAGCGTAAAGAAAGTAAGTTGACCACTTGCGCAGCATACAGCATATAATTGATATCACCACAATAGGAATTCACCAAGAACCCAAACGCAACCAAGTTCAAGCTCATTGGACCAGTACTTCTGAAGCAAGACCAGACCGAGGCACAGATGTCTGTTGATGGTAGATTAGACTTCATTGAGAAGGAAATGTAGGCTTCCCTTTCTTTATGTCATAGCACACATTCTTAATCTCTCCGCTAGTTTGATCAATCAGCGCATCAACTGACTATCTCTAGCAAACGTGTCGAGGGTCAAATCAAAGACATTCAGACCAAGAGTGAGCAAAAGAAGATGGAGGTACGTCGTAAATGCGAACGAGGACAGAAATGTCTTCAACTGAACCCACAATGAATCTCTAATCGTGCCTCAGATCATTCAACTCCAGAGTTCGATACAGCAGCAGTCTCAAGGACAAGCGCAGGCCGCGCAGGCATAGAAATAGCGACAATCTATCCGTAACATTTGTCGTACCGCTAATGAGCACTCTCCTTCACTGATCCCTACTCTACCTATCGGTCATTTGGTCAGCACGTTATCTTAATCCGGAATTCGCGATGCTACTCCAGCCTTCTCACCACGAGAACCATGGAGGCCTGACGTACAGTCGATTGAATTCCAGCGAACCCAATGCACGGCCACTCTACCAACGCCCCGCCCCCGACGTCTATCACTCACTTAGCCCCTCCCGTCTCTTGTTAAGAAAGCAAACTGCGCCAAAGCAGGGGAGCCCGACAGATCGGCACACATCTCGACCTAACATCCTACCGCCCGTCCCACAGCGTCCATCACAGATCGTAAGAGATTTATAGCGAGGCAGACTACAATTCGCCTTGTAGCGGCGGGTTTAATACCTTGACGACGGACCGTGATGGGCCTTGACCGTTTTGTCCGATGCTAATGGACTCCAGTAGGAGGCCTGAAAATCTATTCGAAGCGCTGTGGCGCCTTTTCACGTGTGGTCAATGTTGGAACCAGGATTTCAGCTGCTATTGGTGTTGTTGTTGGCTCTGGACAGTGGCGTGCATCACTGAGGCCGTTGTGTGCATAAAACTAGAGACTAATCAGAGTACCGCTGTTCGGGCGTTTAAGTAGATCCAGAAGCGTGACGAGACTCAAATGTGGTGCAAATTGAATTTGAGACTGCCAGGATGTTTCATCGTCCATACAGACAGTAATTATTTGAGCGTTTGTCGTATCTTGCTATATTCGCGTTGTATGTGGAACAAAAGAGATTGGTACATTCCGCGCAGACCGTGAGGGTGCGGCGGTAGCGGCAGCTGTCCCAATAAGCCGCGACATACTCCATATTTACAATGGCCACAACTTGAAGCCACTTCTTGAGTTACTTTGCTCAGTATAGGCCAGTATTTTCTAGGCCTTCGTATCGATCCCCAACATCATCCATCTATTTCGTAACGTTCTCAGGTGTAGCAACATAAGTAGGTCGAACAAATCTAGCAACCAATTAGCAACCTACAGTAGGAAACTATGGCAAAGCGGTATACATACCTATCGTTGTGATACACTTTGAGATTGGCACCAAGCAGCTCCTTCTCACGCTGCTTGTCCGCTAGCATCCTCCGCACTTGATCGCGGTCTTCTTCTGCTTGCAGTAGGGGGATAAGGTGTATCCGAGACCATTGTTTCTCACGACCAAGTTCGCTGCAGGTGAAGTCAGCTATGCTTTTTTCCTTGTCAAGCAGCACCCGCTTTATGCCGTCGCTGTAAAAATGCCAAAATCACAATGCCCACACCGGGTACATCTCTATCACGCTTTTTTCGCCCATGATTATGACATTGAATGTCTGCCGCGACATCTCCATCCTTAGACATCAGTCATCTAACCTCCTGCGCGATGTCATTCCAATCATTCATTACCTCCTCCCGTTCAAAGAAAGCTCACACCACTTACTTCTTCTCCCTAACCCCCTTGCCATACATCCAAAAGCCATATGTCATAATCACGCCCATCCCAAGTAGATACACACTCGGTCTGAAGCCGCGCACTGGGAGATTGCGCTTGTACTGGACGGCGTCGTAGCCCCCGACGGGGGGCATATCCTGAGGCATGACGGGCGACGTGTGCGCAAATTTGGACTTCGGTGTCCTCAATAATTCTAGTGGTGAGCCCTCGTGGGGATAGATGCTGTATTCGCGGAGTGGAGAGGTCGTGTGTGGCGCAATTGACTTCTTCTTCGGATTGTGGTCATGAGGTACATGTGGAGGTGAGGTTGACGTTGAGTGGATGAGTCAGCGACACGCTAACTGTGGAAGGCGTAGCTCCGGTCTGGTGAAAAGACGAAAAGTAAAGCTTTTGCGATACAATTAACTCCTGACGCCCTACAAACGCATTGAAACAACATGACGAAATGGAAGAACGGCCAACGAAGATTCAGAAGTGCTCTCATGATGGTAGCGGTGCGTCCGTGGTGTTCCCTCTGACGGAAGCTGCAGATGGAATTTTGCTCAAGCCTACCTCAAACAGCGATGAATCACATGAACACGACAAAAATGATAGTGCCAAGATCTCAGACTCGAATCATATCAAAACAATCACATATAGTCGTGTATCGACCAGCATAGATGACTCACAAAACACCCCCTCTAACACGTCCATGGCTTCTCAAACACACCAACCCTCATCAAGCACAATCCCGGCGGCCGACCCAACCGGAATGCCACTCTCCAAGAACGCCCAAAAACGCCTTCTCCGTGCCCAGAAGTGGGACGAAAGCCGCGCTGAACGCAAAGCCTTCAAAAAGCAAAAGGACAAAGAACGCAAAGAACGCAAACGGCAAAAGGCAGCCCTAGAGGCATCAAACCCTCTTAGCAACACAACCACTACCAAGCCGGCTATCCAAGATCCATCACCCGATCGAAAACGGCAACTTCCCACCCAGCTTCCCGTCACATTCATCTTCGACTGCGATTTCGATAGCTACATGAACGACAAAGAACTCGTATCGCTGACAGCGCAAGTCACGCGTTCGTACAGCGATAACAAGCATGCGAAATATAGAGCGCATATGTGTATCTCGAGTTTCAGTGGACGGATGAAGGAGAGGCTGGAAACAGTGATGATGGGACATTATAAGGGATGGAAGGGGGTAAGGTTTTTTGAAGAGGACTTTGTGAAGGTTGCGGAGAGGGCCGGGGAGTGGATGAGAGGGGAGGAGGGAGGGAAGGTTGCTGGTGCATTGGAAGGGTGGAGGGGAGGTAGTGGGGTCGTGGGAGACGGGACTGGTGCTGATATAGAGCATGCTAGGAATGCTGAAGAGAAGGAAACTCAAGGACGCCAGGCGGAGAATATTGGTGGTACTCCGAGAAACCAACCAGATGTGACCGGAGCAGGCGGTGGGACTGGTCAAGCAGAGAAAGACGAATCTGATGAAGCAGACGAGGGCGGATCATCAGAAGTAAAGCCAGGTGATCCCTCTGAAGACTCGAGTACAAATTCCTTTCCTCAGGGCGAAACGATATATCTTACCGCCGACTCGCCCAATATTCTGACGCATCTCACGCCTTTTTCCACCTACATATTCGGCGCCATCGTCGACAAGAACCGGTACAAAGGTCTCTGCTATAAGCGTGCCCTCGACAATCGGATAAAGACTGCCCGACTTCCTATTGGCCAGTACATGAAAATGAACAGCCGCAAAGTGCTGACGACGAATCATGTGAATGAGATTATGTTGAAGTGGTTTGAGCTGGGTGATTGGGGTGCTGCATTCATGAGTGTGATTCCCAAGAGAAAGGGAGGTGAGTTATTGAGTTACGCTAGCGAACATGATGGTATTTTGTTTGCGGGTGAAAATGGGGATGATGGTGAGAATAGTGAGCATGGCGAGGTTCAAGCAGATGCAGGTGAGATCGAGGTCATAGATGGTGACGACGCCAGTGCGATCGAAGCTGGACAGATAGCTGAGAAGTCAGCTGACCGGCCGCAAATGACAGGCACATAGCGTTATAGTGTTTGGAGATGTGCTGGCTTGAAATGCGGCTCCGAATTAAACAACATTCGCGTGTGTGAAGTACTGAATTTGTTGACGCTGCTGGTTAGAATATGGTTGCGTATCAAATGCAACCAGCGGTATTGTTACTAAGTCCAAGCAGGGACGAGATCCCGAAAGCGTGGTACTAAGCCAAGAATGCACCATTCTAGATGAGGAGAGTTTAGCGATGACAAGAGTTGTGTACGGGTGCCAGGTTTCGCAGTAGAATGTCCTAATTCTCAAGGGGCCCATGAGAAACGTTAACAGAATGGCAAACTCGCCTATTGATCTCACCGAGTAAGGCCTCTTTTATGAAGAAGATGCTCCAGTAGCCAATGCCACTTTGGGATGAACGGCGGGGAGGTGCAATTCGGTCCGTGGAAGCTACTAATTATACTATGTACTAATTTATAGTCCGGCTAGCTAACCAACTAATCGTGGAGACTTAGTGCCGTCGATTTGTAATGCTCGGGAAGACCACAGACCCACAGCCTCCGTTGAAAGAGACCAGCGCTTATCCGGAAAGGGCACCATTGATCGTCCGTGAGCGGTGCGTGAGGCGTCAGTTCCACGGCACTTCCGTTAGGTTGGTGGTCAGTTGGTCCGCGAACCTCACCGCGCACAAGACAAGGCTGTTGTCAGACAAGCAACGAGTACGGATGCTTCCCCCTCACCCCTGATTTCTACCCGGTATGGCGACTCTTGATGATACGAAGAGATTTTAGTCCGGTGTCTGCTTCGTGCCTTGCGTAAAAGAAGCTTAGAGCTTATAGGATTCAAGATCGCATGGTCTGCCTAGTACTCGTCTAAGTAGATCCTGGGGCGAGCGAAGCGTCCGTTAAAGTGGGCTCTGCCAAACCATGGGTCTAGAGTACTTTGCATTGGCAGTTGGCTGCATAGACATTGCGTGGTTATGGAAGAGCATGTTGACTGTCTGCGTGGCGACTATTCAGGGATGCCTGCACTATCCCCAATATGGTGTTTGCGATCATAGCGAATCATTGTCATCGACTGGTGAATAAAAAGCATCGAATCAATAGAGCTGCGCACAAGGATGGCACCAGGAAGGCCGTCATGCTCGTGCGATACATGTAACATCTGCCCTTGCGTTCTTTTGGGACACAGATGAGACCATCCACTCGGTTTCGGAACCGGTTACAGGTCTAACCATTCAGTGTACATTAATAATACGGACCCGTGCCGAATCTAACCTTGGAAAGCCATCACTACCTCCCTACCTACGATTGGCAACCACGCCACGCTACCTTCTCTGCCTTCACCCATAAGGATGCTGTGGCCAACAAAAACCCTAAACCCGGGCACGCGTCCTACTGCGCCTGGACACCCTAGCATATTGTGATTATTTCTTCCTACCACTTCGTAGACCTTGATGCTCTCGTCCACTCGAAATCATGTCTCTGATTACCCCCAAAGAACTTGTAGCTCACATCGAAGCTTTCACGAAGAATCAGGCTGGGCTGCGAGATGTCCCAAAGCTATGCTCTTGCCTTTATAGTGCAAGTACCGTGCTGAATCGGGGTATTGAGCAGACAGCCGATATACTCGCGCGTGTCACTTGTATCCAGGTGTGACGGTCTTTATCTCTTGCAACATTGCTTTAGACATTCGTAGAGACTGAGGATCACACTGGACAGCCTACAGAGCATGCAGACGTCGATGTAGCCTGGCATCTCAAACTCTTCCCGCTTCTTGAAAGTCAATCATTACCTTGGAAGCCATATGAGCCTGCTCAGGTAACAAGGGTCGATAGATTGCATTTTGGTGGGTCACAGAGGTCTGGCCACTCGGGTCGCAAGCCAATAATTCCCGCAGGTTGCATTCTCATCGGTCTAATAGTACACGGCGCAGTAAAAGAAGAAAGTGCGAATCAATTTGCGCTAAAGCCTTCATTTGCTTAATCCATGAAGGTTGGGCTGCGAGATATATGAGAAGATTGGTCTTACAGGTACTCGTACTTGGCGAATCGCCTCCAAAGAGGCTTCCAAGGAGCTCCTAGGGAAGCTTTGTGTACAAGATGTAGCCGACGTCATCGCGAGAGCTCCGAATAGGCTCGGAGCTGGGTATTGAGCACTCGACTCATGACATCTTCACGCCGTAGCTTGAGGTAACTAGACTAACTTCTTGTTGGACCCAAGTCCCATGATCGGAAGCTTCGAGATGAGCTACTGAGACCTCCTAGGCGCTCGTGCATATAATCTCAAGGGAAATCATGCATGGTTTTTCTGATGACAAGAGTGTGGGGCTTTTTGAAGTACTTAGCAGACATGATGCCGCCAGGCTACTTGGAACTCATCGTACATAAGATATAGTCCCAAGATCAGCTCAAGTGTCTAGGCATCATTCCAGGATATGAATATGATGCCACAATTGGTAGTCGGAGAGCGAAACGAGCAACCGTGGAAGACCCTGATCAACTCTGGAGGGCATTAGAATTTACCTGGCATCTGACGGTATTTCTGAGACTGTGATAGACGTAGAGAGGGCTATATGATATACGAAGCATGTCAGAGCTATGGCTTTCTCGAGATTGGGCGATTGTTCAATATATATGTATATGTGTGTGTATGTGTGTGTATGTGTGTGTATGTGTGTGTATGTGTGTGTATGTGTGTGTATGTGTGTGTATGTGTGTGTATGTGTGTGT